TGGGACGTGGTGGGGATGCTGGCATAGGGTCTGGCATAAGGTGCACTTGAGCTAAGAGATTCTGGAATGCTGGAAGAAGGATATTCAAGTTGAAACCATTCCAGACTGCTGTGGTTTGGATATCGTTTGCGTTGTATGCACCATTGGTGGTGTTGGGCCCTGGAACCGGGGGCGCATTTGTTGGAATTGCGGGCAAGGCATTTTGCAAATAGGTCAAAAGCGATATCTGATTCGCCATTTTGAAATACATATTTATATATATATGTGAGGAAGAAGTGTTTTAGTCTTTGCTGGGTAACAGATCAACTTGGGCATCCCACGCGAATTTTATATCCGAAAATCTGAAAGACTACACAAACCCCTCTTCTTCCAGGTTTGCTGGCACAAAATAGAAGGCTGCCACCACTTGTTGTTTCTCTCCTTCCGCTTCTAGCAAGCAAGCGCCAGCTCCAGAGAGGCGCATGCAGCTGGGCTAATCCGGTCATAACTTTACCTCTGCATTGCTGCCTGACTACTGGGATTTGCGGCTCGTCCCACAAGGGATCCTGCGCTTGCCGGCTTGGCTGCGCCATTTTCCGGGCGTAGCTTACTTAAACAAAGCAAACATGTCAAACAAGAATTTCCAAAACAAACAACCAATCGCTTGTCCTTCGTCCTGCTCTGGCAGCCGTGCATGGTCACACCTTCCACTGAAAAGAAAGAGGAAAGGGAAGAGACAAAAAATGGAGCTGGACAATGTCAGACCAGCTGAAGTTGTCTTCAAGAAAAAGCTTTTTGCAAGAGGAAAGGGAAGAGACAAAAAATGGAGCTGGACAATGTCAGACCAGCTGAAGTTGTCTTCAAGAAAAAGCTTTTTGCAAGAGGAAAGGGAAGAGACAAAAAATGGAGCTGGACAATGTCAGACCAGCTGAAGTTGTCTTCAAGAAAAAGCTTTTTGCCTCTGAGTTCTCTGAGGTATTCCTCACTGTTGTTCGCGGACAGCAATGTGTCATGAAAGTGGTGAGGGCCCTGTCTGAGCCATAGGCCAGGCCATTGATTGATTACTGTATGCTCTAGCTGGTATACAACTAATTACAAAGTGATAGCATCACGGACGAGGTCCACGACGATACTATGAGCCAGATCGCGAACTCGACATCCACATCCTTGAGTCGACTGCCTACCGTCGTTTGAAAGAGCGAGGAATATGTGAGCAACGGATCGTCCCTCAATTCTTTGGCACCATGGACAAGTTTGATCCAAAGCCATGCCAGCCTTACCTACGCACGTTTGTCAACGATGAATACCCACCCAGTGCCATCTTCCTGGAATACATCCCAAACCTTGAGATGCTCGGCCTTAACAACTACACACAAGCTCGGATGAACAAATTTCTTGAGGGCATCCGTGAGATACACAAAGCGCTTGTAGAGCATGGAGACCCAAAACCCAGGAACATGCTCATCGTCAAGGACGACCCTGAGCGGGTTGTTTGGATTGATTTTAATCGAGCAAATACCTATGACGAGCACCGCATCACAGACAGAGAGCGAGCTTTTTTGGACGAGGAAGAAGAAACAGTTGAAGGCCTTAAAATGTGTTTGGTATGTCCTCCTAAAATATGAATCCCTTACTGTTCGCTCACAATCTCACTGTCCGCGTCTTAGGAAGCCGACCTTCCAAAAGGGAGACTCAAACAAGCGTACATATTCTACTGTACATGATGTATCCCATCTTTCCTCCTCACCCATGTGTCATCCTATCTATCCAGCGCGAAACAGGCAACCAGAGCCAGAGCAATGCCTCCGACAACTTGGACGACGATTATGTTGCGAGCAGAAGTGAGACCATCAAAGCGGCGCAAGCTTTGCTCGCAGTTGGCTGTTACTACGCAATCTTCAGCTCCCAGGGGTTGTGCTGGTGTCTGCTGTGATGCAGAAGCTCCCTGAGTTTTGCGGAGATTCTTCGCAGGTGGTACTGTTGTAGGCTGGAAAAACTTTCGGTTGTAGCTCATTCTAAGCCACGGGATGATGAGAGTTGGTCTTGCTTGCCTTGTTTGTTTTGATAGACAGTCCGAGCCAGACCTGTCCCAAATCCAATTTGGCGTCGGTACCCGCTAGTTATCCCATATGGCACGTGCCCCTGACCTACCTAGATGTAACCAATCCGCTCTATCGTGAACAAGGCTGGCTGTGTTAGAACCACCAATCTCTGCCTGCCACGGCGGACGCAGGAAAGTTCATGGAGAGAGAAGGGGGGCAGCATCGAGAATTTGACTCCAATATAAAACTATGGTCTAATCACCAGTTCGGTGCGACTTTCCTATAGGAAAATTAACGTGCACTTTCGCTGTGCTGTTTCCCTATTCTTGGTTTATTGCAGGGCCCCATGAGTAGGTCTTACCAAGAGAACCTCTTAAAGTACCGTCACCTATTACCCTTCGAATAGCCTACACTGATTATCAGCTCTTGACGGCCGCCCGGTAATTTTGGTATCCTTCACCATGCTGATGTGATTGTGCTAACTATAAATTATTACTAGGAAAAATGTTCACACCAGATGCGAGCCTCACCGAAATGGAAGCCGCTATCAGATTTCAGCGCCTTGTACAAATCGGAAGTGCAGCAGATTATGCCGCAGAATTTGAGTGGCTCAGAAGCAAGATTTCACGGGAGACATACCATGCGTCTCTTTTCTTCGTGGGGCTTAAAGACGAAATTCAGAATAGGATTTCTCAGTGTGGGGAGATGCCTAGTACTCTGGAGGGTATGATCAGGAGAGCAAAGCAGACTGAAGATCAACTTCATGAGGAACGGAGACTGGGTGGGCTATGTTTTAATTGTGGAAAGCCAGGTCATATCGCCAGAAATTGCAGGAAAAAGTGGTAGGATGTACGATGGACGAAAACTTCAAATGAATTATTCTTTCCTGCAGCACGTTAAAAGTAAATGTGAAGGCTCTTCCAACTCATACATGTATCTCCTCATTATGTTCTTCAATTGTTAGACCAGCATGTCAAAAGTGACCTTCGGCACTCTCTTTTCTCTCACCAACCACATCAACACACCTTTGAAGGAAGGTATCAAAACCTTGATCAGAAAACATCTCATATAAATGCCAGTTTTGCTTAATGTAACTCTTCAGCTCTGTAAAGAACTTCTTGATGGGATTCAAGTCTGATGAATATGATGATAGATACAACACTTTCACTTCTGCTTCAGAGCACATCTCCATAATCTTGTCAGAGTGATGGAAAGATGTGTTATTTATAACAAGTACAGACTTTAGATCTGGTCATCTTCTATAATACTGGAGAAGCTGCTTAATAAAGTCTTCAAAAACAGCAGTATTGATTGAGTCTGTAAAGACATGAGAAAGAATGATATCATCTTAAGTATAGACAGGCAAGATCTGATAATGTTGATTCTGATGAAGTCTTGTTACTTGAACTGGTGTCACTTCAACTGAAGATCAATCTGTTCTTCTAAATCTTATCTGTTTGTCACACCCAGACTCATCAACATAAACCAGATGATATAAATAGAAATCAGATAGTTTGTGAAGATAGAAATCTTGTAAATCTGGATTCTGCTCTTTTGCTCTTTGTTAGCATTTCTTTTTTGTCCAGTCTTCAGAGGAAAGAGTTCTTTTAATACTGGAAAGTGATATTGAAATGTTGAATTCATCATACAAAAAAACCACCATCTCTTCAAGATATAGGTCAGGCTTTTTGGTGAGATAATCACAAAGAGCTTCAAGCATAGATGAAGTCATGCTTTGTGGATGATCTTCACAATTCAGCAGTGGTCTTTCACTGCCAAACAACCATAAATTTGTGTAAATATTTGTGACTGAACACTCACTGCATTCAGCAGCATCAGCAATCTGAGCAGTAGTAAATTTTTTGCTGTGTATCATACAACTGATTAATTTCTGCTTCCAATCTTCAAGATTTCGCGCCATTTAGTGCAGATAGTGGTTACCCATGCCAAGCACATTTCTGTGTAAATTATGGATGTTGCCTTTGGTTCAATGATGGAGGTGGGGGAACAAGGTAGCACATATTTTTGATACAATACTGAACCATGGGATTTTGTCTACATTCGGTTCAGGCTTGTTACGTTCAAGTTTCCAAATACATCTAGAATAGACGCTAACTATATAGGGCTAGTTCATTCATTAGCACCTTGGCGTTAGGGTTTGGAAACTGAGTCTGGCTTGTGGGAAATGGAAGGCGGTTTCGAACCTTACTGTACATACTCTGCAGCACCTCAGTAGATGTGACAAATTATAGGTGGTATGCCAAATTCTCCCCTTACGACAGCCTCTCTCCCGCCCGTCCAAACACACAAAGCCCCAAGACCAATTCCGTATTCCCTTCTCTGCAAGGCCTCGCAAGGAGACCAAACCAGTGAAAAGAAGATAATAAGCCAACAGTTTCAACCACAAGAAGCGACTCAGGTTCGTTGCGAAGTCCCCCAAGTCAAGCCACTTAAGGTCTTGAAGCCCCTATATCCGGAGACATAAACCACTATGGTCAGTTCATCCAGGAGGGATTTAAAGACAAATTTTTTCAAAAATTCCCAGCCGATCCGAAGACCAACTGGAGCGGTCTAAGTTTGTAGTTTTCAACTAGCAAAAACGTTGCCTCAGGCGAACCTTCACTGGAAACGTAAGACCCGTGCACTCGGATGGAGAAGAAAAGAAGAAAAAAGAGGAGGAAAACTTCGCGGGGGCGGTGGAGGGGAGGCGGCCTATTTATACCTCCGACAGGATGGCGCTAGTGTTAAGCGAGACCTATTTTGGCGGAGCCTGATTGGCTGGATCTCGAACAAGGGAAGTGGAGTGGACCACGGTCGTCGCTGCTGCTTTTGGGCCGACAAATACTGTTTGCATTGTTTGGTTTAAGATTATGTAATCAGGAATTTTCCCTGGTTAACTTAGCCGGATCGAGAAAGTCACAAAACAAATCCAAGCACCGGCGCTTTCCATTTATTCCATAGTATAAAACAGCTCAGTTTCACAAAGAGAAGGAACAAAATTCCAATTAGCTATGCAGATGCGCAAGAATAAAGGCACATTAGTCATTACGTCGTCATTCCAGCCGTCGACACAGAAAAGGAATAAGAAAAGGAAAAAGGAAGCTAAAAAAAATCAAAAAGATAGCCGCGTGAACACTCGAGCATCTACCGCCATAGATCCCTCCGCGCGCCCTTTTGCGACCATCCACTGCTACTCTTCGGCCGCTGGTCTGACGGTACAGCGAGAAACCCGTTGACCCCGTTATTCATAAGCACACTCTCACGGGCGTTCTCCCCCCAGCTCGGCCCTAGCTGCGCCCCGTGGAGGCTGAGCGGTCGTGCAACACTTGTACGCCGTTCAGAACCAGCGAAAGGTTCATAGGTCGTGAAGTTCCACTCCAGCTCGTCCATACCCTTGCTGTACACAGCGAGCAACTGGTTGAAACCTCTCCCGACTGACTGGGGACCGCCTTCGCCGCCGCCTAGCAGTCGCGGTGGAGGGGCGAGCATTAATGTCTCTGAGAAGTGGGCGTCACGCACGTAAAGGACGTTTAAGGCCGGAAGGTCGCCCGCGAGGAGAGACGACATCAGGTATGTGTAGTACGACGCGGAGACTGGCTGAGCACCATAGGCGCCCGGCTCGGAGGTGATTTCGTAGTGGAGGAGTGTTAAGGATGTGGAACACAGGAGTGGGACGCTTCCGGTCGGAAACGCACGGGTGACCTCGTGGATTATAGACAGTGTTTCGAGGGAGGTGGCTCGCGTTAGGATTTCATGTAGCTCTTGTGGCACAACGCCGGTGGTAAGGAGTGAAAGGTGCTTCAGAGCACGGATATTCTGAGGTGTAGAAAGGTAGGCCGCTAGCCCCCTGGCGGTGACGTTCGGGGTATCTTGCAGGGTAAGTCGCTGCAACGATGGAAACGGTGGCGACGAAGGCATGAGCTCGAAAATGGAGCTCTCCAGCCATTGCATTTCCTCTAGCTTCAGGTCTTGTAGTTGCGGGAAGCAGCCGAGCACTTGGCGCAGCAACGACGGCTCGACAGCGATCTTGGAGAGTTCCAGGACTTCGATATTTGCCCAAGGTTGCTTGTGCGGGATCGTAGAAAGGCTCCGTTCGGATCCATGAGCGTATTTCATGCGGCGAAGATCGGGGCACCTGGCCATCAATTCCACCTTGAGGAAATGCGACGCTGCATCGTCCGTGAAAACTCCAGCCGGCAGGTCGACATATCGTAAATTTGGAAGAACAGAAATTGTCCGTGCTATCTCGCTCTTGCTCGCTTCCCGTGTCATGTAGGGCATGCGCAAGGAGAGAACCAGCTCTCCTAGGTCCGTTGACTCTCTGACGGTCCGCATAAATAGCAGTAGACGTGTTCTCGGGGCATCGATAGGATCTGCATTGTGGTTTAACCATGAGGACTTCTTTCGCTTCGCGGCCAATTCGATCTCGAGTTCGCAGTAGTGGACGGCGTCGATGCGGACATGCTGATATCTACAGTCCACGACGGTGTGACGTCAGTTAGCTTTCGACTGATGGGGCTATCTTGCACGAAGCAAAATAACTCCAACCCCTATGGGCGGGAAAATAAGGACGTACAGTAATTCCTGGGCAACACGGCACCATGCGCGGCAAGCAAGCGCACAGTGAGCCAGGTCGCGCATATCACAAAGCATACAGTCATTTACCGTGACTGACTCCTCTGACGAGGTAAGAGAATCATCGAGCGAATGCGGGCATACACTGGCAAAGATGCTGTGGAGCAACGTTGGGGGGAGCCTTTTTGTGTAGTCCCTAGCAGGTCTGCCGCAGTACTGATGATATGCATCTTGATCAAGGTACCCTGACTTTTTGCTTCTACCGGAATTTTTGACTTTAGATCGGAGACGCTTGAAGAAACCCATCTCTCACAAGGTTGCTTGATGACTGCTGGGACCGAGACCTTTTAGAAAGTGAGGAGGACTTAGAGGGGTATGTGTGGATGAATGAAGCTCTTTTCGAGAGCGAGATCTGGCAGCACATGGGCGGAGAATTTAGTCAAACAAGGTAAGGGATGTTTGAGAGCTGAAGTAACATCCGAGAAATTTCTAAACAAATGAATGGGCGAAACCTTTATTCACATGGAGAGACGGCTAGCAAGTGACGGCGGCTAGGACTGTGTTCTGTTTCATCGTCGCTGATCCCTTGTGTGCCGCCGTGGGCTCTTCACCACCCACCGGCCCTTGATAAACCCACTCATGGTCCCGGTGAGTGGGACAGAAGGGCTTTTCTGAGTGAAAGACAGCCCAATTGCAAATCAGAAACTCGGAAAGCTCTTTTCAGACTTCCGGACAGACAAATATGGCCAATCATTAAGACGAATAGCTTGTTGGCAAGCACGAAGACTCCCTGTCGGGCGATATTGAAGCATCACCAGCACAAACCCTCCTCCAAGTTTGCGGGATAGAGACAGGAGGATAGCACCCCAATTTCTTGCCACTGTGATTAATAACAGACAGCAGGCAAAGAACTAACCTTTACCAAAGGCTAACTACGTATAATTCTTTCATTTATTATACACACTCTGGAGCCATGGATGATTTTCAATCTCTCTTCACAGCATCTTTCTCTTGCCAATAGCCACACTTTACTGAAAGGCAGCCTGCCTAGAACCCTTTATCAGGCACGTACATACGCCTCTGCTTGACCCAACCCGAGAGACTGGAAAGGTCGGGACAGAAAAGTTTAATTTGTGAGAAATTATTTGAGATTCGACAAACGACGTCCACTTGGGATTGCATGGGACTGCGAGGCAATCCAAACCAGGGTGAGTGTGGCTGGTGGTGCATGGACTTGGTGCAGGAGAACGGCCGGAGAAGGGGAAAAGAATCAAGGCAACGCAATTGCATACAAAAATTCGTAATCTGGCAAAGTGCCGCCAAAAGATGGAGGCGGACAGGCCAGCTGACTAGAAGCGTTGGTTTGACCGCCATGGCTTATACAAGTTGTTACTGGCTTGCGAGCTCCGCTATGTGAATAGAGAGTAAAAATATAAAGAACTACTGACCGGGCTGACCTGTAATGCTGAGTGAAGGACAGAAGAAGTACGGAGAATAAGATAGGGGGGACCGGCGGAGGAGAATTGCTTCTCTGGATAGAGGTCTACCCGCTTGAAAACTCCCATAGCCCACCTATATAGGCGGGCACCGTATCTTCTACTTTAAAAGGAATATCTGAATAGCGACCAGTTGTGGACTTGACGTGATATAGGATTATCTACTCCGTACTCCAAACATGGATGGGGAGAGTAACTTTTAGAATGAGATCATCGTAGAGCAATGCAGAGCTCCTCTCGCAAATGCATTAAGTAGCAGACGTACGATGCCTCATACAGAGGCCAACACTGATCCACAAGTCTGCTTTTGTCTGGTCGACTTAGGAGGTCCGTTATGCACTCTTTCCAGCAGATGGTAGGAAAGACGGCACCACAGCTTGCCAAAGAAAGTTAAGGCAGAAAGGCATTTCATTTCCATAAACAGGCTCTCCGAGTGTCTGCATGAACTAGGCAGAGAAATAAATTATTTCTGGGAAAGAAAAAAAAAAAAAAAGAAGAAAAAAAGACGCCGACTCAAAGAAAGTCGTTCAGATGCTTGTAAAAAGACTACCAGGATTGCTTATTTCGTGATATGACTGATTGCTGACACCTGCTATTTATACCTAAAACTGCAGGGAGTCAAAAGGCCTATACGGAGTGCCCAAGCACCAGATCGAAATGCTAAGCCATGGTGGATGGAAGACACGCGTTGCTTGCTCAGGTTACACCTAGGACGATGCAAAAAGTGCCCATAATCACCCAGCATGGGAAGTCTGTTCGATATTTATACCTATTTCTCATCTTGCAAAAACACTCTCAGCAATTTAAGCATGCGGAGAAGTCCTAGGGACCTTGGTCTTTGCGGTTAGATCTGGACGAGAGCTGGAGTGGCCTTGAAACGCGTTGCAGGGATCCAAGCTTTGCTGAGAAGAAAGAAATTGGTCGCTCTTGGGCCGTCGTGATCCGTCACCCTGGCATTATCATCCCACGGATTGGTTCCAGAGCTGACGAATGCCAGTGCATTGAAGTAACATTTAGATTTTGGAGCCCGAAGTGTTCACCAGTAACACTGCAGCCCGAGCCGAAACTTTTGTAGTGAGACTCGTATGCGAAAGAGGACATGGCATAAATCGTCGATTCTGGATGTTGGGATTCTGCATGGACTGTCTATCGCCGATGTTCCCTTTCTGCGAAGTCCGTAGCGCCTGAGGATCGTTTGTCCCGTATCTCATGCTAACTCAACAGAGTGAGGCACAATGGAATTATCGGAGCTGGGTACTTGCATTATATTCGGGAAACTCAATTCCCGTTCGTGCTCCGAATTTGTTATGAATGCTCGTTTCGAACTGCTATCGTCTTGTCTTTGAAGATGTATTATTAGTGGATAGGCGGAGCCCAAGGGGCTTTGGTACAATGTCTGTCGAATTGAATAGTCAATTGCAAGGGTCAAGCAACCATTGCCCGAGTGCACCATCGAGGGGTTGTCACCCGCTGTTCCCGCTGTCTGAGAAGTATTGACAGAAGTAGGAAATCAAGGAAGCGGGGACAGCCGGACTCAATGATCAATAGAGCAGCAAGAGATTGTTCCGTACTCTGTAGGAGTTTGGCGCTGGCCTCAGATTCTGCCTGTACGTACATACCTGACCCCAGGCCAGAATGGTCACTCCGTACCAAGGGGGCGGCGGAAGTTGATGGTTAAATATGTGGTGCTCTGTGATCTGAGTGTAAGAGAGCTGGAGTGGACTTAATGAGCTCTCCCCTCCCGCCAACGGCGTTTTCCGTTCACCTTTGACGGGCTTTGGAGGAGCGAGGGTGAATGGCCAACCCCTTTTCGCAAGTCTGCGGTGGAATCTGGTGATGCGATGCTCTCGAGATTCCGGGAAGGATAGGTTACATACAGTGAAAATACACGTACGGACAGCCAGTCCGGGATATAGAAAACAACGACACTCGCGTTAAAGCCGCTGCTGTAGGTGTCCAAGGGAGCACCGATGTGAGCTGGCAGAGCGCCAGAAATACAAAATCGACCATTTCCAACGGCTTGTTCACTGGCCAGACTGGCCGAGGGTCGAAGCGGGTGGCCCTGGTGGTCCGGAGGCGGGTTTGGTAACGGGCTGGTTACGGCGTAAGGATGGAAATACGCCTGCGATCGATCCCTCGAAAAGAAAAAAAAAAGCCTCCACTTGTTCCCTTTTCTTCAACGTCCAAAGTCACCACCACCCGAAGTCTTCGAACGCTTCTCCCTTTTCTCCCCTCCCCTTGTTGTAATCTTCTTCTCTCTATCTGCCTCATTCGCACTCACGCTCTCGCTTTGTTGTTTCTCTGGCTTTCTTTTTTTCTCTTCTCCTTTGCTTTTGCTGCTCTTGTTACGTTTCTCCCTTCTTTAGGTGACAGAGTCTTGTACCTCCAATCGGGCCTCTTCTGCTTTCTTATTCTCGGCTTGCTGGCCGTATCAATCCCCAATTGTTCACCCCCTTCCGGACCCTCCCTGGTCGAGTCTTGCAGTCCTCCAGTTTAATTGTGAGCCATGGCATCCGCAATTCAGTCCCCAACTCCAAAGCTGGACCGATACATTGTGATCCATGTTTCCACCACCTGTGATGAGCATGGCGTCTATGTCACCAAGGATTCGGCAGAAGTTATCGAGCTGGGATGGATCTTACTGGACACAAAGTCTTGTGAGGAGGTGGGTTTTCGGATCTTTTGGGTCTCCCATGGCACATTGGAGAGCTGTCGGGTTGCTGACCGATTGTGGGAAATGGTAGCTCCACCGAGAGAGTGTTCTCGTCAAGCCAATCAACACTCCCATTACACCACTCTGCAGTATGTCTCCGGAGCCCTTCCAGCATTCCCCTAGCACTGTCCAAGGAAGAAATTGCTAAAACTCTGGTTATTAGCGAGCCTGACCACTCTTACATGGGAGCATGTTCGCTCTGCAGGCACCTTCCGGGATGCGATCAACCGTTTTGATGCCTTCGCACAGGAACACCTCCTGTCCAAGAACCTCGAGTTCGCCTTTGTAACATTGGACTCATGGGATATGCGTGTTCAGCTCCCTCGCGAGGCCCGGGACAAAGCCGTTGTCCTTCCTCCTTACCTTCAGCATTCCCGGACTTTTGACTTGCGGACGGAATATCAACGCTGGCAGCAGCATCATCCGGAATCCCTTCCGTTCGGCCCTAGTGACCTTTCCAATATCTGTGCTGCTTTGGAGGTGGAGCCCGTTCAATCTTCTGCTCCCATTAAGCACAACCTCCCGTTCCACCTTCAAGCATTGGCCCCTGCATCACCACGTCGTGCAATGGAGGAGGTTATTACCTTGGCTCGAGTTCTCCGTGGCCTGATCCGCAAATCGCAGCCACCTCACGAGCACCCCGAGATTCTGACCCGTCCAATGGATGCTAGAGCTGACGTCCGTGCCTTTTTGGCGGAGCGTAGCAAGGTTTTACACATGAGTGGACTGCCTCATGACACTACTCAGTCGGAATTAGAGAGCTGGTTCACCCAATTTGGTGGACGTCCGATTGCGTTTTGGACCCTCCGAACCCCAGATCAGCACAAGCCAACAGGTACTGGCTTCGCTGTGTTTTCATCTCACGAAGAGGTATGCAGTGGTCCGGCCCTAATCTCTTTCTTTGGTGCTCTTTCATTTTGTTACAATTTCATATCCTAATTTTATTTCTTATAGGCCGCTGAAAGTCTTTGCATGAATGGACGGGCGTTGAATGAGAGGGCGATTGAGGTATCACCTTCATCAAGTAGGGTCCTTGATCGGGCTGCCGAAATCCTTACGCCTTTTCCGCCAAGCAAGAACCGTCCTCGTCCCGGAGACTGGACTTGTCCATCGTGTGGATTTTCCAACTTTCAGCGTCGCACGGCTTGCTTCCGCTGCTCGTATCCTGCCATTGGTCCTGGCCCTGATCCAATGGGATATGCCTATGGATATGGTCCGCCAAGTATGCTTCCTCCACCCCACCATATGGGTCACCATGGTGGCCATGGTATGGGACATGGTAGAGGCATGGGAGGTAATGGAGGAGTGGTCCCGTTCCGTGCTGGTGATTGGAAATGCGGTGCCGAAGGTTGCGGCTACCACAACTTTGCTAAAAACATCAACTGTCTCCGATGTGGTGGCCCTCGCTCCGGTGCAGCAGTCGTGGCAGATTCTGCTTTCCCCTCTCCAATGGACCCGTCTTCCAACTTTGGTATGGGACCTGGATCCATTAGCAGCGCCCCTGGAGCCGCTCCGTTCCCGTCTACTGGAGCGGGCTTCGGTGGATTTGGTCAACAGTTTGCCGCTCCTCCAACCACGTACGGGTTGCCAGCAGGGCTTGGAGCTGCACCCGGACCCTATCCTCCAATGGGTCAAATGAACACCGGATATGGATCTGGCGGAGCCTCTCATTCTGCCGCCTCTTTCGGCAATCCTGCTACCCAAGCTGCTTTTACAGGGGCCGACCAAGTGCAGCAGCCCGTTGGGACCTCCAACGGTGGCTTTTATAATAACGACTCCTCTGCCGACCCTTTTGCCTTCCTCTCCACTGGTCTCGGCGGACTGACAGTCGCAGACGAAACACACGGACGCAGGAATGGCACCGCCAACAGCAAGTCCCCGGCGTAATTCGCTACTAAAAACTTTCATCAAACGAGTATCTTGGCCAGACGATATATTGGCTGATAGCAAACGTCTTGCATTCCTTCCTGCAACTCGTTTCCATTAATGAACGATATGGACGACAGCCTGAAGTGTCTCAGGCCGAGGCGGCGATGCTGTTGCTTGAGAAGCCAAACCGCCAATAAATATAAGCCAATCTTTAGGGACTCCTGCACGTGTTGCCCCGGCACAACCCTTTTCTCTTTTTCTCAGTTTCTACTTGTGTATTTTTCTTCTTCTGTTAACCCTTCTGTTCCAATCCTTATACTTTCGCTTCCCTTTCTCCAGTCATTGTGGTTGCGCTTCTACGGGCTGGGGCTGCACTATTTCCGATGTAACGGAAGCTTTCAGCATGGTGTCGTTCAGGAATGCCTTTTCAAAGCAGATCTCCAGTCGGCCGCGTCGTTACCATCGTCAGCATATTGAGCGATAACGGACTTGCTTCGGGTTTATTTCACGGTCGGCATTGCTAAATCGAACTTTACGGCTTTAATTACTTTTATCAGGTTGGAAAAGCGCCGCATCTTATTTTGGTTATTGCACAGATCACCTTGTACCCATTTTAAGCTTTTCTTTTTTTTCGTGACGCACTATTTTTTTTAACAAAAGGGAAGCCGAAAACAAAAACTACAAAAACAAAAAGGGACAACTACATCTGGGTACATGGGATATTGATAGAAGCGTACAAAAAGAATGGGTTATGGAATTTTTTCAGCAAAAGAAAACTGGAAAAGAAAAGCAGCAACGATTGGGAGTATCGCGGAGGTATTCCCCTGCCTGGATTATTTTCAATCAGCGTGGTTTAGGTTGCTTTTGAAACTGTTGATTTGTTTTCTTTTTTCTGGAGAATGCTTGTTGAGTTGGGCAAAGCGGGCTAGCTTTTTGGTCGTTAGATGGAGCGCTTTTTGGCCTTTTATCGCCTGGATCGGTAACATATGGGATGGTGGGCGGTTTTGGAGTGCGGCTTGGTGGATCCCCCTTTATTTTTTTTACTTTTTATTTTTTTTGTATTTATTTCCCTCGTATTTCTATTATCCTTTTTTATTTCTGGGTGCCGTTGCAACTAGATAGGTTTTCATCAATAGTCACAGAGTCTCTTCTACTTGGTCTGCCAGGTTTTCTCTGCGTTTCCTGTTGCTAATGTACTCCATATGTGCTAGTTGAAGTCGCCTTTTGCATCTGTTCCCATGCCGTGTCATCTTTCAAGGCCTCGCGCATGTAAATTGATGCCTTTTTGCCCGCTTGCTCCCAATGAAAGTTTTAGGCATATTCCTCTTTCCATTCTTATCCGAGGTTGACAAATTCATTAGATGAGCTGACTGGTCACATTCACTGCTCTCCTCTGCCCGGTGAAGCCTAAAACACGAGGTCTCGAATACGGTCAGGCAGGGTGTGGCAGTCCAGGTAAAAGATATTAAAATTTCACGAGACAGCGGAATGTAAGAAATATCCCCACCCGTGCCCGAAAGGAAAGCCAGGATTGACATGCATTGATCAATAAATATAGCTACCCGAATCACAACATGCTACCGAACGCCAGAAAGGCATTAGTCAAACACGCTCCTATGCCAGTAAGTGCCGTAACCGGAATGACTATCTCTCACTTCGCACAGAAACTTCCGTGCCCGCATCTGACGCTAACGACCGCCTATCATCCGGTCGTCTGGCAATAATCGTATCGTCACCTTCGTCTTCTTCCTCCACAGCAGCCAGATCACTTGGAGCCACGCTCGATCTCCCACTAATGACACTTGTATTCCTCCGTGATCCGCGTAAATAACTATCATCCTCAGGTTCTTCTTTGATGTACGAAGTCTCTCTCTCCTTTTCAGATACGCCATGCTTGTCCGAAGGTCGACAAGCAGCAAGGAGTTTCAGTACGGCATTCTTGACTTTAACGAGTGCGTTTCTTCCCGTAGCATCTGAGGCGACATTGGAAGCAATGGCTTGATTGAGTAGGTCCTTGACTTCGAGCAACAACTCGCCATCATCATCAATGGTACCCTGTTCTTGGTCCGGCTTTCTTGACCTTGAGCTAGAACGCAGGATTTCTCGCTCATCGGGGCCTTCAGGAGCACGGGAGCCGGGCCTAGAGGGCGCTGAAGGAGGTGCAGGAATATGTAGCTTGCCGAGCATAGAAAGGAGTAGTTTCCTTTCTTCCCTTGGAGCTGCACTGAATCCTCCGACTCCCAGAACGCGCTGTAATATATCCCTTGCAAGAGCAAGATGGAGACTCTCGCTGGGTTTTAAAGATGGGTTTGGCGCTATTGACGTGCCAGGCAATGGCGCCTCGGTGTTGAGGCCGACAATTCGTCGATCATCCGTCCACTCAACCATCATTCCAATTACACCCGCCATAAGAGCCTTGACTTCTTTTTCGCCAACACTGTCGTCTATCTCTCCATCACTGTCCTCTTCCGCTTCAAGAGCATAAAAGTCATCCGCCGCTGCTAGCACAACACGGATAACGGGTACAGCTATTTTGCGCATATGCTGGGCATTATTTAATCTGGAATGACAATATACGGGCAGGAAGTACGTCAACGCCTGTCTTAAAGATAGGTTATCGCGTGTTCTGGGATGGAAGAATGAGAGGACAAGTGCCTGAAGGAGCGTGTCGATGGAACTTTCGTGCAATTCCTTGATCGAAGGCGGCACAGAAGGGCCAGATGGAGAAAGCGTATTTGTGAGCAGCAACTTCGCTAATGATGTGACAGCAGTGGCCTGTACAGCTGGCGGGGAGTTTGTCTTAAGAGCTTTCGCAAACGCCTTGAGGAGTGGTTTTTGGAATGGTGGAGGGGTGACAGAATTAGGGTCATTCTGAGATGCGACTGGGAGAAGGATTGAATGATGTACTGTTAGAATATCGGAGAGGATGCGAAGGGCCATTTCTTGCAAGGCCTCGTGGCCTTTGCTGTAACAGTGGATGAACAGGCCCATATTTTCTTCAGCTAGGTTCTACAGGTTGGGTGATTAGCTTGGGCAATGTCCTAAGTCGGCCATTGAGATTACTTACCTTGTCCAACAGACAGCATAGACCGAGACATTCGAGACCACGCTCCCGTACAGGAGCTTCGTGGCTTCTCACTGCTGGGACAACAAGATTGTTCAACATTGTTACCAAATGAACATTGTCTTGAAGGTTTCCTTCGACATTTTGCAGCATGCACTGAGCAATATATAAGCACTTCATGTTAACCATGATTTCCTTAAGCACTTTAGCCTTAGCCTCTTCCTTATTAAAAGGTTCCTCTTCGTCCTCCTTGGAATCAGCAGGGGTCTCGGAACGGCCTCTCCTCGAGCTTCCGTCGCTAATTTCTGACTTTGCGGAGACAAAGCTGTCTTCGGATACGATTGTGTCATGAACTTCCGCGATGGCCTCGAGGACGACACTGCAGAATTCGCTTTCTGCGGCAGGATCTAGCCCGCAAACACTCCGAAGAGCTTCAACCGTGAGCTTCGTCACATGTTCAGGAAGATTTGAGACAGCCAGGGTTTCTCGTAAAAGAGAAAACATTTTCCTTCTGCCGACTTCATCACTGTAGTCCAGAGTGAGGCATATCTGGAGGAGCTGCTCAACTATGAATTCAAATTCTATGGTTTCTTCCTCACCTCCTTCTGCTTCTTCTGGGTTGGTGATCCTTGTTAGTAGTATAGTTGTATATTTGTGCAAATAATAAGCTAGAGCCGTAACTTCTGGGATTTTCTCGTCCGCAAGGTCATCATGTCTTCCGTCCTCTTCTTCACGGCAGAAGTCGTTGAAGCTGCGAGCCATAAAGGCCGTCTCCGCTGTCAAAGATTCCCAGAACTCTGAGTCGAAAACCACAGCCTCACGATAATCTGGCCGCCCGCCCCAAAAACTTCTCATGGCTTCGTGAGCAATACCGCCTTCCACCCCAGAGTTTACAACGTCAATGCGTTCCAAAAGCTCCGTCAAGGCGGGAATACTTGGTGCCGGAGACTTGTCTTTCTCATCAGTGGTATTCGCTTCTGTTTTTTGTGTGCTCGTGCAATCTTCAATCCAGCGCTCATAGAACAGGCGACTGGTGGCCTTCCGGACAGTTTCATCGCGATCACGAAGACCCCAACGCAGTAATTTTTCTCGCATGGAAAGTGAAAGATGCCGGAAATCTCCTAAGGTGGGGAGGAGCTTTGAATATAAAGCACGCCGGGTGGCGGCATCAATATCACGGGCTCTTTCAAGAAGAAATGGAAGGGTTGTTGGAGTGAGGGGTAGATTAAGGAGCAAAGTGCGTCGTACTTCGGCGCTCGTATCATTTTGAAGGACATCCAATAACCTATCCACCAAAGCCGAGTTCCCATCATTCGGGTCATTGTCGTCGTCGTCTTCGTCGTTTCCCGCTAACCTTCCGAGTCCAATCACGGCTTGGACACGCACTGCCGGCTCCTTGTCCCTGATCCTCTTGACAAGTCCTTGGCGAATCAGGTGATATAATTCATCATCAATTGAATCTAAAGAGTTAACGATGTGTGTTATTGTTTGGGTCGCCCGATATCGCACTGTCTTTTCTTTTGTTGCGAGGAAAGGAATTATGGTCGAAACGATGTGAAAGGTAAGTCTCGAGCTCGGCGTCTCCGGTAAAGTTTGGGTTTCGTCCGGATCACCCTGACCAAATAGCTGAAGATCTACCCCTCAGTCAGAAGGCAGGGAAACAGGAATCGCACGGCATTGGAACGGGATGCCTACCTTTCTCCGTCGTAGCAGTCAAAAAGGCTCCCAAAAATTTAAGTACTCGATCGGCAGCACCCTCCGTCTTTTTCACCGATAGCACTCGCAGAAGGCAACGGGACACCTCGATATTAAACTCTCTCTCTGCCGGTTTTTCCTTCTCTCCAAAGCCCTCAAAAAGGCCAGATTCCCGTCTCTCCCCGCTCCTCCCTTTGTCTTTCAAAGATCGCAGACCGCAACATCCCTCCTGAATCTTCCTTAGCCGGACCACCAATTTCCGATGTCCAGTCGTCGATCTTTGCGCATCGGCAAAGATTTCTACGACGCTAGGTCGGAGATTGGGTGAAGTAGAGGGCTCAGCGGGCTCATCGGGGATGAATACATTGGCGCCAGTAGTCGAGGGAGGAACAGAGGATTTGCGGGTAGATGCGACGGAAGAAGCGCGCGTTCCAGCACGGGCAGGCATTATGAGTTCGGAAGACACAGAAAGTTGGATTGCGTTCACTCGAGCCCGGAAAATGCCGTAGATTGCGACATATAGCGAAGTCTATTGAGGCTCTGGAAAGTTGCAGGGTAGATATATCAGCCAAATAGCGGTCGTGGCCTTGCTGGTCCTGGCATTGAGCTGCGTCGACAGGGCTGCTATGATTGTTATCTGTTGACTCCGCGCGCCGATAGCGTCGACATCGCGGCCATTGATTTGGTTTAACTCTTTTGGGATGGATGCATAAACAAACGCTAGTCCTGGTCTGGATTAGCTCTGAATCTTCCTGATAGCTTGGCATATTTGCCTTATTTGCTCTGATTATTTAAGCCGAACGCCAATCGCCGTAATCTTCACGTGATATCTAAATTTAGAGCCAATTAGCATCGAAATCGCCGTCTCAGATCACGCAATTAGCTAGTTACTGTCGCATCGAAGAGTGGCCTTTTCTCCCCCCCCAAAGCGGCAGATCCGTTCTGTTGCAATCCTCGTCAGTTATTCGTTCGCTCTGTTTCTCCTTTTTTCACAGGTATACAGCACGGCTCACCATGTTTCGCACCGGTATCCGCCGCTTCTCTTCCACCGCCCTTCGGGGAAGCGAGAGCTTGGTGGCTCAAGCCGAAGCTAAGAATCAGTATGGAATCGGAGTCTCCAGGGCGCAAGGCGTCGTGAAGGGCCTGACCGGAGGTATTTCGACAGTTCTTTTGAAAAATGCTGCATTGAATAAAGAAGCTCGATAATGCTAACGTATCACTCTCTCGAAGCAATTGGAAACACCCCTCTCATCCGTCTCAATCGGCTCTCCGAAGAGACCGGCTGCAATATCCTTGGAAAGGCTGAATTCCAAAACCCTGGCGGCAGCGTCAAGGACCGTGCTGCATTATTTGTCGTCAAGGATGCCGAGGAACGGGGTTTGTTGCGCCCGGGCGGCACTGTCGTCGAAGGAACAGCTGGAAATACTGGAATTGGCCTCGCCCACGTTTGCCGCTCCAAAGGATACAAGTTAGTCATTTACATGCCAAATACCCAATCGCAAGGCAAGATCGATCTCCTCAGACTGCTTGGCGCTGAGGTATATCCGGTTCCCGCTGTCGCATTTGAGAACCCAGAAAATTACAACCACCAAGCGAGAAGACATGCCGAATCGCTCGACAATGCCGTCTGGACAAATCAGTTCGATAACACGGCCAACCGCCGAGCACACATTGAAACCACAGGCCCCGAGATCTGGGCACAAACGAAAGGCAAAGTTGACGCTTTCACGTGCGCCACCGGAACTGGCGGTACGCTCGCCGGTGTCACAAGATATCTCAAGGAAGTCAGCAACGGCCGGGTAAAATGTTTCCTTGCCGACCCTCCGGGCTCTGTTCTCTACAAATATGTGTCCAGCGGTGGAAAACTCATCGAGAGAGGAGGAAGCAGCATCACTGAAGGCATTGGCCAGGGCCGGGTGACAGATAACCTCAAACCAGATATTGAGCTTATGGATGGGGCCTTACAAATCGCCGACGAAAAAAGTATCGAAATGGTGTACCGTTGCCTTGATGAAGAGGGACTTTACATCGGTGCCAGCTCTGCCCTGAACGTTGTTGCGGCGAAAGAAGTTGCCGAGAAACTGGGCAAGGGCCATACGATCGTCACGATGATTTGCGATGGTGCTTATAGATACGCCGATCGATTGTTTTCTGATAAATGGTTGAGAACCAAGAATCTCAGAGATGCGATACCCAAACACCTAGAGAAATATATTGTGTTGCCATGATTTACGACATATGCTCTGCCTTCTTTTGGTCGATGGTCAACTCGAGCCAGCTCGAGCATTCTCTACGTATTTGTTCCTTTCGCGTCTGATAAAGCGCTGGTGCTAGATTTTGGCAGCCACTGGAAATGATTCATGAGTAGGCTTCATGATCGTGCCGCTTTATGTTATAGTGTCATTAGTGAATGAATGTACATAGATACATAAATAGCTTTATATACATGGCATCGTGACATGATTGTTGCGAAGAATTCGGACAATCTTTTCTATGTACTCGACTCTGCTTGGGCAATCGGGCTCAAACCTTTTTAACATCCAAAGTTCCCCCCGCGATGAGATACCGGATCATCGGGCAGCAACCTGCCATTCCACGCTATTTTTGACCCTAATCGCATTTAACGGTACTTCATCCCCGGATGTAGTGGAGACATACTCTTCAAAAGGTGTTATATTCCCCCTGTTGGACCGGGCTACAGAAATAAAATGATTTTTGGAGCGCTGTTTTGCGTCTGGGTTGAGTTGGCGTTCAAGTTCGTTGATCCTCTGGAAATTTCGTTTCGGTTCCCCACCCTTCTGGTCTACCATGTTCATTTTGTAACCGTTTTCATACGCTCTTGGGCGCTGAGTTGGATGGCTGGTGCTGTTGCGAGTGGACTTTAGGGTAGAGTTGAACGCATCAAAAAAAGTAGAAAGGAGTGGTCGGAGGGTAGGAAGACAAGCGCATACAATACCGAAAGCGACTTCAATCAGGCTCCAAAGGCTTGGATCTGAGAAGGTGTCTAATGGAGCCGCCAATGTTAGCATTGCTTTTCTCCGGCTTTTTTCTTTTTGTTCTGGCATAGTCAGTGTTGGAGGCTGAACTCACAGCTCACGTTCTGGAAGTCCATAGAAAAAAGCGTTACGAAGCGATAGATACTCGCAAATATAACACTAGGAGCATCATATTGTTAAAAGCGAAGAACAGGATGCGAGCAAGAGTCCACTCACAATCCCCCTAGGATAAAAATCGTGGCGATAGATAAACGATGGAGAACAGACGCATGAAGCCGCCATATAACTGGCATCGGCAACAGTAAGATGCAGAAGTCGGTACAAATATTAGGTACCGCATTCCCAATGAACGACGCTTTCGTGTCGATGCAGCTACCGGATGCCATCACGTCCCATGCCCTGTGGACCGGGATGCATTGAAATATGTTGACGCAATTAATGGCAATTCCCCATGAAATCGTCGTGAAGGAAAGAATATAAGCCGCAGTCTTGAAGGTTCGAGTCTCGAATATGCGGCTGTAGAATGATAAAACGGAAAGTTTGACCAGGACGACCCCTGTGCAATATACGCACTCCCAAGGAACCATTATCTATGTGAATAGCTACTTAGACACAAGGAAACTGGTGATATGAGACGATCAGACGTACCATCAGAATTTTTCTCGTGTCTTGGAGGCGTACTCTATCAGTGGGGACCGCCATCCCGTAATGTGCGGCTGATAAGGAGCTATGTGAGCATGACTTTCCCCGTATCCTCGCAGCTTGTTGGAGATACGTACACAGCAGAGCAAGGGCCATTGAAGCGAAGGTAAATACCTATCTCAGTCAACCCCAACATCTGTATTGGCACTGTGCAGATACCATGCCGTCTTACCAGTGCAGCAACGATGAAGGCATCATCAAGTCCTAGCTTGATCCGTCTTATATATCTCGATAAAAGCCTGAGACAAACGAAGAAAGCTGCTACAACGGATACTGCAACGGCAGTAGCTCTCACTATATTCTGGCGGTCTGTGTAAGGTGATTGACCCGGTATATACGTGTCTGAGGGCCTTTCTGAGGACATCTTCAAAGCCTCAAGGACGGTATAGCCTGGCAGTCGGCACAGGAATTGACCAAGGAAAGACCGAAGGTCAATTCCCCTCCAGAACTAGATATACACCCAACATTAACTACAGGACGAGCGTGCGAGGGTCCCCGGAAACAATGACATCCTAAGCATTTCAGGATGTAGCATCACAGTGCTCACATTTATTCATGTAGGCCCCGCTTGAAAATTCTATTACAAGGAGACCCATCTCCAGACTCCAAGAAGAAATAAAGTGGGTATCATTATGAAGCAATTGAGCATGGATCAAGGCTTGTCGGTCACAAGCAAAGCTGTGCTTTGGCAGTATGCCCGGTGGGAGCAGCCCTTGAACGTGGTCCCAAATTCGACCCATGATCTGCATCTCCAGGCAAACATTGTGCAAGTCCTAGGAGATGACTGCAGACTCCATCTCAGGACCAGAGTACGATGCTGGTTCTGCTCCACATTGCGGGTCCACGAGCCGTCCCTTTTCCAGGACCGAAGAAGGAAGAAGAGAAGATAAATGGGAAAATAGAGACAGCTACAGACACTGAAGGCGTGAGTCTGCTGCCAACCGTCTACAAGGCAAAGGCGAAGCGATTGACGGAGTCGCAATCCTTTGCGATCGGGGAAGTGCGCGAATGCAGATGGAGGCGCATCTTGGCGCAGCAAAGTTTGGTTGGCCAACCTCACTTTGTTCAAGAGAGCAGCTAGTTAATTATCGCCGATCCACACAGGAAGCGGAAACTTTGTGTTCTATAGCATTACAAACAAAATAGAAAGAATCTCAATCTCAATCGAGGCCTGCCTTGAGACCAACCACGAGCCGACAGTGAGGTGAGGCAAGTCGTTTGGCGCAGTTCACAAAACGCCCTGGACAGCATGGTGGAATGTGTTGATTATCAACGACTCCCACGTGGTGTGCGAGAACTTGGATTATACCCTTGAATGAAGGGATCTTTCCAAGCTCCATCCTCGCATTCGGAGCCCACCCAGAGTGCAGGGGTCCCTTGGTCGATCAAATAATAACCATTATTCTTGCACTTCACTCTGAAGTTGCTGCGTCTGAGGCTGAGTCTATCTCAGTAAAAGACAGTCCTGAAAAGTGGAGAAGGGCGACTTTCCTAGCATCAAGCCGGAAATCGGCAGTTGACGCTATCGATTTCTCTAAGACATTTTTGTCTTCCTCCCCATAAATATCCCATATCCGGCTAAACGATACGGGGAATCCAGAATGCTCTCCATGACAATGCCGAATCGTCCGACCGGGGGGCGGAAATCAGGAAGGGCACACCAGCCCAGCACAGTATTTTCTTGACAAAAGGGTCTGAAATCCGCGCAATTTTGTGAAGGAAAGGCCTTAGAGATTTCGCACATCATCCTACCACTTTATCAATATGCTACCCAGCTCAGCATCTACCAATCCCACGATCGTCCTTGTTCACGGGGCCTGGCGTTCGCCTGAATGCTTCGATAGTCTCCGCAAAGTGCTTGAGGACCGTGGCTATCCAACGGAGGCGCCTGGCCACCCTTCAGTGGGAGCCGAGCCGCCGACCAAGACACTAGAGGACGACGTTATCAATATGCAGATAGTATTGAATAGGCTGATCGAGGACGAAGGGAAAGAAGGCGTCCTTGTGGGCCATTCATACGGCGGAACCGTGCGCGCCACCTTATTTTATGGACTGGGCGGTGCGTGGGCACCGTGGATGAGATTCAATGTAAGTCAGAAGTAAACCTGCCATAGAAGCTGTGAAATGCACTGGTTCCGCCCGCCCTCGATATCGGAAACCTTTTAGGACCGCCCCGGGCCCCGGGGGGGGGGGGGGGGGGTTTGTTCTGCGAAAGAAGGGGGAGGTTGTTCTGCGAAAGAAGCAGGATACATCAAGGGTCAATTGTAAGAATAAATTTAAAAAAGAAGAAAAAAAAAAGAGAAAAAAAGAAAAGAAAAGAAAAGAAAAGAAAAGGAGAAGTAGGAAGAAGAATTGATATGCTAACACTCAACCACTCATCCAACCTTTGAATAGGGCGAATACTCTTATGCCTCTGATGAAGCCAAGCGCTTCTATGGTGACCTCTCCCCAGAAAACCAACAGAGATGGGTATCAAAACTTCGCCACCGGTCCAAAGCATCCTACCTCTCTCTGAACACGCACGAACCATGGAGGAACATGCCTTGCGGTTATATTCTCTGCGAAAATGACTGCGCTCTGCCATTCCCGGTCCAAAAGATGTTAGTATCCTCCACTGAGCAGAAAATGCAGGGCGACAGCAGCATTGGTGCTCAGAAGCTATTGACGGCGAATTTAAAGGCTTCTCATTCGCCATTCCTGAGCATACCGGAAAAGACAGCCGAAGTCATCGAGGATATGATCGGCAAAATATGTAGAAGCTCTTAGAAAAATTGAGGCTGGCACTGCCTGTATATACAAACCCGTATATTACCCCCCATGATCCGAATATGCTCCGCATCAAAGTCTCTACTCTTTTCCATTGCTCTCCGTTTGTCCTAGCAATGTAAAATGCAAAGACATGAGAATAATTATGTATAGAGCCTAGGTTTTAGTTAATTAGGTACTAGTAATTGAAGAAAAGGGGGGGATATGGACTTGAAACGAAAACTGCGTTTGTATGAGGCTCGAACGCTGTACAATTAATGCAAAGCACGGTAGCTTTTGAATATGGGGGATAGGGAATGAGCAGGCAATTGCTGATGTGAGGATCATCTCGTAACGAAATGATAAAGGAGGGTCATGGAACCGAAATAAGGATATGATATAGACGATGACAGGTATCTGCCAGGATCGTGTAACTATAACACGGTCACGTTCCAAGAAGCACCATATCCGTTGTATCCAACGCCGCGGATGTTCCATTCAGACCACATCGGTTGAGTATTGCCTCCTGCATCCGTAGCGCGACTGTATATAGTTTTATTTGATCCCTGGTCGACTTTGATACGTGCTTTCCAGAGAACCCAGCACCATTTGTACCGATTTTGTGGGCCGGCACCGTGTAGCTCAGCTTCAACCCACGTATTTCCTTCGTCTCCTGATACCTCCACGCGGATCACCGGCCCTTGATCGCCCTGGGGAACAGCATAACCTCTAACTTCGATTAGGCCGTCAGATCCCTGAAAGATGGTTTCGTCATCGTCGGGAACCGCGACAACTGAATTCACAAGGTTTTCCTGCATGGATGGGGCTTTATCCCAGTAATCTTCTGCCATCTCCCAGGTGAGAACTTCGGGTGGGAGGACCTTGTAGTCATGTGCCTGGTAATAATTGGGAGACTCTGTCTTCCGGACCATAATACAATCGAGCCATTTGACCCATCGAGCTCCGATGATTCCAGGAATAACTACACGGACAGGATAACCATAGTCAGGGGTGAGTGTCTCTCCATTCATCTGAGAAAAATGCGTTAGAGGATCCATTCAACCGCCCTGACATCCCCACAACATCAAGCGAACCCAGTAAGACACGGATTTTGACTTACCTCAAGGGCTAAAATAACATCCTTGTCCTGCTGGAGGGCCCTCCATAACTCAATACTGCCAGCATAGCAGTTGTCGTCTTCGCACATGGCCTGAAAGCACAAAAATTCTACATGGAGCGGACTCTGTGCTGCATATTCGCTTTTAACCCCGGCTCGTAGCAGAACGTCTCTTAATCTTGGGCCTCTCCATGTGCAATTCATCACGGCGCCATCTCTCCAGTCAACACCACGAACTTCTTTCAGCTTAGTTCGCATCGTATGCCGCCGGTTGCCGGCACACTGGAGGGCGCAGGTCACCTCATGTTGAGCGAACTCATCTCGCAGCTGGGTCAGGGTGAGTGTCAAGGGCCGCTTGACCTCGCCACCGACTTGGACCAGGTGTAAACTTCCATCGATAGCTGGGAAGATGCTGTGATTCCGATGATACGCTCCGGATCTGGTGATGAACCTGTCCTTGCGTGGTTAGCTTGACGTGGAGGTGAAACGAAGCGCATTGCTTGGCGAAACCAACAACAGCTTGCGTCCTGACAAGGATCTCAAGCTCGCAAGTCCAGGGATAATAAGCTCGGCCACTTACCTGGAGACAAGATCCCTGAGACGCGGCTCGCGGTTAAGCGGGCTCTCACCCTAACGGAGAATTAACGACAAATTAGAAGCTTTCATTTTTCGCACTGTCATTCGAAGACAGCAAAGACGTCATTTTTGTTAGTCCAGGGCAGAGAAAAGCTTACAGGACTCGCCATCTTGGCTCAGACCACCGAATTGCGACCGCAAAAATGGAATGGATTATGAGCTACACAAAGAAAGAAAGGAGAAAAGAGAAAAGAGAAAAGAAAGCAGGAGGAGAATTGACAAGAAGGAAAACTGAGTCTCCAGGGCGTCCAACCGTTGGGGCAAAAAGGATGGCGGCACCTTTAAATTTCTTTTCTCAGACGCTCTAAGATCGGCAGGCACTTGGTGATCCGGGCTTGCGGTGCAGGGTGATTGGCGCCTTTGAGTAACGTCTGGATAAATCTTCCGAAGATTGTGCTATCAAGCAGTAGATTTGGGTTTTGATAACGCGGCTGGCGCGCTGGCATGCGCATGGCCAACGGTATTAGCCTCAAGTATTCTTCGCCGATGGGTCGCCGATAGCCGTCTACCAAGGTGAGGGGGACTGCGGGGAGACTGCATGGAAACAGGGCGTGACCGCTTGCCCACAAGCCCGCAAGCTCCGTGCCATGGCAAGTGATGACATCAGGCCTTGAGCGCCGCTCTGGAGAATTTGGAGAAGCATGGGGGGAGTAAGAGGTGCTGCTAGCACATGGAAATGTTGCACAGGTATTACCTGAGAGTGCGTTGAATGGAAATTACACGGCTGGCGATTGGCTGGCACCACATCCTTTCTGAGATGACCAGGTTGTACAGAGTATATTTGGCGCTTTGCCAACTTGTGGCTGGGAGACAGCTTGACGTCCAGAACTCTCCATCACACGCCTGGAGTAATTATTCTAACGTGCAGGCAAGCATGCAGCCACTGCCTCTGGCAAGTTGCCTGGTCATGCTTTGCCAATGCTAAGAATCCCGAGAGAATCCCATGATCATGAACTAACGTGCTGTTTTAATAATATAAGATGATCCCTCTCTTCAAAAATTGGTCTAGATTTAAATTTACAGTCAGTATTCTGAATACCACCTTTCTTAGTAACGCCCGCAAATGCAACCGGATTGTTTTTGTACATGTAACGCCAAACATCCAAAACTCCTGCAAAGCCCAGAATCCGCCCATTTTAGGGTACGTAGTAGCAAAGCAGTTTTCCAAAAGGGTAGAGTTTGCCTGTATGGGGGTTTCGAAACCCTAATCCGAGGGCTGTCGCATGTATGCATCAATGGCAGCACTAAATGCGGCGAAACCAGCGCATCCCAGTGCCGCAGCCTGAGGCCCAGCCTTGGCACCCAATATTCCGCCAGTGATGCATCCAGCCGCAATGCCATTTGTAAGGTCGTTCTTGGCGCGAAGACCCTCTATGCAGCATTCTGTTCCGCTGAAAAGGGCGCCCACGATGGCAAAATTTTTCGCGGAGCTGAATGACCGACTGCCCATATCTTTAAATCCTCGCCTGAGCTGTTCACGAACGGGAAGACTCGAAATTTCACGGCCTTGCGGTGTGAGAGGTGTATCGTACGACATCTAAGGAACGGTTGTATTAGCAAGACATCGGAAAAAAAAAAACAACACACACACACACACACACAGAGAGAGAGAGAGAGAGAGAGAGAGAGAGAGAAGGGAGAGGATGGAGAGGGAAGGAGATAGAAGGAAATGCCATGGATGCATACACTGCTCATGAATAGACCGAACGCTCCACCCAGGGCGAAGCCCATTCCGCCTGCCATCACGGCTTTCATTGGACATGATTCCATCGCGGCTTGAATCTATCGTGGGTTGGTGTTAGCGATCCATCTGGAGGAGCAAAAGCCACGCAGCGCTCAAACATACATTTCGCACAATAGCCTGCTCCTGCTCGCTCATCCCCCCAGGAGCTGCCCCGGCGGCCGCCCCAGGCCTGGTCATTCCTGGGAAACTCATGGCTCCGCGTCAGTCAGCCAAAGCGCGGCGAACGATAAACCCCCCCGGTATAGATTTAGATAAGACTTTCTTCGAGGAGTGTATGTTAAAAAAGAGCGACTAGTAAGACATGCAGTGTGGAAAAAAGCTGGAAAGATTGAAACAGTTTGCGCCCGCGGCCGCAGCCAACGCCTCAAAACTTCCACGCCTGCGAAATTCGTCGTAAGTCAAATTTTGCTACGGCCAGCGGAACAGACCCAGAGCGCAGGTCTCGGCGCCACCAATCAGGTCGCAGTCTCGCCGCGAACGTGTCACTTTTGCACGCCGTATTGACTGCTGCTACGGAGTACTATTCTGTTAACTGTTACTGTTAGTTAGTATATTACTTGGATAACATAACAACAGAGTACCGACATCATTCTCACCTGCTCCGTATTTCCTGTGAAAGGAGCATTATCCGAGTCTCCCACGATACGTGGCTTTAGACGATTACTGAGTGCTCAGCCGTAACAGTTGGCCACACGAAATTCTAGCAGTCATCTCAGCTCCCTCAAGCATCACACAACTCAAGAGATGTAAAAGGTCCCCAAGGACTCGGGCTACTTTGCAGCGAGAAACACACAAGGGCGTTTGGTTGGTTACGTAGTTAAAGGGTTAACTAGGTCTGGTGGATGTGGTAACTCCTGTGGCTCCGAAGGGTGAGTTTGGAAAGCCCTTAGGGTTTCCGGATCTCACCACTTTGAATGGAGTCGAGACTGGATTTTTAACGAGCAGCAACGTGTCCTTCGGATGAGAAAAAGGATAGGATCCTTGACATAGAACACCATCCCATAGCCCCCAGGATGAACAATGATACCGGGGCCACAGGACCCAGTAACTTAACATAACCATTCACATCAGTAGTTTTCTCCTTACCCGATGTACGTACAGACCTCTACTCCGTATAACTAGTATACCCCTATCCTCTGTGGATCAGAGCGTGCAACTTCTTCTGTAAGAAATAGAAAGTACTCCTCTTTGGCTGCTGTCCACGCACTCTGTAACGGAGTATATAATAATCCCTTCACCTGGCGTCCTGCTTGATGGTAGAATTAATTGTTTCAACCAGAAAAAAGCAGAAGAGCGTCAACATCACAATGGGTGTGGCGATGTGCTCTGTTCCTTGCCTGTCTGGGTCCCAGGAATTTCCGGGATTTTGCCGAGCGCGGCGGCCAAGGAAGATGTGAATAAGCTCCCGCTCAGCTCTTTTTCCCGAAAAGCTTGTATCTTGGTTTCTTCCTGTCCCTTTCGTTTTCTCGAAGCAAAGACAACCGCATCGTGGGCCATGTCGGGCTCAAGGAATCTGGCTCTCGCCTTTCGGCGGGCGCGCACAAGCAGGGGTCAGTTCAATCTCCGACACCGACAGCCCCTCTGCCTCTCGATCCGGCCGTTCAACACCACAACGGCTGCCCTGGAGGCCCACCAGCCCTCTTCCTCGACCACGCCTACGACGCAACCCAAGTTCACCACGGACGCGTACCCGCAGATCAAACGAAACCCAAGCTTCTCCGAAATAACCAGCGAACATGTCCAACACTTCAAAGATCTTCTCGGTGCGCAGTCGGCAGTCATCGACGGCGTCACTGCGGATGCGGCCGACGACATCGAGCCATTCAATCGAGATTGGATGAAAAAGTATCGAGGGCATACAAGGCTCGTCTTGAAGCCGCAATCCACCAGGGAAGTGAGCCTGATACTACAGTATTGCAATACAAACAGGCTGGCCGTGGTACCGCAGGGTGGGAATACTGGATTGGTCGGTGGTGGCGTGCCGGTGTTCGATGAGATCGTGATAAACATGTCACGCATGAACCAGATTAGGTCCTTCGATGAGAATTCAGGTGTCATTTCTGTGGATGCGGGTGTTATTCTCGAGGTGGCTGAGAAGTATCTCGCGGACAGGAATCACATTTTCCCGCTTGACCTGGGTGCCAAGGGGTCTTGTCATATCGGAGGGAACCTGGCAACAAATGCTGGCGGACTACGACTGCTTCGTTATGGGAGTTTACATGGAAATGTCCTTGGTCTAGAAGCTGTGCTTCCCGACGGTACCATCGTTGACGACATGTGCGCTCTGCGGAAGAACAACACTGGATATGATTTAAAGCATCTCTTCATTGGCGGGGAGGGAACAATCGGTATCATTACGGGTGCTTCGATAATCTGTCCTCAGCGCCCGAAAGCCGTTAACGTTGCCTATTTTGGGCTGCAGAGCTACGACCATGTACGCAAGGCTTTCCGTGAGGCCAAGGTTCATTTGTCCGAAATTCTCTCCGCTTTTGAATTGATGGATGGACGAAGCCAGGATATGGTTTTTGATGTTACGGGCCTCAAGAAGCCACTTGAGGGGTCTTATCCATTCTACTGCCTTATTGAAACCAGCGGCTCCAATGGAGAACACGACAGCGCCAAGTTGGAAGCATATTTGGAACACGTTATGGGTGAGTCCATCGTTGAAGATGGCGTTTTGGCTCAGGACGATACCCAGGCTCAATCACTATGGCGCTGGAGAGAAGGAATTACTGAAGCGCTGAGCCATCTTGGAGGGACATACAAGTACGACGTCTCCATCCCGCTTGCAGAGCTTTACCAGCTCGTCGAAGACACAAAGGAGCGCCTCACTAAGGCGGGATTGGTTGGCGATGATGATAGCTACCCCGTCCGCGAGGTTTTGGGTTATGGCCACATGGGCGACTCGAATCTCCACTTGAATGTCGCTGTGAGAAAATACACAAAAGAAGTGGAAAATATGATTGAACCGTGGGTGTACGAATGGATTCAAAGGCGGAATGGCAGCATTAGTGCCGAGCACGGGTTGGGAATCGCGAAGAAGGAATTCATTGGATACAGCAAGAATGATACCATGATCAAGCTGATGAAACAATTGAAAAATCTTTATGATCCGGTGAGCATTGCCCACTTCCCATCCTTCAGTACAAGTGAATTCTGCTAATATGGCTGCCACAGAATGGAATAATGAACCCATATAAATATATCTAATCGTCCTTGAACCCCTGTACACCAAATATAGATGCTACTTCTTTCGATATACTCTAGGAGTTATTTAATTGCTATATTCTTTAGAATCAGAGAAATGCGTTGACTTCTGTTTGCCACTGTACTACGTAACTTCAGGATGTACGGAGCACTCCGTAGTTGGCTAGTTACCGAGCAGTAATTGAGTTGAGGAGATCGCTCCCTCCACCAAACAGGAGGAAGAAGCGTGCAGGTCGATTGTCCGGGATTTTCCTTGTCCAACGCGTTCGTCAGGCGTTCGGAAACCCGACCAGCCCAGGACGCTACCATAGGCTCGGGATGCCAAAGCACTGACAACGTGTCGGCTGTTGCCCTAGACAACCTGCCTTGTTGACCCTTCAAAACACTGTCTCGGGAGAAAATCAAAGATTAGCCATCCACTCACAACCCCGCTAGCTTTCTAAGCGCCAGTGGATACATTCCTTGCATCTAGATTTCACCATGATCTTGTACTGCACTTTTCTCGAATACGACCCGTTCTGCTGACATTTGCTGGTTTGGTTTGGTTGCAATTGCTATCCAGCAGAGCCCGAGCTCTCGAAAACCCAAACAATTCCAAAAAAAGAATAAAAAAACGATTGAAAGCCATTCTTCTTCACCTGCAAAAAAAAAAAAAAAAAAAATGGCTGATGAGGGCGCGTTAGCAAATCATTATCAGGTGCTCGAGGAGCTTGGGAGTGAGTTGTGTCTCGATTGGTTGTCCGGTGATACATCACACTTCCTAACTTTCTATTCTCCATAGGCGGAAGTTTCGGGGTCGTGTACAAGGCCATCGAGAAGGCGACCGGGGAGATTGTCGCGATCAAACATGTACGAAACAAAAATAGAACGGAACGCTTCGCGTCAGATGCTTACCTTTCCCTTCTCTCGACAATAGATCGATCTCGAGTCGAGCGACGATGATATCCAGGAAATTCAACAGGAGATCTCGGTGTTGGCTACGTGCGCGAGTCCCTACGTTACACAATACAAGACTAGTTTCCTGAGAGGACATAAGCTATGGATCGTGATGGAATACCTAGGTGGAGGCTCTTGCCTTGACTTGGTACTCTGTCCTGTCGCTTCTTTTCAAGTTGCGCAACCATTTTACTGACCGCACATAGCTTAAACCAGGGCCATTCAACGAAGCACATATCGCAATCATCTGCCACCAACTTCTGCTAGGTTTAGACTATCTGCACCATGAAGGGAAAATTCATCGTGATATAAAAGCCGCCAATGTCCTCTTGTCGCAGACGGGAAAAGTTAAGCTTGCGGATTTCGGGGTCGCAGCGCAACTCACAAACATCAAATCCCAACGGAATACCCTTGTCGGGACTCCATTCTGGATGGCGCCGGAAGTCATTCAGCAAGCGGGATATGACTTTAAAGCCGATATTTGGTCGCTTGGTATTACTGCGATGGAGATGATTAATGGAGAGCCTCCGCACGCGAGCACACACCCGATGAAAGTGTTGTTTCTCATCCCGAAAGCGCCTGCTCCCAGGTTGGAAGGGAACAAGTATAGCGCTCATTTCAGAGATTTTATTGCCCAATGTCTAATCAAAGATCCGGATCGACGGCCTACCGCAAAAGAACTACTGAGGCATAGATTCATCCGAGGAGCGGTGAAAACGGAACCTTTGCAAGAATTAATCCAGAGGCGTCAGGAATGGGAGGCAACCAAGGGAGTTTCAGATAACGTGAAATACTACGCAGAATCATTGTATGGAGCTACTCCAGAAACTCGGGCAGTTGCAGGCGCTAACAGCCAGAACAGGAATACCATTACTCGTAGCGATGATGACGATGGTTGGGTATTCGATACTGTCAAGCCTGGTACTATAGCTTCCGCAAAGAATACCCAGAAGCGATTAAGGGCCGCAACACACTCCCTCGAAGACCTTGACGAGGTTGCTGAGACGATGGACCATCTTGACGTTACTGAGCCCACGTCCGAGCCAAAACCTGTGAGAAACTCGACTGTGAGACGGACTTCCGTTTTGGAGCGGACATCATCCATCAGACGATCAACTAGCAAACGAAAATCGAGCGGTGCAAAGCAACCCTTAGGAGTTGACCTCACATTTGGCAACAGCCCATCCACGGTAAGGCAATTCCGCCGCCTCTCCGATAGAGAGGACTGCGAGAATGAAATTTCGGGCACTATTCCCGGAATGGATGAAACCCATGCTCCGAAAACGCTGTTCTCCCCCGAGCCACAAAGCAAGGAAGCTGCGATTGGTAGAAGGATGTACAGCTGCGGTGTCGGACTGGCATGCCAGGAGGCATTGGCGAACACATGGGACCAAGACAAAAGAGAGGCCATTTCACGGCTCGCAGAAGCCTGGAGCGAGCTTGAAATGGTTGACCCAGAGGGTCTCTATCAGATTGTCAAGGCGTCCTATGAAAAACTTCAAGTGTAGGTGACCCGTTCCATCCTATGCCGTAATAATGCAAGCATGTAGCTAACTGGTATTGTGCACAGAGACCCCAAAACCGCCGGCGCTCTTTCCAAGCCTGCTCCAATTGAATCTCCGCAAAGACCAAAGCTAATGCTTGCTCAAAACAACCCGCACCTTAAGAGCCATAAGAGACGCCAGTCAGCACAGCTTGCAGCGGAACAGCCATGGTATCTTGGAAACCCGAAGCTTCCAGGCCAGTCAGTTCCTGGCATGGAGCATACCAAGCAGCTTGCTGACGTTCTCTATGGCCGTTGGAGTGAAGGTTTGCGGAACAGATGGGCGGCTCCCTAAACCGTGATTTTGTAAAAGATATCCAGGGGGAACATCGAATTGCACCCCGAAATATCTTTTTTTTTTTTTTTTTTTTTTTTGGTTGAGGATCATATTTCATGTATAATATGGATGTCGTTCGAGTGACTTTGCCTGATATCACTTTCATTGCATTTTGGCGTTTTCGTACCTTCGCTCGTTCCCTTTCTACCCTTTTTTTTCTTCTCTCGGCTGTTGCTTGCTTGTCCAGCGGTTGATCCGTACTTCTACCATTCGTTCGGGATTTTGGAAATTTCAGGAGCCTTCCATTGGGCGGCGTTAAGCGGGCGTCGCGAGGCGACATTTCGACTTGGTATGTGAATGGGCCATCTTGTTCTCTCTCTCTCTCTCTCTCTCTCTCTCTGTTTTTTTTCTTTTTTTTTTTTTTTTTTTTTTTTTTTTTCAATTTAAATCTACATATGCCCGGTTGTTTGGCGTTATTCTGTTTTCCGGATATCCCACACTATGTTTTGTGTCTTTGGAGCTCTGATCTATCTGCTCTCGCTTTCTTGTTCGGAGTTTCAACCAATAAGGGCCCACAGGCCATCTATGGTTTAGACGGATATTATGTAGCAGGTTTCAATGCCAGTTGTCCGATATCTTCGTCTCCGGCGCGGCTATCTACTCGCCGAAGCAGCTTAGGTGTCTCCTCTTGAGTCTCTCCTGAAGATGCGGCGGTAAAGGAAGCGAGCGGGTTGCGTGTGGATGGCAGCCGCGCTAGGCCTCAAGCGGCTAGCCGGACGCGGCAGCCAGCTCCATTCTGCTGAAACGAAGCCCCGTTCGAAGCTGACGGTCCCTCGCCGTCCTGACCGTTATAATCTCCCCTGAGCTCGCCGTTTTGCTTTTCTGGTCGTCGAAACGAGTCTGTTGGGCTTCAGCTTTCATTGTGCTTGAAGCAATGACGAGCCGCATACATCCCGAATGATACCAATTTTTTTTTTACTTTTTCCTTTTCTTTTGTTTGGAACTCTTACATGATAGATGCGTGACGACTGCTAGTTCGTCCCATGGATGACCTCTGGAGCCCTGAACCTTCTCGGGGTAAGCCCCCGTTGCTCGACCCGGAGCTGGAGAATGAAGGGCAACAACGACAACGGGTATCTCGTCCTAATGCTGCCGCACGCCACTCGAAACGCTTGACACTCAATTTTCCTATCACCACACCCCCCGTTTCGTCTGATCTGGCCTCGCCGTCCACACACATCATGTCGCCACTCGCCAGTTCCTCGACGTTTCCCTCCCCGGGTCGATCCTCAACCGCAACCCCAGCGTTGAGTGAACCCGTCGATGAAGGATACATGTTCCTAACCGCTCTTGCGGCCCAGGAGAGAAAGGTGCTGGAGCTAAGAGAAGAACTTCAAAAGGCTGAAGCCGAACTTGTGAGCCTAAAAAAACAGTGGGCTATGGGGGAGAAAGGAAGGAGGAGGACCGAGATCGTCCATCACGCAGAAGTGATGAAACCCCTCAAGACGCCGGCTGATGAACCGACTGCGAACGGTATCGATCCTGAACGAGCCGCGCCTTCTGACCTTACCAAAGTCGCATTGCAGACAAGAATGAGTCGCGAGCTGGATAGAAGGAATACCTTGAGGCAGTTAACCCAGCAATATCCTACCGGAAATGGCTCCATTTCATCCGGACGTCCGCGAACGGTTTTTCAAAGTTCTCGTCACGTCAGAACTCTCTCGTTGCTGTCCCCTAACGGGCTGGAACCTCTATCCCTCGGAACGAATACCAGTTCGTCGCGAAACCCTCAGCTTGTTAGAGGATCCAGTCACCCCAGATCTGCCACTCTTCCTTCCCTTGATCGCGACGACCCGAAAAATGCCGAAGGTGCTATCTCTACGGCCAGAATAAAAATGCAAGATGAGCGGAATTTATGGCGGCGTTCATTGCCAATGACTCAAGATGGGACCGCTGAGACGCTGATGCGCACTGGGAAGCAGATGGCGTCGGATTTCAAAGATGGATTATGGACATTCTTGGAGGATATCCGTCAAGCTACGGTTGGCGAAGAAGGAATCAATGCGACAGAGTCAAGGTCCATGTATGCAGTCCATCGTTCATCGTCTCGTCCGTCTCGACGGACCGGTATGGACGCTACTGCAAGTCGAGAACAGTCCGTGGGATCGTCGACCGCCGCCAGGCCTGCTACATCGAAGAAGATACCGGAGGCTAGGGCATCCGTTTCGAAGCAGGAAGACGTCTCCTTCTGGAGTGAATTCGGCATTGACCCTCCCGAAAAGCCCAAAGCAAGTTACAGTTCTTCCAAGAATAAGGGTGGAAAGCAGAATGCTAAAGAGTCCAATCTTTTGGATGTGGATGATAACTGGGATGTATGGGATACCCCTCAACCCAAAACCCATACTCCATCGTCAAGCAGTTCCACATTCCCTTCTTCCAGGCGAGACCCATCGCCTTCGACGGGGGCAAGCAGTCCTCGGACAAGTGCAAGGTCAGCACCTTTTCAACGCCGCCAAACCGTTTTATATTTGGATATAACTAACGGTCTCGCAGTTTCGCAGACCTTAAAACCATCGAAATTGAAAATGGCACCGACAGTGCTCCATCTGACAGTATTCCATGGCCGGCGTTAACGAAGCTCCGGCCTTCGAATTTAACACGGACAGCATCGAGTTTGATGGCCGAGTGGGAGCGGAGCCTATCGCCCTCTCCGTGTCCTTCTCCCTCCAATGAGGCTGAATACAAAGACCTTAAAAACGACTGAAAGTCAGAAAGCCACCCGCCAATGGTTACATGACGCGCTATGTTTTTTTAAGATACCCATCTGACAGCCTCAATGCACCTACAATAATGAGATCGCAAATATGACACACATGTTTGGCTGCGCCTTTTACTTGCCACTTAGCAGATATATCTTCCCTTCTTGCAATTGTCACAGGACCCCTGGATGACATAATGATGCCGACATGTATATTGCATAATATTGTTGATTTTTTTTTTCCTAATCTTTTTTCTGGTATATTCTTGGGCTATTCTAGTCAATGACTTCAGGGATGAATGTCCAGTAGCCATTATATATTTTGACCATAATGTTGACTTCTTGGGTAGATGGACATTGGGTGTGTGATGGAAAAATTTTAATAAAGTAATCCATCCTTTTAAGTTACTCTGCTCTGCTAGTCTTCAAAGTGGGATATCTATTTGGTGTTCAACTGGTTAATGATTGGGCTCTTAGCTGGTCTTTTATGCGATCCACGTCCTCCAACTTTTGAAGGAGAGAGGTCTCATTTTCGTGGAAGCCCAATAATTCGATGGTAGGGGCATTAAGTCAACGCGCATTGTCCTGGAAGGGCGAGACGGAAAGCAACAAACAACCTCTTCCCCTTGGCTCCAACCAGTGGTTGTCAAAGCTATATCTGTTCATTGTGCTTATGAACATGCCCTGCTGGGTATGCAACTAGACTAATTACAGATAATCATATCTTTGAACCCGCTCTTCTTCTCGTCTCACGTTCTTTATCCCTTAGATATCGCCTCAATATCTTCCCACTCGCACTTTTTGGAATAGCATCAATAAACTCGATCCCACCATGTAGCCATTTATAATGCGCCTTATGGTCCTGGACATGTTTTTGGATGTCGTGGATCAGTGTTTGATGGTCAACTGTTATCTCGCTGGCCTTCACGACAAAGGCCTTGGGCACTTCACCCGCTGAATCGTCGTGGACACCGATGACTGCGGTATCAGCGACCGCCGGGTGCGTGAGGAGGTGAGCCTCCAGTTCTGCTGGCGCTACTTGGAACCCCTATAAAAGAGAAAGAATAAAACTCCAGTTAGCTCCCCCACTAGGATAATGCAAAGACTATTCGGGCCAAGGGATGGCCTCCTGGTTAGATGTTTCCCTACCTTAACTTTGATCAACTCTTTTATCCGGTCGACGATGAAGACATGATCCTCTCCATTGAAACTCTTCCGGAAAACCGCCTCGTCGCCTGTTCGTAGCCATCCGTCTTGGAATGTCTCCCTGTTCGCCGCCTCGTTATTGAGATAGCCCAGGACAATGGTCGGCCCACGGAGTAAAAGTTCTCCTGGCGTATCGTACTCCTCAACCTCGGTTCCGTCAGGGGTTACCAATCGTGCCTGCAGCAGTGGTAGGAGGCATCCGGACGAACCAAAGAAGATATCGTGCGGACTTGTATGCGTTGCGACTGCAGTGGTTTCGGTAAGTCCTTCTGGGGGGTTAGAAACTGAGATGGATTTTCATTATCAGAGCAATTGCGTAGTAGAGCTCACCGTACGCCTGGAGAATCGACCATGTTGGATATACCCTATGGAGATCCTCCGCAGTCTCGTTCCCTAGAGGGGCCGCACCCGTGATTATATGGCGCACGCTATTCAGTTCATACTTCTTCATGAGGCTTTCATTCTTGACCATGGAGATAATGACAGGTGGTACCTGCATGAGGAGATAAGCCTTGTGAGCCCGATATTTTGAATGAATCGGCTTTACTTACAACGTAAAGCACATTGATTTTGCATCTTTCAATTGCCCCCAGGAGGGTAGCAAGCTCGAACTTTGGAACAACGACGACGCACTCGCCTCGATAGACTGCCGAGTGAAAGACAGATAACCCGAAAATATGGCTGTAGGGTAGAAGTCCGAGAACCGTATCCTTCTGATTCTCAGTGCGAGTATAGCCCTCAAAGAGCTTGAAAAGCGAGATTTGAGAGATCACGTTCATATGCGAAATCATAACTCCTTTCTAGGCGGCATAGGATTAGCTTAAGGGCTCCAAGCAATAATGCCAGGCCTGGGTTTTACTCACCGGAAGGCCCGAGGTTCCACTGGAGAAGCATAAATAAGCGCATTGTCGGGCAGCCTGCCCCTTTTTCCATCTCAAATCCTCCAATTCGTCAAGATTGGAGCCTTTTTCGATGAGTTGGTTGACGGTCTTAAATTTCAAAGGCTTTGAACCACTTCCAGTAAAGCTCTGAGGCATATCTAGCAAATAAACCCGGTTCCTGGGAATGCTGCATTTTGCAGCTGCTTTCAAGGCTGTGTCCAATAGTGGTAAGCAGGTAAATAGCGCGTGGACGTTGGACGCTTGGAGCTGATATGCAAGCTCATTTACTGAATATGCTGCGCTGGCCAAAGAAGCTATTCCTGATAGTCTATGGACAGCCCATGTCAGCGGGAAGAAATCAATCTATGTGCGAAGATTTATCAGTATGTTTAGTGTGGCCCAGCTGCCAACTACTTATAAATTTTCAACAGTAGATATCCATACTGTATTCAGCGAAAAGACGCAAATCGTCTTATCCCATTCCGTCCCCAGGTTCGGCCGCCACCCAAACTCGTTCGCAAGAGCTCGTGCTAGGTAGTCAACGCGCTGGGAGACCTCAACCGCAGAATATCCGTCCCCCGTAGCTCCCCAGATAAACGGCTTTTTGGAAGCTGTCAGGCCCGCTCGACAATACTTTTCGTTTAGAATAAATTCAGAAATAGGAATTGAATCCGGTATCGAGTCTATCGACGCATTGTGCACCCAGGATGGACCTCTAAACCCCATAGTGGAGGCGTCTTTCGGTTCCCGACGGTGATGCGGGGAGGTGAGGGGGTTCGATGCGATCGCGACAACTGGTCTGAGGGGGATCAAACGGTGACCGTCGAAGCTGGCTTGTTCTATATCATAAAATCATCACTGGATTGTGGTAACTATGTGCACAATAGCGATTTTGAACGCGACAACTTGAGCAAAGTAATAGGGGATTGTGTTCGGCTAACGAGGTTAATAATGTTAAGCTTAAACCCGAAATCCGGGGTAAGTTGCCAGGAATGCCGGAGACTGGCGGCGGCTTAGATTTTCCCGAGAGGCCGCAGAACAATTTGACCAGCAGGATAAAGATGTCTTCTCAGTATTGGATTACCGGGAGTAAATGTGGAATATATGTGTTACGCTACATAGTGAAAGCGAAAGCACAAAGCTATAACGCAATCAAGTCCATTATGACGGAATTGGAGCTAGTGGGGCTTTCGAACTTCGAGCGGATGTCACAAACCTTCCTTTCGATCCCAAGTGTGGAAAACGAATGCCGGAAGTCTTTGACCATTTACATGTATGGACCAGGGATGAAGTTGTGTGAGATCTGTCTGCTGCTGATACCTCAACAGCCCCTTGACTGGTTTGCTGGCTTTGGTCATAGTATCCAAAGTGCCCTCGGCATCTGTACCAACCTCGGAGACTGAATGCCCATTTAGTTTCCTTGGGAGAGAACACTATGTTTCTGAGGCTGGAAATGGTCAAATGGCTAAATGGCCACTACGTGAGGAAGGCTCAAGCATATGCAGAAGCCATGCCTTTTCGTAGGACAGCAGTGTAATCAAACTTCAGATTTAATAGGCACCAGCTTTCGACACGAGCTTTTGCGGGTTTAAGTCAAAAGAGCCCGGTCGACGGAGCCAAAAATGCCTCGAAGAGAGGATGCTGACCTAGCGCCTCAAAAAAGGGGCAGAGCATTGAATAATCTTGCCGCAACAGACCTTTGGATTATACCTGGAAAGATGTTATTGCAGAGATACTCGACCAAACCGGGGTTCAAGATTCTTTCTCCGCAGCAAGCAGGCCCCGGTCCCTGTTCGTATTGCTTCGTCGGAGAGAAGTTCGTACGTTTTGCGTAGCCCTATTGAGAGGGGCAATCAAGCATGAAAGTCATACCTAGAGGCTCTCACCCATCACGAATAGGGCGAGAAAACTTGGAACATGCTGCCTAACCTCAACAGCATCGTCTTGTCGGCAGAGTATGCAAATTCTTCAATGGATTGCATAAACTCTTGGGAAGTAAGATGAGCACACGCATTTATCGGTAGGACACGTAGAAATAGTCCAATATTCTGATAGCTGGAAGCCCATGAGCCTGATCGTCGTGAGGCCTCGATGGAGGAGAGAACTTTCCAACGTGAGGTCTTGGCGTTGATTTTGGTGGGGGGAAAGAAAAGCGAGTAACTCGACAAGCGCGCGCTTAGCCCCGTCGCAGGCAGATGGCGGCCGCGTCTACCTCACCAGCCCGACCAGCAGCTGGTTTCAGCCAGTTCACAACGCCCCAAAACCCGCTTCCCATCCCCGTATCCCAATTCCATCCTATATTCCCCCTTCTCTGCCCATATTTTTGACCCTTATCCCCTTTGCTGCTTCTTTCTGAATCCGCTCCCGGCACACCGATAGACCAGAATGGCATCCGGCTACGACAGAGCTCTCTCAGGTAAGTCCAAGCAGTCAAGCTCCATGTAGCTTTGTTTAATCCACTAACTTTTACTTCGCATTTAGTTTTTAGGTATGTTTTGGGCCCTCACCAGCTATGTAATCGCTAGGCGCGTACCCTAACACCATGCCAGCCCTGATGGGCACGTCTTCCAGGTCGAATACGCCTTGGAAGCCGTCAAAAGAGGTTCGTCGGAGACGCTGTAAATAGCATCCCGTCCACAAAACTTACACACACCAGGTACCTGTGCGGTTGGAGTGAAAGGAAAAGATATCGTCGTTTTAGGCTGCGAAAAGCGATCGGCAATGAAGCTTCAAGACACAAGGATCACCCCCTCCAAAATTGGCCTCATCGATGAACACGTTTGCCTTGCCTTTGCCGGTCTCAATGCAGATGCTAGAATATTGGTCGATAAGGCGAGAGTGGAGGCACAATCTCACCGACTGACGGTCGAAGATCCCGTAACGATCGAATACATTACAAAGTACGTCGCTGGTGTACAGCAGCGTTATACTCAAAGTGGTGGTGTCCGGCCATTCGGTATCAGTACCTTAGTAGTCGGATTTGACAGCGGAGACTCCACTCCTCGCCTCTACCAGACCGAGCCTTCGGGCATATATTCCGCATGGTGGGTTCGAGGATTCAACATTTAACCCAAGAGCTACCTACTGAAGAATCTATAGGAAAGCAAATGCAATTGGCCGGTCTAGTAAAACTGTCCGAGAGTTCTTGGAACGAAACCATAAGGATGGCATGGACAGGGAAGAAACCATCCAACTCGCAATCAAATCGCTGCTCGAAGTCGTCCAAACTGGCGCCAAGAACATCGAAATCGCAATCATGGCCCCGGGAAAGCCAATGGAAATGCTCCCCAGCGAACAGATCGAGACGTATGTAAAGAGCATAGAGGCCGAGAAACAAGAGGAAGCGGCGAAGAAAAAGACGGGTAGGACCCCAGGGACCGGCACTGCCGCGATACTGACTCGGGCCGGCGGAGAAGGTTCTGAGAGCTGAAGGGTTGGGATACTTGACCATGCAGCCCTTTTTCAGACTCTTGTTCTCATTTTCATCAGAAGCAATCGTTCTATCATACTCAAACAGACGTATTGTGATCGCGGTTTAATCTAGAGTGTATACCTTGGGGGAAAACCCGAAGCTCATATATCGTCAAAAACTTTTCTCATCACGTCGTTATTCCCTGCAACTGTAGGCTATCTATCCCAATTTATTCGGAGCCTCCTTTACATCGAAGATAGATCTTTGCGATTCCTGGCGTACTCTCTCGTCCTTCAGCATTCTGGAGTCGACGCGAACGTCCTCTCCTTCGATCTTGAGGGCGGGTTTGGGTGTGACAGCTTCGATTACAAAATGGTTATCGCAATGGGGGCAATACTCATCACTGCATGTAGAAAGTCCTCTTAGTCAACTTCTCCCGGTAAATATTTTGCGTGTCAATGAAGGACGTGCCTCTCCTCAAATTCTGAAGCGTCCTTTCGGAAGCATTTCTTGCATTTCTTGCATGCAAATGTCTGCAACAACAAGCAACGTCGTTAGACATACATACGATTTCTCCCCACAGGACGACGTAGGATCAAGATCCGCTAACCATCTCAAAGGACTGCAGGAGCTCATGGCTTTCCTGTTCGCGGTGGCATTCAACACAGTCAAACCATTTTCGACCTTCAGGGCTGTTAGAAATCCCGTTTCAGCACGCTGTAGCCCAGGGACTCGGGGAAACTTGCAGCATGGTGACCGGATCGACACCTGCGCGTTGAGAATGTGGTGGCTGGTCCAGGCGTCAGCAGAAGAATGTCTTCCCAGCCTCATCCGAGACTGTCAAAGAGCGGTTGTCCCGTACCACATAATATCGCACGGGTGTGTGTGTGGGAAGCTTTTGATGGTCGAAGTTATGGGCAGATTTTGCGGGCTGTACTCCCGTATCCGAAGTAAAAGCGAAGAATATCCTTCCCGCTTCCTATATCTCTCTCGTAACTTGAGATTCAATAACTAGTTACCCCTGGCGCGGTGCTTGCTTTGTCATTCGAATAGCTGCTGACAAGGCGAACGTTCGAGAAGGCCGAGGGTGAGCGCAAGGGCGGGCTTGGGTCTGGCGGCGAACTGACTAAACTAAACTACGCTGGGGTGGGTGAAGTGAAGAGGAATCCCTGAAACAACCTTCAGACTGACCCCCAACTAAAATAACTAAATGGAGCCTGACGACGTAAGTCACCTCCATGTCAATTTCACGTCCAATCAGACGACCCGCCAAACACCCGTCGCCGTGAATTTATCGAGCAGCACCAGCATCGAACCCGCTCACGAGACATCGCCGCTCTCTTTATTTACCTGAAACCGGTCGCGCAGAGCCCATGTTCGGTTTCTTGTCGACACCCTGCAGCCCGGGTCCCTGTCCGCAGTAGTCAACCGCTGGCCAACTTTCTACTTCTTTCGTACTACCCAGCCGAACTCTCGAGGCTTGCATGCGCGACCCGATATCAACTCCGGACACCTGTTACCAGCCTGGGGATGGTTGACGGGGACTTCGCAAGACTGCTCGCTACCCTTGCCGGTACATCTCAGACAGAACAGCTCAGCAGTTCCCCCTTTTCGCCCTTCTCCTTTTCTCTTTTAGACTTAATAGCCTCCTTACCGATGAACCATCCCCGTGGATAGCATAAACACTGCGAGATATTAACATCACGATGGACCGGAAAGAGCCCGAAGATACGGAACAGGAATCTATCGTGAGTCCCGTTTTTTCGCTTTCAATTTGGAAACCTGGAGAGGAGCTGACATCAGTCCCTTTACACTACAGCGGCCCGTATCTTCACTCCTGTCGCATTTCGAGAACTTAGCCCAATCCAAACGAGATCGCAAGGCTCCAGATGCGCGCGATGCCTCGTCGAGCTTACTGAAGACGCCAGCCTCGAATGATGACATCCCCCTTGGTCGTGCTTCCCTGGACTTACCGCGCCCCGAGCCACCATGGGTACCGTCTCGGCCTGGACGCCAAAACACTGTTGCAGCGCCTCTGCAGCCGGCGCAGACCGGGGATTCACCGAGTAGACGACGGTTCGGTCGGCCACTGTCAATGCACTTCCACTCTACCTCCCCGCGAGGCCCTACCCTCACTGTCGAATCGCCACGATCTCCTCCTTCCAATGGTGTCACTTCGCCCCGGAGGAGTTTCTTTCACAGTTCGCGAAATGATAGGGATTTACATGGCACGTCTCCCCCAATGCAACGCAGCCCTAACCGCTCGCCAATTCGACCAAAACCCTCTTTACTTGACTCGCCAGGCATAGTTGTTTCCGACGGGAGAAGGTCGGCGGATAGAGATGAGGATGTTAGCAAAGGCCCTAAGAGCTTTTCGCAACCTCCGCCTGTGAACAGGGCAGAAAAACCTAAGATACCAGCTAAAAAGCCAGGGATTGTGGGGAGCTTAGACACTCATGCGAACTCCTTCCTTGTTTCGTCCCAGAGGACTTCGTTCGAGGACAGAGTATCTCCGTTTAGCACGCCACCTAGTAGCCCTGAAAAGTCCCCTCCACTGTCGGCCGCCCGAGGACGGGGATCGAATCTCCTTTCGTCGTCTCCATCGTCTCTTGATTCACCAAGCAATCAACCCCGGCTCGAACCTCGATCCTCGCCGCGACCACTTGGCGGGCATATCAGAGAAACAAGTCCTTCAACTCAAACGAAACCGAAGCCTATTCCTAACCGAGATACGAAACCGCCACCACCTCCTCCCCCAGTGAAGAAAGGGGGAACATTTCCAAGGAGTGCCAGACCGATACAAACCCTTGCTGAGAAACTTGCTACCAGTGACGAGCCGGAAGACAGACCTGGTTTGCCTCCGCGATCGAAATCTCCCTCCTCTCGAAGAGCTCCCTTGCCTCGTCCCATTCCGCACTCAAGCCCGGATAGCTCAAGCCATCCATCTCCATTATCGGTCTCACCGCAACTCCAAGAGGGAGGCCACATACAATCGCTGCGGGTTCTAAATGGCCAATCTACCGTGAAGTTTCCCCCACCTCCTCCCCCTCGAAGAGATAGTAATTTGTCAATACGAATCTCATCCGAGGGTCACCATTCAACGCCGCAAACCCCAATGTCACCCGTTCCTCCTCGACTGCCAACGATTCCCTCAAATGCATCTTCAAAGCTTCACATTTCGAGCGTGCCCCGCGAAGAAGTCGCAGAGCCGCGTTCTCTCTCAGACGAGGCCAGCATTCCTAGGATGGATTATCCAGATGCTTCGCATACGAACCGTCGCGCACCAGTTTTTCGCACAGGGACCCGTGGTATCCATACAAAACACGATACTAGAATATTCGATGTTTGCGGGTCATACGCATGTAGCACCGGTTTCTTCACCAAGGTCTGGAATCTTGTGACAGGTGAACAGATCTTGAACTTAAGCCATGGAGAATCTGTGAAAGGTCTGTCCATCGCGTTCAAACCAGGAAGAACCGTGGATGAAGAAGGTAAAGCGGTATGGATCGGACTGAACACCGGGGAAATCTGCGAAGTCGATATTACCACACAAGCTATTATCTCGTCCAGGTTCTCCCCTTCTCGGAGGGAAGTCATCAAGATGTACCGTTACAGAAAAGAACTCTGGACTCTTGACGATGACGGGAAGTTGCTTGTTTGGCCTCCAGATGAATCCGGCTCGCCGAATCTTCAATACAGCTACAACCATCCTTACGACAGAGTTCCAAAAGGGCCCACATTTTCCATGGTTGTGGACGGCATCCTGTGGTATGCAACTGGGAAAGAAATCAGGCTATATAGACCAAGCAAAGACGATGATTCCTTTCAAGTACTCAGATCGCCTCTGGGAAAAGTTCATTCTGGGGATGTAACCTCCGGCACTGCCTGCACGAAACGAGGCGTGGTGTATTTGGGACATGCTGATGGGAAGGTTACGATGTATTCTTCCCGAGATTTCACATGCCTAGGGACTGTCAACGTTAGCGTGTATAAGATCAGTTCACTTGCTATGGTCGGCGACTATCTTTGGGCTGGTTATAAGACGGGTATGATATATGTGTACGATATATCTACAGACCCCTGGACGGTGAAAAAGGATTGGGAAGCGCATCACCACGGTGTCTGTGGGATGTTACTTGATCATAGTAGTATTTGGACGGTAAACAGGCTTCAGGTTGTCTCTTTGGGCGTTGATAACTACATTCGCGCCTGGGATGGAATGCTGGAGGATGACTGGCTCGGTATGTCACACAGAATGACCTCCGAACCTTACATGGCAGGGCTAATATATTCAATAGAAGCAAAGATGCAAGGTCGAGATGTGGAATATTGCGAATTTCGTGAGATCACTGCTGCTGTCTTGACATGGAATGCCGGGGCAGCGGTACCAGGAAATCTTCCCAACAGCAATTTTATAGGAGATGCAATCCATCCAGAAAATCCACCGGATATCTTGGTCTTTGGCTTCCAGGAGCTTGTTGACTTGGAGAATAAGAAGATCACAGCAAGTTAGTACCTAGATCTGAAATGTTCGATTTCGATATGGTCCCACTAACCCCCTTCTTAGAAAGCTTGCTCAAAGGCAGTAAAAAGAAAGACCACGATATGGAGCATGTGAGCCGGCGATATCGCGTTTGGAGAGACCACCTTGCGATGTGCATCCGCGAATTCATGCCACTAGATACTACTTACGTATTACTCCACACCGCAAGCCTCATTGGGTTGTTTACCTGTGTATTTGTAAAACAGGACGAGCGCCAGAGAATCACGAACATAAGCGCTGCAGAGGTCAAGCGAGGAATGGGTGGTTTGCACGGAAACAAGGTCCGTAAAGGCCTAAAGGCCCATCCAGCGATCCTTGTAGTTAACACTGAATTTAGGGCGCTCTTATTCTTCGGTTTATCCTGGACGATACTTCCGTTTGCTTCGTCAACTGTCACCTGGCAGCTGGTCAAACTCAAACCGCTCATCGTAACAATGACATTGCTGCGATAATGGAGAGCGAGTCACTCCCAATGGAGCCAAGTTCCTCGGCACGCATTGACCGTTTCGTTGGAGGCGGCGACGGGTCCATGATTCTCGACCATGAGATCTGCATCTTGAACGGGGATCTTAACTACCGTATTGATTCAATACCTCGGAATACCGTTCTTGAGGCCATTAAGGCAAACAACCTACCTAAACTCCTTGATCGAGATCAGTTACTTGCATCTAAACGCAAAAACCCTGGCTTTCGGCTACGCTCCTTCAATGAAGCACCCATTACATTCGCTCCTACGTATAAGTACGACGTCGGCACCGATAATTATGACTCCAGCGAGAAGAAACGCTCACCGGCTTGGTGCGATCGGCTTCTTTACCGTGGTGTTGGCAGAATAAAGCAATTACAATACAGACGGCATGAAGTCCGCGTGTCCGACCATAGGCCTGTTAGTGGTCTATTTAAGATGCGAATCAAAACCATATCACCCAAGCAGCGTACTGCCGTCTGGGAGGTCTGCCAGGCTGAGTTTCTCAAGGAAAAACGGCGACTTGCAACGGAGGCGAGGTAAGATCAACCTCTAAAACCAAATTTGGAATCGACAATATTGCTGTGAATGTCATGGATGTGGATCCGTTTGCTGATTACCTTTTTCTAGCATTGATTATCTTGTTCGTGTCTTTGGGGCAGATCCGAAGGAAGCCGAGTCCCTGATCTCTTCTCCAAGAACTTGATTACAGCTCCATTTCGCGACCTCGTGTCATATATCTTACCGCGCATTTGGTTCTTCCCGATCTGCGACAGGAATACCTGATATACGTCGGCCTCCACTTATTTTAGGGCCCCTTTCCTTTCATTAAGTAAACATGTGCTACGAATTAATGATCAATAGAATACCTGCATTATGACGGATACACACCATCGAATACCAAGAATTAAACCGATTTCTCTTTTGTTCCATCTTCCTTTCTTGGCTTCCTTTGGATGTTGTGGAGGGTCTTTTTCTCTTCGACTTACAATGTGTACAACAGACTCGTCACTTTGCTTCTATATCTTTTAATCAGTGTTTAATGGTCCCTAGAGGTTTACTGGTTCGTTCGCTTAGGAAAGGTCTGCTGCGTGCACTCCTGGCTTGAGTGTCAATTGAGTCATTTGGTATTAATGGGTGATGACTATTTCTTCCGACTTAGGGAGGTTAATGGCTCTTGCAAAAGGGTTGACTGTGACGTATAGACAGGATTTGGGCATATATGAAGTGCATTTAAATGTCTCAGAGCTTCTGATGGCTTTTCGATAATATCATTCCTTCGTAGCTCTTTGCTTTTTGAGGAGCACGGGGTTGTCCCGGATTCGCAAGAACCGGACGCTTGAGGTCGCATTTGCTCTTCCGCCTCCCGAGTTACCGCCGCGATATGATGAAGCCGAGTGCGTGTTGAAACGTTCTTTTTGGATACTCAAGACTTAATGCATCACGATTGTCCAGGTTTGATACCTAGAAACATTTTACGGCTGTCAGTTAGGACAGACTGCCACCTGAAACCCGGGAGTATCCTGTAGGAGCCCCAAGGAGTCGAATTCCTTCGAGTTAAGCGAATCCTTGGCCGAGCTATGCAGAGGGTTACTTTCCACCTTCTCCTCTTGTTTTGAAGCAGCGGGCTCCTGAGGAAACAGTTCACAATTCAAGTATGAACTGATATCACTCCCGTCGAACTCCACGGTGCTAAACCCATTTCCCAGGTATCCCCAACGATTGCCGCTCCAATACTCGATTTCATAATCTTCATACTTCGGTTCCTTGATCAGATCAAAAAAGGCCAGTCGACTACCCGGCCACATGACAATGTTGCCATCTATTTTGCCTTGCTTGAACCAGCTGCTGCATGGATCTGCCCAAGCAGTGCGCTGGAGATACACAGAGGCATGCTCAACAAAGTCTCTCATCGCGCTTTCTTTGGGGCTTAAGCGGCGAATGTGTTCTTTTCTCATTTTTTTGATGACCTGGATAAAATGGTTGGATAATAACGTGAGAATCGGCAGAATTGATCCCTGAGCCACGGGGCTGTATGGACCACCGTACATGAAATAATTCGGGACATTCGACACTGAAACCGAGATATAACTTTCCGCCCTGTTTTCCCAGCGGTCGGCAATATTTTTCCCATCCAGACCTATTATTGGGAATCGTGGGCGGAAGGTGGTATCGAAGCCTGTGGCACAGATTATCACGTCGACATTAACTTCCGTTCCGTCAGTAGTAAGGAAGCCGTTAGGAGTTATCCCGCCGATATTTTAAGTGTAACAGGTTGTTTTTGAGCCGACGAGGGCCTCAAGATATCCGTTTCCAGGGGTGGGTCGGCGACAGCCAACGTTAAAGTTTTGGGGAATGATCTTAGATATCAGGTGAGTATTATTACCGAGTTTCGATGACATTTCTCTGTGTGAAAACTAAGAAAATAAGTGATCTATTACTTGAAACTCACAGATTTGAAGATCAATGGTCAGGCAGGGCATACCAGAATGGCATCGTCAGACTCTTTGCTATTTCTCAAAACAAACCGGAAACGTCCATTAAGCTCGTCCTCTATCATCTTACGATAGCTGCGATACTTCTCCGGATAGGCCCTCCAGATATCCTTTTGCTCTTCACTATCTGTGGAGATGAATTTAGGTGAGCCGCAATCTCATTAAAGAAAGTGGGCTGCGGCATACATGCGAAATTCTTTCCATCGGGCCCGGCATACTTCTGCGCAAATCCAGGTGTGATCCATGTTGGTGTCCTTACCCAAGTATACAGCTTCGAAACGTCATTATAAATCGCAGCGACTGTCTGGACTCCTGAGCTCCCTGAGCCAATGACGGCAACACTCTTTCCTTTGAGATCGAAACCTTCTTCATATCGTGCAGTGTGGAAGAGCCGCCCTTTAAAGCTGTGCAGGCCAGGAATATCTGGCCATTTCCAAGCACTTTTCGAGGTTAGAATGAATGACCCGGCTTATCACACGGGTTTTCTCACTTTAAAATTCCAGCACCACTCAGGAACATATCAAATTCTTCGTCCCATTCTCTCACCACTTCATCTTTTTCATTCCTTTCCACAAGATGCAGGACCCATTTAGATTTGGGTTCCTGCCACGCTGCATGGACAATCGTTGTCCGTAGCCTTATATACCTCATCATCCCCTCTTCATCGACGATTTTCCTGAGATATTCCCAAATTTCCCTGGATGTACTGTAGTACATAGTCCAGCCAGGATTTGGTCTCCACGGGAACTGATAGCTCGCGCTAGGGACATCGCACGCACAGCCTGGATATCGATTTTCCAACCACGTACCCCCAATATCGTGGTTTTTCTCGTACACGACCAAGTCAACATCAGGATCATCTTTGAACGCGAGGATTGCGTGATGAAGAAAGTCAATTCCAGCGGCGCCGGCACCAAGCATGGCAATTTTAAAGGATGGTCGTTCCGGGAAAGCTTCGTTTACCATGTGGTCCGTGATTCTGTATCCGCTTGGAGAAGATACAGGCCATTCAGAACAGAACATGGGACGGTCGAGGGAAGCTGGATGGTCAATATTGGGATTGTTGCTCCCCAAAGGGGGCTGAATATCGTTTGTTTGGGCCATGATAGACGCTCTGCCTTCACTGCTAGCTTCCTGGCCCGACCCGAGCGCTGTTTGGGAATACAGGCACAAAAATTAGATTCCAATATAGTGGTATCACGAAAGTCCGAATGGAAGAGTTATGGCAGCGGGCAGGTGATGGTAGTTATCACCGGGAAATCATGGGCAGACACCTCATTCTGGAGAATAAATTATGTGAAGGCGGATACCGGCTCTCACTCCCTTCATCGCTCGGTTACAAATTTCGGGCCCCACCTATCTCCCCGGTACAAGATTGACTGACTGAAGGTATGACAAATATGGCAAAGTGTACGAGGTGTCCCATGTCCCGGTGTGGCCAGCCAGGATCCAAATAGTACTCGACAAAGCTGCTCAAATTGCTCGCTTCTTCCGTCCTCTGCATGCTGCGAAGTTTCCCCGCCCAACTTTAAGCTTATATCAGAGTTAACCCACCCTAGTTCCCCGCGCACCTAAGGCTCCGGGCCAACCAGGCGGAGAACGGTGTTGGAGTATCGGTCTTGCTATGAGGACCGGCGCCCTATCGCCTACATTGTTTGAGAGCTCTATGATATCGGCCTGCTCGCGCCAAAGACGGTTCACATTCCGTGACCAGTATATATCTCAGTCCATAAATCAGTATGCAATGGTGCCATTAGGTCACCATAATTATAATTCATTGGTATATTTTGAAGTCGTCTTATAAGAGCCAATATTGCCATGATTGTAGCCGGATCCTCTTCATTTATCCTATACCAAACTTCTGTGCGGACCTTTGTGTTTGGGGTAATGCATCGGATCTTGCGTTATCAAATTTGTAGAATTGTACACAGCTGGTTGCGTATTACAACATAGATTTAACCCACTTGGGAGCCCTCTTTTCTCGAAAGGCGGCCAAACCTGAAATGCAATTTCAGTTAGTAACAGTAGTCCCGAGTGTATTAGATCTACAAGCTCCCGTCAAGTAGAATGGCACAACACTTGAGGCTTTTGGAGAGAACTGATATCGTCGTAGGGTAGGGGGGAAAGTAGGCCGACTAGAAGCACATACCTTCCTTCACATTCTCTCCAGAATGTAGTCCTTGATCGTATCTGTCCCTGGTGTTTGCAGTTGCTTTATCAATTCCAGCGACTTCCCAAGCTTCTCTAATTCCAGCTCTGGTGACAATGAGTGCATCGGGGCTGAGTTGGGAGAGCTCTTTAGCGAATTCTACCGCTTCATCGATCAGGGATTCATGCGTTTTAGAGATTCTGTTAACGAACATCCAAGATTTAGCTTCTTCTGCGGAAATTGGGCGGCCGGTGAGAGCGATTTCGGACGCAATTTGTAATCCGGCGATGCGCATGATGCGAGGAAGACCGCCAGCGGCAGCGTAGATACCACGCTTTGCTTCTGGGAGGGAAAATTGTGCACGTGGGGACGCGATGACCATATCACTATCGATCTCCAAGTCAGAAACACTTTCGCTTGATGTCCCTGGCCATCTTTTTTTCAACATATCCGGTATGTGGCTCACCAGTTCAAGCAAATCTCAAACCCACCACCGTAGGCGAACCCATTCACGGCAGCAATGATGGGCTTCTTCCCTTTCCGTGTGCTAATGCCCGCAAACCCCGATGGTGGATGACCTTGAAGGTAGGGTTCAGTTGGAGGATTTAATCTATTCCGTTCAACCTCGAGTAAATCCTGGCCTGCGCAGAACGCCTTGTCTCCAGCTCCGGTGATGATTCCGACTTGTAGGGAACCTTCGTTGTCGAACCATTGCCATAGCTTGTGTAGATCCCAGTGACCTTGGAATGGAACGGAGTTTCTTTGCTTTGGGCGGTTGATGGTGACTAGAAGCACGCCGGGCGCAGGGTAGGAGAGGAGATAGAAAGGAGATGACGGAGGCGGCGAGGAGACGGTCATTGCGGACAGTAATATCGACTTTTGAGGCTATCGTAGTTTATGCCAACGTGCGTCAGAATGGAATAAAACACTAGAAGATAGAAACTGTGACATGGGCATCGTGGCATCTGGGCTCGCAATCCGCTGTTCAACTAATGCGGAGAAAGCACCTCGGCCAGCGGCATAGGAATCTGGGGTCCATCTCGGCATCTCGGCTTGCGGCTACGCCCCAACCTTAACTGAACCAGTCGCCCAAGTCGAGGTCTCCGAGCCCTTCAGCCACTAAAGCTCTGGCAAGGGATCTAGCCTGGTCTCTCCCAGGCTTACAGGGGAAAAATACTACCCACAGAGCGTGTATCTCGTACTATCATACCTTGAAGTTATGTCTCTGAAATTTTCAACCTGGCTTAATGAGGTGAGATTTTTATAACCCGCCATGTTCTCCCTGGAACACTTTTAGTTTGACAGCCACTCAGAGAACGCGAAAGTGGTGAAGGGGATCTGTGGTTGATTCCAGCTCTGGCACCTTTCGGAGGATTAGACGGGGTAGACTCGTGCAAAAAGCAAGAGTTAGATAGAACTCAAGTGTTTCTAGGGTTAACTACAGCATTGGGCATAGCCGGTACGTCTGCATCCTGCCAACGAGCGAAGGACTCCGCCCAGGGGATTTCTACGAACGAGACCGGAATGTCTGCCGTCGCTCACTACACAGGCGGAACCTTGGATTAGTTACATAAGCGTTTCCGACGTCATGACCGGCGGACTGACGAGTTGGAACTGGAGGGAGTCCAAGTTTCAACTTCTGCCCTGATAGCAGCTGCAACCCGCGGTGCTCATTCAGCTGAGGGGCAAGATGCCATGGAATCTTTGTCCAGATGGTGAACAGCTTATTATATACATCAATCCGCAAATTGGCCAAGCAATATCATTTTCATATATATCAATTTCCGGATATCCGTCATTTGGCCACGTCCCGTTCCTCAATGGCACAGTCTAAGAAGAATCCTTCGCAATCTTCTCCACCTGGTTCCAAATGGCACGACGACCCGCCGTATGCGGTCCAGCCACCAGAGGAATTTGGCACAGTTTACTGGCGCGCTAGCTGCTGCTGTGGACAAGTTAAATATCAGCTGAACAGAAAGAAGCCCCTGGATGCGAAATTCTGTCATTGCGTGGGTTGCCAGAAGTTGCACGGTTCGTGTTTCCGGAGTTCGCAATGTCTGCAATTCTTTTTTTTTTCTTTTTTTTTAAAAAAAAAGAAAGAAAACTCATACCCAAGCTCTTCGTTGACTGGATCCATCGGCATTCGTGGCAAGCGTGATTGATTTTTGCCATAGGTGCTCCATTTCAATGGGCTGCCATATTCCACAAATCTGATATCAATTTCCTAAACGGACCCAGAGGACTAGACTTCTACCAAAGCGGTGAAAACCTTCGCGAGCACAAGCTGCCCTGTAAAGTGTTATGCTCCCATTGCCACTCTCCAATCATGGACGAGGGTCGGAATGTCATCTTACTGTTCCCGGAATTGATAGATCTTGGTGAAGGTCAACTAAAGAGAGACGCATTGGATATTTTTGCCCCGAGGTAAGGAATCCTCCAGCTTCTCGTTGGCTCGACTGCCTGGTGCGTTCCCTGGAGCGACTAATTTCATCCAATAGTTGTCACATCTTCTATTCCCAGAGAGTCATCAACATAAATGACAGAAAGCCCAAATGGGAGGGACTGAATGGCTCGAGTAGAAGAATGGACTCGTGACTGAATTGCGTAGATGTGCGGTTTTGCCCGGAATTGGCTTTCTCTCGGTAACGTGGCGTTTGTTTGTAGCAATCGAGGCATTCTAATATCTATTGCCACAGTCATAGAGACTCCAAGAATCCTAGAGATGCACGTGGGGTAAGCTTTTGAAAGAAAAAACGATTCCCCAGAAAGATCTCCAACTCCAAACGCCTGGTCTCATCTGTTGGCTTCAAGCATCAAATTCTGGATGACGTCGCCGCATCGTCGAAGAACATCAACCCCACCAACGGCCTTGACTTGTCCCCAACTCATCTTTCTCCTGGTCTTCATCCTCGCCTTTTTCCCAAGTGTTCTTTTCACCCTTCTAAATTTCCTAACCTCTTTACCTTCTTCCCTCGCTCACTTAGCCCTGTCACACCCTTCCGGTGCCAAGTTTCCTGAATCGACCACGTCCTCGTTAACTCCATCGTCCGCACCCCACTCCATCGTGACGATGAGCTGGTTTCAAAAGACTATAAACCTTCCTGCGCGATCCCGCGGCTCCTACCTTGTCACGGACCACATCATGTCCGAATTGCCAGAGCTTCGCAACTACAAGACTGGTTTACTGAACCTCTTCATCCAGCACACGAGCTGCGCGCTGAGCTTGAACGAAAACTGGGATGCTGATGTGCGCGCCGACATGAGCGACGCCCTGGATAGACTTGTTCCTGAGGATTGGAAAGGGGACCTCTACCGACACAGCGCAGAGGGGACCGATGATATGCCTGTAAGCACTGTGGCTTTCTACCCCCTCTGGGTATTTTTTTTATGGCGGAGGACACTTTGTTTCTGACTGAACCCCGACCACTGTCCAGGCTCATATCAAATCCGCGTTAATTGGTGCAAGCGTTACGATACCCATTACGAGTGGTCGCTTGGCTACCGGAACGTGGCAAGGAATTTGGTATCTCGAATTTAGGACGTCAAAACATCACAGAAGGGTGGTCGCTACCATCCAAGGGGAGAAAATGGAATAGACTCGCACAATAACACCAGTCCCAACCGAGGAATGGTGAAACTTCAATTTTGGACCTTTGAAGTTGGACTAATGGTCGTTAGGAGATAGGTGTTCTTAGTTGTCCATATTATCATGATGCAGATAGACAGGCTGCACGGTGCTATTAGAGAAATGAGGATTTGCGTCGGATCCAATTGCCAGAGGTTGGACAGGAGCTATTGGTTCTAGAATTCGAAAGAATCACCGGCCCATTCGAGCCAGAAGTTTTTGGATAGAGCATTGTCAATGCTGAATAAATGAACTGTTTTTTCTTCAACATAAACCAATATTTGTACAATATAATCTTTTCAAAAAGAAGATATCGGTGGAAGAACAATATCAGCCCTCGACCCGGTCAAAAGTCATTTCTATCATGTTTAGTCAATAGGAGTAGGGGATAATTGAGTCAGGCGCGGATAGACACAGAAATAGGCTGGTATTTGTCTATACAATTTAACTATCGCTGCTCGAACCCTCCCTCTGTAACCCGCTGGGATTCAGGAACTTCTGCTGGGTCTCCGAGTGGCTTTAATGGATATGGGGTGTGTGGAAGAGATTCTAGGAACTTGCGGTTATGTTCATGGGCCTGATACATCAGAGTAGTTAGTTAACCCAGCCTAGTAAAGAGCCGGAGTTCTCGTTGTCTTCTGCCAGAGAACAATTGGGGGGTGGCGGAGGAAGGACTTACGAAAGGAAGCCCGCAGTATCCACAGACTGCGATCTCAGGCTTATCAGTGTTGATGAAGATCTTCGGGTGGCCCAGTGGCCCGCCACCACCATCACAAGAAACGACCCTCTCTTTGGTCCATCTCACAGGTTGTTTGTGGATCAGTTCGATAGCAGCATACGGGCGTGGCTATCCGATCGTCAGTCAAACAATATCATTCAAAAAGCCATCTCAACGAATTGCAAAATTCATCGTCCGGACCCCGAAGGAGTCACAGAGAAGGAATGCTATCCCTGAGGCCACGAACCTGATAGTCCATGATAGTCTGCTCGAATCTTGGGCCGGACATGGCCAACTCCCTCGGCTGCTGGCTCCTGGCCCAGGTGGTCGCTCTATTTGGAGCCTGCATCTGGAGTTCCGCGCTTGCTTGCTCCACCGACTCCTGCAACGGAGCATCTTGTCCGCCCATAGAATCCAATGGCACTGTGTTGGTCTCCGATATGCTCGTTACCCTCTTTTGCGGGTTGGGATCGTTTGTCGGGATGGCATTTTCGGATCTTTCGGTGAGACGGGGGGTAGTCGAGGAGTAATTGGCCCAGGAAACGAAGCGCGTCGACCGTGCCGTTAGGAGGCGTAAACTCGAACGTGTTGAAAAGAGCATTTTGGCGGCCGATTGACGGTTGAAGGGACGGCGGCTTTCTGTCTGCTCGTGAGGTTAAAGAGGTGGCAGCCGGCCTGAATTGAGGTTCATCGAGGGCCAAGCAGGACCAGCCAATCACATCGCTTGTCATTGGCTCTTGGAGAACCACGGCGGAAATTTAGCTTCGATAAGACTTATCAGGCGTTAAGAGGCTCAACGATAAAATCCATATCCCATTGAGATCTGTCTACGGAGCAGAGAAGACACTTAACTTTAAATTTTTTGAACACTACTTGCTAAGCATTTCCTGCGTGCGAGGAAATTGTAACTACTTTCTCAATCGAAGATTCTTAAATCCATTCCACCATGCCGCGAACTCGCACTGAGAAGACAATGTCTTCTCGTCTTCTTACTATGAAAGTACGATTTTCGCATCATCTCGTTCACCCCTGCTTTCGCAGCCCAGGTCGCTCATCTATGAACTAGTTTATGCAACGCGCTGCCGCGTCCTCTGGCGGCCCAGCGACCCCTTCCAGCCAAACATCCACGGTCGACGCCGAAACTTCAACGCCTTCACCGAAACGTCAAAAACTGTCCAACAATGCATCGCGTTCGGACATGAGGGCGATATCAGCCGCTATCAGAGCCGAAGAGGAAAAGCGCGCCGCAGCAATCGCGAAGCAAGCAGCCGAAGCCGGAGAGACCCAATGGGTCCTTGAATTTCCTGCGCGGGTGATAAGCAACACGCCAACGCCGACAGTGGTGACAACAGCAGACCTGAATGATACGGATGAAGAACTCGAATACGGCGGTCGAAGAAGTTATGGAAATTTTAAGAAGAAGACAAAAACTCCGGTTCGTTCCGTCATTGCAAGCCTGATAGTGCTCTTCTATGTCTCTGGTCTATTCTTCCCCTGGTCACTCGCTAACACAAATGAACAAATAAAGGCATATGCCACAGTTGAAGAAAAGCAAGGCGAAGCTGCTGAGTCTTCGGAGCAAGATGAAGTGTTAGCTCTGATTCGTTCAGCACAACCTCAGGAACAGTCTAAACGAAACAACCGTGGACAGTCCAATCGCCAAAACCAAGATCGTGCGCGTAAAGGTATTAGCTCTGGTGGCGGCCGGCAGTCTGATGAAGTCGATTTACGCAAACTCAATAGCATATCCGGTGGAATGTCAAGGGAAAAAAAACCGGCCGGCGGTAAAAGGAAAGAGTTCAGATAGGTCACGCTTCGCGGGTCAGGCGTGGACAGCTTACACGGACTCCCCACAAAGCGAGACGGTATGCCTTTCGAATTAGATACCAAGAAGCCCCATCATCAGCGTGGAATGACGCCCGAAGATTTACAAATTGAATATGTACAAAGCGACCGGGCTTGCGGTGAGGATGATGTTCAAAGCCTGGCCTTTTCCATTCGCTCCTTTTCATCCCACTGCTTCCGGCTGCGATAATTTATGGCGAGATTCCAGGCTGCAACACTTATTCCCAGCGGCGGAGCAAATAGGAGGACCCACGCCCACCACCGCGGACTTGACGCCTCAATGCGCGTCATGGCCTTCTTTATCTCGGCCTCCAGCTCCGCTCTATCGCCGTCATTCCACACGATGACGCCTCTCGCCGATTCTACGCCCCTGAATTGCGCACGCTCCACCTTTCCCAGCACATTGCCCTGGCTCTTCACACGATTCTCAGCATCTTCAGCACTCAGATGCGGGTCTCGCAACCGCAATCTTTGCATCTGCACTGCTGGATCCTTGACTCCAACGACAATAACCGTCCCGCAGAGCGCGTCCAGTCCACTCTCGAACAGCAACGGGACGTCTAACACGACCGCCCAGTGTCCCTTCAGGTAATACCGCACGAGCTCACGGTACATCTCCCATCTGACTGCCGGGTGCACAATCCCATTCAACACCGCACGATCTTTCTTGCGCTCGTCCGAATCGCCGAAAACTCGTCTCCCCAGCACGGGGCGGTTTAGAGGCCGCCCTTTCCCCGGTGTTTCTTCAGGGAGGAGGAGATCTGGTGTAGTTGGACCGAAGTAGTCTACTATAGCCTTGTAGCCAGGTGTGCCGGGTTCGACGACCTTCCGAGCGAGGACATCTGCATCAATTATCGGAAGATTGTACGGCGGTGCGGATAGGAGGGAGGAAACGGTTGATTTGCCGGTGGCAATGGAGCCCGTTAGACCGATGAGGAGCATGGGGAGGTGATATTAATTAGAATATGTGCGTATATGTAATGGGAGGATATGTCCGATGCAATTACAAAGGAAGGTCGCAAAAGACAACAATCGACCCCTAGATCTTATATAGTGGAGTATATGTTCTGATTGTCTGTCGTTCGAGGTGGGACTTCGCAGCTCTCTTCCAAGGTTCGACAAACAATCAATTTTGTCCTGACTCGGGCAATTAGCGAAAAATACTGGCGACACAGTAGAGGCTCTGTACAATTGTCGCGTAAAGATCGGTGCTATCCTAGGCCACTAACAATGTCCCATCAGTCTCTGCGGTTCTCCTTTCGTCCTTCGCTGACCTTGCCCAACTTACCAACCAAAATGTGTGTGCCTCCCTCCCCTATGCCGAAAACTTAACTTATTCTCCAATCTTCCGGGTAAAAATCGGCGAAAGCCAATAGACAGTATCCAGGAAAAGTTGTACAGACAGATAAATACCTTATACGAATAAAAGAGAGCAATGCGGAGTATGTGAGGCCCCGTCAAACTTAAGTAGACGGTGACTGTTCCGGAGGTTGAAAGGGAAGACGTGATGACGGCACCGGAGAGGAGAAACGATTGGGGGTTTCTCGCGACATGGCCAACCTCGGCTTTGGAAAAGTTCCCGGAGGTGAGAGCTCAACAGGAAACACTCGCCGCAGAATTTTTATATCTATATGTCTTCTCCTAAAAGTAGAGGGTACTACGATATCAGCTGGGATTTACTTATTACTATTAAGAAAGAGAGTCTAGGATATTTCATGGCCTCAAGAACGCTCGATGTACGAGAACATCCTGCCTCATGTCCAGCGGGAACCAAAGAGATGCATTTTATCATGTCAATTCCCCGGGAGTTATCTTTATTTTAGCAGTTACAGCTCCGAGTGGAAAATAAATTCCACGCCAAATCCGCCCAGTTGTCCTTTTCCGGATGGAAGAAACGGTGTCTCCCAGCACATACACACCCTCTACTACTCGCGATCATATCACTGCATCTCTCCTCCCCCTAAATCCTCCATCCCCGTATCCTGCCCATCACTATTTGCGACACCATCACCCGCCAGTATTTTCGTCTTCGGCATCTCAGACGGCGAGGTAGGAGTTTGATCTCCAGGCGTCACAGCGACCACATTATCATTCTCATCGACAAACTCAAAGTTATACCTGGACAACAGGTGCGGAATAGCAGAAAGTTGTGGGCCGTATCGAGCAGTATTATCATATAACTCAAACAACGGAACAGCGAGGAGCTTCATGTTCTTAGGGACCGACAAGACCTCTGCATCAACGTAGTAAACCGCCGTCAGTAACTCTTCGTCAACAGCCCCAGTTTTCACTGGAGGATGCGAACCAAAAAAAAAAAAAAAAAAGGAGAAAGAAGATACGTACTCTTCTTAGGCAACTGTATAAAATACAACTTCTTGCACTCCTTCGGCCTTGTCACATGCCCCGGCAGGAACGGATACATAAACGTCTCGAAATTCGGCCTCCACCACTGCGCCAGGGTATCTCCGATCTCCCAATCCTCGTTGACGCCTTCGCCACTAAACTGCGACCCAACGGGGGCTAGGCGCTCGTTTAATCGCGCTTTGAAGCCGTCGACTTCGTCATCTGTATGTTTGAGATAGTCACCAGGCCTACGCCGTTATGCTCTCCCAATCAGCTCAGCTCAGTTCAGTAGGTTGCACAGGGTCATTGTCTTTGAGCGATTTGTCACCACCCCAACCAGTCCAAACGATGGCCCAAAAAAGTAAGGCAGGCGAAGTAATATAAATTAAAAAAAAAAGAAAACGAAAAAGAAAAAGAAAAAGGAGAACCGCTGCTTACAGCTTAAAGAAGGCGTTCGCGATCTGCAGCATCAAGACATGTGGATGATTATGTTCATGGCACACCAGCACCCCCTCGCACGTCCGTCTCATTCCGTATTGCTCATAGTGCTCTTCCAAACGCTTTAACCGCGCTAATACCGAAGGGTCTTCCTCTGGTTGGGTCTCCTTGGTTCCAAATGTGTAGTTCGAGAGTGGATAAAGGCGGATGGTGGCTGGTTGTCTGTCAGAGAAGGACTTGGGAATAATAGGTCTATAAATTTCAATGATGGGCAAATTAGTAAAATTCTGCAATATTTGTATTTATGGGGGAAACCGGAAAAGGAAAAGGCTCTCCATATAGCGAGAAGAGCACTGTGCATAACTTACGGGCGCGAGCTCTCCTGAGCTGCTGGCGGAACGGTTGACATCTCTCCCTCTTCTGATCTTGGCCAGGCAATTCAAAACAAAACGGAAAAAAAGGGCTGTGAAATTAGCAAACCAAGATAAATCTGGATATGGAACGTGATGGTCGTTGTTGGAAACACCGGCTTTCTTGGAGCGTCGTGAGGTCTGATATGAACATACAGCTTTCGAGGCGTGAAGCTCATCGATCAACTGGGTTGGAAACAGCGCGTCGGAACATTGTTAATCCGATCCCACCAGGAGTTCGTAGGGAGGTCTCGATCCTTGTGTTCAAGCTTCGCTACTAACATTCATCCAGAGAGAATACCAGAGCACTGATTGATCTTCATAGATTACATCTATCTAAATCCAAAAAAGAGCAAACCCGCGGAGCAAATGCAATCCAAATCTAAGTAGTTACTGTACAACAAAGACACCCAAATCCCGATTGAGGCGCTTTTACCGTTTGGGGGAAGAAGTCAGAAAGCAACTCGAAGAGAGAGTTGAGCAACCGGAAGATGCAAATGCAGAATATTAGGACGAACAGCAAATCTATAGGCAAAGGGTATTATAACATGCTGAGACAATTGGGGCGAAACGGGGCAGAACGGCTCAGAGCTTAGGCTCGAAGTCCTCGTACTCGCTCAAATCGACAATGGGAACAGCAGCCTGGCTAACGGTAAGGTGAGCCTTGAATTCGGGCACACTCGTGATATAAACGGGCTTCTTGGAAGTAACGCCGTTAACGCCGTTAACACCATTCACCCCGTTCACACCGTTCACCTTCAACTCTTTAGCCGCCTTTTCACCGTTGATCAAAGCTGGTTTGACTCCAACGCTGGGGAGTAACTTGGCAAGCAGTTGGTTACCGCGTTCAACAATGGATGCAACCTGATCCTCGGCAACCTTGGCTTCGTCGGTCAAGAATCTCTTCACGGTGTCAGTGATACCACTGATGTCTTCGCTTGAGATGGTCACGTTCTCAAAGGCTTGCTTCAGCCTGTCGCCGTCAACTTCAACGTTGACGGATTTCAGGAACTTGTGGAGACCTTCGATGACGACATCCTTCTGTCCTACGGAAGCAACAGGGCTAGCACTCGCCTGGGCTTTCATGTGAACAGCGAGCTTGGCGCGAGAAGGAGACTGCGGATCGATGTATTGCCGGTAAAACTCCACAATCTCCGCCTTGGTGAGCGGTCTGACCGCCTCAGCATCGGTCTCGTGCTGGAGATAATCGTAGTATTCGGACCCGATGTGTGACCAGTAGCGGTTGGTCTCTGAAGAGAGATTCTTCATCTTTTCGAGTCGCTTGTTGATAACACTGCGCTTGTGCGCTTCGAATACGGAGTCGGTCATATCGTTGAGGTAGTTAGCAAACCGGGACAGGAAGGCATCGATACGCGATTCGAGATAATCACAGTCGCGCTCGCTTTGGATGATCACACGGTAACCTAGGGTGGTTGCAGAGTAGCGGGCACCGCTCCAGACAACGTATCCAAGCTGTTCCTTGGTCCGAAGCTGGTCAAAGGCAGGCTCGCTTGCCATCTGGGCGAAAAGCTGGATCTTGGCCCGCAACACCGGATCGGTCAAGCTTCCAACGAAGAGATAATATTCAATACAGTGATTGATATTGGCTGGGTCCTTCAGGGTGTATTCGTAAATGTAGTTGCTTCCAGGAGGTAGTATCATGTTCCGCCTGACTCGCCACTGAGAACGAGGCAGCGGTCGAGATTTGAATGTTGACTCGACAAGGTCTGTAAGCTGAAGGGCATCCTCCTTGTAGAGATTTCCGTGGGCCAGCACTTCGATATGGGTTTGGCGCAGGAGCTGAGGGAAAAAAGTGGCAACATCTTCAGCCTCGATATGCTCCAACTCCTCTGCCAACTGCTGGTTGATAAACGCCTTCTCAGCAGTCAAGAATCTTGTGTAGTTACCGACTTGGTAGTACGGCAATTGGTACTCCGCGTTACGGAAGCCCCTGGTCAGTCGCTCCTTGACAATTCTAAATCGATCGGGCTTGACCTCCAGGTCCTTCATGCTGTGTAAAACCTTTTCAAGAAGGACGGCCATCTTGTCGTTGTATCCAATGATTGACACGTCAAGGCCAAAGACACTGGGAACCAGGTCGTACTCCAAGCCGGCCAGCTCTGCGTCGTAAGAGTACTCCGTCAACGCATCTCTGACCAACTCGCAATACAGCCTGGCCTTGACGTTGTTTCCTGGTGTCGCATATACAAGTGGGTTTCTCAGAGTGATCTCCAGGGAAGCCTTGGGTACCCAGAAGGTGTCATCCTTCTTGAACCAGACCCGGACCCGCTCATCGTTGCGGATCAAGCTGGGAGTCTGAGTAGGCTTCTCCACCTCCTTTTTCTCCACGTCCAATCTGGTTGGCACAAACTCGTTCTTGTGGGGTAGATGTAACTCAGGTATTCTCCCTGCTGATGGTGACTCAAGCATCGCACGAACCTCAGAGAGAAGCTCCTCGGGAACCTTTTCAACCCTGTATTCGGTGCCGTACCATTTCTCTCTCCGATCCCAGTCGCCAGGGTACGTCTGGGAGATCAATTCGATGTTGAAATTATCGGCGTTAAGGTAGCTAAGTCCGCGGGTGACAAGCTCGGGGTCGAACCTCCGAAGCAGGGAACAGCTGATCAGCCATTCTCGGGGGTAAGGCTTCTGCATCACGCTGCTGAGGCTGCTAGTGAACCTGCTGGCAGGAGACTTTTGCTTAAACCGGAAGTCGACCTCTGATAGATTCTTCATTTCATCGAAAATCCATTGTTCCGGAGGGTTCTCTTTGATAAGAGCAATGTACTGGAAGACGACCTTGGCGACCTCTTGATGGTGATGCAAGCCATCTTCGGTAAGGCGGATGGAAATGTTGAAGAACGCTGCACCTGGGCAGACAGGCATGGCGCCGGCCGAAAGCTCGGTTGCCCAGCCCTTGGCTTTGATGTAGGCAAGGATACTTCCTGGGCCTTCGTGGCCAATCAGGTGGCTGATATATCTGCTAGGCTGAGAATCATACATATGCTCTTCATCCTGGTAAACGAAGAAGATATCGAGAGATCGCGTGTCCATCACGGGTTTAGCGTAAATCATCTTCTGCATATCCTCTGGCGCAAAAGGCGGAACGTCATCCCATCGATTCTGTGGAAGTTCCTTGTTCTTGACATCGGAGAACAACTGGACGACCCAACGTTCCAGCTGGTCGAGAGATTCTCTGCCCAGGACGACAAGCTTCATACGGTTCGCCGAGTAGTGCTTCTCGTGGAACCTGATGAACTCCTCCCGGACATCCAATCCACGCTTCTGAGGTTCATCCCGCAACGTCTGCAGGTTGCCGGTGGAAAAGTGGTGGTAAGGGTGCTTTGGGTTCGAGAGAGACTTGTTCAGCTGCAGAAGCCGCCATGGGTCGCTCTGCAGATTCTTCTTGTTCTCCGAGTCAACAGCGCGGAGCTCGCGATCCAACGTCGAAGGAAGGAAGAGCGGGCAGATAAAGAACTGAGCAAATCTATCGAGAGCACCGAACAACGGGGACTCCGGGTCACTTGTCGTAGAGGCGCTCTCTTCAACTGTGCTGGATCTCCTGTCGACCAAGGGTCCAAGTGGAGTCGGGTTCTCCGAGGGGGTGGGCAAAGCGGATTGTGGGGATTCAACGGGCTGTGAGTGGGATGTGGCAGCCACCTCGAAGTAATAGTTCGTCTCTGTAGCGGCCGTGTAGGCGTTTGAGTGACCGGAATGGGCAGCGAGGTACTGGTTGTAGTCATTCTCTCCAGGATACTATTTTCAACAGCAAGACACATGAATTAGCCGTCTTTTTTATTTTATTTTTATTTTTTGGTGTGATCGAATATAAAACCTCAAAAACCAGAAGCAAAGACATTTGATATATATTTTATTACCTTTTCCGTGCCCATGAACAACAGATGCTCCACGGCGTGGGCCATACCGGGCATGTCATCATCGTCGGAGAAGTTGCCGACGTTCACGTTCACGGAGGCACTGGCCTTGTCTGTGTTAGGATCGTGGACGAGGAGAGCTTCGAGCTTGTTGGCCAGTCTGATGACACGATACGATCGGTCATCGACGACCGGCTTCTCCACGCTGTCTGTCACACGCTCGACGAGCATCTTGGCTTCGAAGTCCGGCAGTGGGATGGAAGCTGGAGGAGAAGTCGAGGCCACCGAGGGAAGAGAAGAGGAAGAGGAGGAAGAAGAAGAAGCAGACGCAGACGCAGACGCAGACGCAGACGCAGAAGTACGGCGGACGGAAGAGAACGAGGCCGGTGAGCGCAGGGGTCTCGGGGCACTGCTCGAAGACGACCGGACTGAAATATTCGGGGCGTGCCAAGGTGGAGAAGAGCAGACGAAACGACGATATAAATGAGGGACAGGGGCCCGGAATGACGACAGAGCAACCCTGCTGGAATGAAGCGAGCGAGGAATCGACGGGCAACGAAAGCAACAGGAAAAGGGAGGGTGGAGGAGGGAGAGGAGCGAGGACCTTGGAGGCATGCAAGGAGCAAAGGATGGGCAGGATGAGGTAAAAGAAAAAAAGGGAAAAGAGAGGGTCCGAAACAGGGAAAAAGGGGGGAAAAAAAAAAAAAAAAAAAAAAAAAAAAAAGAAAGAAAAAAGATAATTGATGGGCGAGCTTGTATTCACGAGTTCGGGGAGAGGTGGCGGGGAACCTGAGAAAAGCCAAATCCGGGCACGGAGTACCAAAGAGGTAGTTCGGGGTCACTCTGTTCAAGACGTTCGAAAATGCTGTTGTTACCTTCGAACCGGGGGCGGGTGGGGGGGGGGGTATATTAAAAGAGGACGGGGAGGGATTATCCTGGCCGGGTCGAGGGGTGAACTTCTCGCGACGTGTGATTTTAATTGTTTGCGAGAGAATGAATAGGCGAAGCGTTGCACCCGACGAAGCAGAGAAGAAGCACGAAAAGCGGAAATTGTCGATTTTCGATGTTCAAAGCCACCCAACGGGGCTGGCAGCGGCGGCGGCGGCGGGCGGCGGCAACAACAACAACCAGGGGAGGAAGGGGAGGGAAGGGCGGCGACGCTGCGGGTACTTGCTGCGCAGCCGGGTTTCCGCCCAACAGACGTGTATCTGCCGAGTAAACCATCCCAAATAGTCACTGGAATTGCTTCTTTTGCTGCCAATCGCAAGTCCGCCCATTCGCCGGATTGCCGCAGATATGCCCGATCAGGCAGGCGGTGAAGGGTACTTGGCAGGGGCGGCAGCATTGTGGGCTATGATTGGACAGATAAGGGCAGACCCGCCTTTTCCCGGATATGTATGAGGAAAAGTGTGGCTGACGGCGATCCAGCCCGGTCGATCCCCGTCAGCCCTTTCCGCTTGGGAGAGGAAAAACCGTCAGGAATATATGTACAGTACATACTGGCGGTACATGCTCTTCCCTGCGAATGACAGGCGACGACGGATGTACATCCACACGCATATCCATACAGAGAGTACTTAGCTTCCCGAACCCCGTGGTGTTTGTCATCCCCACTTTCCGCCTGTCACTCACAGATAAAGAAGCCGCTGACTCTCGCGGATGTAAACAAATTAAATAAAAAAACAGTTTTACTCATATCTTCGTGATGTCTCGAAATTGAAATCACAAGAATTTTACATCTTCCGCCCGCCGCAATTCCCGCTGCAACAATGCCAGTTTCCCCCCGAATTACCTTTCGCCTGTACTGTACCTATTTTACGTACTGTACCTACCTCTCCGTTCCGTGGATGCCCAAAAAGAAACCTTGATCACGATATTAATTTTTTTTTTTTTTTATTTTTTTTTTTAGGCCAAATCCCCATCAGTCACCCGGTGAAACTCTATCCGACACCGAATGTACCTAGAAGTACCTCCCTTGTCACCACGCCATCTCGCGTCTCCTCCTCCATCCCGGCGAAAAAAAAAGGGAAAAAAAAAAAAGGAAGGGCACGAGCACAGACAGACGGGAAACCTGCTCAAGAAGACAAAATGTTCCGCAGCAAAACAAGGTAACTATCCGCTTGCCTTGCATCTCAAAGATAGCAGTCATCAACCCGCACTCGATGGCACTGTGCATTCATGCCAGGCTGATTGCGGTACGCTACAGGGGGCATTATTAATATAATGCTCGAAGGGCCATTTGTTACGAAAAGATAAAAAAGGATGCTACTCTATGATATATGGACTTATGGATCCATCGTCAAATCATCTATCCCAAACAGGATATGTGTCATTATTAATAATATCTCAGGCTACCGGGCCCGTGTAAGACGACACCCCCCGAGCCGATGACCCTTTGAGACCATCTCAAATCACAAAACCATCAGGGTACATATACATATACTTTCAATGTATAATCATTCAAATTGTATAGCGGAACTCTGGGGACCGCTCAATGACCATCTCTCCACGATCTGCCTTGCGATTGCACCTCCAGAAGTACAAACTCATGATTGCAACGATGACGAGGATAAGCAGTTGGGATCTATATTATGACAAAGATAACGTTGTTGTTAGCGACTTGTGTGCCCGATTTTACGGCGGGGAGGGAGATTTAAAAAAAAAAAAAAGGAGGAGCCCTTACGTGATAGCAGCCCAGATACCGGGGATATACTCTGGTGCGTCCTGTGATCGGAACACCAAACTACCCGCGATACCTCCAACGCCGCCCATTCCCACCAACGTCGCACTGGACAGCGCTCGAGTCCATTGTCCTCGGATATTGTTCGCCTGGTACGCCATCGACGCCGGAATATTGGCGTTGGCTCCCGCGGTTGTAAGGAAGACACCCACGTAGCGCACAGCGTTCCCCTTGGCAAATCCCATCATCGGTAGTCCGATCAAGGTAACGATGGCGTTGAACACGAGAACGGGGGCTCGCGTCTTGTATTTATCTCCAGCCCAGGATGTCGCAAACATGAGGATTGCAGCAAAGAAGTAGGGCGGGGCCACCAAACATTGCGATTCTCCGACGCCGAATCCCATGCCCTCGGCAAGGATGATGGGCAGGAAATATGCAATGGCGTAAGTGACGGTTGTGAGACAGCTGTGATGCCCATGATTGTCAGCATTCGATCGACGGTAGTTAATAGGAACGGAGAGTTTTTTTTTTTTTTTTTCGCCGGTTACATACAAGAAAATCAATGCGAAACCCCAAATCTTCAGATCCAGAGCAGGTCGAAGGAACTTCGCTAAAGTGAACGGTTCTGGATCCGCATCACCGCGGTCTCTGTTCAGGCGTCGAAGGATAAATGCTTGCTCTTTCGAGCTAAGGAAACCCCATGCTTTGTCGGCTTTGTCGGGAAAGTCAACGATGAAAATATAGCAAATGATGGCAACCGCAACGGAAATCTAGACAAGACGAGGAGAGGCGGTAAGTCTATGAGCAGAGCCCGCATCAAAATTCTCTCGCAACACTTACCACTCCCTCCATGATGAAGATCCATCTCCATCCTCCCAGACCGTGCATGCCGTCCATCTGACTTAGTCCAAAGGCAAGGATACCAGACAAGGAGGCAGCGACAGCGCCGATGAAGTAAAACAGGGAGTATCGCTGGTGCACCTCATCTGCCACAGGAGTTAGCTAGTATTGCCAAAAAAAAAAAAAAAAAAAAAAAAAAAAAAAAAAAAAATTCTTTTTTCTTTTTGTCAAGCAGTGAAAAATCCCAGCTACTCACATCGTGAATACCAGCACGAAAGAAGATAGACAGTCCCCGGGAAGAAACCAGCCTCAAGAGCACCAAGGAGAGCTCGTAGAGCAGCCATTTGCTCCCAGTTCTTCACAAAGCCGAAGCCCTATTGGAGGTGGATGAGCATATATGCGCCACAATTGCACGAAAAAAAGGGGGATCCTATACAATCAAAACTACTCCCCAGGAGGCAATAATCGCAGAGATAAAGATCTGAGGTCCAATTTTTCTAATAATGGCGGTCGCAAAAGGTTGACAGACGATATATGTGACGAAGAAGATCAAAACGATGACGGACTGCATAGGTTCATCAGTACTTCGTTCAGCCGCAAGTAGACGGACAAAAGCTTGCTTACATAGCGGAAGCCCACTGTCAGCTCCAAGTCCCGGTTCATCCTAAAAACGAAGAAGATGGATCAGCCCCTCGTTCTCAGGATCCATTCTGTTCGGAAAATCGTTGGCCATACCCTGCAATGGCCGCCATGGAGGTGTTGGTTCTGTCCATCAAACTTATGCAGTAACCCAGGCCGCAAATCGTCACCAGCCGCAGATCCACGCGGTGGATGATTTTTCGTTGCTCCTTGTACGAGAACTCCTCGTCGATGTCGACATCCGAATAATTGTTCTTGGTGACGGTGTCGACATGCTCGACCCCGCCGTCGGGAGCTTTCTCTTCATCTCGTGACATCCTTCCTCTCACAGCGAGCAAAAGTTCTGACAATCTGATAAATCTGAGGGGGGTTATCGAGAAGCTGGTTGCTCTGCCAATTCGTATGGACCAAGGTGCAGCGCCAGACCTATATATGCACCTTCTCCAGAAAAGCCCCTGTCTGGTGGGCGCTCACCATTGTTCCTCCCCGCCCCCCCCGCCCGCATCATGGATCTGTTCTCAGCACCATCGGATGGAGTGGGTGCGCGCAAATACTGGATGGGGCATGGATTCGCAAATGCCACGATAATGTGGACCTGCTGGGAAGTTTTGCCTTCCAGATGGAACTAAACACGAAAATTGTAACTCTAAGACAAAGTTGAAGCTAAGCGAAAAAGCAGTCCAGTCGGGTCTGATCAAAGTAAAATCATTCCGGGCTCGCAGCAGGCAAGTTTGCGGAAAGCTAAGCTGGTGGGAATAGTATACGATTTGACCGACCATTTTCGGCATCAAACCTCGGCTGGCCCCAGGGGGCGGCTAACCGTCTTTGTCCAAAATGGGGCCTTATTTTTGCATTTTTCAAAGGTGGCCAAAGGAAGTCTGGGGATGGAGATGGGCATGGGGATGGGTCCACAGGCTGGAAATTGAGCATTTACATGGCTGCCCTATAGCTCCCCAGGTTTCGCCCGAGAGCAGCGTCCTCACTCCAGAGGCATCTCTGCATCTATGCTATGTGATATTCTGCATGCATTTCTATGCAGTTCCCGATATACAGTAGGTACTGGGGTATGCACACGATGGGAGCACGCTGCGAAGAAAAAAGAGAAAAAAAAGAAAAGAAAAGAAAAGAAAAGGAAAGGGAAACAAAGGGAATCAACTCGCCCAGCAGAGCGGAAAACTTTCACCCCAAGGATTGATAAACCATGGAACCTGTGACTGCGCCATGCCGAATCGTCCCCGGAGTGAAATTTTCCCTTTCCGCAGAGGGGTACAGTAGAATAAGCTTGAATAAGCAGCCCAGCCAGAACTGCCCAGCTCACGAATCCCGGAGAACTCGTGGCCCGGTTACTGTACGACTAAGATAAAGTTTCCCGGTTGAGTTGGAGCCGATAACCTTATTACCCCGCAAAGTCTGGTTCGAGCCAACAACTTTCCTCGGTTCGACCTGCGGCAGCCCTCGTTCGGAGTGTCCGAGATCTTCGAGCGCTGGCCGAAACTTGAAGGCATGGCGGTCAGGCTAACGACCCTATCCCGCTTCGAACGTATAACGGGCGCCAGCGCTTAGCAGCTCGAATCGTTTGCTTCGGACGATGGCCGTTGACCTGTTCTTGTTGAGCCTATTATTTTCCTAAATTCCCGAACAGATTGGCCCGCCCATGCGTCCAGTGAAGAACAACAATCTTTGGGATACCGGACCCATGCCGAGCCAGGCTAACCAATGCTTTATTTGACAATCCTAACTCAACAAATGGTTGAGGATTCCCAGATTCCAAGCTGCGCTTGAATTCCGTGGCCAGATTCTCGAGGCAGGAAGTGGGTGTGTATCCATCATTGGCATTCACGGACAGTCTTGCTCCCAATATTATTATTATATGGCTGCCTCCATGAACAAATACGCTGGAGCAAGTCTAGGAATCCTGGCCACGCTTTCTCCATATGTTGATGGGCCTGGTGGGGAAATCTTCCGCCCTGTGTCTTATGTGACACACCGCACACATACGGAGCACGTCGTAGAAAAAATCGAGGCAGGGAAGCCCCCATACCCCAGATTCCCAGGTGATCCCAAGGATCGAGATGCGATCACGCATACCCTTTGGCCGCTATCGGACTTCTTAAAATATGGGTCCACCAAGTTGACAATTGGTGTAGAGTGAAGGATTGTGGCAAGTGTTGGGAACTGTTGAAATCTCAAACTGCTTGCTCATCCAATCCTTCGTCTGGGGGCTCGTGGTGGCGTTCTCAAAAAGGATGAATCTTTGTTCAGCGCGTTCTGGCCGCCATCTCCGGCAAAGACAAGCGTCAAATCGCCTTGGCACTTGACCTGCTAACCACTCTTGGCCAGACTCCGACAAGTTCCCAAGACGAAGGTTGTCCAATCATCAGTCCATTATGAGAGCTAGAGGAGCGATCCCCATATTCCTAACCATGGACACTCCAAAGGTCCCCAAGACTAGCAGCGAGAACGAGTCTCGGAGAACTTCCTTTCCAGCATCAGGCAATTCAGTCAACAAAGGAGTTCAGTCGTTCGAGTCATTCACCATCCCAGGTGCGAACGGCATGATCCCTTCTTTCCCCAGGCTCCAATGGGTTGTGATGAACTCCGCGAGTCTTAACTTCCGCCAGGATTCAAGAGCAAAGTTTCCGTTCCAAGTTCCAGTTGGAGAGGGACGACCATCTTTCAACACACACTTTCACAACAGAAAACCCAGAACTTGCTCCCTGGTTCTGGGGAAACATCCTGCCTTTCGTCGACGTCAATGCTCAACAGCATATACCCCTACTATTCCAAATCAATTCCCAAACCAGACATCAACCGCAACCTAGCTTGGTTGAAACACGCTGTGTGTGTTCGCCCTCCCCTTCTCTTTCGATGAGCCGAGCCCATAACTTAGATTGGCTTCTTGGGCCCTTACCGCTCTCACCGACAAACGAGGAGAGCAAAAGTGGCTTGTTAGCTATGTTCCTCCCGCAGAAACCGAACGATATACCATACGCGGACGGAAAAAGCCGCGCAGTCCCACAGGACTCCTGGCCACTCTAACAGCTGCTGGAGTTGCCAAAGCGGGAGGAGGGCGAAAAAGCACAATTCCCAGCTTTCGGATCACACACAAGCAAATTCATTCGTCATCTTCACCTGTCGCCAATGCGCTAAAGTGATCATGTTAGTCCGGCAATATTAAAGAACAAAAAAAAAAAAAAAGGAAAAAAGAAAAGAAAATAACATTTGAGAAACCAAGAAAGTGGGTGAAAGGGGTTGTCCCCTGGTCTGAATATGGTTAACATATCCTTTATTTTATTTTTTTTTTTTTCCCTCCAAAAAGAAACCTCTGTTTCTATGTTTTATATTGATCTCCAGGGAAACCCATTCTGCGAAAACAGACTTTCAAACCTCCCCCCGCTGAAGCCGGCTCCAGATACTACAGTTATGACAGGAGAGCTGCTCCCATTCAAGCCATATAGCTTTTGTGGACGGTTTTACGGGGTGCAACAATGGCGCCAAAAAAAAAAAAAAAATGGTCCCGCCAGTCTCTCAGCACACAGGTTTACCCAATAACAGCGCAGGCGGGGAGTACATACCTCCAATCTTGAGTAGTTATGTTCGGAGAACCCCGTACCTCTTAAACGGGGAGGCCCAGAATGTACTCTGCGGGCCATGAAGCAGCAGGGCGACCGGGGCTCAGAATCGGCAAGGGACCAGCCCTATTCGGCCAGGGCGGCGGTACTGTGTGACTGCCTCCCTTTTATCGTCACGTATGAGCAAACCCTCGTTTGAGTCACTTCTGAAGATCCAATTCTACTACAACAGGCACCACAGAAATTGGAAGTGCTAACGGGTGAAACTCATCGTTGCAGTACTTTAAAACCTGGCATTCTCTGCCGTTGGACTGATGCCGTATTTGCAGACAACTCTCGTTAAATAAACACACACAGACACACAAATTAAAACAAATCCCTCCGGGTATTATGCCCTCATACCTTTTTTATCCACATGCCCATCCATATTAACAGAAAGCAAACTCCATAACCCCTGTGCTGGGAAAAGAAAACAACGCCACTCAAAAGCTCGAATTATCGTGAAGCAAAAAAAAAAAAAGGACGACAAAAGATGAGTACTCAGTTAGACGAGGCAATTAGAGAGATCTGCTTAAACCGTCTCTTTGTGATCTGGACTAACTTCGATGGCAACAGTTTCTTCAAGGGTGGCCTTCTCCGTAAGCCCCATCTCCGAAGCAAATGTTGTATGCGGCTTCCATTTCGCTGAAGTACGAGGGGTAGTCTCTTCGAGCATCTTATCCACTTGTTCGAGAGTGAGACCCTTTGTTTCAGGGACGAGGAGGTATGCGTAGATGAAACACATGACGCAGAGAGAGCCCCAGAGGAAGAAGACCTTGGGACCCAAGTTGGCTTTGTCGGAATAGACGAGGTACGGGGTGATGACTGCGATGATCTGTTTGTGCCCGTGGTTAGCCCGTATACCTGAATTGATCTTCTAAGAAATTGGAAAGCACATACGCAGTTCCAGAGCCAATTGGATGCGGTCGCAAGGCCAACGCCTCTGGCACGGATAGGGAGCGGGAAGATCTCGCCAATGACAACCCAGGCGCCAGGACCCCACGTGCTGGCAAAGAAGAAAATGTAGATGCAGATGAATGCGATCATGGCCCTGACGGCATCCTGCCTTTCACCAACCGTGACACCCACGATGGCGACGATGAATTCACAGACGAACATGCCACAAGCACCCCAGATGAGCAAGGGGCGACGGCCGATCCTCTCGATTGCCCAGAAGGAGATTGGGGTAGAGCAGACATTGACCAAGGTCGTGATGAGGCCGATCAAGAACGGGTTGCTGATGGTGCCGAGGGACTGGAAGAAGGTGGTGCCGAAGTAGAAAATGAAGTTGACACCGGTCCATTGCTGCATCATCTGGAGAGAGGTACCGAGGATGGTGCGACGAAGGTTGCTGGCGGGATCGAAGAGCGAGCCACGGAAGCAGTTGAGCCAAGATGCCCAATAGCTGCCCTGGGGGACGACCTGCAGCTCGTACTCGTGGTTGGCGACGATCTCGGCAAGCTCCTGCTGGATAAATTCGGAATCGAGCGGCTGACCACGGACGGAGGCGAGGGCGGCCTTGGCACGTTCGACGTCGCCTTTCTTGACGTAGTAACGGGGCGACTCCGGGAGCAAGAAGAGGCCGACGGCGAGGATGAGAGCCCAGAGCATCTGCAGGGCGATCGGGATGCGGTAGGAGCCGGAATCGGTTCTCTCCTGGGTTCCGTAGTCGACGCAGGAGGCCAAGAGCAGGCCGACGGTGATGCAGAACTGGTAGCCGGAGACGATGGCGCCGCGCACCCTTCGGGGGGCGATCTCGGACATGTAGAGGATGATGATGGCGGAGACAAAACCGACACCGAAGCCGGCGACCAGGCGGCCGACGACAAGGAGGGCGACGGTGGTGGATGCGGTCTGGAGAGCGACGCCGACGATGAAGACGGCGCATCCGCTGATGATGGTGGTCCTGCGGCCGAAGAAGTCGGCGAGGTCACCGGCGATGATGGCGCCGAAGAAGGTTCCGGCGGAGAGGATGGAGGTGATGAGGGACTTCTGCCAAGACGGGACGACGAACTTGTCCTTGACCTCGTCGGGGGAGAAGTCGGACTTGCGCAGGCCGGTGAACTCCTCGATGAAGAAGTCCATGCCCAACACGCCGTTGATGTAGCCGGAATCGTAGCCAAAGAAGATGCCACCGAAGGCCGCGAAGGCGCACATCAGATACGCCTTCAGGGTCACCGGGGCCTCGACACGCGACACGTCGGAGGTTCCAGCCATGCTGGGCGGTTCTCTTTCAAATCTTTTTCAAAGCAAGTGAAGCAAGCAGAGAGAAGAAGAGAAAACCAGAAGAGAAGAAGAGAAGAGAAGAAGAGAAGAGAAGAAGAGAAGAGAAGAAGAGAAGAGAAGAAGAGAAGAAGAAGCGGGAGTTTCGAGTCAGTTGCCTGATGTGGCAGTGGGCGAAGGAGGAAGGAAGGAAGTAGTAGAATGAAGAAGGAGGTAGGTAAGTAAAGAAGAAGAGGAAGGAGAAGAAGAAGGAAGGGAAGGAGAAGAGGAAGGAAGGAGGAGAAAAAGAAGAAGAAGAAGAAGAATAAGAAGAAGGCACCACCCACACACACATATACACAACCCCGGAAATAATTAAAAAAAAAAAGTCAAAAATAACAATAAGGGAAAAGAGAATGTCGGTTTTGATTCCAACCCTACAGGGCAGGTAAAACTTTAGTCAAGGGAGCTCAGGCGGGCCCCCGGGGGAAGGAAGGGAAGGAAAAGGCGGGAGTTTTGCATACTCCGTAGTATAGTAAGTAAATTAGTAAATTATGTGGATTGGATGGCGGTGGCTTGCTTCCTCCAGGGTAAAAACTTAACCAAGTTAGTTAAACTATACTTCCATGTGTTTTAATATGGCTTCAGTTAACTACTCACCTCCATAACTCGATATTCATATACCTGTTCGTATTACAAGTCCTCTCCCCCCCCTTTTTTTTTTTTCTTATTATTATCATTTTCTGGTTTGAAAAAAAAGAAAAAAAGAAAAAAAAGACATCACCAAAAGCTGGGGCGGCGTGTCTGATTGGGCGGGCTGCGGAAAATGGGATCATCGGCGGGCTGGCCAGTCACGCTGCCGCTGCGACGCGGAGATGTTTCAAACCGAGCCGACCGAACCTGACAAGCATAATTGCGGTTAGGGCTCCCGTCCTCTCTTCTTTTTCCTTTTTTTTTTTTTTTTTTTTTTTTTTTTTTTGCCATCGTTCCACGGAGTACGGGGTACATAGTAGTAATCAGTCGGTTCATCCGTAGTGGCTGGGTTTGACCGAAAGACCCGGTTTTCCTGTTCCTGTGCCTGTTCCTGTTCCGGTCCTCTCTGCTTGTTCTCCCGATTACCGGGCAGCGCGGGAGAATTGTGTAGTACACGCAGCTTGAGGGTATCTGAGATGTGATTCTGCACCTCTGGGCCCATCGTGGCGGGACTGCTGATGCGATCAGAAGCATCAAACGGCCCGGGGTCAAAAGACGAACAATTCATTAAAACAATATCCGGGGGGATTCCAAACCACTCCGTAAAAAGGTTCGTTCTTACTGTAGTTTAGCTTCGCCGTTTGGATCGATTTTTGGTTGATCTAAGCCAATCTCGAAGCTTGCAGAAGCTGTGGGGAAAAAGCTTTTCTCTTCATTCTTCATTCTCCTTTTTTCTTTTCTTTTTTTTTTTTTTTTGGCCCGTTCTGTCTCCTAGCAACGATAGCGGTCATTTGATGGCATCCAAGGATCTTTCAAGATGAGAGGTTGGTCGTTTCTCCGCCCGGCCCCCCCAAAACCTCTCATCACGCAGGTTGAAAGATCCTTGGATGCCAGCGCAAATGCTACCCTGAGCTGCGACGCGAAATGCTCATTTTCTTGCCCCCAGCCAAGCCCTAAGCTCAAACCGGTTTGGGCCCTCGGCCAGGAAAAGCTTCGCGCAGACAGGGATGGCCGGGTCGTGTGGGGTGGTCGCGGCGATCCCCTCTGGACGGCTGCAAGCACCTTTTTGTGGCCTTTTTTTTTTTTTTTTTTTTTTTTTTCTCAGACAACCCGAGCGTGGCGGCTTGGAGCAAGCGTGATCTCCTGCTGCGCCTCGGATATTTCCGATGCCTCTCGACTATTAGCCATCGTCACTGGAAGTTAACAGAATACGGAATACGGAGTAATGATTCTACTAAGAATGTTAGACCTTGGTAAAATTCCTCCAGCGTTTACAGTAATGGCTTGACTTGGGTTACACCCCGTCATTCTTCTACGATCCATCCTCGCCTAAAAAAAAAAAAAAAAAAAAAAAAAAAAGGGAAAAAAGAAGAAAAAAGAGAGCACGATTCTACGGAGTATTCCAGAAACAGAACAATGAACCGTGGATCAATTCCCCCTCAAAAACCCGGGTCCGGGCCGAGTCTAGGCGGATGGAAGTAAGTGAGGAAATGGTGAACCCTTTCCAGAGCATCTTCCCAAATGCCGAATTCTCCCGTTCAACAGCTTCGCCCGATGTTGAAAAAAAAAAAAAAAAAAAAAAAAAAAAAAAAAAAAAAAGAAAGAAAGAAAGAAAGGGAAAAAAAGAAAGAAAAGAATGGGGAGAAAGGAAACTCTCTGTCATACCTGAAATGTGCCGGTCATGTACCGCTCTCCAATTTATTCCATGCAGTCAACCATCCATGACCAAGACGGGGTATACTCCGTACATCCTGGGAGCGAGCCTGTGCGCAAGCATAGCTGGAGGTATCTACTCCGTACATATAATACTATTACTATCTACGCTATGATGCATGCATGCATGCTTTGGCCTTCGTGGATTTAGCTGCATTCTTTTCCCCAGCTGAAGGGAGGATTTGAAGCTATCCTCGGCACCATCCACTTCTGCAAGCGTTGGAACTCTCCCTGCCTTGGCTTCGCAGGATCAATGAACTGAGTTCTTTTGCTTCTGCCCAGGGTCAGCGGACCGGTGACGTTTATTCTCCGGCCATGTCCTCAATACCCAGATGACATGTCTCCGACATTCCTCTGCCTCCTCTCGCGCGCGTCCCCCAACCCCCTCTCTCCCTCCGGGATTATTCGTATGGAGTCGCCGGGAAACAGTGTTTTAAGGCACTTGGGTGGCGAATCTCATGTTTCTCCCCACTAACGAATGCGACACGATCCTTGAGGTAGCATCTACATCCGCCAACGTGGTGTTATTCTACTCCCCAGGCCCTAAACAACCTTTTTTTTTTTCCCCCGCCGTTCTCTTCAGGCCTCTGAGAGATCTATCTGCCCCATAAAGAAACTGTGGAGTTATGTTGAAATTAACCAAACTAATAATATACAAACGTCCAAAATCACCGCTGTACGGAGTATTCACATGCCAAATCGTGCAGAGACGCGCCACCCTTTGATGCACATCCGTACATACGTTTCGATGCTTGTCGTCATTTGCGATCAACCCGGCAGGTATCACATGGCGTTTCGGCTTCTGTCATTTTTTTTTTTTTTTTTTTTTTTTTTTTGGAGGCCAAGTCAAACCTCAGAGGCAGTGAATGAGTTGAGTTGGCTATAACCTTTTCTCAGCGCTCCAGGTTTGAAGTGCGGCAAATGCGAAATTCGCGCGATCTACTCTGTATGTGTGGAACAAAAATAAATAAGAAAAAAGAGAAAAAAAGGGAGAAAAGGAGAAAAGGAGAAAAGGGAAAAGGCACAGTTAATCAAGTCATCACCATTTTAGTCATATGATGCCTTTTTGTCTCAAGCCTTGTCTCATTTTGCATGTGGCGATGAGAACTCATCGCCAGAGCTTTTTTTTTTTTTTTTTTTTTTTTTTTCCCACAAGCTCCCTCCGTACTCCATACAACCAACCTCTCTCTGTCCGAGAGTAATGCTACTCCTTTGGTACTGTGGCGTCTGGGTTTGACCCCCAAAAACCGGGGATTATAACCAACGCCCGGGAAACCAAGTCTATTTGGTCCCAAGGACTTTTGGTTTACGTGCGAATGATAGCCGACGCTTGGTTGCCAGTCATCTCACGCACCACTTACGGGAGTCCCGGCGGGGTGAAATTATACCTATATACGCGCCAGTCCTCTTAACGTGTGCTGGCTCCACGCTGATGCGCTCTTCGGTTACTATGTAGCAATTTGCTCGCTGCGATCTGGCAACGAGAGACAACGCACGGAGTCCTCCGTGCATAGTCGGATAAAAACCCATATTCGCATCATAAGTTACTCGGATCATGTCACATGTGCATTTTGTTGAGAGAAAGGAAAACGATCCCGGCAACAACAATAGCAAAAAAAAAATAAATAAAAATAGAAAAAGAGGTAGTTCAAGCACAATGCACCCTGCGACAGCAAATTCCAACATGATACCCAAGCGTCAAAATCGCACGAGCCCAGCTTTTCATCGGGCCCTTCCGTGCACGAAACGACCAAACCACCGGGTTCAACGAGCACACGGATCTATAGCTAGGACCTCTTTGTCCAACCTGGTAAGCTCTGTTTTTGGTCCAAGCCGTCCCCGCACCAGGGGGGAAGGGGGAAGGGGGAAGGGGGGGAGGGTTGGGTTTGCTTGCGGCTTGCGCGAGAGTCCAAGCGGAGGAACTCGCAGGGATTTGGCCTCTTTATGCAACATTCAGGGCTGTTGTGCGACGGTGATATCACAACACATATGGGAAAGCCTTGACAGGGGGGTTGGGGAAGCTTGAGGATAAGACTTTGCTCGCGATAAGTCGATCACAAAACCGCCGGGGAAAAAAAAAAAAAAAAAAAAAAAAAAGGAAAGAAAGCCGAAACAAAAAGAAAATTCTCTTCTTGAAGTTGAATCTCATTCCTATTCCGCGTGTAAAAACACCGTGATAATAAAAAAAGGAATCGATAGAGAGAAAGGAGAGAGAAAAAAAAAAGGGGGCCAAACTCCGTGGTGAAAAAAAAGAGACTTCACCGAGATCTTCCTCCTCCCTAGCCGCCCTTTGTTTTTAAAAAGCAAAACGCGTCCTTCAACTGGCGTGGAAAACGGAAATCCGAATGCACTCTTTCCATCACTCTTCTTCGGTCTCCTCTTGGATCCTCTCTTCTATCCACTTCGTCACGTCATCCATGTGGGCAAGGAGCATCTCGTTGAGGGTCTTCTTCGGGGATCTAAGAATGCGCCCGTAGCGCTTTGAAGGTCTCTTGGAGCCTTCGGGAATGTTGAAGACGCCGTGATGGTGCGAAACATATATTAAAGAGTTCTAGAGAGGAAGGGGAAAATTTTCACAAGGTCAGAGATCTAGCCATCCTAGGGTGAAGGAAGAATAGAATGGGTACTTGGCTCTAGGGTCAAATTTACATCTTTATACCACTTAGAAAGCCAGATGTTTGTGTGGCTTGACACTGCCCGGACTACGTTCTCGGCAACAAAGGAGATGACGCCGCTGACGCGGGGGTACACGCGCTCTATGCAATATGGCATGGTGTTAGCATTACGGTTTCTGGGGTTCGCAACTGTCATAAAAAACAGCAGCTGAAGGCATTCATACCTTTTTCGATGAGCAAGTCTGCGAGACCCCCAAACGCATCGCCAACTCCCAGAAAGAAAACGTGGCTAGCTTCGTTTGGCCTGCGCAAAACCAAAAAGAGAAAAAAGACGGATCAAATGTTAGCAATCCGCTACATTGCACGAAGCGACACTGAAAAGAGAGAAGAATTCGTACTCGATGTAATTTTCCCAGAGATAAACTGCAAGCTCGCTTGCCATCTTCTCCTTGCTCCGGTCCTCATCCTCGTACCTATCGGCGGTCTGAGATGGTGTAGCACAATTAGTACCTCGAAACAAAGATATTTCCTGGTAAAATAATGATGCATACATTGCTCCTGGTGATGTGCTTTGGGATATTGACGTCGATAACGGCTATATTCCTGTTCATTGCCCATTCAATATAGTCCTTGACGCCATCAGCCTTGGTCCTGGTTAGCCATTCCTTTTTTGCTAGGGCTGCGCTAGTTAAGTCATACCATCCAGCAGTTGTGTGCCTCCAACTTATTGGTCAGAGGATGGGGGATTCCCATGAGCTCTGGACTAGAGATATGCCGTCAGTCCTGTCTGCATTGCAGAACGCTAATGGACGTGGACAGTACATACGGGTCATGGAAGATGACAAGTAGCGGGACTTGCCAATCATAATTCCGACTATAGCGAATCTCGTCAGCATCGAGCCATTCGTGTGTTATCTAGAGAACGGTTTATGACCTTGCAAGAACTTGATTCTCAAAAGATTTGGAAATAGAATTTCGATAGATGAACAGGCTAGTTAGCTTGTACTCATCGTAAAGCTGTTTCGCTTGGTATTGTCGAATGATATCTACATCGAACTGTTAACAAGGTGAGATGGGCGCGAGGATTTATGTAACTTACCGTGAACTCGATTACCCCAGAATCTCTCCGGAGGCCCTGAAATGTGGTCAGCTTAAATTTTTTTTATTTTTTGAAGAAAAAAAAGGGGAAAGGATGCAAAATCTCGCACGCACCTTTAGGATACATGCATTGCCAGTACTTAGACTGAATCATGGTTACCTTACGAACTGTCGAGACTCCCGCCTGTGACGCACCAACACCAATGAGTCTGTCCGGTGGCTCTCCCATCAGCGTTCTAGTCACCGCGAGCGCGGATTTCGAAATCGAGCGGAAGTTGTATCCACCCTGGGATATGCTTAGTGACCTCCCATAAAAAAAAATTCCATAAAAAGGTAGGCATGCGCTTACCTCCAAGCAAACAGCTACTTTGCCATTCGCAAGATTCATCAGCATAGAAGTCATGTGAGCATAGCACGGCGGAGTGACGAAGCAGCCTCCGAGCTCATCACCTGCAGCAGCATCGAACCCGGCCGAGACTGGAATCCTGTCAAAACTATGCCCTAAATCGAACTGATGGCTGGAAAGCTTACTGATAACAAGATCCGGATTAAACTCGTAGCCAATTGGCATGATAACTTCCTGGAAAGCATAGAGATAGTCACCGTCACCCATGCCTTGGGTTGGCCATGGGATATTGACATTCCTGTTTGATGTGAGTTCGACACTCATACATATAATATTGTTCTTGAAGAAACGTACTTTCCTAGCCCATTGCCTTCACCACAGTGGTCCCAATTCCCCTGCTCGCCGCCTGGGTAGAAAGCACCATCTTTATAGACATGGAGAGAGATATACAACACATTTGGGTCGTCATAAAACGCATTTTGGACTCCATTGCCTAAAAGATCGGTAAGATTGATGACATAAAATGTCGGGGAACATAGAGTTTACCATGGTGCACATCCCTGTCATTTTTTGTCAGCAAATCGCGCTCAAACTTAAAGACAGCAACAGGATACAAAATGGCAAGCAAAGCTATCGCACTCACCAATCCACAATCATTATTTTCCGGCACTTATCCTTGAAAGTTTTCTGGCAAACTCTTGCCGCAACGCTGACGTTATTAAACAGGCAAAAGCCCATTGCCTGGCACTGCTCTGCGTGATGTCCAGGAGGACGAATCACTGCAATCGCGTTCTTCACCTTTCCTGAGACCACTGCCTTGCAAGTTTCAATGGCACCGCCGCAGGCTAGAATCGCCGAAGTAAACGTGAGAGTATTGAAATATATCGAGTCTCGAGTACTCTCCAATGCAATCAACTCATCTTCGGACATGTCTATGCAAAACGTCAATTTCCTATTCTCTACAAATAACCCCCAAGGCTAGCGAAATGTTGAGAGGCTAGAGGCAGGTGTGTCAAAGTGACATCTTACCTTTCGTGCTGAGAACAAAGTCATAGTGCTCAGAATCGTGAATCAACGATATCTCCTCGTGCGTGGCATCTCTCGCAGGAATACGAAGCAATGGCTGAGATACAAGCGGCCTTGAAGCATCTGGATCATCGACAAGTCCAGCTTTGCAAAGCTCCTTGTAAATGTAGTAGATACGCCTTGGGTCCTCTGGGTGAACATCTAGAGTCGGCTTCACCTCACAATGATAGCGCATCCGAATGTCATAGCACACGCCAGACGGCAACGACGAAACGGGAAGTAGTTTCGGGACCTCATCGCTCTGATCCGACGATACAGACTCGTCCTCGTCTGCAGAGATCTCCTCTTCTTCCTTTTGCTCGGGCTCTTCCTTATTCTCTTCCGACTTCACGGTCGGGACGGAGCTAGCTTGGTGATCTTCCACTTCTTTAATTAGATTCCCGGGCGCCACGACTTTTCTTTGAAACGATGCTAATAGCGACTCGGCCTGAAAAGCTCCGTTCAATTGTAGTTCCGTACCTAGCTTTTTCGGAGAGGCGCTTGACGGCTGACCAGCCCCGACAGGGACCGTTGGGCCAGTCCCCGTCATGACGATGTCCTCGTCTGCGTCCATAACTGGAGAACGCAGGGGCTGTTATTCAACGGGGACGTGTTTAGTCAGTCATACTTTGAGCACTGACAAAATGATTATGCAGCTAAGCCAAAAGTAATGAAAACAGATCTCGCAGCCCCTGCCGTTCGGAGAAGAGGGACACAGTCCAGTTCTTCACAATGCAGAACGAACAAGGTGCAAAATCAAACACTCTTGGAGACGAATATAGACAAGAAAAGAAAATAGTACAATGTAGAAAATTGCAGAAAAGTGCTCTTTTTTCGTAGAGGTTGAAAATCAAGGGTACTTTATCAAATGGAGCTCATGTGCTCCATACAAGCACTCAATAAATCATGGGACGGAACGGGGAGAAAATGAAGTGAAATGTATCTATCCCCCAGCAATGAAACAGCACACTGAGGAAAGGACTTGGCAAAAAAAAAAATTCACAAATTTCTATGCATGCAAAGCAGTGAAAGTGAGGCTTGCTCTGGCAGTTCCAGTGCAAACGGGCGTAAGAACCAGGAGAAAAGAAGACTAAACCTACTGGAGCGCGACTTGAGAGATGAGACGGACAGAAGTGCAGTGAGTCTGCACGTGATGATAAGAGCTGCTGACTGACAAGGTTCAGAAGTTAGTTAGTATCTTCACGTGAGGTTAGGGGCAAAATGCAGAAATCACGTGGGGGTGAGGTGAACGAAACTTTAGAAAGTTTGGAGGAGAGAAAGAGAGAAAGAATTAGAAGAGAAGATTTGAATAGCTTGAAAGGCTTTTCAGTGTATGCTGATGCAGAATGAGGGCGTTCGTGTGTTTGGCCACAGATTTTGAAGGGAAGCTACGCGGCTACCAATATGGCATCAATTGATGCATGACAAAGAAGTGGGTTCACTATTAAAACAATATTTTCATTGATTGCCTATCTTGGTGGTCATATCACTTTTGTTTGGTCATTCTACATCAGCAAAACTAGAACATACATTGTTAGGCAAGAATGACAGCCAGCTATGCCAGGACAAGTCGGGTTGAAGAATACAGGATGGGGAAGCATTCTGTTGAGACAACAGTACTCATTCCCTAGAGCAAACTCTTCTCTCCATAACTCTCTTTAGATAGCTATTTGCCGGCATCGACACCAGCAATGTATGCTATAAACAAGTCAGCATCAGAGTTCGCAACAAACATTTCTAGGTAGTCCTTACCGATCAAGTCGATCACACGGCGAGAGTAGCCCCATTCGTTGTCGTACCAAGCAACGAGCTTGATGAAGTGGTCGTTAAGGGCGATACCTGCGGTAGCATCGAAGATGCAAGAGTGAGGGTCTCCGTTCAAATCGGAGGAAACAAGAGCATCCTCAGAGTAGCTCATGATTCCTTAAAAAAAAAAAAAAAAAAAAGTTAGCCAAACAAAGGTGCGCAACTTTAAGAAGAATGGAAGTCCACTAACCCTTGAGTTCGTTGGCAGAGGCCTTCTTCATAGCCTCCTTGATCTGATCATAGGTAACAGACTTGTCGGTGCGGCAGGTAAGGTCAACGACGGAGACGTTAGAAGTGGGGACACGCATAGACATGCCGGTGAGCTTTCCATTCAAAGATGGAATGACCTTGCCAACAGCCTTGGCGGCACCAGTGCTGCTAGGGATGATGTTCTGAGCAGCGGTACGGCCACCACGCCAGTCCTTGGAGGATGGGCCATCAACAGTCTTCTGAGTGGCGGTATAGGAGTGGACGGTAGTCATCAAACCCTCAACCAAGCCGAAGTTGTCATTGACAACCTTGGCCAAAGGAGCAAGACAGTTGGTTGTGCAGGAGGCGTTGGAGAGAACCTTGATATCGGACTTATATGTCTCGTTGTTGACACCCATTACGAACATTGGGGCATCAGCAGATGGGGCGGAGATGATGACCTTCTTCGCGCCACCCTTCAAGTGAGCGCTGGCCTTCTCCGTGGTGGTGAAGACACCAGTGGATTCAATGACGTAGTCGGCACCGGTTTCGGCCCATGGGATGTTGGCAGGATCCCTCTCTTGGTAGAAGCGGACGTGCTTGCCATCAACATCCAAACCATTTTCGGAGAACTTGACATCACCCTTGAATCGGCCGTGGGTGGAGTCGTATTTGAGCATATAGGCCTAATTGAAAGGTGTCAGATCAGCCGATGCTTGAATTCAAACGGTTGAGATGCACCAAAAGGACGCTAGGCTGGACAGAGAAGAGCAACATACAGCATAGTGTGTCTCAATGAAAGGATCATTCACGGCGACAATCTCGACTTCTGGGTGCTCAACCCTAAATATACCATGTTAATTGCGATCTCCCTATCAACACCCTCTAGCGCTAGGCCGGTGGCTTAAAGGAAACCACTCACGCATTGCGGAAGACCTATAACCGCAGGGTCAGCGAGAAGCCAAAAGTTTGCGGGGATTAGAATCGATATGGACGTACAATTCTGCCAATACGACCGAAGCCGTTGATTCCGACCTGCATATGAAATCAGAGATATCCCTTTGGAACTATGAATTGATGCTTGAAGCTGTTATTGAAATTACCTTGACGACCATGGCTGCGAGTTGATTCAATAAACTGCTCGGCGGGGTCGATCAGGTCAGCTTCACTCCTTAAGTTGGTAGAAACGGAACAACTCTGTAGAAAGAAGTCACGATGAGGCAGATTCCGCAGTACTTACGGCGATATAGAACTATCGTGTGATGATCAATGGTGGTTGAAGAGTGATGGAAGATGGATTGAGGGTGACGTTGGGAAAGTGGAAAGATGAGGTTGGGGAGGGGGGGAGGGAAATAAATAACAAACACTAAATCCCACCTCCGGTGTATACCTTGGCGGGTATTACAGGCAAAAGGGAACAGTCCGGCCGTGGTAATAATAACCCTGGAATTGTTGACGCAAGAGGTTAACGGTTTGGTACCCAAGCAGGAACCAGTCTGGGCCGGAATGCCAGGAGCCTTCGGTGGACTACGGTCTTTAGGCTTTGACTGATATCATCCGGTTGAGGACAGCAGCACCCATCATCTTTGGTATACACATTAAACTGTTTGCCTAGGGTTACTACCGCTGCTGGCCACACCTCAGTCCCTCGTAGCGCAATTTTGACAGCGGGTAAGGATGGTGGATTATATCAAAAGCAATGTCCCGAAATCCCCGACTTGTCCCGCAATTTAAAGCCGGGTGATGTCAATCCTCTCGATATCTTCGCACTATTTCCGCCGCCAGCCAGACCCTTTCCGTTCGCCTCCACTCTCTGAACTTGAGAGTGCCAATTGGTTCTTGCAGGAACTCGGTTTTACAATATACATAGATACTCGGGGGCGGCGGAGCACCCGCTAGACTGGCCTGTGTCACTTCTTGGTGAAGCTTAGAAATCATCAACGGGCTGTGAGCAGGGTCGTTATTGTTCTTGAATCTCGGGTCTGTTCCAGCCGGAATGACATCTCAAACAATCCAGTGGCTTTCCCGATGATCCTTGTAGGTGTTGTGCCGTAGAACTGCCGCGCACGGAGGTACTCAAAAAAAAAAAAAAAAAATCAACGAGAACAATGCTCGCATGAGCCCCACCATCAACAAAGGAAATTTCTGGAGGATGATGGCATGGGTGTGCGTCACAAGCCGACCGCTGCAGGCTGCCCCTCCATGGCCTTGGCGACCCCTTCACCCTACAAAAGAAAACATAACCCCGGCCCGCGTCAACGTTGATCCGGCGTGAAGCTGGTTGGGGTACCTGATGCCACGCTGTTGCTGCCAACAGGAGGGAGTAATTGGCGTGGTGAGATGTTATTGCTGATGGCGTGTGGATAGCAGCTGGGGTGCGTGATCCTAACTCTTCCCTCAATTTCCTCTGTGGTTCGCACGCGCCATGGCGGTACGGGCATACTGTATCCAAAGAATACATCTCTGGTGTAGAAGCATATTTTCTTTCCTGATTTTGAGAACCAAGGAATCAAAACCTAGATTCGAAGCTTATCGCTCCGGAGAATATATCCATCCAGGGAAGGAGGGAGTTACATACACAACACTAGGCCCCTGCGTTGCGTAGAAGCCACATGTAAAGCACTGGTGTAAGGATACAGATTTCTTGACGAACTTAGGAACTAAGCGGGTTTCGCAAAATCGTTCAAGGGTAAGGATGTCGATGCTGCTCTCTCAGCGAGAACGCTCTGTTAGGTTTTGATATCTAACTCTATCTCCAGGTCTATTTGGAGAAATCGATGAATCACGGCATCGCCTAGAACCCGTGCAACTCCTCAAGAAGAAAGTAAATCAAAATACAAATCCTAAAGATGATTTATTCATCTTTGGCGCCACCTCTCCAGGACTTCTCGGCGTTCTCAACACTCGCCTTATCACTCTTAACCTCGCCCTGGCCCATACCCATTAGACCTCCGGCCGCCTTCCACGGCCTTTCCAGATTACCCTTCGCCGGCTGTCCGAACACGTGGATTTTCACAAGGTTGGCCTCCAAAGCACCCTTGAGAGGTAGGATCGACTGGATGACGAGTGGATTTGTATACTTGAAGTAAAGGTGCATAACGCACATCATACCAACACCCATGAGTTGGGATCTGAACTGAGAGCGGAGCTGTTGTTTGTCATAGTCCTGCACCGTGGTGACGACGGGACGGGGTTCTTCTCCAGAGCCCATAGGCGCGGGTTCAACATATTTCAAGGTCTTGAGATCTGTATTGCCACGGAACGGTAAGCATATGCAAAGTGAATCGTAGGCAGGCAGAAAGGAGCCCCCGAAGCATTTGAGCCGCGAGAACAGCTAAAGGTGAGGGGACAAGACATGTCTTACCCTTCTTTTTGTTGATCTGGCTGTAAACGTAGAGGTAGAGGGCCGCGATTATAATATTAGAGGCAATGTACATCGTTCGTACACCGAGAAGGACCTCAGGTTTGTCAAATGGGATCTTTTTCGACACCTGCATCATCACGAGGATGATTGCAAGGTTTGATCTACAAAAAAAACGTGTCAGCGCTGCTTTTCGCGCGGATTTTAAAGGTGCGTCGACCCGCAGAAGGCTTTCAGGAGTAAGCCGTCTGGACTCTCGAGCCAGGACTTACATTTGCGGATTCATGGTGAATAAAGAGTGTCACGCGACCACAGGCCTACACGAGGAGAATAAGGAGGGAAAGATGGCGAAAAAAAAAAAAAAAAAAAAGGGCTGCTGCGTTGGGACTGCGCTGGAAGCTGTCAAATCTCCTGAACCAGCTCGGAAAATTTCCAACTTAACAGAGTGTTCTTGAAGCCGCAATCTGTCACGTGATGAAAGACCTCGCCCCGGAACACCAAAAATAGATCTGCTCGCCGTATTCCGTGGAGCAATTTATAATACGGAGTACGGAGTACAGGACGAGGCTTTTTCCTTACGACGGCAAGTAGAGTCGTCAAGAAGGTATCACCGAAGATTGAAGTCTAAGTGAAGCACTTCTACCTAAATTGCAACTCTACTTCCTCTCGATGGGGCGACTCGAATAGGGTCTATTGCGGCCCTCCTGCCGCCGGCGGGGAGGGGGAGAGGGTGTGGCTTTCCGAAACATCCATACCAAGAGCTGACAATCTTTGATTACAACAATTGCAACTGTCAGCTAAGGCCATGTCATATTTTATGCCAGAGGCCGTGAATCCCATCCCTTTCTACTCCGTAACGTCGCTTGAATCCCCTCTGATTGGAGACGTCGACGCCGACCGGTCGAGCACCAGATGCAGCTTGAAACAATGTGGACAGAAGGACATGATGATCAAGTCCACTGATATGAGCAGATCGCACTGCAACGCATCTTGGCAGGGACGGACGTAGGATCTGCCGCGGTGCCGACAGAATTCGAACGTTTCCGTGACGTCCTCACACATCGGACATGTGGGCTGCTGGACTTGGCGTTGATTTTGCTAACTCTCGGTTACTTGAAGGATTAAAGGAGAAATCAGTCGGGAGCCTGACTGCGTGAACTGCTGGCGGTTAGGCTCGAGGACGTCCTATGGGGACCAAGGGAGCCACCACCCTGATACAAGATGCGAATAATCTTATAGTCGTGCCACTGTGCTTATGAAGATTTGAAATATTAGAGGTTTGATCATGCTGATTTGCCTTGAAAGCCTTTGTTGGTGTGATGAAACAGAAACATGACTATGCAAATCCATGAAAACCGTGGCGCGACTAACTGTTCCATATCAGCATCCTTCTTGCGAACCATACTGCAAAATAATGGATTGAATACCCGCCTTGAGAGATTATTTCTTGCTTCGGCTATTCTGTACATACTCTAACATAGAATTTTAGAACATATGACGGGGTTTTGGGGACTAATCGGAATTGGGATACCCAATTTTGTGTTGAAGTTTGGGATGAAGCGCTCTTGAGGGATAGGTTGCACATACGTCATCCACTATTGACACAAAGAACTTGTGGGCCAGGGAGGACAGGGTAAATTGAGTAAATTTGACGACTAAAACCAAACTTGTACGGAGTACGGAGTAGTAGGCCGAGCATTAGACCGAGCAAAAACAAAGGCCTAGAGTACATGCGTACATGCCCCACGCTAGTTTCGAGCTTGACTGTCCGAACTAGTTTCGTGGTGCTCAATGCTGGAAGACGAGAATGCACTTGGGCTACGAGCAAGTGGTTGACCAGTGGCTGATGGCCGTGTCAGCCACCAGCCACATGAGAGTAGCGATGACATAAGCTATGTCTTCACACGCCGCAGCCTCCGCATTGCTCGAACTGTCAGGGAAAACGCAAAACATCAGTGTAACAACAGACACTTGCTAACGAATGGCTTGACTCCTTTCTATCGTCTGAAGTTAGCTGCTGTGCACCTGATCGAGGACAAGATGAAGAATGATCACTAACTCGCGGTGGTGCATCACTAACCCAAGACGCTCGAGAGGAGTTTTTGACTAGCCTCCCTGCTGGCCCTGATCCAGCGATGGCCTTGAATGGGGTAGCAGGTATTATTTATGAAAGCTGACATGCCTAGGGACCCGGATATTTGCGCCATTTTACAGAAGGCGTAACTAACTTGAAGCGCTGGAATCTATGTTTGAAGGCGGCGCCCAGTTCCCCCGGTGAAGAATTGAGGTTGTGAAAACCCACCCGAATTAGGAATAGCGCGGTTTTCCCATCAACCACTCTTTTCCCACTTGAAAGCGACCTGGAAGTCTCAACCCATGATTTTCCCTTCTTCCATCAACAAAAACGCGTTATCGCCACTTTTTCCAACAACTACTCCGTGCTGACCCAACCTCAACCTCGGACCTTCATCACCTCACGCGACATATCGATATTTAGGACCGTGCGACATATCTAAGACGCAAAATGCCCGGTGGAAAAGGCAAATCCGTCGGAGGCAAGGGTGCCCCCAAAGATGCTTCCGGCAAAACTCAGAGATCCCACAGTGCAAAAGCTGGTTTACAGGTTAGTCTTGTGAATATCGTGTTGGATTTACCTTCTCTTTGAATGCGACACGCGAAATGTGATCGTTGTCTGCTCCCGCCTCGCACTTGCTGTCTGTCCTTGAGTAGCATGTGGGGTTCTGCCTAACCTGCTACAACACGATTTCCATCAATTTTTGTATGATCTGTATTGCTAACCCTACCCTTGTGTAGTTTCCTTGTGGCCGTATAAAGCGCTTTTTAAAGAACAACACTCAGAACAAGATGCGCGTTGGCGCAAAAGGTATACTCTGCTCACATGTGCTTTGGAAAGTTGCTGGGCCGAAGCTGACATTGCGATTCCCCATGTAGCCGCTGTCTACGTTACGGCTGTCCTCGAATACCTCACTGCAGAAGTGCTGGAACTCGCTGGTAATGCTGCCAAGGATCTTAAGGTCAAGCGTATCACACCCCGCCATCTACAGCTGGCTATTCGCGGCGATGAAGAACTGGATACGTTGATCCGAGCCACTATTGCGTTTGGAGGCGTTCTCCCACGCATCAACCGGGCCCTGTTACTCAAGGTTGAACAGAAGAAGAAGTCCAAGATTGAGGCATAAGCGGAATGTCGTTGATACCGGACCGAGTATGCAGGGGGCTAGGAGACCCGGCGCACCCGAGCTTCGATTTCAGTGCTATCATATATAATATCTTCCCCCCGAGCATTGGTTCTAGACAGCAAGCCTGCTTGAAGCCGGTCCACTATTATGCTCATGATCATGACATTGGCTTCAACTTGTGGCCTTGGTCCGTTGTCATGCAGTACCCTCGACACTTCTCGTCAAGTTGATGCCTTATATATCTGCTTGCTCTCCCTTTCTCTTATTTTCTCTATGATTATTCTCGCTTTCACTTTTATTCAGGCGCTTTTCTGGGTGGGTTGACTGGTGGGAAGGATGAAACTCAAAATCCGGGTTCGGAAGGACAGTCACAAAGCTGGTAGCATGTTTGATTTCCCTCTTTCCCTTCGCTGTGGCTTTCTCTCTTATCTTCAACGCTGGGCTGTTTTTCGCCCTTGATACTCTTGTTGCTCGCTCTACCTACTCTAATTTCCGCTGTATAAGTACTTTTAGTCTCTTGGAGTCACCAATCAGAATGAAAAACATGATGCTACCGGCCTCATTCATGCGTAGTTTCTCGTTTGGTCTGTCACACCGCTGCAATACAAATCGTGTCTCTACCAACAACAAGGCCTTCAAAACGCTGCGACAAAGCTCTGAAAAACACATACGCACGGCCCTTGCTGATATTCTGCACTCAGCCTATACAGAGCCTTGAAGTACACATAACAAACGGAAGCTCATATCTCGTTGTATCATTTGACATTTAACTAAACACCTATAGGCGGAAGAATCATCCCCATTTTATTGTTGCCTGGCGATCTTGCGACACAGTAACTTGCTAGAAACTATCCAGCTTTGACGGGCTTCAAAACGTGGGTTTCCTTCGAACCCCTGATAGGCCCAAAAGGTAATTGGCTCACGTGCACCATAAGCATCCTCCAGAAATTGCTCATCCGTGTGTGTGTGTGTAATGATATGTACATTAACTTGTTCTATAAAGGCATCAAGAGCTTTTGCGATGCAAGATCATCTCCATGGCGATTAATTAATATATTTAGAGCGATAATTTGACACTTTAGGGGCTTGCGCGCAGGAATGATCATCCTTGCCTTGCGTGGAGAGCAGTTACATTACCTCCAAGGGATGACTCGCGATGCAAGGCGTTGATCCGACAATAAGCAGGGAAAATTATCATCAGCAGAGTCGTAGTCCTTGCATTTGAATGCCAACCGGTGCCTGGAAAGAGAAGCTGCAGGCGGTCTCTGGAGCCGCCGAAGACCTGCCAAGTCCTGCAGCGTCTGATCTTAACCTTGTTGGGCAATGCCAACGTCGACCCTTTCGATGGAACTTTATACATACAATGTATTACTACGACAACAGACAAGCTACTATCTTGAAGTGTTGATTGCCGTACCAAAAAGAATACCTGCATGTTTGGTGACTGATGCTTGGTAACATTGATTCTATATTATATACATACACCGACGAAGTACCAACAATGCAACGGAGATACGTGTCAACAAACACAAGAACCGGGTAGGTAAACAAGCAACCGAGGATCAAATCAAGAACAGGTGTTAGGATCTTGGCGTATATCCGTCAGACTATGAGAGAACAAATTAGGGGGGTGGAACGGAGATTTATAGGCAAAAGCCCAGTGAAATCAAGAACGTAACCAGCCCAAACCCTATGCTGTTTCTTGTATTTGTTTTGGGCCCGGTGTCATCATGCGGATATAAAATCAAGATTGGTATGTGTTTTTTGTATAGTATAGTATTAAAGGTGTATAATGAATCCATCAGACAGGGTAGAGTAAAAAAAAACAACATGCAGTAAGGTAACCGCGATGTTAGTTTTTATCTCTATGCGCGCGCATTGTCATCATGTGGATTCTAAAGCGAGATTGGCGGAAGTCGATAGGGAGGTAAGATTGGATCTGTGACTCTGTCAGCTAGCAAAAGGTGGGTGCTCAAAAGAAAAATGTATCAATCGATACAATTGCAGAACGATGTGAAGGGGTGGGTATCTAAGGAAAACTGAAAACAATCGACGCTAGGCGGATTCGATTGAGCTTGACGGCCCGCTTAGCAGGCAAATTGGGGGTGGGCAGGGAGCTATATAGGTAAAGATGACGGGGAAATGATAGTTAAACGCGAGATAGATTAGATAGTATGTCAAGCAAGATGGTTGGTGAAAGAAGGAAGAGAAAGAGGGAGGAGACACGGAGAGATGCGAGATATTTATGCCTTGGAGGGTTGCCCCAGATCATGGCGCTAGCTTAAGCGAGAGGCAGGAGAGAGGATTCTGACTGGCTGAGGGCGTCTGGAGGATCAGTCGCTGGAGGAACACATGGCGGACGAGGTTGGGAGCTGATTCAACGCGAAGATTGGCCAGGAGACGGTGTTGACGGGAGTCTCCGGTCCAATGAAATGGCGTCCTGGAGGCCACTGGATCAAACGGCTGTAAGATAACGGGTTGTAATTTGATACTGGGGCGTCTCCAGTCGCTGCGGCGAGTGGCAGGGAGACGGTGTGAAGGGGGTAGAAGAGATACTGAGAGATATGCGGGATTTTGTAGATGTATATCCACTAAATGGGTTTCATTTCATGCCTGTAGTGCTAGTATTAATATTTGGAGGTTTAATCTCTGAAGACGATGATAGTACAGAACTCCGTCCAATTGTTGCTCTTGACCATCCCTACACCGGCATCCAACAAAGCAACCATAAAGACACCTTTTACATGCTTTTTGTGCGTAGAAACAAAAGAGAGTATTTTGACTCCCGAAAGAAGCCAAAATGCCTCCAGCAAGGGGAAAATGGCAAACGAAAGCAAAGGGGGAGAGATAGTATCGCATCTTAGGAGAGGTGACGTCGGATGGGGCAAGGTTTGCGAGCGGATACATAGTAAGTCTTCAGGTCCAGGCAAGATTACCGCAAAAGGCCAAACTTCTATTGAGCTCTCTTCCGTTTTTTAACAGGGCTCCTTGCCCCAAACGAACTTCCGTTGCTGTTGTCCAAGGCCTGTAGATTTTCATCAACGCTTGTGTTGGCAGGGCTGGTCGCCTCGCTGCTGGTAAAGGTTTCCGTGATTCGATTCCCGCCATTCCCCGATAGATCTCCAGCGCCGGTTTGGTGGAGGTTGCCTCCGTCGTTGCCGCTCCCATACGCATCAAAGAAGCTATTCGTCTGGGCCTGTTTAGGATCCGTATTGCCATCAGCAAACAGCTCTCCAACATGGTCGCTCTGGAGTTTGTCAAAATCAAACAAGTCATGCGCCTGTGCAACCAACGAGTCGCCGGAGTTTTCATTGTTATGGTCGTCTTGGGTATTCGTCTGTGCTCCCTGGTTCGATCCATATCCCGACGCCATTCCGCCCTTGATGGGCTCCATATTTGCATAGTCAGAAAAGTAATCTCCGCTGTGAAAGATCTGGTCAAGATCAAGTGTGGGAGGTGGAACGTTGCTAGGATTGTCGGGTTCAAGACCAGGGATTAGACCGGTTGGGCTGAGTGGTTGGAGGATGTTGGTAAGATTCTGTACTGACCGATCCTGCTCTGCCTGCATTTTAACCAGATTGTCGATTTCGGCGCGGGTGTTGGCCAATCGGGTGGAATAGCTGTGAGGCATTGGAGGGGGGTTGGGTGTGATAAGGGCGTTATTAGGCGATGATATAGCGGATGGGTCGGAGGCGTGGCTTTCATTTGCAATCAAACGCAGCATATCTGCTCTTTGAGTTGCAGTAAGTGGCACGTGGCCTCCGGCGTTCTCAAGCGAAGACAGGACGCTAGGAAAGTCCGCTGCGCCAGGTTGCATGTTGCTTCGGGCATTGGAGCTTTGGATGAGTGACATGATGTCGCGCTGAGGGGGATATTTTGCGTCACTTGGACTACGCGCGTGAGATACAGGGGTATATGGCTGCTGATGCGGCGGTTGACCGGTATGCTGTGGGCTTACGCTCTCGAATAACTCCTCCACACTGCCAGCCCGGGTACTAGGCCTATGGCCGTGGCCATTGTTCGTACTCTGCTGTATATCATATTGGTTATTTGCCGGCGATGATGTACTCGCTCGGCTGGGCGAGGGTTCTTGGCCGCCAGCCGGAGGCGCTTTCAGTAATAGCGGCTGTTTTTTCGTTGGTCGCTGGGCCGGATTGAGATTCGATTCCACATTTCCTAGGTAGTCACCGACGTCAATGATATTGCCTTGGCCCTGCTCCTGTGGCATGGTCCCAGCAGCGAAAGAGTTGATCATGCCCTGAGCGCCGTCGTGGCCTTGCAGGCTTCTGTTGTAAACGGTAGCTAGGAACGTCAATATCGCATTGATCGAATTCTCATGTCGGTTATGCTGTTCTTGGAAATTAAGTGCTTGGTCATAGAGTTGTTCATGCTCGCGGCGTAGTTTGCTTATTGTGTTGGATATCACTTGCTGCTGGTGGCGAATATTCTGCAGTTCGCGATAAACGTTCGCAAATTGCTCTTTGGCTAATGCTGCATCCCCTGGGGAAATGGATAGCTGGCCTCGGAATCTGCTTCTATCCTCTCGGCTTCCGCCATCTTCTACGTATTCTTCGTTTTCACCATCGTCCCCTTCTCCTTCTGTCTTCATTCGTGAAGGTCCCTTCGCAGCGGCTTTCGATTGGGAGACATTCTTGGGTTTTTGGATTAGCCACAATAAATCGGGGTGGCCTCGTCTAAAATAAGGATTCGAATATTCACTCGGGCTCTTGTTCTTTCTCTCGCTGGCTCGCATCGAATTATCTGACAGCCCAACCTTTTTATGGAAGCCATACATGTTCAGCTGACGAACGAAAGAGGCATAATTGCTGTGTTTGAAGAGCTCTGGAATCAGTGTTCTGGCAAACTGGTCTTCATCGAGCACAATGAAGGATCGTCCATCTTCGGACCATCTGATTAAGTCGGTATTCTTGGACTCGTCGAGGAAACTGCAGCAGGGAATTCCACAGTCAATAAAGTGAAACGATCAACATAACCCAGAACAGATATTGAACATACCTTCTGAGTTTCTGCACAAAAGGGGGAATTTGTTTCCTCTTTGCTTGTGCCTCTTTTTTAGCAGCGAGAGCTCTCTGCTCCAACTGCTCCTCTGTTTCTCCAGTTGCAGGGTCAATTACTTCTCCCGGTCTTGGAGGAGGTTCCATCAACGTCATTACGCCTTGTTCGTTTTTCCTCGGTCTGCCTATGAGTTGGTTTCCCGGTCTCCGAGTCAGCTGTTGACTTGCTGCTTGAATGCTGCCCATATCTGCAGGATGAGGAACAGACTGATACGGGTCTATAGGCGAATTTCCTGGAGGATTAACCAGCGGCGGACCGGCCTGGCCCCATTGTAGGAACTGGTCGTTTGAGAGCTGTGAATCGGAAACCGGATAGTTGTGTGACGATGCGATTGGATGTTGAGAAATCGGAACAGTGCCGGGAGCTGGTCTTTTGCGCGATGAACCTTGCGATGTCATGATAAACGGCGGATGTTAAGGACTGCTAATGCCAAGCCGCGGGCGGAGAGGGTACGGATTGGCGACGAGGGAATGATGGGATGATAAGGCGAGGAGATAGGTATGCCGTGCGGTTTGGATCAACAAACAGAGCGTGTGGGTATCAGATGCGCAGGATTCGTGACGTCGTGATTTCGTATCAGGAAATTACCTAGCCCTGCGTTTATGGTGCTTCGAGGAGAAGGGCGGAGAGAGCGCGCGGAATCGGCAAGGATTGATGCCACTTGACCAATGACGAGTAGAAGGGTGCTGGGGAGAAGGTTGAATGCTCTCCAAACTGCGAACGTCTGGATACTAGTGGAAACAAACGCGGATAGGTCAGCTCCGGAACGAAAGCAAGAATGCAGGGACCGGCATCGACAGTGAACGCACGGAATACTGCTGCCACAACGCGTCCTTGGCCAACCAAGGCGGTAGCAGCTTGCTGGAGGGGTTGCTCCGCAGCCACGGAAGGGAGACGAGAGACGGGCTAGCTTGGATCTCAAGCGGACACCTGGTGCGCAAGGAATAGAAGGATAAGTGAGGATGGCTGGGTTAGTGTCCAAAGGGTCAATGAAAGCACATCCTGCCGGGCCAGATCCCAGTCGCCGTTTTTCAGTGATGCTGATGGCGATGAACCGCAAAAGCACCGACTTCTTGGCCTGCAATGACGCTCCTGCCGTATGATTGGCTGGGAAGGCTATGACTCAGCACGCTGGCCTTGCTGATAAACGCTTATCAGCTGCGATCGACTTTCAGACAGACGCTGCATCAGACGGAACAGGGCTTTATAGGCAAGACTGCTGGGGCGATAAAGGGCACACAGCATGCGCCTCCAATGACGGAGTCCACTCTCAGATCATCAGACATGGCCCCAGCCAGATATTGACCCAATTCATTGTGTTGCTTCAGGCGTTAAAACTGGGGAGGAGCTGCTTGACCGCCGCACACATACTCTCCGCACTACTAAGACTGAATCCTTTCACAACATCACCCGTAGCACAGCAGGTATTTAACGACTAGCTGAAAGATGGCAATCATTAATTATGACCATTTCGATAAAGGGCCAGTTAGATCAATGTGGGTTACCTGGACATTTTATGGCCATTCTTTTACATTCACTCAAAAGATGTAATATGGTTTACAACTGAGGGCCCTCATGAACAGATGCGGGAGAGCTTTTTTTCCCCGTTGAACCATCAATCTCACAGAGCACCTAAGGTTCCCTCTGTGGAAATCTTGGGTTTTTATGTTCCCTATCTCTACCCTCTGAGAAAGTTTCTTTATTTATCCTAGAGTTCGAGCCTGTGGCGCTGCCACCGGTGAGCTGGACAACTAGTTAGCCACCCGATTCTCCGATAAGAGCACCGAATCCCTTCTGCAGCTTTTCCCATACTTCCGGTTGCTCCGTTGAGAACCGTTCGACCTTTTTTGGAGCTTGAAGATCAGCAACCATTCTCCCCTCATTCTTCGTCCCGTTCAAAATCACAGTATTCCCAAGTCCCAACACAAAACAATACAGGGCGGCTTGTGGACTGATCCCTACTTGCTGTGCTAACACCCCCACAGGCTCAGAGTAGACTAGATCCGGATTGGCCGTCAACGTCCAGAAGGACTGGTATATGATTGAGTTCTCTCTGCAATATTGACGCACCGGACCATCAAAGTGTGTGTCACGATAGAACCGATTTTGTACAACTGCGGGTTTCACTCTGGCCGTCCGATGGAGAGCGGAGAGGACGGGAAGTGTACAATTGGAAATGCCCAGGTGCCTGATCTTGTCGGGAACGTACTCTTCGCATGCGGCCCAGGCCTCTAGGGTCTGCTCCATGGTGGGAAGCGGGGAATGTAAGACAAGAGCGTCAAGATACGTTTTGTCCTTGGAGCTTGGGTCGTCTAAGGGCCGGAGGTTTCTGAGAGATGATTTTATTGAGGCGTGGACTTGCTCTGTAATCGAAGATGCAGGATTGTAAGGCATATTATCCGGATCCTGACCGCCAATGGAGGTGTACTTTGTTTGAATCTGGCGTGTGGCAATGATACGCTATCAGCTAGCTATTTCGAAGCGAGCAATCCTCCATACCACAGTGACTGGGAATCCTTCTTTAATGCAAGGGAACTTGACCAACATACAAAGATATTCTCCCGCTTCACTTTGCCTTCGGAAATAGCCCGTCTTATTCCTTCCCCTACAAGGTCTTCTCGATAGTGTTTGGGCTGGCCAGCGGTATCGATGGCCGTAAACCCGTTGCAAAGCGCCTGGTAGACCAGGTCAGCGGTCCGGTCTTTCTTCCAGGCGGTTCCGTAGAGGAAGACAGGGATCGAAGCTGCTTCGGTTCCTGCGACTCGAAGGGCGAGTCTGTCCCAGCGCGATGCTGCCATTTGACTCAAATTTAGACAAATGGCGTTGTTATTGAAGGGGTTCGGTAGATCTCTAGTAGTGAAGTTCAAGGTTGCCTTCGGAACAAACTGGGACGCGATTCAGGGAGTAAAGTAGCTTTAGATCGGATAAAATAACTAGCTTGTTCTATGAACTCTGCGTGTATGGGATGGGAGAGTATGATCTCAGTTCGTCCTGATCCCTCGGTGTTGCGCTTCGAAGCAAAAAGCGTGGGTAAACGCTCGCAGGAAGCTTCCCCCACACAAAGCTGGACGGCTGTCGTCATCGGCGCTGCAACATTATGGTTTACGGACTTCCCAGCTGGCCGACAGCATATCCATAGGCAACTCCTCGTACGCTTCTGTTCCTTTCATTTTTGAAAGAGGAACGACCATGTGAGCGCATCTTACTTGTACTCCGTCGCGAAGCGTATGCACATACATATTTATATCGTTATGCGACCAGATTTTGATTGGAAGAGAGGCCTTGTTGATCTGCGCAATCGCGAAAACTTGGTACAAGCATTCCGCATCATGCATATGTATCCATGTACTCCTCCACTGCGAAAGAAAACATGCTTAAGCAAGGCCATCAAAGTATATTACAGAGGTGTCAAGTCAGGTTGGATGAGAAGTCAGAACCCCATACTCCGTAGTTATTCTGGTGTCCCAGTCAAAGCGGAGCGCTTGTTGCGGATCGGAATTGTTGCTTTGGCCTCCCAAAACCCAAAAAAAAAAAAAAAAAAAAAAGGAAGAGAAACACATGACGGACAAAACAGCTGACCGAACCAAAGGCTTCAAACTAAATACATCCGTTCCTTGACACGAGGATAATGTTGCAGGACCGTCGATCATAGCTGTCAGCTCGATGGCTTTAGCTTCAAGGCCCCGACGCCCCTGTAGGCCACCTGCGCCATCATCGCCCTCGACATCCGCACCGAGTCATATGACACATTGAAAAGCGTAGAATGTCCCGTAGATTCCTCCACATGGGGGACATCTCAGGATGCTACATGTGGGATGAGATGGTCCAGTTCACTTGACGCATAGTGTTGCAGGCGTTGAGGCGCATTTGGGAGCAGCGGCATGAGGATCTTGAGAATCAGCTCCATGCTACCTTCGTCGCCTGTCGGACATTTCGATATGACAAGTCGATATTTATTTATTTTATTCACCTTTCGACTAACAAACTGAGAGCTTCGGCTTCCCGGAAGTGAAAAGGATGGACAGGAGTCGTCATCTCTGCTTGGACAAGAGCTCTCCACCGCCAAGGCCACGGCCACTAGCCCACGCCGCGGGCTCGACGAGCTGTGGATGTCAATTTGGATCCATCAGGGTTCCCCACGGCCTAAATGAGAGGCAACGAGCGCACGGCGGATGATTTGTCCGGTTTCTTAGCCGGGCGAAACCAATTACCAAAAAAAAAAAAAAAAAAAAAAAAAAAAAAAAAAAAATCCAGGATTTATGCGTCTCTGTCGAGTGACAATCCAGTTGACCACCAGCGAGTTAGAGAAGACCCCCCAACATCGATGCTCTTCCGCTGGTAAGAGCTGGGTTCGTTCACTAACTTACTAAAGAAGATCTGGACCAGCGATTCGGGACCGCCCATCACCTGACGGATTGGACGGCCTTGCTGTCGTGGTTTGAGTTGGCCTCTTTAGCCGAAGACTCTTTTGAGTTCGGCGCAGGCGTGTGGGAGTGGGGAGCAAGCCTGTCTCGGAACTCCTGCCAATGAGAGTAAATTGTTCGGACTGTTACAAGATCTGTGCGAAGGGATTTACACTTGCGGGAGGACGGATGAGCTAAGGTACCCTACCCAGGTTATTCCCAACTCTGTCATTCCGGAGTGACGCGAAACAGTCAGAGGGGCAGAGCCAGCAGGAGGCCCAGTAGGTATGGGTGCGAAGGAGAGACGAGGAAATCCTGCCGGATGGGCGCTGATGGAGACATGGGAAAGTGACCCAGCTGCTGGGCCCCGTGTGTCTACGAAGAATTATTTTCCAGCTGGAAATATTCAAATATGAAAGCAAACGTTCTGGAATACGGCGTTTAAGGATGGATGTGCACAAGGATTGGCCCTCGTAATCCGGATCAGAATATTTAATAGGGGGAAGAGGAGTAAAAAAAAAAAAAAAAAAAAAAAAAAAGTAAGGGTTGGAAAGTAATTTTGGGTTGCCCGTTTTCAGACGTGACTTGAGGTTGATATGACGGGTAACTTTCTCGGAATCTGTGCTGGGTGTCCACACAAGCCCCTAAGTCATTTTAATCAGGTCTTGAGAAATCAATAATTTCTTTTTTACGACGGCGAGGACGGAAGATGCAGCATTTTCAGGGGGGCAACAGGTCGAAATCCACGTCCAATCGAGGAGGACAGAACTGTTTGTATCAGGATGAAGGAACGGCAAGCTTGTCTGAATTGGCCCTCTTTTCTTGAGTCGCTTGCCTGCTGCTGCCGGCCAGAGTGACTTCTGGGGAGACCAAGGAAACCTATGCCCAGCCGCGCATCCGTGCGGGTTGAGTCTTGCGTGTGTGAGTGTACATGGGGTGTGTGAGTGTCTTGCCCGGGTAAGTGACAAGACGGTCCAAGAGAGGCGCAAATCTCCTCTGCAGAGGCAAACAGAGCAACTGACCAACTACTCCGTCGACAAAGGGGTGGCCAGGAGAGCACCGCACTCTATTCGCTGGCAGTATGCTTTGTGGGAAATTTGTTTCTTTTGGCTTTAGGCAGAGGGCAGAGATGAGCTAAACCCGTCGTAAGCGGAGGCAACTCTGCACAATCAGCGCGCCTTTGGGACAGCTTCAACTCCTTTCCACAGGTTAGAGGCGTCTGCTCCCTGGGTGAAGCAGCCAGCGGTCCAGGGCTCCGTAAATCAAGACCATTTTATTATTTATTGTATGTAGATCGATGATGCTGACAGGAGGAGGAGGGTCCGGGACGGACCAGCAGGGAGGTTTTCTACCCTAAAATTCACGTCTTCTCCAAATTCTCGCCCTTAACTTTTCCCTAGTCAACTTCCTTACTCACCCTGGCCTCAACCTCCCTCCCAAATTTTTTTTCCCTCTCCTCTCGCCGTTTCTCTCCCCTTTCCTCTCCCACCTCCCGCACACCCTCAACCTCCGCCGTTCCCATTCCATCCGTGTCTTGCTTCCTCGCCATCCGTTTGTCTTTTTTCCTGCAAGCCGTCACTCGTTGACGGCCTTCTTGGTCTTCCCTTTTCCCCACTGGCTCGTCGCTCCATATTTATCTCGACACCCTGCTCACCACTGCTTCAACCCGCCTCCCTTCCCTGCATACGTCTCGCTATATATTTGATACTCATCTCTGTGAGCCCGTTGAGCTGTTGTCTCAATCACGATTCGCTGTTCTCGCGGGCGTAGTCTCTGTCTTGCTCATCGCAAACCCACGCACAAGCTTCCGTTCTGCCTCCGCCCACCCTGAACGGTTTCTCTTCGCCTCCGAAACAAACAGACCCCAATCCCATTCCCAGCTCGCACGTTTACGTCCTCTCGCTGGTCCTGGGCCTGTGTATTCGCCAGCAACAGTCCAGTCGTGAACTTTTTTCAGATCCTACCCATGCCGTAATCGTCGTCTTCTCCCGCGTTACCTGCGTTCCTATGTTGACGATTTGACGTTTTCCTACGACTGATGAGTACGACTCTACGACGTTCTAGTCTTCAGCATTCGGAAAGCTTTAATTATATCCCTTGCCTTTCCCCCCTCCCCCGAAGAGAAAGGACCCTGGGCGTCCTGGTCTCGAACACCGAGCGAACATTCCACACGTGACTCTGGTCACATATATGTGTGTTGCTCGGCATTTTTAACACTTGATAAATCCTCTGCGCGATTGTTGTGTTTACACATCTGGAGAAACATTAAAAACAAAAGTGACGCACACAATCCTTTAACACCAGTCCATCACGTGTCTGGGTGGTGCTGTTTTGGTCTTATCCCTTTTTATACTCATTGTGACTGGTTCTTCTTGATCTCCTTGGCTACACTGTCGATATGAGCAATTACCACTCCCAGAACCAAGACATGTATCATAATACTGTCTCTCGGTCTCCTGGGTCTCATCGCCATGTCCACCAGCATCAACAGCTCCATCGCCAGCCTTCGAGACAGTTCGATGCATTCGGCTCCATGCCTGCCGCAATGTTCGATGACCCGCTGTCGCGTTACGAATCCGCTACGTTAGATAGGATGAACCAAGGCCTGCAAGCTAATAATTTCCCGTACGACATTACAGGCTCTCAGACCTGGAATGCGAATGGATTGAGTGGTGCGCATACTTTGGGAAGCATTGGGAGTAACCCGCTCTCTGCCTCCGCAAGAGGGCGATCAAATGTGCGTGGTAGAACTGGCCTTCCGGCGGTAAGTACCGTTGCGCAAAGTCGACAAATCTCATCCCGCAGAGCCTTTCTGACCCCAGAAATGCAGACCTGGCTCGACCAGCAGCCTGCTCCCCTTCCAAGTGCATTCCCGCTGGCTCCTGGCCCCATTCAGCCGAATCCGTTACGTACCGAGAATGTCAATCATGGTCATAACCACAACAACGACGGAGAGGATGAGCTTATTCCGACTGCCATTGTTATCAAGAATATTCCCTTTGCAGTCAAAAAGGAGCAACTCATCCAACTTATGACTGAAATGAACTTGCCGTTACCTTATGCCTTCAATTACCACTTCGATAACGGCGTATTCAGAGGTTTGGCCTTTGCAAACTTCACCTCTGCTGAGGAGACCGCGACGGTTATTGAAGTTCTGAACCATTTTGATTTGAATGGAAGAAAATTGAGAGTTGAATACAAGAAGATGCTTCCTGCGCAGGAGCGTGAGAGAATTGAGCGCGAAAAGCGTGAACGTAGGGGCCAACTTGAAGAACAGCATCGGCCGATCGCTGCTTCGCAGCTCCAGAATCAAAATTCTATGTCTTCCTTGGCTTCTCACTTGCAAACTACTTCGCCGTCGCCAGTTTCTCAGCGACAAAATGCATTGGGTGAGTTAATAGCCGTATATCCTGAGTGGCTCTGGGCATTTTAATTTTTTAGTCTGCCCTACTTACACCAAACTTCGTTCAAGAGTCACTAATTATTGGGTTAGACCTGGATATGAACGACGCCCAAACACTACAATTCTATTCGCAGATGCTCCTGTTTAAACAGGATCAGAACAGGGAGTCGCTTATTTTCCCGTCCACTTTGACCCCGCTCCAGCGCCGTACTGTGCATACTTTGGCCCACAACATGGGTTTGGGTCATGCATCTCGTGGAACTGGAGACCAGCGCCAAGTGCATGTTTTTCGTGTGGCCCCCGGTTCAAATGTGAGCCCACCAATTCCTACCCTGCCAACCACGATCCACCCTGCAGATTCAGCCCGTCGAGGCCTCAACCGTGCAGCCACAATCGATTTCAGTGAAGCAAGAGGCGATGCGCCGAACCCCTTTGGAACCCTCCGGAGCCATAATTCTGGATATCTTGGCGTTCTTGACTCTCCTGGGACCTTTGGAAACGCACAGAATCTTCGGGCGGCGAAATCCTTCGCGGATCTCCGTTCCTATACACCTTCACCAGCGCCATCTACGGCAAGCTATCCCACTGCATTGCATGCCCAGGGTACCCGTTTGCAGGCTTATGACAATATCGCGAGTGGAAATTCCAACACGCCTACTTTGACTCCGACCCCAGGTTCTTCCATCGGCTTACAGCGTGCTGATGACAGCCTCCTTGTCAATAGTCTTAGTGGCCTTACTCTTGGTACCACCGTTGGTGGCGGAACTTCCTCTAGTCCAAGGCGGCTTCGCTCAATGTTCTCTTGGGAGCAGCAGGAGGCCTCCCAACCTTCCACAACCGCTCCTATTGGCAGTAATCGTTCCATCGGACTTGGTGCTTTCGACACCCAGACTCAAGAACGTCTTCCACTTCGACAACCTCGTGGTCCTGTCCCAGAAAGAGGATCTGGATTTCGCAGACCAAATGGGCATCAATCTCGTAGCAGCGACGAATTACAACAGGGGCGACCCGAAATCGTCGTTGAATAAATGACCCCACAAATCAACACGCAATTATGGAACAAGACGTCGAGTGAAAAATGTACCCCATGCTACATTATAGTGCGCTTTTTTTTGAGACACCATCCATGAGATTGAGTGGTGCCTTTACGATTCGATGATGGATGACGCAATGACCTTACCTAAAAAAAAAGACTCGGCTTTACATAAAAAAGTTTCAATGGAGAATGATTTAACTAGATGCTACTCGACTTTGGGGCAGCCCAGAAGCACGACTCTTGTTTGAACGATGGTTTCTCTAAGCACCTATTTCCCAGATGAGAGCTATAAAGCGTGAAAAGAAATTTTTAATATATGAACCCCATTTGCTACTTGAGAGCGTCAGGCGCAGGAAACATGAGGTCTTGTTTTTCGCACGAAAATACCGAGAAAATATCCGAAAGCATCGCCCGTTTTCCTGTCTATGTTTTTCTTTGCCCTTGTCGTGGTTTGTCTTTCTTCTGACCCAAGTTTTCTTCAGGCTTCGGGGAAGAATGCTGTGTGTAACATCTTTTATTTGCATAACCTGTCTGGATTTTGCCTTTTGTATCAGTGGAGCTGCCCGGGATAATGGTGTTTAAGTCGTCTCGCCGTTGTCTTGCCTTTAGGATTTTCAATGCTTTGGTGCTACTTCCGGCCCCGTTTTAATACACATGCTATTGTTTTTATGCGTTGCTCGCATTTTTTGAGGATTGATCGTCAGAATCCTGCCTCAACTTCGAGTTTTGCGACTTCCAGCATTCTTTTTTCGTCTCATACGAACATTAACTGTCCCCATCCCTGACGTTTTCGGTCGACTGAAAAACAGATATTGGAAAGCAAGCTTTGTGTCGACAGCCGTTGCTCTCTCTCAACCGGCGCTAACCACGATTATCGTCTCTTTTTGCACCCTCGTGGACCACCAACGATCTTTTGACGTATTGCAATGCAATATGTACATATTGTCTGAACTTTACAGCTGTCGGAGCTTTCGCACTGGAATTTACCTGCTATTTCTGTTCCACTATTTCGAAAAGAAAAAAAATAAACGCCCGATCTTTTGGCTATGTTTGCTGATGCTATCGGTTTTGCTTACCACACAAATGAGTGGGTGGCTAATACCTCTTTTCCCAGGCACTCGCGACTTCGCTGATTGATTGGACTCTCTTTCATCCTCTGCTATGGCTTTATCGAATAAATATTGGCTTTTTAATATCGTTTTGATCTTTCTGTCTTGCAATTTCCCAGTGGGCCTATTTCTCCAGTTTATGATTTTTCTGTGCCGGACAGGGCTCACTCTCTTAAACATAACGGAAAGATTTTTTCCCGTTTGGAATCAGTTCAGCAGGTATTTTCCAGCTATCTATTGGGCGGCGGGTTTGCTGTTTTTGTATGTACGCGTTCGCCGGAAATTGAATGCCAGTATTTTGATGTTTTGTTTTTTTTTTTTTTTTTCGTAAATGATTTTTGATGACACTGAACGTATCTCCGTCCCAGGGGAATCACTTTTCGAAAGAGCTACATATGTGTGTAGCAAGTACTGTACAGCACATGCGACAATCACATATGCCCGCGCTATATACGAGACAGAAAGCGAGAAATGAAAATGAATACCGACGTACATCACCGCGAATGTCCCTGCTTTCGAGCCCACTCCATCTTCCTCTCCCTCTCCAGCTCTCTAGCCCGTTCCCTATCCCGCCCAGACTCCTGCTTCCTCCCACCCCTAATCTCCTTCTCTTTCTGCCTTGGATCAATGACCACCAGATCATCCACGTCACGGTTTGACTCTTTCCACGTCTGGTCCTTGCCCAGCCTGTCCTTCGCAAACTTGAGCTCATGCGTCATCCAGTCCATCGCATTGTCATCCTCATGATCTGCACCGAGTCCCGTTCCAGAATCTCGAAGGTCCCAGGCGCGACAGGATTGGCAGTTTGCAATGAAATGGAGATCGCAGATTTGAGCTTCTTCGTCTTCTGCATCTCCTAGCTCCCTCCTGGATGTCTGGGGTTGTCTGGTCGGTTCGTCGTTGGTGATGGTGGTGGTGGTGGTGGTGGTGCTTGATTTGGATATTTGTGGCTTCTTTTTGGTCGCCTCTTCGTCGGCCTTTTCGAGTTTTGCTTTAAAGGCATTGAGGCGTTTTAAGGTATCTGCTTCCTCTGATCTGCCGTTTGTGTCTGCTCCGTTGGCGGAGCCGGGAGCGGGACGCTTGCGTCCCCGTATGGAATTTTTGGGAATGAGTGACTCCAGGGCCGATTTTATCCTTGTGGGCTCGCTGGAGGCAGGTCCGGTGGTTCGTCGCATTGATGCTTTGAGAGACTCGATTTCTGCATTTAGTTTGGACGCTCTTGAACGCTGGGGAGACTGGTCTGGCGAAGGGGACGGAGAACGAGGGCTTTCTGGGTCTGGGAGAGGAAGTTGCGTGTTGGGGTCTCGTGATAGTCTGCGGCTGGTTTGTGGAGAATGGGATCGCAGAGGGGATCGGAATTGCTTGCCGGATAGTCTCGAATTTGAATGTTGTTCAACTGACCCTGATGTTTGAGTTGCTGATTGTGAACTTCGTTCTGGCAAGGATCCTCGTCTCTTTTCGTCTGCAGGTAACATATCCATGACAAGACTTGTGTTGAATTTTGGTTTCTTGGGCTTGGAAATAGGCAAAGATTCCTCATCCTCTTCTTCACCAGCGCCAAAACTCAACAGCGTCTTCACTTGCTTCTTCTTTTTCTTAGAGCTCTCCTTTCTAACCTCGGGTTCTTTCTCCGCAATAGCAATCTTCTCTCTCTTTCGCAGTTGCCCATCAAACGGACCAAGGTCATCAACTTCGCATCCTGTAATTTTCACTGAATAAACAGGTCTCTCTGTGCCCTCCACCAACTCTGCCTCCGCGATCTTCACGATGTTATATATACTCTCGCCCTCCAGCCTCCCAAACAAGGTGCATGTGCCCGTCAACTCCCTTTCTGCCGGTGCTAGTGTGATAAAAAATTGACTCCCGTACCTCCCATCTTCACCCTTAGCCATCCCGACAAGGCCACGCCTGTTAAACTTCAAGCGACTATGAATTTCATCACCGAACACAATCTTCTGGCTTGGATCGCGAGGGTCGCGCTCGAATTCCGCATCTTCATAGATCGATGAGCCGCCGGAACCTGTGCCCGTGGGATCGCCGGCTTGAACGACGAAATTGGGCACCACACGGTGGAAGGTGGTGTTTGTGTAGTATCCATCTAGACAGTGTTGGAGGAAATTTTTGCAGGCGAGCGGAGTCTGTTTGGCAAAAAGGGAAATGTGGATGGGCCCGACTGTTGTCTGGAGAGTGGCAGAGGCCGTTGGAGGTGGCTCGGTGTTGTAGTGGGATGACATTTCGCAGGACAGCTGCGCAAATGCGGGCGATGAAGGCAGACGTAAGGAAGGTTAGGAATCAAGCTTGGGAGGGCGTCGCGTTTCGAGTTCCAGAGCCAGTGGGGAGGAAAACGCGGTTCAGGTGAGCTCGTCTTTCGCTCTGTTCTCTTCCTGTTGGGCTATGCCGGAGATTCTTCCCAACCCCAGCTTCAAAAGCCTGGCTGATGCAGGTAATGTCCACCGCGGAGTTGAGCGCCGCAGGATCGCCAAGGAATAACCCAGCGGAGCTTGGACCACTTCCGCCAAGCTTCACCCCGGAGCTTCTCTGCTCCGTTTCCCTATTCGCTCCCTGCACGCTTTCCTCCCGGGCCACTTGAGGGACACTGGGCACCTCTATAAAAAAATACAGTGCTTCTGGCCGAATTGTGCCTCTAACCAGCCAGAGGTAACTACCAAGAAACCTGCCAGAAGGTGTATTGTCACTCCTAACAGGTGCCGCTGAACTCCGCGGAGCGTCGTTTATTCTATATAAAGCAGAGAAATTCTAACTAGCGAATTCCACACGTCGTTCGTTTCCACTGCTCGCTATATTTTCTGCCCTTGTTACCCTTGTATTGTTAAACGAGACCGCACTATCCATCGCTGATATGGAAGTTCAAATTCTCTCTGATCTCCATTTGGAGACGCCAGCCGCATATGACATATTCACCGTGAACCCCAAAGCACCCTATTTGGCGCTGCTCGGAGACACGGGAAATGTTAGGGACGATGGATTCTTCACATTTATCCGTGGCCAATTGCAAAACTTTCAGCTTGTCTTCCTGCTCCTTGGAAACCACGAACCGTTTTACTCCAGCTGGATGGAAACAAAGGCGAAATTAGAGCGCTTTCAAAATGAGATGGAGCGAGCCTTAAACAATAAGGAAGTGCAGGGCAAACTTATCTTCCTCGACCGAGCGCGCTACGATATCTCTCCCACTGTCACTGTTCTCGGGTGCACACTCTTTTCGCACATCACGCCCGAACAGAAGGAGGATGTGAGTTTCGGAATGAATGACTTCTATTATATTAGCGGCTGGTCGGTCGAGGCGCATCAGGCCGCACACCTGGAAGATCTAGCATGGCTGAATAAAGAAGTCGAATCTATCTCGCGCCAGGATCCGGAGCGGAAGGTCGTCATATTCACGCATTATTGTCCCACCACAGATGAGAAAGTGATAGACCCGACGCATACGAATAGCCACATTTCATCCGGCTTCATGACCGACCTGTCGAAGGAAGCATGCTGGGGCGACACCTGCGTCAAGCTCTGGGCGTTCGGACACACACATTTCAACTGTGATTTCTTAGACCACGAAACGGCGAAGAGGGTCGTGTGTAATCAACGAGGTTACTATTTTGCGCAATCAAAGGGGTTTGACGGGGACAAAGTTGTCAAAATATGAACAGCATAACTACAGGCGATGGTGATCTTCTATTATGTTTATCTTTAAGGGGAAGTCACATTCGCTGTCATAATATGCCGAAGTTGAGAATTTCTTTATATCTCTCTTGCTGCATTGGTTATTTACTTAAGCCTTTATCATACCACATTCTTCTCCGCCACCTCATTGACTTGAACAACTTTGGATTTTCGCACAAATCTAAAGCCTCCGATCAGCATAAAGAGGGCCTGGGCAGCAAGGATAGCACCCATCGTGATCATTGCGCCAACAACACCGGCCTGGGTCGTGGACAGATCTCTGTCCTGGGTGATTACAGGTTCGGCTCCCAGGCGATTCGGAGCACATTCACCACTTGTGCTGCCGCAAGCCTTGCACCATTCCTTCTTAGATGATAGGCTGATTTTCTCCATAAGTGCTGAGAATTCTGACCAGGGCAGAACAGTCTTGGGCTGGTTAAACAGGGCGAATTCAGACGGTTTACTGCCGTAGGGAATTGACCCGTTGTTGAAGAGGAATCGCACACTGATGTCCGAGGGGTCGGGGAAAGACGAGCTAGACGAGTCTGTCACGAGCTCAAATGCCATGGCGGATGCGTAGTCGGGAATCCCGTTGAAGTCATTGTAGGCCTTTGACAGCTCGGTGAGACCAAAGAAGGAGAGGAAGGTAGCATAGGCACCAAACTGAACGTTGAGCTTGGTGGCTTCGCCTTTTGAATAGATGAGATCTTTGAATGCAGTAAGGATCTCGCCCGCTAGGACTGAACCGCTGACTGCACGAATGGGCTCTGATTCGTTATATGCCAGATTGAATTCATGAATATTGGCGAGTTCAAGCAAGCGAGAGTAGGTGGAATCGGTCAGAAGTTCGGAAGAAGGGAAATTATCGCTGGAGTTGTGGATAGATGCAACATTAAGGAGGTCGAAGATGATATATGCGTTCTTGTAAGTGATCTGGTCTTGAGAGAAGGTGTTTTTGACCATTGGCGCGAGAGACTTGTAGAAATCGGTGGTTGAGCCCAACAGCTCCCTATAGGGCTCAGAAATGAAGTAGTTATTACTGCTAACTTTGGCATTGTGGCACTTGCTGGCGCCCTGAAGCCAGGCGAGCTTCTCGCTGTTTCCGCCAGCAAAGGTTTGCTCAATGGCCATTAGCTGGTAGCCGTTCATAGGGGCTTCGATATCTGTACCATTGCGAAGAGTTGACTTTGCAACATTTCCAACCGGTGGATAGAGACCTTGGAAGAAGGCAGTCGCAGAATTCTGGAGGACTTCATCCGCGGGAGCAAACGCAGCCAATTGGCCCGGGGTGATAATATCCGGGTTGATACCTTTGATTCGGGATCCCGATGAGTTCGAAAGGTATCTCTCGCGGTAGTACTGGCCGGTCACGTAGACCTGACTGTAGCCGAGGTCTGTCAGGACCGTTGGCGGAGTCGACTTTGACGTCCGATCTCCATGGCGAGAAAAGATATATGCGCCTAGAACGGTCTCTGCCGAAGCTCCCGTGGCAAGGAGAGAAGCCGAGATGGCAGCTAGGGTCAAGAGAACGCCTGACGACTGCGATCGAGAAGGCATGGCTGGCTGATTCGGAGGAATGGCTTGAAGAAGAAAAATAAGGATATGGTGATAGCCATCAGGGTTCGAGCAGGTCTCAGTATTTATTTTCGAGTGCGGGGTAGCGAAACCTGAGTGCAGCCCATGCTGTCACCGGAGCCCACAGTCGGCGCATTGAGTTCACGCCTTTCAGCCCGGATCCGGCGATGCGCCCTGGTCGATCGCTTGGGGCAAGTTAAGTCATTAATACTGATCGGTCGATGATGGGTTTTCTCCGACGGGACGAAGCGGAAGCCTAGAAGCGCCATTAAGCAAAGCACACCGGCTTTTCTGGAAATTCCAACCGGTATCCCTGGTTCGCCCGGAACCAGTTGTCTAGACGGGTTTAGATCCAGCGACCCAGGGTGGAGAGCCGAGCGCTTCTGATGGCCATCCTGGACCGGAATCAGGACATGATATATTTTGCTGACTCAAATCAGACTCTCTCTGTTGTCTGGTGCGGTTCTCGATCCGCCTCCACGCAATGAGGGGCATCGTGGGCACTGACATGATACATCAACACCGGGCGATGGCCCACCAAGGAGTGACACACCTAGCCAGTAGAGAGCGGAATTGGCACGGAGTAGATAGGTGGTAAGCAATCAAGGTCCTCCCGCCTCATCGTAACAAAGGTGAATTGGCTTGATTGGAGCTTCAGAGAAATATTTAACCGACGCTGGAAATGGCAAAGTAAATACTTCGTCGATAACAAGCGTAACCCTGGAGCTGCAATAGCCTTAATATAGGTTCCGATTTGTTAGCTACCAGTGTGCATCCAGACCTCTTGAGAAGGTTCCTGTGGCGGAGCGCTCTATTAACAAAAAATGCTTTGGAAATGATCGATTGAAATATCCCCAGCGCCCTACAAACACCAGACCCTGGCCTACTCCAAAAAATTTTTCATTGGAAAACAAACCAATCCACATTGCACAGGGGAAAGTTGGGAAAACAACGGGGTCCCATCAGCTCTCCATCTGCACTCCACGGCCGCTTATCAACTCACATCCTCCCCGAATAACTCCCACCAATCCACCGGTCTGTATCGCTTCCGCTCCGCCTCCCGATAACCTCCATTCAATATCCGCTAGGCCCTCCAGCCATGCAACTCTTGTTTGCGCCGGCACCTCTATATGTTGCAGTTCATTCGCCAATGCCGTAAGTATATCTGCCAATGCCAGTCCTTTACTGATTTTAAGCGTTTGGATTGTGTTCAAGCAGGATGTCACATCCGAAGTGCTGAGAAGGGTTTCCATGATCGTCTTGATATCCGACGGGCGGGGGGCCGCGATACAAGTATAGATAGTGTCATCGGTGATTGTTTCCGGCTCACGGGCGGGTTGCTGGTCTCTGGGGACGTCACGGAGGGGTAGGGGCATACCTGAAATTTGGGGGTTAAAAGGTGCGTCCAACTTAAAGTGAATATTGAAGAGGGAACCATACTGCTTGCGTGGCACGCCTGGAGCACATTCAACGCTCGTCGCATATCGCCCTTACTCAGTCTCACTAGGCTGTCGATTGCGTCTGGTTGTATCCGCACTTGCTCCTTCTCAATGACTTGGTCCACTAATACCCGGATGTCCTGCTCCTTCAACGGACTAAATCTAAATCTAGTACATCTCGACAACAGCGCAGGAGTGAGCTTATGTGTGTAGTTCGCAATAATGCAGAATCGAGTGTTGGCGGTATATTTTTCCATAATTCGCCGAAGGGCCATCTGCGCAGCTGCGGTCATCGCGTCGGCCTCATCCAGGATAATCAACTTGAACGCCCCGAGCTTGGAGCCCGCCTGGCCGCCGGGCGTCATCGAGAATATTTGTTTCGTGCCTAGTATCCTGCACTTTAGCTGGTTGCTAACCTTCCTGCTAAGAAAGGGGCCCGCTGCAACATACTGGCAAATGTCTTGATCTGCTCTCGCACAACGTCAATGCCTCTGTCGTCACTAGCATTGAGCTCCAAAACCATCTGTCGCACATTTTTAACGCCGTATATCTGCCGGGCGAGGGCTAATATCGTGGAAGTCTTGCCTGTTCCTGGTGGGCCGTAGAGTAAAAGATGAGGTAGTCGCTAATTGCCATTCTTTTAGCTGAGAGTCTGGATGCCATATCTCACTTGCTTTTGAAGTCCGGCTGCTTACATTTGACTCGATGAATCGATTTATAGTCGCAATTATATCTTGATGGCCGGAAACGTCGTCCAAGGTGCTTGGGCGGTATTTCTCGACCCTATTTGGAACAACCAATTAGTCGATAATTCCATGCAAATCAAGAAAGTTGAGATGAAAAAAATAAACAGAGCACACCATGGGAGGTTATCTTCAGCTTCCACGGGCAAATCCGCCTGAACTCTTTTGCCCTTTACATCTTCCAAGCTGGAGGAGATTGAGTGTTTTGCTGGCTGGACATCGATATCCATCTCATCTTCGATGTCCGACATTTTGAGAGTTCAATGTGCGAAATAGTAACCTGGATCGTGGCCACAATCAGCTAGGAAATATATTCTCCAGACCTGGTCAAACTAAACGGGGGATATAGCCGTGTTGCTGTTGCTTCTGTAGTCGACTCCCACGACGCGTTTCTCTGCGTTCGACCGCGTAAAGAGGCTCGGCGGCGGAAAATCATTTCGGAGTGGCTGTTGGGCGGCGGGCGGAATGACATCGGGAGAGCGCATCTTACGTCGATGAATGCACAGGCAGCTCGACCCCCGTCCGCAGCAACCCGGATCGAAAAGAACTTACAGAATAGACCGAAGAACCATATAAACAACGCCTACCCAATATGCCGGTCTGTCCTGATGTCAATTCCTTCTCAGGCCGCCGAATGCTGACTCCCCCCGGCCTCCAGGCATACCACTCCATCTTCCTCCAAGAACCCAATGAACAAACAATAGGTACGCCGCACATAACCCGCCTCTCCCATAGGTCTTTCATATTTCGGGCATGTCTACGCCCGAGCTCCATAGCGAAGCTCTCCAGCCTTAATCAGACCATCAATCACTCACTGCCACTCTTAGGAAACTTCCCCATTCTCCCCCTCCGTACCCGCACCCGCGGACCTGCATACACACTCCCTACCCTCCCCGCCGGTTCTTCCGACGCCGACATTGATCCCGACAGCGAATCTTACGACTGCATCGATGAAATCCTCTCCCTCTACCGTGCGAACACCTTCTTTCGCAACTTTGAAATCAAAGGCCCTGCCGACCGGATGCTGATCTATGGCATCCTGTTCATCAGCGAGTGTTTGGGAAGAGTCAAGCCGGGAATGCCCGCTAGGGAAGCAGAAAAGGTTTCGATCCATTAGAAAACTTGCTTTTATTTTTGTTGTTCTTTCCTCCTTTTTGATTTGTCTTCAAAGTGAGTAATCAACTAACAGGAAGAGTATATATGGACAGGTCCTGATTAATGCATCCCTTGATCACTTTGCGATCCCCGGAGATGCCTCGTTTCCACTTAACCAGGCATTTGAACCACCTAGAGACAGACAAGAAGCAGAGACGTTGAGACAGTATGATCCTTCTATCTATGCCGTGATTTTCCTTTTAACTCTGATTGTTCTAATTTATTCTTGCCTATACTTTTTTCAGATATATATCCCAAGTCCGACAAGAGCTTGCTATCAGACTTCATTCGAGATTATATCCCGGCGGCGTGGGACCATCCAAGGTATGAGAAAATTGCCTGTTTCTCTTTCAATCCTATCTTCATCGATTTATCCTTGCGCATCGTTCTGTCGGCTAACCCTTTCTGGCTACATCTGCAGTGGTGGCTAAGTTTCGCGAAGCGCAAGTTCATGGGAAAGTCACTTTAAGCTGTTATACCAAATCGTGTTTGCGAGTGATTCTCTTATTTTTATCAAGCGTTTTGAGTCGCGAGATCAAATTACAATGGTTATTAAATAATCATTATTGGTTCTTGCTGTAACAGGCCCTCCCTTCCCGAGTAGATTTCTCTTGGTAGAACTCAGTGACTCGTATGAAAGATGTGCTTCGCGCTGTGTAAATATATACATACATCTCGAAAAATGAGTCTTACCAATGGGCAAAGCTCCTCCAATAAATACATAATGGTCCAAAATGAAAGACCGGCTAAAAAGAGGTTTCCATACATAAAAAAAAAAAAAAAAAAATTCAAACCTGCGCCATATGCCATTTCGGCAAATGCTAACAGAGTATGTGAACATAGGTGTGAGGTAAAATCATGGGGTATTAGGCGATAAATAAAAGATACTAGAGGGCGGAGAGTAGGAAGTCATGAAAGGAAGGAATCAGGAGGAGTTTCGGCGTAAAGAAATCGAGAAGTAGAGATATGTAGGTGTACCGCGTGGTAGACTGGTTTCAGTATAATTCTCGAAAGCCGCGTTCATTACAGCTCGAGAGGCTTAGTGTGATAAAAGGAAATGAAATGTGTGATTTACCACGAATCGCGTGCATCGCTGTGCCCCCCAGTGGTATTTCTCCGGTCCATGCTCTTCTTCATCTCGACCGATCCGATTTCGCAGACCTCCACGTCGGAGTCAAGATTCTGGTCGAATAGGAGCTTGGGGTTCAATGCAAAGGAACCCTGTGGAACAAATGTTGAAACAAAGATGACAAATGCCATGACTGAATATTGTATGGCAGCAACATTGAGTATCGCACTATGGATATTTCCATCCCCTTTGCTACCACCGGTTCGAATATAGACATCGTCGATGTATTGGCCCAATATTGGGGAACTAATTGCGTAAATAACGATATACGTCGTATAAAGACATGCCATGACCGCGCCGAGGGCAGAGACGTTTTTCGTTTTCGATTCAACGCGTGCGAGCGTCGCCTGGATGTAGGCCGCAAGTGAGACGTCGCCGGCAGCCCAGCCAAATGATATCGGTAGGAAGGTGGCGCTGACTATCCATGCGTATCGAACATCGTTGGCCGGTGGATGCCAGAATGGCAGGTACCAAAGGATAAGGAGCATAATAGCGTCAACGCGTATCCAAGGGATGGGTGTGGTGATGAGGTTGGTAAATAAGAACACGAATGCAGCTCCGAGCAATTCGCCCAAGTTTGACCCGCCGACAATGACCTGAGACCAAGCGGAGTGACCGAGGTATCTTCTAGCGACGGCTGGTGCAATTGAGTTTTCAAGATATCTGTGGCCGTAAAAGGCAATGGAGTAACCTGGTATGAGCCAGACGAATCTTCGGTTACAGAGGATAAGTTTCGCTCCGGTCCAGAGGGATTCTCCGAAGAGATAGAACGAGCCAAAGACTGCCTTGATGTATGTTGGTTGATCCGAAAGCAGCTTTTCCCTTGCAGGCTGTTGGAAGGTTGTGTCGGTAATACACAGCCACACACATCCCGCGAGGCAGAAGCATACGGGGGTGATGATGAAGGAGTAGTTATTTCCAAGTTGCGGAATCAAAGCGAGGGCCGTACAAAACGCTCCAGCGGTGCCCGATATTTCATAGAAAACGTGGACAAGCGAGTCCATGCGTCGGAGCTTCTGTACATTTCCACCAACAATATCTCTGGGGATAACTCGGCGAATGAGCTCGACCATACCATATACAACTCCAGTGACACAATAGATGGGAATCATGCCATCCGTGTCATAGTGGCCATAGTAATGGAAGTCCATGCTGGGGTGATGCTTCCGAAACTCGACAGGGACAAACGTCCCGCCGGTGCTGGCATCTAGGACGAGGAGGAGGGCAGTGAAAAGGCCGAAGACGAAAATTGCTACGGCCAAAACCACCCTTGAGGATGCCCTCCTGACAAGAGGCGCGATAAGGATGGAGCCGATGCATTGGAATGCCTGGTTGAGGCCGGTGAGAAGTCCAACGCGTTCGAAGGTTTTGGGATGAGAGTGGGTTTTGAAAGCGTCGTAGTCATATCGATTGGTGGCGAGGGCAACAACTGATCCGTTAAAAGCTTCGAGGCCAAACTTATAGAGCATAATTCCGAGAATATAGATGGCGATATTGCGACGTTCAACTGGACTAAACATGTACCAGTTGTCCTTGACGGTGCCCAGGATGTGGAAAGCCATTGCTGCAGAAGTCAACGGATGGGAAGGGCTGCGACAAGTGGTCCGTTTTCATGCTGAGCGTCTGATACAATTTTCCAAAACGACACTATAGAACGGAGATGAATCGAAGACAACGATGACTTGATCGAAATCGAGGTCTTGCGGTGTACTTATCGAAGGATCGCGGGGTTTATGGAGAGCAAATCTCATGATTGCATGCATTGAAAAGTTGTGCCAATGATCTTCGACGCTCAAGGCCCGTGCAAATCGCGGGTTTTACGGACCAATTTTGTGGGACGTCCAAGAAAGACACATTATTACCTTCCCATGCTTAGCAGCACTGCGAGGAAAGCCTTGGGTTCCGTGATTCGCCTGAGAATGCCAAGGGGGAAAAAGAATAGGCAGGATGGCGGCTTTTAAAAAATAAATTCAAATAAAAAAAGAAATGAGAAAAAAGAAACGTTACACTTGAAAAGCATGCTCTTGAAACGAAATGCACCAGGTTGAATCGGACGCAATGCCGAACGGCGCTGCGCCTAAGCGCACAATGAACGGCGTCATGTTCGCTTCAACAGTTAGTATAACTACTCGCAGAGTTCTCGAGTCGATCTCCTGAGATTGACGCCTCGCCAAAAGGTGCTTTCTCAAGAGATTTGATCGAGAGACAGTCCTGCAACAGCGGTCCACCCGGACAGGCCATCTCAACTGTGGAGTCAGGAAACCCAACACTCATTTGACTGTTATAAATAGCCCAAGCAGCAAGAACATTTCTCTTGACAAAGGCCCTGGCGCTCAAATTCCCAAACCCCAGGTAATATGCCCCAGATAAACCTGGAGGGTTTGAAGGTTTCCGGGTTCATCCTCTCGCGGTCGATTCTGGAGAACGTGATTCTGGGCACATCAGCCAAAAGTCCATTTCCCCGTGCTATGCCATGCGAGATCTCTGGAGAAGAGATAGCGATTGTGCTACAGCTGCTGGTTGGACGTGCCACGCAGGGAGCCCAGAGCACACAGCAGCTTGAGCAACCATTTCCGGACTGCTGGTATTTGGGCTCCGCTCACAACTGCTGCTTCCGCCATGTGCTGGCATCTATGGCATATTATTGAACGGGATGGCCTGATGATGTGCAGCATTCCCACTTCGAGGGCCAAATTAGCTTGTTGAGCCAGGGTGCAAAGCGCGGTGGGCAGCAGATGTGATTTGGCTGAGAGAGCAAGGGGCCGGGAAAAAGTCAGTTTTCCCTGCGAGCGCAGAAATCGAGGGCAAATCCGATTGGCACAATCCCACACGTGCCCCGAGAGATGGACCACAATCCTCCTCCCGCAAGCTTGATTTCCCTTAGGCCAATCTGCTGCATGGGTCCACGCCTCCGGAACCAACTTCCTGACGGCTTGGCTGCTTTATCTCAACTCCCCAAGGTTGAACGAACAGCGGAAACCAACATGGCCGTGCCAAAAAGGTCACTTTTTCCCTGATAATAATGGGAGTGGTTCGAGTGGAGTGAAATCGCCTTGGAACCGTGCAGCAAGGGCCTTCTGAGACTCGCATTGTCCCAGAGTCCCGGATGTCACGCTGTTGCCGCCGCCTCTCGCGTCGAAATCCGTCACCTAAAAACAACAAAAAATCACGTGATAAATTCACGTGATGGGCGTTTGCGCCGGGCGGGTTTTCAACCGGGACGGGCACGGCGACGTGCCGTGCTCGTGCAATGGCGATCCCAAGAGCACTCCAGCATCGAAGGGGCATTTCCCCAAGCGTCAGGCGTCATTGATTAAATAATATACCTACGCCAGTGAACTAAGAAATTCGCTCACATCTTTGCGTTGAGCAAGATCTTCTCATGGGATCGGCTGGTACCCACTCAATACCGTGCTAGAGCCGGGGATGGCGGCGATATTGCTTCGAGCTTCAAGGTTGTTTGTTTCGAAGCAAGGAATTTAGATAGGCTTAATTCCCCAGGCAGTCCGAACCAAATGGATCAAAGAACGCCTTGCTCCCAAGCGCGGAGGAAATTCAATTTTCACCTTGCACAATCCTTTGTCATCTGAACCGTTCTTTTTGATAAGCTGTTTTGGGTTCTAGACTCGGGGTATGCAGGGTTCTACTACAGATTGTCTGAAATCAAAAGAGAACGCAGTACGGAGTACGGAGCACTGTATCAGAAATCGCCCAAGTCTTGGAATCAGGGCACGCACGTCGATTGATTGGATCTTAACGTTCACTGAACTGATGGAAACGTCTGGGCCGCACCCGACATCTGTTGCACGGCCAGAATTACTTGAGAATGAAGTAACGCGTGCCCCATATACCGTAGAATGGTGTAGAATAGACCTGGGAAACACAGATGGAATAGAATATGGACATCTTTACCCTTTTGCTTCCCTTTCGTCCTCCCAGTATCTGCTACGCTTCCTCCAAAAAGCCGCTGATGTTCTACGGAGAGCTCTCACCTGATACGTGTAACTAATGAGCAAGCTCATTTGTTGGTGGAATTCTGAGTGTACCATACACTTCCTGAGCAGCAACGCCTCCCAGTTGAACACACAAAAAAGAAACTAGCTCCGTTTAGACGAGGGACTTGCAAAAAGAAACTGCAAAAAAGAAACCATTGTTTTGCATCGGCCGGGAATCGAACCCGGGGCCCGTCGATGGCAACGACGGATTTTACCACTAAACCACCAATGCTGTTGTTGTAGAGCTGCTCTCTTCTTTATCACTTCAACAACAAAAAGGGCGAAGATAAACCCCTTGACCTCGAGCTCGCTTGCTGTTACAGCCATTGGTCCCGAGAAGTTCTTCACATCCGATAGCTTGCTGGCCAAGCATCCGGACACACGGGTTGATATTCAGCGCGCATTGCCCGCGCTTCGGTTACGGCGGCACATGCACTCTGGCTCTGAGCTCGGGACCCCAAAATTCATACCAGCCTTTGTTTACCAATGACTAAACCAATGCAGGCAAGATCAGGGACGCCTCGAGTCTTTGACCTATGTCCACATTCTCGTTCGCCAGGAACCAACTTTAAAAAAGAGCGTATGGGAGGATGGAAACGGAGGACAAATCACGCTGTCTCGAACTGCATTAGTGAGAGACGCCTTTCCGGTGTTAATTTTTTTTTTTTTCCCCTTTATCTTCTCTTTCTGCTCTTGATTTCAATCCATGTCGCGAGAAAGGCGCCATTCCAATCCAGATCGCTGGATATTTATCCGGTAAATTGATGTGTGCAGGGCCTAACCCCGCTGATCCCGGTACGCTGGTGCTGGGACGGTGTAGGAGGAATCCGTGACAATCAACGGGTCTTCTCCACATGATGACGTGAAATCGCAGAGTTTCTTACCAACCAAAAAAAAAATAAAAATAAAAACCTTCTCCGTAGTTCCGTGGAGACTGAAAAAGTTATTTTGCGAGATGCATCAACCGCGAATCGAACGCGGGCAGCTTGCTTGGAAGGCAAGCGTCATACCACTAGACCATTGATGCTTATTTGTTGAATGCAATTTTTCGCCAATGCAATCATCAAAGTCAAAGTGGTTATAGGGATGCATGCTTCTATAAAAAGGAAAGCTACGGAGTAACTCCCACTATGCCCTTGATGCTTAATTCTAGAGACCATCGCTTTCGATTAGGATGCTTCGAAATGCAGCGGTGAGTACGGAGTATTCTATGTTGCAAAAGGATACAGGCATTTCCGGCTTGCCCACCAACAACGAAATATTTTATACGGAGTACATCCCATCCGTATGTAAAAATACGTGGATAGATTGCACCGTGCCTACGGAGTGGTTGCAGACTCCATTATTCCCTTTTTACTATGAATGCTCCACTATACTACTGCCTATGCATACCGGTGTAGAGTTTGGAGTAGCCTTCGCCTGAATTTTCGTATATGCATAAAGCAGTGAAAAGTGTGTTGTAGCACGGTCCAAGTACTCCGTACCCTATAAACGTACCCTCATCCCGCGGTTTGTCCTTGCTTTTCATCAGAATTTCTAGCTGATAGGTGAAAAACTCTGGGCAGTTGTTTTATCCGGACTTCTTTGCAGATGTTGAAGTAGACAAAATTACGTCTACACACGGGATAATCTTAGACGTATCCCGTGAAAACAATTCATTGGACCTTCAGGGGATACGCGTCAAAGCGCTCAGTTTTGAACCCTGTGGGAGATAGGATCTATTGATAGCTTTCAAAAGCCTAGATTGATAGGTTGAAAAGGCTGAAAAACTTCCCAAGTAAAGGAGCAGAGAGGCTAGGTGTTCTTTTACTCCGTACGGAGTACAGAGCGCCAATTATGTGACACCAGACAACTTCAATTCACATCTCCAACACCAATAGACTACTCGTCCATTAACGCAGATGTCAAGTAGCAATCAGAACCAAAAAATGAAGATGCGGAGTTTGTGTCAGTGGAGTAAAAAAAGGAATTTTTTCTGCATCGGCCGGGAATCGAACCCGGGGCCCGTCGATGGCAACGACGGATTTTACCACTAAACCACCAATGCTTGTTGTGATAAGGTCTTTTCTACCTTTGACTACCTGAGCTTCATTTTTTGGATAAAAGGAAAAAGCGCACAGAAATGGATGTTTGGATTCGTTATACGTACTTTGTCGGATTGTTGAAACTAGCCGAACGTCACTTATTCTTGGACATAAATTGTCTTCGAGAGTGGCTGGTCATCAGCTATCCCGCTGGTACGAAATGCAAGGTACCAAGGGCACTCCTAACCCATATGAATATGTATGTATATAGGATTCTTTTAAGATATTTACGTCTGCATATCAGTATCCTCGCTCTCCTTTGGTGTTTGACCCGGCGTATCTATTGCAACCTTTCTCTTTTTCCTTCCCGGAACACCACGAGCCTCCACTCTTCCTCCCGCTGGAATAACACGGATGGCATGAAACACATAACCCTCCGCTCCACCCCGACCAGTCATAAGCGGATGCGTACGTCCTGGCAGAACTTGCCATGTACGGACTCGTGATGTCTGGATCGAAGGAGCCAAAAGTAGAGATGGATCTACAGGAAAATCATCATCCTCGGAGTTTTCGTCTTGAAAACAGTTCCGCGTGCCCTCTTCTAGGACCGCAGCGGACTCCCTTGTTCCTGTGCCCTGGCTTTCTTGAATTGCTTGCTTCCGGTTTAAAAATGCGGCCCGGCGCATTGTAGAGTATAAATCGGATAGCTTTATCAGCGGTTCGATATGTGGGGAATATACAACCACAGGCGCTGAACCAGCCAGCAGCGGAACAGCGTATTTCAAGATGGAAGCGGGGTCCATCAAGGTTGCAACAACCAAACCATCGAAGCCACCGGCACGGGCCTCTTGTACGACCGTGCGTACTTTTGTCCATCGGCGTCGCTTTCGATAATAAGCGCCCCTTCTACTAGGCTTCCAGTCCTCAAGGACGGAATCAGGAACAACCGCTGGCTCATTAGTATAGGTGTGATCGGAATCAGGATCCACTAGTTGGATCCAAGACAGCGTTTTGAGATGGGTGTAGAGGGGATGAGATTCGGGCGGATCGTTAAGGTCGTAGGAGAAGTATTTTAATAGGGTAAGGTTGGGTTGGAAGTTGGGATGTATTACGGTCAGGGTTGTATGTTTGGCTGACATAGGCGCCGGGCGACGTCGGTGGCGTGGTTGGTGGCTAGGAGCTAAGTGAGATTCTGGAGGGTCGCCGAGAGATTTATCGTTGGGATTTTCCACCGACGTTATTTCCGTTTCACCTGGTGTATCACCGCTGGGTTCCGCTTCCTCCGACGCAGATAGGTCCGACTCTGTTGAGGAAGGGTAGAGTATGCCCATTCTCTCTGCCATAGCTGCTACTACTAGCCCTCCTGTATCATCAACCACGAGCCACCGGCCGCAAGGTTGGGCTGTTGTTGAATCTGGTGGAGAATCTTCCCCACCTTGATGAACGTTTGCCCAACACCCAATCAGCCCTAACAGCTCGTCCCGTAGTTCCATGGTCCTTGCCGCATCTTTATCGTTCAACATCCAGTTCGTGAGGAGCGATACATCGAGAGGAACTGGCGTAAAACGCTTTAAATATTTCTTCCTCTTCCTCAGCGTGTATTTGGCCCGGGAAAAGGCCGTCTTTTGGTCAAGGGCGGAATGCGACCGTAGAAGTTTGGAAATGATTTCCTTTCCCGCACCAGTTGTCCCTTGTTTGAGATTCTCAATCTCCTCCATTGTCATGCGCTGCGCGGAGTTGTCGTCTATGATATTTCGGTTGTCGCGGGGCTGAGGGGTATCATCCTCTCCCATTCCGTTTCCAAGATCCGGACCATCTTCGAGTTCTGCCGGAGTTGAACCTTCAGTCATCAGCGCCTCCGTATGTAGCTCTGCTGCGGGAACAACGCGCAAAACATGACCATTTTCGTCGGCCTCGTCAAGTATCTCGAAAGTCAGGTAAAACGGCCGTCCAATGATCTGATTTGCGGGGAATGAACCGTATTTCCCAAGAGAGATAGTCCTGGTGGCAAAAGGTTAGATATAGAACGTGGGAGACTGAAGACGCTCAAGCTTGAGGAACAAGAGTGCTCACACAGGCTATGCATGAAACGTACGTAGACGGGATTATCTGCTGGACTTTCGTTGTTCCCGAGGGCAACTGCAGCGCAATGTAAGAATTGGGGGGTATCCTCGATTCCATTTTTATTTGGAACCTCCTGTCACATTCGCCCACTACACCCAGGCACAAATTGGATTTCCGCTCTCGTGTCACGCCCTTCCAGGCATGAACTTCTCCCATTTGGACCAGGTTGCTTTCGCTTTTTACGCAAAATCAGAAATCGGATATAGGAATAATATAAACCCGTTATTACGTCATCGCCGGCGGAATTGGCCGTAACGGGTTTAGCTGACTACTTCGTATCTCACGGATTAATCCGATCAGAGGTGATTGGTGGCTTGCCTGGCGCATTCTGAGCTGCCTGCGTCTCTCAGGCCATGATGACAACTTCAGGACTGACGATTCCCTCTGCTAGATACTACTTTGAGCGTCCGGACCATAGTTCTGGCATCCTGGCCACTCGATATCTGACCAGCTGCTCCCGCATAGCCCTGTTCGCAGCCACCTAGCTAAAGTCCTTGGCGTGCTTGTATTGTACGACATCACCAGTCCCTCCAACTCTCAGCCAACTATACTCGCTTTCAAGTCAGGGCTGCAGTGGATGACACAAATCACTGCACTCTTCGCCTTGGGTCAGCCTTGAAAACACCGGCAATAGACTCCTTAAAACCCTTCAACATGCGGCATTGAGCCACCGCACCCCAAGAACCTTTTGCGGCGAAGTGCGGGCATCATGAGCGTGAAGCAACCCGACCAAGAGGGGCAGGATGGCTCGCCTAGGCTCATTGAACCAAGGCCAAATATTCCCACTAATTTGCACGTGGTGGCGGACAGCATGCCGTCCGATCAAGACAAGCCTGTGTTTTCGGAATCTATGCTAGGTGAACTCCCAATTCCCTTGTCGGAGACGACCGGGGAACCACAGACACAAAGCCAGCCTAATGGGTTTGGGGAGCCCCGTGCATCATGTCAACTGGAAGATGATCACAACAGTGGGCAGAGAACTGCGCAGCATGAGATTGGAGCTGAGGGGGATTCAGGTCTCCGCCCGCAAAGCCAGGCAACCAGTGAAACCTGTAACTTGTTTTCGAACAATATCGCGGATTCATCGCCCCAGAGAACTATTGAACTTCAGTCCAACAATCCTTTCAAAGCCAGGTTAGAGCGCCGCTATAATAATGCTATATTGGACTCAAACAGCCATGATGGCCGGTCGCATCCTCCGCGTAAGTCACTATACACATCTTATCCGGCTTTGATAACGATGCTGAAGGCTAACACTTTGTCTGGCTATATTTAGAATCTCCTAAAGTGGATAGATCAATGTCACCACCCTCTCTAGCACGAAATGCTGCTGACGCTATATTTGTGGACCATGCGGATATAATCGCTTCTGGCCACGAGGCCACGATGAAGCCGGGTACCGAGAACAAGGGCCACTCCGAAATACAAAACGTAAATGCCGCTTCTGGGTCAAATGATCCTCTAATTCCTACCGACAATACTCGTCCCACCCCGCCGCTACTGTCACCAAATCTCATTGAACTTGACGAAACCGAAGAGAGGGAAGCGCCTCATTCTTCCGCTTCGTACCAACCACCATCAGACAAGCAACGGGCACCTTCCCTTTTAGAACCTCCTAAGTCGGCTCATGTTGCAGAAGAACAGCCGACGTTGCAGGATACACCAAGTGAAACTCAAGGACCGCAACCCCCGGCACAACCTTCGGATATATATGGAATTCGGACAGTTAATTGGACAGATGGAGTCCACAAAACATTACGTCGGTCTCCTGTTCTGGTGCAGAATGAAAACGGGCCCTGTCCACTTCTGGCACTTGTTAACAGCCTTGTCATGCGGACTCCACCTGATATTCAATCTCCCCTTATAAAAGCATTGCGTTCTCGAGAAAGAATATCTTTGGGGTTATTGATACAGACTTTATTCGATGAGCTTACGACATATGTAAATGAAGAGCACCAACTCCCTGATATTGAAGATCTTAGCAATTTCCTTACCATGCTTCACACAGGAATGAATGTCAATCCGCGTCTAACTCCAGTATGTTGCTCCAGAGACTCCTTCTACCTAGTTGTTTTTCTAACAGATCTTAGAACGTAAATCCTGACCAGCCAGGAATGTTCCATCAAACACGCGATATAAAGCTGTATAGTGCTTTTAGCCTTCCGTTGGTACACGGGTGGCTTGCTTCTCCGGCTTCAGAAGCCCACAAAGCAATGCTTCGGACAGCGGAGTATCATGATGACATTCAGCTACTACACTTTCGCAAGGAGGAATTAGAGGAAAGGGTTTTGTCAGGCGGTACGCTTACTGCTGAGGAAGAGCAACTGATCAAGGATATTGATCATATACAACATTTTGTCAATGTGGAAAATGCTACCCAATTGAGCCCTTTCGGTCTTGGACATTTGAATCGTTCCCTTGCACCTGGGACTATTTGTATCCTTTTCCGGAATGATCACTTTTCTACATTATTTAAACACCCACACTCACAACAACTTTTCACCCTGGTAACTGATGCCGGCTATGCTGGTCATGCAGAAGTTGTGTGGGAAAGTCTTGTGGATGTTAATGGAAGCGGATCCGAATTGTTTTCTGGGGATTTTCGTCCCGTCGGAGCTGCACCATCCTCTCCTGCACAGCGACGTAAAGACCAGTCCATGGAGCACAGTCAAAACCAAAAAATGAACCCAGGCCAACATAACGAGCAAACAGACGCGGACTATGCGTACGCATTAGCCCTTCAATTCCAAGATGAAGAGGAGCAACGTGCGCAACGTGCACGAGCAGAACGCAACTCAAGCCGTCCCGAATCTCAATCATCCTGGCAACCGGTCTCACGCAGACAACATGCTCGACCTACAAGTACTAACACCCCCCAAGACCATCGACACGTAACTGGCCATCGCCAGCCTCGTCAGACTCAAATTATTCGCCCACTTGTCCCTCCAGCACCGGAGACGCCCATTCGGCAAACCGTCTCTGCTGACGACCCGAATGCACCACCACCAACCTATGAACAAGCCGCACGGACACCACCATACAACCCACAAGACCATAGTGCTTCTCAATACGACGGACAAAATGGTATTGCCGGACCTAGCTCTTCAAGCTACCACTACGGATCTGGCCGAACTCCATATATGAACCATCCATCTGCCAGAAGGCGGGTGCCCATGCCAACATCGGCTTCAACGCTAGGTGAACGGCCAAGAGAGAGAGAGAGGAGCAAAGATTGCGTTGTCATGTAATTTTAACAGCCGGGTCGACTGCAATTGTCCTTTTCTCTGTGACAGAGCAAATTTCTACCGTCTAGTGGCGAGCGGACCTATCCGTCATCTCGTATTAGAGCAATAATCTGGTTCAAGCCTGCCTTTCTCGACATGGTAGCGATTTTGAGTTGTCCCTATCCGACGATGATACTATCCGCATGTACATACAAACCCCCTGTTATTATTCTTTTTTGTGCCAGTTCTTTTGATGACACTATGTGCTGCCAGCAATCTCAGCACGGTCCGGACCTGAGCCCATGGTTTTATGTGAATATTTATACCCGTTCCGACGAATGAAATTATATGTATTTCTGACCTTTCATTTCATGAGCATGGACATAGCCTACTATATGTAACGACTGGTGGAGTTAGAAAAGGAGCTCATTAACAACTTTATGACTCCAAAACAGAGGCAAAAGGGGATACAAGTAGGATTAAAATTACAGAGGTGAATTAAATCAGGTATATATGTATGTCGTGACGCCAATTGGTCAAAAGCGATGTGAAATATTTACATCAAACAGTTAAAGCCCTCCGAGGTGAAATCTAGATTTACGCCAAAAAGAAAAGAGCTGAAATTTTAAAGAAGTAACCACAAAGGGTGCAATGTTATTAGATTTCCAAATTTCCCAACACTATCTACGATCATACAAATGATGGTCCAGCCCAGATCCAGGTCCTCCGTTCGAATGCCTTGGTGGCAGTTGAGATATTTGATGAGTGGGCTGCTGAAGGCTTTGCTGTTGCTGGGTTTGTTGCGAGAGTGTCCCTTGGGAATGTAGCAAGCTACTAGACGGGAACAAATGACTACCAGCACCATTGCCGCCGCCGCCGCTTTCGGCACTGGGGCCATGTCGGGACAGCGTCGATGGAGGTGTATACGATCTTTCCAGTGGAATACCGGGTGTTCGGCTCAGACTCGGGATCTGCGAAGAAGGGGCATGATTGCGATTGAATGGAGAATCGCTTTGCTGGCCCGGATTTAACGAAGGCCGATGACGGCGTTGGGATTGAAGTTCATGTTGCGCGAGTAAATGCTGAGATGGTGGTAATGGCGATGGTTGGTGCCTGGGCGAAAGGGACGGTACTCGTCTCGCCGACGGTGTGTATTGCTGGGAAGCTCCACTTTGAACGTTTTGCTGTCGATAAAGATGACTCGGCTGAGACTGGCTTTCCAAAGTAGATTGGACTTGACGACTAGAAGAGCTTGGAGAATAGCCGGTAAAGCGCGATGATGGTTGATGTGGTGCCTGATTCATACTACCTGATGGCGGCATTGGGGACGTAGGCCTGGCAAGGGGGGGCTTCGACGCAAAGGATATACTGTGGCGTTGAACTGAAGGACTATTCGGTTGGGAGAATGGTTGTAGATGCTGGGTTAGGGGAGACTCTCGAGTAGAAGAGGTCTGTTGATTCTGGATCTGCAAGGCAGATTGGGAAGGCTGATGTGTGAAGGGTTGACGCTGGCTCGCCTGAGACTGGGCAGACTGAAGAGAGGACATCGGGATTGAATGGGGAAGGCCAGTACTTGAATATACATGGCTTGAGGACCGTTGCCTCGTCAACCGCGAAAGGTGCTGATCGGCTGAATTGGCTGCCTGAGATTGCTGTTGCCCTCGAGGGTCAAATCTCGCCATCCAATCCTGATTCAGAGAACCTGCTGCCGGTGTACCATTGAAACTACCAGGAAAGTCCGAATAGGATTGAGCAGAACTGATCTGAGAAAGAGATTGTTGTTGCAGGGAGTGTGACGGTTGCGAGTGGTGTGATCCAGAAACGTACTGTGCCCGCTGGTACTGCTGGTTTGCAGTATTTACCTGATCCTCTGAGCGGACTGCATGGGAAGGCGTCCCATGGCTTCCTGGATATGCATGACGAGGAGAAGCCGGGCGTGGAGTCGCAGTGGAGCCTGTATAATCGCTACCTGCGAATCGTTTCCGAGGCTGTGGATCCTCCGGTTCATCGTTCAAGATATTCATGATATTTGAACGTTTGGCGGGCACCTGACGCGGTGGCTCCGAGCTTGCTTGCACTGGTGTGGAACTAGGTCGAGAACCGGGGCCGCAGGGTTCCTTCTGAGACAGGGCAGTTGGGGTTGAGCGATTAACTTCGAGGAACTGGGTCGGCTGCCGTAAGGCAGATTTGGGATGGCCCAGCATGTCCCCGGATGCAATGATACCTGGATGCAATTCTGTTTTACTGTTAAGCTGTACTGGGGATGCCGCGGTCGATGAAACACTCCTACTGGGCCGTCGAGAGTGAGACTGAGGCGTCGTGGCAGCCTGCACGCTTGGGCGGGGTTGAAGGTAGGACGCCTGCGAAAATTGAGGAGTTTGCGACAGCGACTGGTATCGTGCCGATTCTTGAAGATCCAGTCCATGAGACGGGACGTTAGGTCTGCCCATATTTTGGCCATGCGGACCTCCCATGGCTGCTTGCGTTGAAAGTGCAGCAAGGGTTTGTGGTTGGGGTGGCTGACGTTTCAACTCCATTTCTTGCAAGTGGCCACTTGCAATATTTCCTTGCGTTGGCGCAGGCCGAACCTCAACACGAGTGTCGCTGAAATAACCCATTCGAGGTCCATGCTGCGCTCGTTGGCTTTGTGTAACATGCGACCGTGCTGCACGCTGCTGCGAGTCCTCATTGGAGGATAAAGGTACCATCTGGGCCCCTCGAGCTTGGACCGAAGCATAAAACGTCTGCTGCGACTGTGTCTTCTCCATAGGTTGACGAGGCTGAATTGCTGGCGGCGCAGCAGCCAAAGGAACAACCTGGGGTTTGGCTTTGGCTGTCAGCGGTCTGTCAACCAGCTCGGTCGTGTCCGTATTAGGAGCCAAAGGTCGAGGACCGACTGATGAAGGAGTAGCGTCGTAACGCCGCTTCGTAGGAAGACTTGGAATTGGAAGAGGTCCTGTCGGCTCGCCTTTCAGCTTCTTAGCCTCCGCAATTGATGCCAATTCCTCCAATTCAGTTTTCCCAGAGTCAACGCTCCTCTGGAAATAATTTCGAACCTAGAGTCCCTGTTAGCCTGGGCTCTCTTGACGAAGAGTTTAATTTCGAGTATCTTACCATTGTTGGAGTTTTTGTCTTCATGAACTGGGATATGCCTTCAAAATCCCTGCCAAAATGCGCAATGAGATCAGGAAAGTCACGCTGCTCCGGTACAGACCAATAGCTTGTAGGCTGCTGGGACCCGTATCCGCCTTCGGCTTGCTTCGGTGGCAGCTCTCCTTCCATTAATTCTGCCGTGGAGACGTCCTTAGGTTCCTTTGCGCGAGCTCTAGTTTTGGACCGCGGGGCGATAGCGTCAACTGCTTTTTCCACCTCAGTCTTTGGTTTCGTTACAGTAGGCTCTGTGGCATTGTCCACGGCCGACTCAGGCTCAGGTTTCGGCGGAGCAGCAGCAATTGGAGTGTTATTTACAGTTTGCTGTGCTCTGGCTCTTCGACCACCACGGTTTCCGCCTCTTCCGCCACGTCTAGCAGATTTTTCTGACGGCTGGTCGTTCCCTTCTTTCGCATTATTTCGTTTTCCCGAACTTGGGGTTGGAGTACTGGTTTCAGTGTCAGCAGCGAGCTCGCCAAATGTGGGAGCTGCTGCACGTCTCGGCCGACCAGTATCAGTAACTGCCGGGGTTGTTTCTCCAGTTTCATCACCATCATATACGGGACGAACAACACCAAGATCTGCCATAAGTGCGTTGGACTTGGGAGGCCTGGCGACGGTTCTTCTCCCACGACCGCGTCGAGCCCATCTCTTATTCAATTTAGCTTTGTATTTCATTTCTTCCTTCGTCAAGTAGTAGTGGTTGATGCATTGCTGGAAAGTACGTCCCGGCAAGGCCTGCGCAATTCTACCCCATTTTTTCGGATGGGCCATGAAGGTATCAGTGAAGATCTTATGTTCCTCTGGCGTGAAATCATCTGGGGGAAGATCAAACGCGAAGACTTCAAATGCCTTGGCCGGATCGATGATCTGGTTTGTATCTTGAAATACGGAGGCTTTCTTTTGTATTGGATCAAACATATCAGGTATGGGTGCTTCCCGGGCTAGATCAGGTCTTGCTGTCGCTTCTTTGTCCCTGCGACGTGCATTTTCTTCTTCAGCGGTGATGGTGGATGCCTTCAATGCGTTCTGGAAATCCAATTCACTGTTCAGCCTGTACCCTCTGCGGCCTTCGAGGATCGGATTGGCCACGGAAGTGGAAGCAGCAGGAGGCGTTGAGGGCCCTGAAGCCGCTGCCTTTTTCTCTTCAGCTACTTTCTTCCGATCCATCGCGTCGACCGCAAGCCTCCACGGCCTGTAATACGCGCGATACTGCTCCCGTAATTCGGCATGCTCTTTTGCGATCTCCCTTCGTTGTTTCATTATCTCGTCTCTGAGGTCGTTTTTTATGCTCTCGTGCGTCTTGAGGGCTTCTTGGTAGCTTTCCATGTCGGAGAAGGGAGTTGGAGGCCCGTCGTTTAGGAACGGAAGGTTCTCCAACGCAGGTGCCTCCGCGACAGGGGCTTCCACGGGCGGAACTAAGATGGGAGGAGCGTCAGGAAGCTCGATTTCACTCGCCTCTTTGTTTTCATCTGGAACAGCTGCTGGAAGCTCATCCGGCTTTTTAATCTCTGCTGCGGCACGCGACTCATCGAGTGATGGAACCGCTCCCTCCGCAATAATACCCAGCATCTGGATTTTGAGCAAGAGACCGACTATGACCGGATCTTCAAGAGGAGGTGGTGGCATGTCGGCCGCTAAAGCCTGCATTTCCTTCTCGAACCGCTGTTCTCCTTGGTTAAAGTCCTCTTCGTCCAAATCGTCCTCCTCATCCGATATTTCACCACTAGACTCCGTGAGTAGCAATGGGAACATGCTGTTTTCCTCTAGCTTAGAGGGCTCTTCCACTTCTTGTCTCTTGGGGGCTACTTCTCGGGAGATTATAGGGGACTCGATGGCTTTACTTATAACCTCTTCCACCGCTTTTTCGAGGTCTTTTTCAGGACTCGCCGAAGTAGGGGTTGACGCCGGTTTCTCGTCGTGCTGTTTATCCTCGTTACGGGGCTCGTTAGATGCCGACAAAATCATATCCTTCTCACCAATAAAGGTCTCCCGTTTCGCAGGTGAGCTGGAGTTGATGATTGATGGTCCGCGACTGACGTATCCAGGTCTAACCCATTGATTGCTTCCCTTTGGGCCATTTCTTTGGGCAATGGGTCGCTGTAGCGCCCTTGGCCCAGTGGGTACGTTCGAAAATGGGATACGAGGGGAGGTCTGGCTGGTGGATTGTCGTCGAGGAGTGATGGGAGAAGTGTTAAGGTCGAGAGGAGCGCGGCCAGATCCCTGGGAGGTGAGGGCGGAAGGGCCTGTCGGAGGAGACATGGGGCCCGAATTCTGCCGTGACAATGAATGCGGCCTGTCTTCGGTTTGGCTTGACGGCTGGAAGGCTTTGTCCGGAGCAGAGGGTGTAACGGCACGGTGATCGGGTAATAAAGCAGGCGGGATACTAGGGGATGTCGGAAGGGGTCTGCTCGCGCGCATTGCGACTTCAGTTTTGCCACGTACATCTGAAACGGACAATCGGCGCGAACGTATGTCAGAGCTATGGTGGGCGTCTACACGATCTGCTCTGGGGCAGGTCGGCGGACGGATGGAGCTAGAAACAAAGACATCAGTGTTGGTCTTTGCTATCGTAGCTGGAGTTGAGACAGATGTTGCCCGCCCTCGGGAATCTGTCGTGTTGGTTGGTAACGGATGTTTGGGGGCAGTGGCTGCCGATTGACGGGGGCTCGTCGCTAATGCACCAAAGGCCGGAACTTCTGGAACTGTAGGCGGGGGTGAAAACTGCGGAAGTGGATTGTTTGCAGGGGCGTCCTGACGTGGTCTCTGCGGAGGCTGTTTATCCGGCGGCTTCGGTTGGTCCCGTGGGATGGTTGTCGGAATTGCAACAGTTTTTTGAGGGACTTCGGGAACATCGTCCTTGGGAACGGTTGGTGGAGCAGCCGACGATGGAGTCGAAATAGTGGAAGGCGACTTGGTGGCAGTGGTCGATGCGCTCTTTGCGTCTATCCTGCTTGGAACCCGGTCTTTCTTCCACATATCAGGGCGTTCCTGGTTTCGCTCTCTTTCGTCTCTCTCCGGGCGTCTATCATCTTCTCGTCGTTCGAATCGATCACGCCTCTCGATTTCACGGTCCCGTTCCCTTTCCCTTTCCCTCTCTCTGTCTCTATCTCTTTCCCTATCCCGCTCGCGCTCACGATCACGGTCTCTCTCACGTTCAAAACGGGGTTCGCGATCTCTCCAAGCATCTCTCGAGAGACTCCTCCTGCGGAATAAATCACGATCGTCTACGAACACCTTACCTCTCCCCCGATCGCGGTCTCCACGACCACGACCACGTAAAGAACCACCTCGAAGCGGCGAAAGATCCGAGAGCATCTGACCAGGTGGGCCATCTCGAGAAGGTCGTCGTAGCCTTGGTATGTCTAAATCCCTGGGTACCGAATCTCGAAAATCTCTGAGCGGCGGAGGCGATCTGGATCGACCACGACCAAATAGCGGACGGCTATCTCTTGAGTCGTAGACCCTATCCCTGCGCGGCCAGTCCCTCTCAAGATCCCGTCTAAACGGAGGAGGACCATCTCTTGAGTCACGAGGATCACGATCCCGGTATTCTCTCCCTGGAATGCCTCTGCCTCTAGGGCCAACCGGCGCAAAGTGGCCACCCCTGGACGAGTCGATCAAAGCCTTTGGTCCTCTAGGCGGTTCGCGTCCAAGCGGAATGGAATTCGCATCGTCTCCTCCACGAGGTCCAGAAGGTATATGTGGACGGCGGTCGCCATATCTATGGGGAGAGCGGTCCCTTGGAGGGAATCGCGAGGCCATTTGCAAGTATCACCATCGACAGCAGCAGGCAGCCCACTTGGTTCCAAATCGAATGAGCGTTCACGTGATCCCTGAGGTGACGTATGCTTGTTACCTGGAGGAGAGGTCGCTGGCCAAACCAAAAACCAAAAAGGAAAAAAAAGAAAGAAAAAGGATTGTGATGGAAGGCAAATTGAGCTGGAGGAGAGGGTCTGCAAGCAGGTCTGCAAGCAGGTCTGCAGTCAAGATACCTTGCAATTGTTTTGTTGTCAGTGCAGCTGGAGCACCTCAGTCACATGTCAAAGTGAACAATATGCGCCGAAAAAGCAAGACAAGGATATGAACTGAAGAACTGGCCCTCCGGAAACCACAGTGAAAGCAGGTTTCAAAAGAATGGAGGGAAATTTTTTCAGTTTCCCCAACAGGAGCTGGACCGTTTGAAGGGATTATGGAGGACCGTTGGGCTTGCACTGCCAAGATGTGTTAGAAAACCAGGGTCTGATGCTCGGCTGCAAAACTCCCTAGGGAGTGCTCCGTACCCTGGTGCCTGTCAAGGAGTTGGGAAACGACGGATATTTAGCGCAATACCCACAGAAGACGTAAAATAAAACCTGATTTTTGATATCGAAGAATGACAAGGGAAAAAAAAAAAAGGTCGAAGAGAGCGACAGAGAATAGGCTCTTGAAGTCGAAGCTTGATGAAACGAGGGTTTGACCGGGGGGAGGTCTTGGTAGCGACGGTGAGAGTAAGACAAGCTCGAAAGAATCGCCAAAGGGCGCTTCTACAGATCAGACTGTCTGTCGCGTAGACGGGTCCGCAAACGTTGACGGAAGACAAAGATCGAAAAGGGCGTTGGTGAAGGGGAAGGGGGGTGGGAAAAGACGAGGATGCGAGAACAAAAAAGCTAATCGCAAAATAGTTTCGGTTAGAGTACGGAGTACAAGACGGGGGAAAAGGCGACAGTGGATGGCGCGTCTCGTCACGACTTCGATGAACGTGGAATGGGATCGATGAAGGATCACGAAGCGGAGAGAGAGTGAGAGGCGGGAGAGGATGTGAGAGATGCAATTCGACCAGCGGCGCGCCGTGAAGCAGGCCTCCAATGGGGTTTCGCCTCTTTGAATCTCAAACTTGCAGTCGGATTTTAGGTTGTGTCACGTGCAGCTTGGGCTTGGGCGATCGAGTCCGCGACTCCGTAATTACGTCCAGGCATCGGCCCACGACGGACAGGGAGCTCCCTGCTTTCCGACAGAACAAAACACCAAGAAGAAGAAGAAGAAGAAGAAGTACGCTGCCAAGTGTGCATCCCCCGCTGGACTTCGCCGTCTTGAAGTTGAGGAACAACAGAAACAGACTCTCACTCTGGCCTCTCGGATTTCCCTCGCGAACATCGAAGAGGCCCCTTTGATGCGCCGCAGGTGGCCCGCGTGAGGGTTTCCGTTAACTAGTTACAACTTACGATACGCTGACCAAGCATGCAGGCGGGCTGCCAGTCCCTCCCGTATTCTCCGTGAGTTAAGACACTGAAATACCCATGGATTGGGTGTAATTAATTAAATGTGGCTTGAGTGGCTCTCGACCGAACCTGGCCGGGGCTCTGAGGCGCAGTGGGTTCCGCGCATGGGAAACGCCAGGTGGCCAGATGTCACCGCGCGCCCCCTGATTGGCCTGACTTTTCAAGAATCGCAAGGATTGGCCCGCCCCACAATTTTAGATTACCGGGTGTGGCTCGTTCATTATGTCAGCAGGTCGGGGAAAGCACGTGATTGATCAATCTGATAAGATGCGATTGGCGCAGCGGGAGTTTTTGTCGAAACAGCAGGAATCAGTCAAAAAGTGGGAAGAATCGGATGGCGAGGCCGGGCATCGAGCACGGGAGGGTTTGTTTCTTCTGCACATCAGTGTATTCGGATCTCACTTGTATTATAGCATAGATTTCCATCTGATAGAGGACATTTCAGCTTTTTTATTTTCCAGAGTCAGGCACTTTTTGTTCTTGCTTTTAAATTTTCGCACTTTATAACTAAACCCCACCTTGAGGTAAAAATTTCCCCTCCTTTCTCTCTTAGATCTTGTTATCCGAACTGCCTTGAACTCCCTCTGCCCCGAGACAATTCTCTCATTTCATTCCCAATTGCTGTGCACTTTCACTCATTTTACACTACAGCGCCGCCGAAGGCCGAAAGAGACCGAAAAAAGGGGGGGGGAATTCAAAATAAAAAAAAAAAAAAGAAAAAAAGATATGGGTTCTCACGCTGATGCCCCGCCGTCCCGCGCGACGGATGCTGTCCTCGTGGCCTCGGAAAACGTGCCGGAAGGTACTCCGCAGGTCAGCGGAATCGATTTCGACAAGTATGCCGATCGAGATATCACCGCTGCAGAATTGTTGGAAAACATGGCGGGAATGGGCTTCCAGGCCTCCGCCGTCGCCGAAGCCGCAAGGATCATTAACGAGATGGTACGATTTCCCACCCCCAAAGAACAACAAAAAAATAAATAAAAGAAAAAAGAAAAAGGAAGCTATCCTGAGATCTGTAAAGTGGATAAATGAATTTTGGAAGAGAATTAACGCCTTTTTCTTTCCGTGTTCTAGATCGCATGGCGGGACCCAAAGACAGGGAAAGGCACGACGATCTTCCTCGGATACACCTCCAATCTGATATCGTCAGGTCTGCGAGAGACTCTCCGCTACCTCGTTCAACACAAGCACGTTTCAGCCATCGTAACGACGGCCGGCGGCGTTGAAGAGGACTTTATCAAATGCCTCGCTCCGACGTACCTAGGCTCCTTCACCATGAAGGGCGCTCCGCTTCGCGAGAGGGGGATGAATCGAATCGGAAACCTGATCGTGCCCAACAACAACTACTGTCTGTTCGAAGACTGGGTGATGCCCATACTGAATAAAATGCTGGAGGAGCAGGAAGCGTCGAAGAGTACGGACGAGCCTCTGCACTGGACGCCAAGCAAGGTCATTCATCGCCTGGGGAAGGAGATCAACAACGAAGAATCCGTCTACTACTGGGCTTACAAGAATGATATTCCCGTCTTTTGCCCGGCGTTGACCGATGGGAGTCTTGGTGATATGTTGTATTTTCATACTTTCTCCGCTGCCCCGGCACAACTGCGGATCGATATCGTTGAGGACATACGGAGGATCAATTCCATGTCTACATTTGCTGAACGGGCGGGAATGATTATCCTTGGTGGGGGATTGGTCAAACATCACATCGCCAATGCTTGCCTGATGCGTAACGGTGCCGAGAGTGCTGTGTACATCAACACCGCGCAGGAGTTCGATGGGAGCGATGCTGGCGCACGGCCGGATGAGGCTGTGAGCTGGGGAAAGATCAAAGCGGATGCGCAGAGCGTAAAGGTAAGTTTGGGGCCCTTTTCCTCTCGAATATTATTGGCGATGCTTGTTTATTCTTGAGCCTAATACATGTATGCGTCTTATCATAGGTTTACGCGGAGGCAACTGCCGTCTTCCCTCTTATCGTAGCCGCTACCTTTGCGAAGGTGAACAAACAAGTTATCAAATGAGTGCACGTTCCTTCGCACCATTCGAGAATACGGCAATGATTTTCAGAATCTGTTGCATCATTGCGGTCCGAGCTTCGTTAAGCACAGCGGCTCACTCACCGATCGACAATGCTTATATTCAATCTAAAAGACTGGCCCCGAGCGCGCCAATCATTGCGGCGGTCGCCCATGATGTTCAATACATACATACAAACATACCAGGCCGCAGGGCAGAGGACGAACGCCATCGCCATTTTTTTTTGCCACCGCGAACACATGTGATACGGGCACCATTTCCAACACATGGAGAACGGCCGGAGTGCGGGGAAACGTTGACAAAATATACTGATATGAATGGGATACCCAAATATAGGGATAACGAATAAAACCAGCCTATTTTGGCGCCGAGTAACAAGGCCCTACTCCGTACGGAAGATGTAGTTAGTAATTGACAATTGTGCCAATGGCTCAGTGAAACGAGGCCCAGGCTCCTTTTTTTTTTTTTCTTTTTCTTTTTTTTTGGGCGTCCGGGGTCCCTCCAATGAAAAGGTAGGGGTAGGAAAAGCCCCGGGACATCCATGGCGTGGCGCTTTGTAGGGAGAACTGGAGGCAAGCCACACATTGATGTTAGATCCACCGTCGGAGTTGTCATATATTGCATGCATATCCTAAAAATGCCTGATTGGGCGAAGCCACGGCTGCTTGCATCTGGGATCTCGACGTTACTGGGACGCGTGGCCGCTGTTAGCATAGCTTTCAAGTCTGAAGGGGAGCTAGTAGGCGGGAGATAAACGTCTGAGGGAGAAAAATATTGCTCGTGGCGAGAGTTCGCTTTCAATCCCGTGGTGAAAGAACGGGGTTTCATGCCCAATTACACCATGACATCCCTGATGGTCAGTGCTGCGTGGCAGTTTGGGTCCGCGCTCTTCACGGAACGCGCTGTTGGCATGCAGAGAACATGGTCGTGTGGGGAGTACCTCAGCAGCAAGGCAGAAACAGACTAACCTGGAAGGGCATAACAAGAATCCTATGTACTCTGTAGATACGATGACATGCATGCGGGCAGGAGACAGACAACATGGGGCTCTCGGTCCATCTGATAGGAACGCAGGTATGAAGAAAAGGCTCTGTTCAGATGGGGTTGAGCGGCCGCTATCTGGCAGGACTGTATTTTTCTCTAGAGCAGCGAAAGAGCGTGGGATACTCGCCGTATACTTATGTATCTTCCCGCTCTTCACCATCAAGCAAAGAGGGGATTGAAATATCTTTTCTGCATGATACCTTGCTTCTTGCTCCAATTCATGTCTGCGGATGGTGTCCACTCCTCGGACGGTCAGTAGGACTCGGGCCGACTCAGTAGAGGCCCAAGTGATGCTCGGATGGCTAACATGATGAATGACCGGCCGGTGTGGTTCCGGCTCTTCCCAGGCAGATGTTTTCTCTCCCTGCACCGCATATGCAATGTAGGATGTAGTTATGTACTGTGCATACATCCAGACCCAATTCGAGGCCGGGTCGCTGCATTTGGAGGGCCGGAGGGCTCAGGTGTCGGGGGCAGATTGGAAGAGGCAAATCCCCAGAATCCCAACAATCTTGGTGACTCCTGGCCTGGGAAGTCCCCAAGATCAGCTTTTACAGACGTTTGTTTCCTTTGTATGCAGATATCTTGGCATTGTGGTCCGGGTGTTGGCGCAGGTCCACACCACCAGTGAGGCTGCAACGACAGCGCAGGGGTGAGTCATGGAGGCACAGCTTTGGGCCGCAGCGACACAGCATCCAAGCAACATGGACGGACGAAGTCTTCCAAGAGGGTTGAAGTCTTGCTGCCTAAAAATTACCTGGTATCTTTGCTTGTGTGCTTCTCTTCCTGCGATGGTTTGCTGACGGGGAGGAAGCTCTGCTGGCGTCGGAAAAGGGCGTTAGGTTTGAGGTTCCCCACAGGAACGAATGGACGAGCGAGGACGTCGGCAAGGCGGTGTGACAGAAGCGGGTCTCCGGGGGGAGCTTTGCGCTCGAGAGGCGACGCCGGACAGCTTCCAGTCCAGACCCGCTGACGCTGCTGCTCTGCGCGAATTGCCTCCCGAAGTCCATCCAGGACTCCGAACATGTTCCTTCGCCCGAAGCGGACAGAGGGGGGAAAAAAAAAAAAAAAAGGAAGAAGAGGCTCCATAGGCAAACGAACAGGGGGTTCATCGTAGTCTGGTTATCCTGGTACCTAGAGACCGGGACAGAGCAGTCAGGTCCTCATCGACAAATCCGGTTGCCCTACATCACCGTCGGACTTGTAATCGTGAATTGGAGATGGTTTTTTAGCGGCGATTCGAAACGGGTTGACTTCAGGCTCCTCCACGATCGACTCTCACATGGACTGCTGATGACTATTCCCCCGGCTCCTATTCGAAGCTGCTGCCTTGAATTCCTCCAAGCTCAAAAAGCTCCCCAAGAAAGAAGACAAGGCAAATCTTTCACGGCGGGTGGCAAGCAATTCATCAACTGCGGATCAGCCTCAGCCTTTGCCGTTTTCTGCTTAAACCGCAGCCTGTACCCCTTCCCACTAGCCCGCCCAAAGCCAACAAAAACTCACTCTCGTTCCCCCCAAAGTCTCTCTCTTCTTCTGCTCAGCACTCCTCCCGTATCTTCTTTTTATCCTCCATTCACAAAAGTTATCCTCTGTCATTTGCTTCACTCAACACCCCTCTCTTATCCATTCTCTGCTGTGTAACACGGTCTCACACACTCACACACACACACACACACACACACACACACACACTCCCTCTCTCTCTCTACTTATCTATCTGCTACTTGGCTTTCTGTTGCCTGTGAACCTGAGAGACCCAGTCGTGCTTTCTGGCCATTTTATTTGCCTTGCATCGATCAATAATATTTTAGAGACACAGTGGGATTGCACCGTTCACTCATATTAGAGTTCTTTCTCCCCTTCTATCACTAGTGCAGTGAATTGGTGAGTTGGCATCCTACAAAACCCCCTATGATTGGGCTTTTCGTCGCATCTTTTCCCAACATCCCACCTTATCAGGCAGTTAACAACACTCTTTTATTTTCGTCAGATATCTAAAGCATTCTGTTCTGCACCTTTTCAAGTCCACCACCCTCAAGGCTTCTGCCTGCTCTCACCAATGGAGGTCGCTGTCGAAACTCCAGCTCCTATCAGCCGACAGCCGGAATCCTTCGATCCCATGCCCATAGAAGCTCCGGAGCAAGCCCCGTTATCTCAGAATGTTGTCGTCCCGCCTTCAGATCAACCCTCTGAGGATCCTTCTATGCCCACAGAGTCAGGAGCACCCGATCGACCTGCTGAATCTGACGCTCCGGCCGACGAAAACCCAATAGACCAAACGCCTTCCAACCCGGAGCAATCAACAAACTCCGTAAATGAAGAAACGAGCATTGATACCTTCGTTGACCCCGCCGCCAATTCTATTGTGCCGCAGGCAACCACCGCAGAACCAGAAGATTCGGGTGATCCTGCCGATTCCGCGTCGGGTGGTGATACCTCCTCTGACGGTTCCACAAGGCCTACATCAGAAGATTCTGCCGAGTCAAATGGCTCTACCAGCGAAGAGGATAGCCCAGAAGATAATGAGGACAAGACAGAGGAAGAACCAGCATATTGGGCAGATATTGTCGAGGATACATCAGTACCGGATGAGGCTGAATTGAAAGAAATCGAGTCCGCGGGTGCGGACTGCAGTACATATGAATGTTTGTTCATCAGTAACCCCCCTCTGGTTTCTTTAGTGATGAATTCACCTCATAATCCGTACTTACACAATCCCGTTTTTTTTAGATGACTACTGGGAGAAAACCTTTTATCGGAGCCTCGATGATCCAGAGTACAGAGCTTCGGAGAAGGCCCGTCTAACTTGGAAAATTAAAGGAGTTCGTGGCACCAAGGAGAAGCCCAATCGTGCTACCATTATGCGTTCGCCCGCGGCGTACGTTGGTGGCTATTATTGGACCATCAAATTCTTCCCGCGAGGCAACTCGGTGTCGTCACTGAGTATCTACGTTGAGTGCTCAGCGACACCTCCCGAGCCGGACAAGGAGATCCCCCAGACTGAATTCAAGGTTCTCAAGGGTGCGCCAGATGCTGATTTGAGCAAGTTGGCTCCGGCCGTTGAACTATCACTCCCCGCAACAGTAGATACCAAGAAGCCCCGATCAAAACAAGCATCGTCCAAAGATGAAGCCCAAACAGGGGAGACAGAAGTTGAAAATAACGAAAACTCTGGCAGGTCCACACCCGCCGAAACGAAAGAAGAGGAAAAAAAGGATTGGAGAGTTTCAGCGCAAATTGGCGTGATTTTATACAACCCCAATGAGCCACGGACAGGGTGGATGCAGTCGTCTTCCCATCAGTTCAATCCCCACAACGTTGACTGGGGCTGGACCCACTTTCATGGACCTTGGGATCAGATTCACAAGCGCCACCACGGTCAACGCCAGGCTCTTTTGCGAGATGATACCCTCGCTTTCGATGCATATATTCAAATTTTCGACGATCCGACGCAATCTCTATGGTGGCATGCCAGTGACTCAGAACCAGTCTGGGATAGCTTTAGCTTGACGGGATACCGGCCATGGGGCGATCCCATGGTGAACCATAGACATGAGGTTGCGGGGCTGGTTACGTGGCTCATGATGGCTTCTTTCCGTGATGTTATCCAGAGCGTAGACATCCTCGAGCATCTTACAAATCCCAACGTCAAGCCAAGGCCTTTGTGCGACGCACTCCAGCGGTTGCTGTGGTCTCTACGACCCCAGTCCGGATTATCTACATCTTTTATTGATACCGACCAGGTCACAACAACCCTCCGTAACCTTCATGAGTTCTCGGGAGATGTCACGGACTTCTGGGAACGTCTACGTCGAACATTGGAACTGGAGCTTGCCGGAACTGACGCAATCGATAAGCTTGCGAAGATCTTCGACAGCCCACGCATCGAAAATACCGCAGATGGGTTCGGCGACAGTGTTTCGGTCAATCACATTCCCCGCGAGGCCAATGGCGGTATCAGAGTCTCTGCTGCCAAAGCAAATAGCATACAGCAGGCTGCAAAGAATTATCTGGATGGAAAACCGGGGAAATGGTCCTTGCCATCGGTTTTCCACGTTGAGTTGGTGCGACAGACTTTCGATAAAAGCACCCGCCAGTGGAACATGCTTTATGATCGTGTCAAGCTGGACGAAACTTTGGATTTGTCCGAATGTGTTGTCGACGGCCAAGTGGGCAAATATAGCCTGTATGGGCTGGTTGTTCACAAGGGAAGCCGATCATCAGGGCGGTTCTACAGTATTCTGCGCCCCGGCGGGCCCAATACCCGTTGGCTAGCTTTTGAGGATGCAAGTGACAATAAGATTGAGTGCCTGACCAAAAAGGCTGCACTTGAAGCTCACGAAGGCGTCGATGCCAGCAACCTAAAGAAGATTGACAAGTCCGGTGCTGATGTCGCTGTCGTCGTGGTTTACATCCGTGACGATGTGATATCGCAATACTTGACAGGAAAGCTTGAGCCCTGGCAAGTTGGGGAGCTTCACCAGCATTATTTTATGAATGGCTACTATCATCTAAATCGTGAGTTGAAGAATGGCCTACCACCCACGGTCAAGGTTGAGCTCTTCAGTCTTTCAGACTTCTCCATAATTGAGAAGAGTATCGTCGACTCTTATGATCTAATGGCAGTTGCGAGAGCAACGGGCCAATACAATACTCTTTCTGTCCCTGGCAACACAACCTTCATGGAATTACGAAAGAAAATTGCGTCCTTGAAGTCGACGGAAATCCACGAACGTATCCGAATCTGGCAACTTGGTGCGAGGAAGCCTCTTTTCGCTCCAACACTCAACTTCCAAATTATTTATGATCTCACTGATGTTGTTATGAGCTTTGAATTGAGCGTTTTGCGGCTGTGGGTGTACGTTTTGTCCGATGAAGAAGCTCGGTTTTTTGCCGTGCGGGATCAAGTCAGTGATAGCCAGCCTTTTGATGAACTTCCACCGGAGGAGCCTGTGCCTTCAAACGAAGAACCTGAGAATTCCCAGGAAAATATTGCTGGGTCTCAAGATGCCGCAGTCCCTAATGGAACAGATGACACAGAGATGAATGATGCTCCAGCGGAAAATCGTGAAGAAGCGGCTACTGTTACCCCTGATCAGGCACCCCAACCCCCAGCCGAACAAGAACCACAGTCGACATCTGGTCAGCCTATGCCTAATGAAACCGTATCCGCTAATAACGGCGAAGGTGGCACTTCCGATGATACTCCGATGCAAGATGCTATTGTGCCGGCGGGACAGGAGAATGTGAATAACGACACGGCCATGGACGACGACGCAGCTATCGCTGCGGTGATTGCGCAGGACCTTGCAGAATATGAGAGGGCTGAATCTATGGAGACAGAACCTTCCCCGGCCCCTGAGAGTACTCAGCAAACGAATGTAAATGATACCCAACAACAACCTCTTTCCACACAGACCGAAGAGCCCCCTAATGTGTCTTCAGAGGAAGCGCCTGAAGAGACCGCTCCACAAACCGATACCACACAGGAAACCTCCCAGCCACCACCAGCCAATGATGACGACGTAACTATGGAGGGCGGCCCTCCCGTTAACTCTTCGGAGAGGCAACAGGGCACTACTGAAGCTGAGGACAATAATACTGATCAAGCAACTGTTGACTCGAATTCGACGTTGCCGATTTCCGAGCTTGTACCCCCACGATCACATGTGTATTACTTTATTCAGAGATTTGACGCAGAAAAGCAAGAGTTAAACACCATTGGAACATTTTTTGCCACGAAGAGCGAAACCATTAAAGAATCTATTCGCACAGCTCTTGGGTTTGAGAAGAATAAGCAGTTTCTTTTGTGGCATCGGGTTGATGGAATCTCCGTCGTTGCTATTTCGTCGGTTGAGATCTTTGATGATATAGTTGGATACACTGATGGGGAGTGTTTTATTGTGGGCGATGTTATCGGAAAAAATGAGTGAGTATCCAAACTCCCCCCCCCAAACCATGACTCTCACCATGATTCTAACATTTTTGTGTCAGACGTATGAAACTTGCAGAAGCAGGATTGTTCTCTTCCCCAGATAGACTTGTCCGTTATTTGTGGGCAGTGGGACGGAAACACCCCACCAAATCTTTTACTGGGACAAAAACCACCGAAGCCACATACAATGGCGATTACTACTCTGGCGAATTCAAGAATGGCTACTACCATGGCAAAGGTACCCATATTTCGGAAAGCGGCGCCACGTATACCGGCGATTTCGTCTTGGGCGAACGACAAGGAACCGGTACCATGGAATACGCCACCGGTGACACATACACCGGGGATTGGGTCGAGGACCAACGCCATGGCCAAGGAACTTTCGTCGAGCGCAAGACCGGCAACAAGTACGTTGGCGGGTACCGCAACGGCAAGCGCCATGGCAAAGGTATCAGCTATTGGGAGGTCGCTGACGAAGAGATGGACCTCTGCCAGATCTGCTATAGCGAGAATCAAGACTCGCTGTTTTACAGCTGCGGACACGTGTGTGCCTGTTTGAGCTGCGCCAGACAGGTAGATATCTGTCCAATGTGCCGGAAGAAAGTTCTTAATGTGGTTAAGATCTACAAGAGCTGAAATTTAGACTAGAATGTCTTCCCTTTTTTTGTTTCTATTCCTTGAAATTCTCTAGGAATATCTCCTCCCGCTCTCATTTTTGGTGCGAGCCTTTTTTTTATGATTTAGAAACTATTCTTGTCTTCATAGACTCGTGATTTCCCGCTGGCATTGAACTAACTACCCCTCGTCCCTTACACTTTTTTTTTTCCTTTTGTTTTTGTCAGCTTCTATGCTCCTGTCTTACAGCAACCTCAGTTTTCATGACGAAATGACACCATTCTATCTTGATCCGATCCTTTTGACCTTTGGCGGAGATGGCGATATTGGAATTTTCCCTGATTTTCGAGACCGACGGCCGGGAGTTAGAGCCTGCCTTTCTTTTCTTTCCTTTTTTTTTTTTTTTTTTTTTTTTTTTTTTTTTTTTTAATGATTTTAGGGTCGAGATTGCGATATCTAATAGTGAAGCGACGTTGATACTTTTGAGATACTGCCTTAGTTTTAAACGAACCCCAAAAGATTTTTATATTTGATCTACAAGTCCCACACAGTCCTTTTTGTTTTTGAGAATTTATTAGACAAGTAGCATTGCGGGTGCAGATGTTGAATCCAGTTGGCCTCATGCTAGGGTGAAACTCCTGCTCATGTCCTGTACCAAATTTAAATTTTGGTATACCCGGGACCCAACAAAGAATGTACTCAGCTGTGTACAGTGTCTTCCTCTTTAGCAACGATTTGTATAAATTTTCTCACATTCAGAAGAGGTTTTGACAGAAAGCTGTGACGTTAATCTGCGTGGGTCCAACCAGAGCAAAGAGCGGGAGCTTGTTGAGATGTCTTGGCATTTCTGCTCCCTTCCAAAGGATCGCCCGATCACGACCACACCGGGAGCGAGGACTTAACTGACCATGAGCCGGCCATGGATACAGCCACGGAATTTCCATGAACATTGTCTCCTGAGTCTGTGCTTTTTGCCTTTATTCCATGGGCTCCAAGCTGCCCTTCCCTCCTCTCCTCCCAGATCCAGAAACGCTTCCTGAACCGGACTTGTATCCGGACAAGCAAACCACGACCAATGATTTAGCCGAAGAAGAAGAAGAAGTGGAAGAGGAGGATGACGATGACGGCATCGCCTTTGGTGAACATGCTGATTTTCGATCCCACTATACGTCTCCTCCATCGCTCGATGAGTTGGACGAGGATTCCGGCTCGCTGAATGACGAGGAGGAGGACGAAGAAGAGGATGGAGAAGCGGACGATGATGATGGTATTGCCATTCACAAGCCGTTCCTACAATCCACCGGGTCTCTACCTAATGCGTTTGCCCCGCCGTTCTACAATCGTCCACCAACACCTCTTCCGCCCTCGCCCTCATTGACTTCGCTGCTGCGACCGTCGTTTTCGGCGAATACCTCTCGCCCAACGACGCCGGATAGCTCTGATGTAGAGACTCCAAATGATACAGAAGCAGCGGTGGCAAAGTCCGCGCGGATCGCAACGACGGTACCAAGGGCCAGTCCGAAAGTGCCAACGTATGAGTACTATGGCTTTGTGTTGTACCTGACCTCCTCATTGGCATTTCGTACGTGCATGCTACCTCCACGGGAATACATTTTTATTTTTTTTATTTTTATTTTTATTTTTTTTTGTGCTTTCATACTAACCTACGTTTGTCCGCAGTAATGTACTTATTATGGTCCTTCCTCCCATCTCCATTCCTCCATCAGTTGGGGATATACTACTATCCCAACCGCTGGTGGTCCCTTGCCATCCCTTCCTTCCTGGTTATGACGATTATCTACATTTACGTAGCGCTCGCGGCGTATAACACCGGATACCTTACCCTTCCGATGAATAATATTGAGAACCTTGTTGATGATGTCGCGAACATTGCTGTCATTGACAGCAAAGGTAGGCGCAGGCCCGGTGGATCGGAAAAGATGAATCCCGATGCAACGACTGCACAGACAATGGGTGCTCAGAAGAAGAAATTAGAGTGGAAGGCTATTTGGAATGAGGGCACGGATGCAGTGATGGATATCCCGGTTGGGGGCGTATGTGAAGTGCTGTATGGCGACGAAGGGAATGGCGAAGATTTGGAATCTGAGCATACAGGAATAGGCGGGAAGTGAGCCAAGTTTTATATGCTTATTTGCGCCGCCCAACCATTGTGCCTGCAACTGCCAAATTTTGAATAATACATCAGTTTTTAATGCATGCACTCCGTATGTTCTAGCGAAGCACTGGATTCCTCCAAATCAGTAGAGCGTGAGCATAGCGAGGAGTGCCATATACACTGCAAACGAGGACGTCTACCTCCTAATACTTTTAGGAGCTAGTGAGGACATTCTTTATATAGTAATCCGTCCTAGTCAAGGGAATATATACCGCTGATTGAGTGGTCTGATACCGGCATAATACGGAGGCCAAATCTCGTAATTCACTTAGTGAGTGAGCAAAACTCACGGAGGATTGCAAAAAGCCTTCCCTTCACTTCCCCCTCACGCTGTCATTGATAATGATGAAAAAGACTACTTGCCAAATAGGCGAAAAAAAAGATATTGACAAGAGTGAGATTCGAACTCACGCAGGGTTTCCCCTACCAGGACCTTAACCTGGCGCCTTGGACCGCTCGGCCATCTTGCCGCTGATACCACTACGATCCACCATCCTAATTAAGACTTGCGAGGAATTCAAATTTTCGAACTCAGCAGCCAACCAGCAACCAGAGATCGTCCCAATAATGAACCCCGGCAAACCTAAATTCAGAGTCAAACAGGGCAAACGTCGTGGCCTGCGACGCGGGTCTTTCAATTAACCAACACCGGGCGTGTCAAACACCGTTTAAAGACCATACTGCGCTGTGCGCAGGATTTACCAAATACCTACGAGCTACATTAGGAAAATGGAGCGCGAACAGTTAAAAAAAGGCGCATCTGCCGAGCCTCCCCCTACACGTCTCCCTCCAGATCAGATCCAACGAATTGTATGACTTAGAAAAGTGACCAAAAGCGGACAATATCACTGCTAACCTCCGTTCCCGTTGAACAGGAAGTCAACCGCTTAAAAGCCAAGGCTCTCCGCGAGCAGCGCGAAGCCGAAGCGGCCCGTGACAACAGAGCAGCAGCCGCCGCCTCCGTTGGTGCCGGCGATCCCGGTGCGGGTTCTACTGTCGCCGGAACCAAAAGGCCTTACTCGGCTACACTCACCTCCCGAACGCCCTCGACTCTGCGCGATGGCCGGGCGTATAATACGTCAGAACAAAGGCCGCTGGATTCTATCCGTCCAGCGCGGAATTTTAGCAAATATGTAGAATATGATTTCAGCAAAATGACAGACACCAAGGGCGGTTTTTTGACCGCGGAGGATGATCCGCATAATAAGGTGCTGCATTCTGATCGCGAGTATGATGGAAAGCCCGCGCATATGACGCAGAAGGAGTGGGAGAGACAGCAGTTACTGCAAAATCTACGGAAGGAGAAGGCGGGTCCGTTTGAGCCTGGGCTGAGTGTGCTGAGCAAAAGAGCTGAACAGAAGAAGTGTCGCGAGTGCGGGACGGTGGAGATTGATTGGAAATGGGAGGAGATTTTCAAGTGTTGCGTGTGCCATGGGTGTAAGGACAAGTACCCGGATAAGTACAGTTTGCTTACGAAAACCGAAGCTAAGGAAGATTACTTGTTGACCGACCGTGAGTTCATCCTGTTTCTTAAGCCTTCTGATATATGAGGCTAATTTGTTTCCGATCTCGGTTTATAGCCGAACTCAAAGACGAAGAGCTCCTCCCACATATGGAGCGCCCAAATCCCCACAAATCCACATGGAACAATATGATGCTCTTTCTTCGCTATCAGGTCGAAGAATACGCCTTTTCCCCTAAGAAGTGGGGATCTCCAGAAGCACTAGATGCCGAATTCGAAAGACGGGAGGCGGAGAAGAAAAGGAGAAAAGAAGCGCAGTTCAAGACTAAACTGCAAGACTTGAAGAAGAGGACGAGAGTAGAGGCATACCGCCGGAGTCGCCTGGCTGCAGAAGGAGGTGCAGGAGGTAACTTTGGAGATGATTTGGGTGGGAGGAGGAAGCATGTTCATCAGTGGGGGAGAGCCGTAGAGAACCCGGAGACGGGAATAGGCGTCAAGACGTGTGTCGATTGTGGAATGGAGGTTGAAGAGTTGGAATTCTGATCTACCGCACTATAGCCCCCCTCATGAGTGATGATGACTTCATGAAATATCCCGGTATGGCGTTGATTGCTCCTACTTTGCTTCTTCGTAAAGAGTGGCTGACACCACATATCATCTGTCTCTTCATTTTACGTTCGACTGAGTACTCACGCTTGCTATTGTGGGACGCTATCTCTCAACTTGTGACCATGTTTTTTGCTGCCACACAATCACTGCTAGTCATTGATTGTTTGCTGCTGAGGGAAGAAATGCTTGTCCGTATTCTTCCAAGTTGAGGCTTTGGCAGTCGGAAAAAAGAGATGGCTAAAGGTGAACAGAAATTGAATCTGTTGATTCAAAGTCAAGAACCACCTTTTCAGTGTATAGGTGTATACATTGCCTAGTCTGGGAAGCTGGCTTCATATTCAGGCCTGTGGAATAATGCTACAAGGGAAGTCTGTAATTTACATCGCTTCAATGCGTAATTCCATTACAGATGTCCGCACGCGGGGGTTGCTTAATAACAAGCCTTTGAGCGATATTGACGCTTACCGGAAGAGGTTAGTGCGCTCACCTCATCGCAGTTGGGCCTCTTGGCACCAGCGCCAGGGAGACCAGCGAGAGAGCGCTGAGCTTCAGAGGCCAACAATTCTGTTCAGCGTGTTTGTCCATTTTTCAAATGCCAGACTGAGGTAGCCCAGAACCAGAGTGCAGGAGCCTGCTGATGCTGTCTTCTTCCGTTGTAAAATAGCGCTCCATCTCACTTGTTGGCTTTACCGTGGTGCACGGACTTCTCAGGCCGCTCTCCTGTTCTTGTTTCGCGCGATTGAGACGAAAGGGAAGACAGCTTCAGGGAACCCTGCATTTTAACAACAGACCCTCTCTTGAACACGGAACAATTGTTTACTTTTAGATGGCCTGGCAGACTCCACCTGCCATGGCTGGTAACGGGGAGATGAGTGGGGGAAACATGGATAACAACAATGGCGGACGTCCGCAGGGAACAGAGTACACCCTACAAGGTCAGCTTGCACATCCATTCACCCTATTTCTTAGGCTTGTCTACAGTACTAACGTGCGTTTTCCTCCGGCGCTATAGGGGTAATGCGATTTCTCCAGTCCGAGTGGCATCGACATGAAAGGGATCGTAATGCTTGGGAAATTGAGCGAGCGGAAATGAAATCAAGAATTGGCAGACTTGAAGGCGATGCTCGGACGAGCAAACGCATGCACGAGTCCTTGGGAAAGCATGTAAAAATTCTTGAAATCGCGCTCAAGAAGGAAAGGGAAAAGGTCAAGAAACTCGCAGTTGGAGAGAAAGTCGACCTCGGTACCGATCCCAAAGACCTGGCCAAAGAAAGCCTGAAGGACCTTCAGACCCGTAAGTCTCTCTTAACAACCTTCTCTGCGGCGTTGATCACTTAACATTTTTAGAATTTCCCAAGCGTACTGGTCTAGATGTTGAGGTTGACCAGGACGACCCAACCCATTCGGCTATGCACCATGATACTGAGCGCGATAAATCTCGAAATTTCCTTGGAAAATGCTCCCAAGAGGTTGCGTATCACATAATTCCCGGGTACCATCCACCTCTTGACCTTCATGAGCCCCCTGAGATCTTCCGCAGCAGGCACCACATGCAACAACAAGAACCCTATGCTCAGCCGCATCACCCACAACAGGGTCAAGGCCAGTCGGCGCAAATGCATTTGAAACAGTCGCAACCTAACCATGTTAATATGGTTCGGGAGCCTTCTATACATCAGCATATGCTTTCCAACTATCCTGAGAACAGCGGTTACACTGCATCAGAGAGTCACCCGCCGGGAGTGCCACGCGAGATACTAGAGAGGAGAGCATATGAACAACAGCGCATGCCTGGACCCCCGTTGGATGGACGAAAGGGAGCCTTTGAAGACTTACCTGTCTCTGAGGGACCTCGCCGTGATGCGGAAGGACGATCATTTGATTCGTTTAATAAACCATCTGAAGAACAATCGGACCGCCGCTCTCTGCCTTCGGATAGTATTTTTGTTGACGAAGCTGACGGATGGAACTTTGATGAACCTTCCCTGAGCGAACCGCCATCCGCCACGGCTCAACCTCACCGACCAGATCAAGATGCCTTTCCTAATGCAAATTTTGTGAGCCCTAAATCGCTTCCGCGGGCTGGACCAGGTTCTCACCGGAGGAAAAGCTCTGGTTCGAGAAGACGCAGCGATGGAAGCATTGATCTAAGGGAGGGAGCTGGATTAGAAGTACAAAGACTGGAACCGTCCAATTTCAAGGTCCGGTTTGCTTTGCGCGGTCATCTCGATGTGGTCCGATCTGTCATTTTTACTGGTGGCGGAAGCCCTTCAGAACCCGAAGTCTGTACTTGTGGTGATGATGGAACGATCAAGCGGTGGATCCTCCCGGCGACTTATGGTAGCTTTGGCCCTAACAGTGCATCATCAGGTAATGACCTTGATATCACCAGTTACTTTACACATAGGGGTCACAGTGGTTCGGTAACCTGCCTCGCCGCGTGTCCAGCCTCCCGAGACTTCTCCAATGGTGGCCGAGCCCTTGGAGATGGCTGGGTATTTTCTGGAGGACAAGATGGAACTGTCAGGGTTTGGGAGCGCGGTAGGGTCGACGCTAAGGCAACATTGGATGCCCATACAGATGCAGTCTGGACTTTATGCGTGTTGCCTGGCACTTCCGGTTCAATTCTCGGAGATCGTAGTAGCCTCTACGGTGGTGCAGATCGCATACTGCTTGCTTCGGGTGCTGCAGATGGAAAGATCCTGATATGGGCAGTCAGTTCCCCGCCACAATTGAGTTCTCCACAGGCGAGTTCACGAAGAGCTGGTGGAAGTAGAAGAGCAAACTCCATTTCCTCAGGATCAAACTTCCCTTCATCGCCTCAGCCAAGCACCGCAACAGCAACGCCATTCCATTATGCCCTGGTTCACCATATCGTTCGACCCGATTTCCCTTCTCCCACCTGTATCAGTCCTCTGTCCTTGGCCGGCGTGAACTTCGTGGTGTCATACGCTGATGCCTCTGTCCTCGTCTATGACACGCGAACTGGAGAGCAAATCGTCGGCATGGCAAGCCTGGAAACTTATGATGGGACTCGCTCCACTGGTGTCAACTCTGTGGTGGCCAGTACTATTGGCTTTGACGGCACTGCTGGATTGGACCCCAATAGACCGCTGGCTGAAGAAGAAACAGTTGTGCATGGTGCCACAGGCACAAGTGGTGGAGTTGAAGGTGTTATCATTAGTGGCTACGAGGACCGCTATATCCGTTTATTTGATGCTAATAGTGGTAAGTTGCCCAATCTTGGGGTCATCTTTTCTGTCATTAGAACTAACACATCGACTTGTTCAGGCCAATGCACTTACACCATGCTTGCTCATCCTGCGGCCATCTCCTCGCTCTCTTTATCCCCTGATGGGCGGGAGCTCGTTTCTGCCGGACATGACGCAAGTCTTCGCTTCTGGTCCTTAGAAAAGCGCAGTTGCACCCAGGAAATCACAAGCCACAGACTCATGCGAGGTGAAGGAGTCTGCTCTGTTGTTTGGAGTCGTGACGGAAGGTGGGTTATCAGCGGAGGTGGGGATGGAGTGGTTAAAGTCTTTGCAAGGACCTGAGCACATACATGAGTGAACCTTTCTAGCTCTTTGAAGCCATTTCACCCCTAAAATCACATATGATGCAGAGGGCTCCCAGTTCATACGCAGGAGTTGTTTATGTGTGTTTCCCCATGATTACCTTTTACAGCTGGGAACTTCACACGTGACGCAACAAGTTTCTCGCCCTCCTTTTCACCCTGGACTATTTGGAAAGTCCTTACCAATCTACTAAATGCTTGGGATTTTAGAAGCACATATTCCCAAGAAATCTTTCATTGCAGAGGTTCTTCGCCTTGGTTTACAGTTCTTCTCTATGCATACCTGGGCTTGGTCTCTTGCCTTTCACGATACCCTGAAAAATCAACAATCTCCTGCTCTACCATGCAATGGGGTGTGCTTTTTACTGATACTGTATCCCATATTCCCCATATTCCCTTTTACAATGTCCATGAATGTTACCCTTAATGTCAAAATACCAATATGTTGTTCTCCTAAGCACCTCATGCCTTGTCCCAAACCCCCTGAATATTCTTCTTCAACTTCTGTATAACATAAATTCTTTACTGCCGGCTTGTCTTCATGGTATTATTGCATTTTAATGAACTGCCTGTGACATGCCCTTATCTCGTTCAGATTTCATTCCCAAAGTTTCTTGTTACATGGATATGAAAGATATTATGGAATCTAGCATATGATTGGAGCCAGCCTTCAATAATATGAAACGATCTTAAGAGCTTCAACAGAAGCAGGGCCCCTAGGCGACATGAAATCATCCCGCTTTAACTATACCAGCGAATAAAAGTAGTATCTCATGAGCAAGACAAGGGATATTCCTATCGCCATTGTTTTAATCTGATATATGGAACCTCATACGCTCGATTCCCATGTCTTCTTGAACAATGATCTTAATCGCGCTGCCTCGCTCTCATCTTTAAGTCTCATCTTCAAAAAACCCTCTAGGTCATCCCAGAAGGACACTGATTTCAGTATACCTGCACTATCTCCAGGAAGAGACTGCGCGGCTTCTGCCACCCGCACGGCCTCTTGTGCTACCGGCTCTTCCGCTTTGCCCTCTGTCGTCGGAGCAGACGATTCTTTCGGAGGTATCATCGCTGCACCTCCCAGGATCATAATGCCGAACTCCACTTCTTTCCCGCCGACAAGAGCGTCCGGATCATTCGCTAGAGCATCTGTAACTAATTTACCCTGCACCGGTCTACGTTTCCATAAAATCTTGATCTTATCCAGGGGAACATTCTCGCTATCGTTTTCTGCGTTTGTGGGTTTAGTTCGGTTTTGAACGGCTTCTTTGAGGTCTTGAATTGTTGCGTTAGATAGGGGGATGTTGTCGAGAGTAATATCGAGAACGGGGTTGCGAGCGGATTTGAGGTGGATCGTTATAGACTTGGAAGAGCCAGGTATGGCGGCTGGCTTAATCTTTTTGGGGAGCGGCGGATGCGGAGGATCGGAGAGGCGAGGAAGGGTAAACTACGCATAAAGAAGGGAATTAGCCTTCGTCCAGACTGCATTCACACTAATATGGACTGGCATTCAGATTCGTACAGGCTGGCGTGGTTGGAACTCCCGTGGGTCAAAGGCGTGGTCTGCGGGGAACTTGATGGGTTTCGAGTCGAGATGTGCCAGGAAGGCTTTTGTAAATGATAGTTCCGCCATTCTGCCAACAATAGGCTGTACTTATTGGAACAAAACTAGAAGATTTAACCAAGAGCCCTTGTATTTGTTCACACGATCGTGAGCATGTGGACGGTGATGTTGCTCAGCGAGAGCTCGGTGGTCACGTGCCAGGAGGCTTCGTTAACTAGTTATCTTATCAATCAGCAACGGAGAGCTGCTAAAAGTTAAACTTTCTCGAGCGCTCAATTTTCCAGTCGTACCGAATATTTACAGCTGGCGCAACGTCCTTCCGTCGCGGAAAGCAGCGATTCATTATACACAATGGGTGTCGGGCGGCGCATGAAAAAGCAAGGCCCTCCGCCTCCTCTAGATGAGTCGAACATATCATCTTTAAAAAGACGAAAAGCCGATGCCCTGGAGGACGCCGCTCCTCGAGGGAACAAGCGTCGAAGAGCTGAAAACAAGGCAGAGTTGAAGAAGAATGCAAACCAAAAAAGCAATGGGGACTCGATAGCGGCAAAGGGAGCTGCAAAAATTAAGAAGCCTAAGACGGTCAAGACTAAAGAGAAGCCCTCTCCGGCTAAGCCTTCGTTCCTGGACTCCGATGGCTCGGGCAGTTCAGACGACGACATGGAGGAGCTCATTGGAGATGAGTTCGAAGACCTGGATAATGTTAGTGATGATGGTTCCTCGGTATCGGGTGCTGCCGATTCTTTATCGAATGACGGCGACTCTGGAGATGAGAGTGACTCCGTTTTCGATTCAGACGAAGACCAACCGCGAAAAGCAATGTTCTCGGACGACGAAGATTTGTCAGATGCAGAAGAACAACTTACGGCTGCGAATATAGAGGGGTTGTCGCGAAAATTGGACAAGCAACAAATGGAGGATGCTGCACTTGCCGAGCAGGAGATGAAAGAGTCGGCCATGCAGACCAATATCCAAGAAGATCGGCCGGACGTGTTTGGAGATGAAGATCAAACGAATCTACCTCCCAGCCTAGCCCCCAATCTTCAACTCCTTCGAACACGGATAACGGATACGATCCGTATTTTGGGCGACCTGGCTACTCTAGGTCAGCCGGGCAAATCTCGTGTAGACTATACCGACCTTCTCCTACGGGATATTTGCACATACTACGGGTATACGCCATATCTAGCAGAGAAGCTATTCTCCTTATTTACGCCTATGGAGGCCTTTGCCTTCTTCGAAGCCAACGAAACCCCCAGACCTGTTGTTATCCGTACCAATACACTACGCACGAATCGTCGCTCGCTCGCCCAAGCATTGATAAATCGTGGAGTCGTCCTCGAACCAGTTGGAAAGTGGTCTAAAGTTGGCTTGCAGGTATTCGAGTCACCTGTACCATTGGGTGCCACCCCAGAGTACCTCGCTGGCCACTACATCCTCCAGGCAGCATCTTCATTCCTTCCTGTGATGGCACTTGCACCTCAGCCTCACGAACGTGTCTTGGATATGGCGGCTGCTCCTGGTGGTAAAACAACATATATGTCAGCGTTGATGCGGAATACTGGCTGTGTTCTGGCAAACGATGCAAACAAGGAACGAGCGAAAGGTCTTATTGGTAATATCCATCGTCTTGGCTGCAAAAATACTATTGTATCCAATCTGGACGCGCGAACAGCATTTCCCAAAGCCATGGGTGGGTTTGATCGGGTGTTGCTAGACGCACCCTGTTCGGGAACTGGTGTTATCTCAAAAGATCCAAGTGTGAAAACATCCAAGACGGAGCGCGATTTCTTTGCCCTCCCGCACATGCAGAAGCAGCTGCTTCTTGCTGCCATTGACTCGACCACCCATGCGTCTAAAACAGGTGGATACATTGTCTATTCAACTTGCAGTGTGACAGTGGAAGAAAATGAAGCGGTGGTGCAATATGTACTACGTAAGAGACCGAACGTTAAGATCGTCGACACGGGACTAGGCAATTTCGGTAGTGAGGGCTTTAAAAGCTACAAGGGCAAACAATTCGACCCTAGGATGGCCATGACCAGGCGATACTTCCCACACCGCGAAAATGTGGACGGATTCTATGTCTGCAAACTCAAGAAAATCGGGCCATCCCCAGCGGACACTAAAGGTTCTGCGGCGCCCACAAAGACTGCAGCTGATGGGGAGGTTGCAAACGAAGAATGGGATAAGACTCCCATAGCCGAAGAGAATGGCGCAGGATCCAAGGACGAAGGGTTCGGACCGTTTGATGACAACGAAGACGAGCCATACATCGCAAGGGCCGAACGGAACAGAATAAGGCGGAAGGGACTTAATCCCAAGGCGGTTCTAGAGGGAAAGCAGAAAAAAGAAGAAAAGGCGAAGAATGAGGACAGCAAGAAAAAGAGGAAAAACTAGGCGAAACCTATGAAGAGTACGTAGGATGCTCAATTGTATATTCCCTTATGGCGTGTGTCACCGGCTGAGCTTTATTGTTCACATTTCGCGTTTCAAATCCATGATGGCTCAAGCGGCTTGATATTCCGTAATTTTAGTACCGTAATAAACTATTTTAATATTGCGCTAGTCTCTTAGGGGTAAGGCTGGTGGGCCACTTGCCCGTACCAACGCGTAACAACCACCCGGAGATCGCCAGAGAAGACAACAATTTCGGATTCACCTTTTTTTTTCCTGTTTATTCCCTCGCTGAGCTGCCCGTCCACGCTGCCTCCAGACGCCGTTGACATCGCAAGAGGGCTCATTACATTCGTTATTCCTCCCGGGACCTGCCTAGGGCCTTTTGTCTCTTGCCATCTACTCCGTACTACGGTTCCCAGTGCTCAGCCTTACGCAGCCCTGACAATCAGAGATCCCCCTTTTCTTATCCTTAGCCAGCGCGAGCTTTTTCTCACACTCAATCGCGCCAGCATTTCTCGGAGGTGCACCCGGACGGCTCTTCAGAATGGCGGACACAAAGAAGAATGATAACTATGCCATCGACATGGACAAGTTGGACGCAGAGTCCGACCGGTTTAGGCCTCCGCCTCCGCCTCAGCCCCGGCACTCATCATCATCACACTCGCAATCGATATCAAATAGCCCGGTTTTACCTATTCTCAGCTATTGTGCTTCTTCGATTTTAATGACCGTTACAAACAAATATGTCCTTTCAGGTGTTCAGTTCAATCTTAACTTTTTCCTTCTCTGTGTTCAGGTATGTCCGCACGACAACAGCGGCTCCCCGTCCGCAAATTCTCCGACGGCTCCACTGATATCGATGAATTTTTAGTCCGTAGTTTGCATAATCGCCATACAGACCTGCAAGTCCATGGGATTAATCAATTATCGCGATTTCAATTCGGATGAAGCGAAAAAATGTGAGCTCCTCATCTACATTTTATTGCCGAACGCTTTCACTGATCTGATGATGATAGGGTTTCCAATTTCACTTCTTCTCATCGGTATGATTTACACCGGCACAAAAGCTCTCAAATTCCTGTCGATCCCGGTGTACACTATCTTCAAGAACCTTACAATCATTCTCATTGCATACGGTGAGGTCCTTTGGTTTGGCGGGTCCGTGACCGGAATGGCCCTCTTCTCTTTCGGCCTGATGGTCCTGAGTTCCGTTATTGCAGCTTGGGCAGATATCAAGCATGCTCTCGACACCAGCGGCTTTTCCGGAGCCGAAGCTACCAGCAAGATTTCCACCCTCAATGCAGGATACATTTGGATGTTGATCAACTGTCTTTGCACTTCTACCTATATTCTCGGAATGCGAAAACGGATCAAGTTGACCAATTTCAAGGATTTTGACAGTACGTTCTCGCCAGATAGGCACAATCCTACGCAACATAGACTAAATACTGACCGGCATTTTAGCCATGTTCTACAACAACCTCCTATCTATCCCGATTTTGATGATTGGTTCTTTCATTGTTGAGGACTGGTCCTCCGAGAACATCAACAAAAATTTCCCTATTGAAACCCGCAACTCCTTGATCTTCGCGATGATCTTCTCCGGTCTCTCTTCAGTTTTCATTTCCTACACGTCCGCATGGTGTGTTCGAGTGACCTCTTCCACAACATACTCCATGGTGGGAGCCTTGAATAAGCTTCCTATCGCTCTTTCTGGTCTCATCTTCTTTGGCGATCCAGTCACCGTCCCGAGTGTCTCGGCCATCGTGGTTGGATTTATCAGTGGAATTGTGTACTCGCTCGCCAAGGTCAAGCAAAATGCCAAACCGAGAACGGGCGTCCTTCCAACGACCAACCCGGTGAGCGCCAGCACACAAAGCATGAGAGACGGACTGAAATCTTAGGCAACCGCTGGCCCGGCCCCCAATGTACGAACTTTCTTCTTCAACCGCGATATAGACTATTTTAAGATTGATTCACATTTCAGCGGACACAAATACGCGATACAATGAGAAAATTAAAAAAGCTTTTCTTGAATCTTGACAGGCCACCTGGCCTACTATTCGTCTGCCACAGAAATTCAAGCCTTTGCTTGGAAGTATGTGCGGGCTCAGTTCTGTAACATGCCCTTTATGGCAGTCATTAAACCTCCATGCCTTGTGCTATTTGTCAGATTCGGCCCGGTTTCATGTTAGGATTTGGCCAACCTTTCTTCCCCATGTTGCCATTCATCATTTATTCATCTATCTATTCTTCCTTCCGTTGTGAAACTTATAAAACATTGTAACAAATCTAATTAGCTCTCTTCTTGTTTTCTTGTTTCCAGTTTTTAACTTCTCGAAATCCCATCAGCCCTTGATGGTGCATGGGCAACTTCACCACCTTGTGAAATTCTTCTATGGTTGATGTTTGCAGGTGTTGTACCTGGGTTATAGAAACAGGGATCTTTCGATCATGGCTTCAGAATGGTGTATGCCTCTGTTTCAATGGTGTGTTCAGGGTCGATATGACATAGGTACCTGATATATGAAGTAGAAAAGGTCTCAACTATCAAGGCATATCTTGATCAGAGTTTCTCCCTAACTATCCAGAAGTGATCAACTTAAACATAATTACATTAGCCTGTGCTGGTGAACTCTAGAGTGGTCATTGGATTATAGGCGAAGTCGGGGAGTACGGGAGCGCAGAGCTGGGTTTCTTATTCCAGCTTTTCCAACACTAATATCATCATTATCGTCATATCTTTAAGAAAAAAGGGCCTTGCAGATATAAAATGAGCATCACCCCATTACTCCAAGTTTTATGCATTGGCTGGGTGTTGGTGGTTCATATTGCAGTTTGGGTAAATAAAAGTAACCTCTCCCAGTGGCAGCTTTCAAAAGTCTTCATTCAGAGAAAACCCTAAGTTAAATATCTGTTCGCAACGACACCTGTCACCTTAGTAGCCACAAGCCGTGTCACCAGTCCCCAATCAATGGGAAAGCACAAAAAGCCTCACAGCCAGTACCATGGCTCCAGGGGCGATGCAAGGGCAGGCCCAAGGGCTGGGAAGAAAATGGGTGCTTTCTCACGGGTATCAACTCGAGCCAAGTTGCAGGCCAAGCAGAAGCCCCAGGATAAAAATGATCAGAAGCATCGTTTGCGACAAAATCAACGACCAGTCGTTCCGTTCTTGCCTTCCGATCGAATACTGCTTGCTGGTGAAGGTGAGTCTTCTTTTTACCTTCATACGATCTCATGAGAATGTATGTATCAGCCACGGAGTGCTGCTCTCGTTCATGCAATTTCCTGGGCGGCCAGGCTTTGTGCGAAGTGATACCCATACAATTACAAATATTGTCCAATTCCTGAGTCTAATGATTGCTACAGGAGATTTCTCGTTTGCTCTCTCTCTAGCAAGTAGTCATGGCTGCCGACGCATGCTGGCAACATGCTACGATAGCAAAGATATTTTATACCAAAAATATCCGCCAGCAGAACAACACATCACTCAGCTCTGCAGTGCAGCAGAATACACAGGTTCGGCACGAGGATTAAAGCGAAAACGAGAGGGCACGCCAGCCTCTGAAAATGGATCCGGCTCGAATGGCGAATCAACCCAACCCGCTGCCGGTATACAGTCTACTCCAGATCTGCCATCGCCGAAAGTCCTCTTTTCAATAGACGCAAAGAAATTAGGACTCACTGGCGGTGGCGGAAAAGTTGTTCGAAAGGGGTTTCCGCGCCTCAACCGCAAAATAAGGGGACAGCCGCACAAACACTCAAAGCCAGAAGCTGGAAAATCCCGCGAAATAGATGAAAGCGGGCCGTGGGACATCATATGTTTCAATTTTCCACACGTTGGCGGCCTGAGCACGGATGTAAATCGGCAGGTCCGCGCAAACCAGGAGCTTCTTGTTTCATTCTTTAAAGCGTGTGTTCCACTTCTATCTGCACCACCTCCGGACGATGATGGTTATGACTGGGAGGAGGAAGATGAAGGTCTGAGCGATGCCTCGGATAGCGGCGAGAATCCGTCGAACAGTCGAAAGCTACGCTCTGAACCTGGACAGGTTATTGTCACCCTATTTGAAGGCGAGCCGTATACGCTGTGGAATATTCGAGATCTTGCACGGCATGCTGGGCTGAGAGTGGTAACAAGTTTTAAATTTCCGTGGGGTAGTTATCCGGGTTATTCCCATGCAAGAACGCTTGGAGAAATCGAAGGAAAGGACGGAGAGAGGGGGGGATGGAGGGGAGAGGAGAGAGAGGCTAGAAGCTATGTATTTGAGCGCAAAGAATTCGAAGATCGAGCAAAGGTCGCTGGCAAGAGGGCGAGAAAAAGGAAGAATGAGAGTGATGACAGCGATGATGATTGAATAATGAATTGTGTAATTTGGAGTGGATATAAGAACAAAGCCTAGCTATATACCATCAACTTTCAATAATGAATATTCAAAATCCCGGGGTGGATATTACGCGTCCGTATATCAATTCCTTCCAGTTTCCCCATCCCCCAACTCCTTGCATGTAGTAATGAAATGGCCATAGTACCTCATGATATATATACCTTTTTCACCTCAGACACATCAAAAATTTCACCGGTTATAGGATCTTTAACTTTTCCTTCGGGAACACCCGCTTTCTTGCTCATATCTGATAGGCGATCCATGCCATATACTCTGCGATTTGGAAGCACAACGGGGTCATTCTCAACTGAACTTTTGGTGTGATGGGCATAGGGTACATGTCGTGCCAATTCATTCAGCTCAGTCGAGCAAATGGGACAAATCGAAGTGCTCAAAGAAAGTGGACTGGCTCTGGAGGAAGCTATCGCGGAGTGACACGATGGTGTTTTGAGGGCGGAAAGACCGGCGGAAAGAGCGATTTGGAGGAGTGGGCGAGAGGAGAGTGATAGAAGGTCGTGGTGTGTACGAATGAAGAGGTCTGAAAGATGCTTCCAGCGGTCGAGGGAGTACATAGTCTACGGCATGATTCTCATTAGCTTCATTTTTCACTTTCGAATTTAAAAAGGACAGTGAAAATACCATGTATGGTTCAGCCCGAGTATCAGGAGGGTAGGCTAAGAGACCTGCTGCTCTTTGAATGTCGTGTGATTGGGTTTCGCTATGCGGCGTGAGGAACTTCTTCGCATGTTGTCTTGCCTCTGCCTTATCTCCCACCCGAAGCACCTCGATATACTGCTGTAACCTTAACTCGAACTCCAGTCGGTTCTATAATGGATACCTGTTAACGTTCCTTTCCTGCAATCCACATCGAGGCCAGCGTACCTGAATCTTTTTCAAAGCAACTTTGTTTTCCCCGCACCATTGGAGTGCCTCTTTGGTCTCGCCTCGCCGAAGACTATGCGCAATCCGCTGGCACTGAGCAAAGACGCTTAGGTCGACAAGATCTGCAATTCCCTTGTCCTCAGCAAGCTGCTTGGCACTTTCTAAATATCCAGAGCGGAGCATATGATCGGCCAGAAGTCTGTTCAGACGTGTTCTCGACCATTGTTCGTATTTGACGTCAGCGAGACTTGGAATTTTGTAGAGATCCTGAATGTACTGTATCCGCTTCTGCGACTGCGTAGCGATCTTTTTCTCCTCCTCATGCAGGACCTCCATTTTCCGTTTGAGGCCTTGCATTCGTGTTATCATCGCATCCAAAGCTTCAATGGTCTCGGTTGGATTCTTGCTTCCGGACAAGGACGCATTTGCGGTTTCTTTTAGGGCTGGTAGAACATAATCTTTCTCCCGTTCGACAATCCGCTGAACTGATTTGAAATTTCGTCGAGCAAGTTCATGCGGTACACGGAGAAGGGGTTGGTCCTGTGTCAAGTCTCTCGGTCAGTTCCGTGTCTTCGCCGTACTCGAGAGCAGGAGGTGCCAAGTACCAAGAGGAGGTGATTCTCAGGGTTGAGCTTGATGGACGTTAATTCCACCGCCATCTTGTGTGCGAATAGGCAGAAAGTTCAGGTTTGAAACAGGCGATGGAGCTTGCGGTGATGTCGAGGAAGAGAACCCGCAGCGGCGTGGAAGCACACGACAGCAAGCAGGTGACCTCCTCTCCAGCGAACCTGGCGGCCGCCGCTTCTCCGCATGGCATGACATAATGCCTGTATTGTCCGGAGCGGCGTAACTTACCTATCGGACCGGAAGATCAATCAGCCGCAGCCTACACCAAAAGGCCACAATTTGCTTTGCTGCTTTCTTTTTTTTTTTTTTTTTTTTTAACAGAAAAAAAATTTCTCCCTCTTGGTTCTTCTCTCTCCACGAAGATATCAATCTGATGCTAACAAAAAAGGGTAAAAAATAATAATAATAATCTCTGGTCTCAGCATGGATCAGTTTTGGGCTCTGCCACCAGTGGCAAGGTATGTACTCTACATACAAGCAATGCTTCCTCGTCTCTCCGATTGAAAAACACCAAAAAAAAAAAAAAAAAAAAAAAAAAAGGAAAAAAGAAGCTGACACGCTGGTAGGACAATGTTTGCCTTTACATTCGTTCAGTCAACCTTAGTCCATGGTCGGCTCGTTAGCGGCTATTGGTCTATCTTCGTACCGTCTTTGATCTTCAAGGCCTTCCCTGAAGTCTGGAGGCTTGTCACTCCATATTTTCTCACTCGCGGAGGCTACAGCTTTATTTTTGACCTCTATTGCAGTACGGAATTGTGAAATGGCCGCGTTTCCGTGGCATCTCCACTGATGATTATACAGTGTACACTTACGGTACGGCACTAGAGGCTAATTCGCCTCGCTTCCGTACTTCTGGTGACTTCCTCACCTACGTTGTATTCGTAGCCACTGTGATTCTGGTGAGTGAGCTGCTGATATGCTTCACCACGAGTTATCATAGATATTGTTTCATTTCTTGCACCGTCTGCACCTCGGATATCTGCCCGCCCAGCCTATTACCTAGCTGAAGCGGTTCCTGGAAGCGAGGAAGATTACCCCTGCACTTCATACAGTCCTATCATTCGCAAAAGTCAATCTCAGGATGTATGCGGTGTAGGCATGGTGGGATTGCCTCAAACAATAACCTGCGTGAAATCCAATTCACGTTGCGTGGTTCTGGCGCCCTACATATTTTATTTCCGTTAGCCTTCGTCCCTGATTCTCTGAATCCTATTCCCCAAAGTTCCAGACAATATATATCCACAGCAGTTGCGTTGGGTAAGCTGACGGCATCTATAGCTCTTAGCGGGAATCTTAATGCAATCTGCGCTTTTCATCGCAGGTATGGTGTTGAATGGATTCAAGTCAAGTTAATATCACTAACGTTGCCAGCGCTACTTATGGCATTTATCTACACATATGCGCAAGATAATCGCGGCCAGAAGACCACCTTCTTCGTGCAGATTCGCGTGGAGCATCTGCCTTGGATCATGCTTTTCATTACTTGGATCATGGCTGGAGTGCGCGAGGTGATGATCGAATGTTGCGGAATAGCCGCCGCGCATTTATATGACTTCTTGACGCGAATCTACCCTACTTTCGGTGGAGGTAGAAACTACATTCACACTCCCGCCTTTGTGCAGAGATGGTTTGCTGGTCGAGGGCCGCAGATGGCTCATGGTGGTTATAAATTTGATCCAAGGGACCGAGCCTCAGCGAGAACCACTAGTTCATCGACTGGTGGTCTATTCTCGGGGGGTGCCTGGGGTGCCAGAGGACCTGGCCGACGGTTAGGAGGCGACTAGCTTGATCCTTGATGGTTACAAAGCATTGCAATGTAAAGTACAGCAACATGAACGTGATTACTAGGTTATTCGCATTTGTAATTCTACTCAACTTTGGATCTATGTTTTCTCTGTTGGGTGCTATTTTCTGACATCCATAATTCTGTGCTCCCTTGTGCTGCTGGGAGGCTTCAGCTCGATGCTGCATTGCTGGTCTCTCGGGCCACCCGCAAGCTGCAACAGCTTCCACCAATAAAACGGTGCTTATGTCATCGACTCGAAAACCACAAGCGAAAGTAAAGAAAGTTTCAAAAGATTCGAGTGCAAAAGCGAAAAAAAAGGAGCAGAAAAGAGACAAGGAGGTCAACCGTATATTCGACCACGATAGATCCGGTGTCCCGTACCTAGTCTCTGGATCGCGACATTCTGAACTTCTCTTTTGCTTGATTCCGACCATATTCGACCATGGCAGCCAGCAAGAGCGATATGGATTTCAGTATCAAGCCGGAGGCGGCGACACCTCCAATTCCTACATCAGAATGGCCGCTGTTATTGAAGAATTATGATAAATGTGCGTTATTATCGGTTTCTCGCATAACAATATTCGAACCCTATCTCTCTTTTTGTGACTTTGCTCGATGCTCGAGAGACTTTTTTTAGAGAAAATGAGAGCTGACTATGCCGTAAACTCACAGTGCTTGTCAGAACTGGACATTTCACCCCAATCCCAGCAGGGTGCACTCCCTTGAAGCGTGATTTGAAGTCGTATATCAGCTCCGGCGTTATCAACCTTGATAAACCATCGAATCCTTCCAGTCACGAGGTTGTCGCATGGATGAAGAGAATTTTGCGGTACGTTTCCTTCTTTGAGATATTCTTTGACCGGTCCCGATTTTAGAAACATTGAAGGCTGATGGTTGTAACTGTTACAGGGTCGAGAAAACGGGCCACAGCGGAACTTTGGATCCTAAAGTTACTGGATGTTTGATCGTTTGTATAGACCGCGCCACTCGCCTCGTCAAGTCCCAGCAAGGAGCAGGAAAGGAGTACGTCTGTGTGATCCGATTGCATGACAAGATTCCGGGAGGCGAAGCTCAGTTCGCGCGTGCCCTTGAAACCTTGACCGGTGCTCTTTTCCAAAGACCACCGTTGATCTCTGCTGTAAAGCGTCAGTTGCGAATTCGCACTATTCACGAGAGCAAACTATACGAGTTCGACAACGATAGGCATCTGGGTGTTTTCTGGGTCAGCTGCGAGGCTGGAACCTATATCCGAACATTGTGTGTGCATTTGGGTTTGCTTCTCGGGGTTGGTGCGCACATGCAGGAACTGCGAAGAGTTCGAAGTGGTGCTATGGACGAGCAGGATGGGATGGTGACGCTACATGATGTTCTCGATGCTCAGTGGATGATGGACAATAACCGCGATGAATCGTACTTGAGACGTGTGGTTCGACCACTGGAGACTTTGTTGACAACTTACAAGCGTGTTGTTGTCAAGGACAGTGCTGTCAATGCCGTCTGTTACGGAGCGAAATTGATGATTCCCGGATTACTCCGTTTCGGTAAGTGAAATATCGAGAACTAGCATTACCCCGGTGCGGTACTGATGTCCCTTTGTCATAGAGGCTGGAATTGAAGTCCATGAGGAAGTTGTCTTGATGACAACCAAGGGAGAAGCTATCGCTCTTGGCATTGCACAGATGTCCACAGTCGAAATGTCCACCTGTGATCACGGCGTTGTCGCTAAGGTCAAGCGTTGCATCATGGAGCGAGATCTGTACCCACGACGATGGGGTATGGGTCCCGTTGCCCTCGAAAAGAAGAAGATGAAGGCAGATGGCAAGCTTGATGTGAGTTGCAGTGTTGCAGATCGTGAAGTTGTTATCGGTGCTAATTGTCCACTGTAGAAATTTGGCCGGCCCAATGCTTCGACCCCAGCCAAATGGCAGGCTGAATACAAGGACTACAGTGCTTCCGCTGACGCTGCTGCTCCTCAGCCAGCCACTGAAGCAACACCGGCTACCCCCGCACAAGCGCCAGCGGCATCTCCAGAAGGAGCGTCATCTCCTGCTCCAGAGGCAGACAAGGAAGACGCCAAGAAGCGAAAGAGACACGACGGTGAGACTCCAGAAGAACGCGAGGAGCGAAAACGTAGAAAGAAGGAGAAGAAGGAAGAAAAAGAGAAGCGGAAGCAGGAGAAGAAGGAGAAGAAGGAAAGGAGAAAGTCCAAGCAGGCTGAAAGTAGTGACTCAGAGTGATTCGCCTTTGCGCTGTTTGCTGTGTTTTTTTTTTGTATCATACTTTGGAGTCTCGGTCAAAAAGGGGGTTTGCTATCTGTTCTCTGAATCTTTGGGGTTTGAGTGATGTTTCAAGTGTCGTTTGTTTGACAGCTGTTGGTATATAATGGCCACTGTTTATTAGTGATGGAAATTTATTTCTCATGATATATTCCTTGAACTCCGGTGCGATATGTTTCAGGCATTACCATTGTTGAATGTATTATGCGCGAAAATTGGGTTTAGACATTATCGTATTCTATTTGACGTACTTACAGTGCTAATTGATCAAATATGTTCCTGAATCTGTACGGATTACAACCTCGAAATGGTAGCAGCAGGGTTCTCGTCGTGTTTTCCAAATGGTTTCGTCTGGATCGTCCCTTTGACCGCTAATCCACCGTCGTTGCGCTCAATCCAAACATCCCACAAGCCGCGACAGGCCGGTTCTTTCGGCTTTGCGCACACAGTCAGCGGTTGTTCAACTAGAATAGGAGCCAGGTTCCGATATTCGATTGCTGAAATTGCTTGTCTAGATTCGCTGAGATGGTCTTGGAGGAGTGTCAGCATCAATGTGAGCGTCAGAGGCCCATGGACGAGCAGATCTTCGTAGCCTTCTGTATTGCGAGCATAGTCACGGTCGAGATGAATTGAGTGGGCGTTAAATGTCAGTGCGGAAAAGCGGAAGAGAAGAGCGCGAGATGGAGTGAGCGTATGGCGAAAAGTTGGATTTGCCGGAGCTATCGATGCCAATTGTCAACGCGAACTATGGGATTCCACGTAGCACATTGCGATTTGCAAACTCACCTCGAAGAATCTTTTTTTGCTGGTTTCCATCGGTTTTCTCTGCGCGAAGCTGCTCCGGGGTCTTATCCCGCATAAACACTAAATTTCTTTTCTCGATCACAGTGCTATCTCCCCACTCTTCTTCGTTTTCAGTCCATATTCTACTCTTTATATCTTCCTCCTTCTCCTTCTCTCCAAGGATGGCCACCCGTCTTTCAATTCCGACAAAGACTTTCTCTTCGCCCTCCTTTCCTGTGACGCGCACGTCTCTAACCCCTTCAACGCATACGGCCCTTTGGCAGTTCAAAAGCGGCCCTCCGTTGAGATCGCGAAATCGAACAGAGCCTCCAGCCCACATTCGGCGATTGAAAGGGGCCCCGGGGGAATGCAATACATCGCACCCGTCCGGTACCAGCTGGGACGAGGGAAGTTGCGGTGGGAAATAAACAAGATGATGTCCCCGGGGCATATGCCCAGGTTCGAGGATTGAAGGGAGGGCGAGTTTCTTCACATCCTTTGCGAATGGATTGGATTGAGAGAAAGGCAAGAAATCGGCGAGGGACACGCGCAGAAGATGGGAAGGCTGCGGGGAGAGATAGTCGTAGCTGAGAAATAGGCGTTGGCCTATAAGTGTTTCTTCGAGCCGTGACAACAACGGTGATGTCGCATATTGGCGACTGTTGTGACTGGGGAGGCCATTGAGCCACGCCGGGCCATTTCTTCGGACAATCTGGCTCATGGTTTTGTCCTCACTCTTTGGAGTCGTCATCGGAATCTACCGTGGTGCAATAGTTAATTATTTTGATCCGGCCTCGGTGATTAGTGAATTGGCCTCGGTCAGTGAAGCGGATGCGAGAGTTCCCGCTATACTTGTACCACAGACTGCCCTGCTCAGTCCGCCGCATTCACCAAAAAGCGAGTTTCTTTGCAGCGTAACTTTACTCAGCAGGCCGATCGACCTTTTGTTCGATCAATCCGCCAACCATGAAACATCATCTGTGGCTCGCCATGGCGCTTCTACAGTCAGGAGCATTGTCCGCACTTCCGAAACCGCGGGTCGCATTTCTTGGTCCACTCGGGTCTTTTTCCCACGAGGTCAGAAGCATCCCTGTCACTCTTTTGTGGCGAAATCACAGGCGCCGCCGAAACTTAAGAGCTCAGAATTCACTAACGTTTTACCATCTTTCTCAGGCAGCGGTAGCGTCCTTCGGATCTGAAGCGACAATACTTCCACAAGCGTCGTTCCAAGATGCCTTTGCCGCGCTCCAAGCTAACGAAAGCGATTATGCTGCCATTCCGCTCGAAAATTCAAGTAACGGCGCCGTCGTGCAGGTCTTGGACCTCCTTGCTGATCGCAAAGGATTATATGGTGATGTAGCAATTTGCGGAGAGCATTATCTGCCGGTCCACCATTGTCTATTGGTGAAGAAAGCGGATGGAGGCCAAACCTCACCCCCGCCCGTAGATATCACTACGGACCCTCGCTACGAAGCGATCACTAAGCTCTACACCCACCCGCAGGCGTGGGGCCAATGCGAAGCTTTTCTATCTAAATACTTCAAGGGAGTCGAGCGACAAGACGTCTCAGCGACCTCAAAGGCAGCGGAGATAATCTCCAAGGAGCCTGGCAACAGCAGCGCCGCGATCGCGAGCAGATTCGCCGCGGAGCAGCACGGCGTCGATATCCTGGCCGAAAACATCGAAGACGACTCGGAGAATACCACCCGGTTTTTACTATTTCGCAACCGAAAATCTGATACTCCCAAGCTGTGCGGCCATGAAGATCAAAAGAAGCCCGATGAATCTGACAAGAATGCCATGCGGAAAGCGCTCATATCTTTCACGATCGACCACAGCTCCCCCGGCGCACTCGCAAACGCACTTTTCATCTTCAAGAAGTTCAGCATGAACCTGACTGCTATCAATTCTCGGCCGAGCGGAATTCGGCCTTGGCAGTATATTTTCTTTGTTGAATGTCAGGGCCCAGCTAAGCGCAACGATCGAAATGTGGAAAAGATCATGGCCGGCTTGACATCTGTTACACACTCGAGTCAACACCTTGGAAGTTGGGATGATATGCTTGGGTCAAACTAATCAATATTAACTGGCGATTGGGACGCGGATGGGATAGATTTTAGACTAGATATCCTTTTGGATTTTGTGCGCATTTATCGATTTCGGGAATGAGTGTATTTAAAAGCGATAGCAAAAAGCGGAATTTCGGGGAAGGAAAGGACTGTTAAAACGAAATTTAAAAGCAGAAAAATTACACGCATCTCTGACTGGAAAGGAGAGACAATCTTGCTAGCGTGTTTAAACTCGAAGTAGAGGACTCTGCAGAGGAAACAATCTATCTGGCATACAGCTTGATTGCAATTTGTTTAGCCTCCCCACCGTATTGCTAATTTATCGAAGAGCCACAAAGCATACGGAAATTGTCCATTCTAGTGTAGTAGCAATAATTACTCCCTGTAGCGGCCACTGATCAGCATCTTTAAACCGAATAATCGCAAGTCGACACGGTTCTGAGCTTGGATGGCCCTGTGGAAACGGCAATGTTAACGGTTACTCTAGCAGAATTCGGGGCCTGGAATTATACCTCTAAGGAGCTTAGGGCAAGCCCGGGAAACAGGACTCGGGGTCCGAACGGCGGTTTCATTGGAATACCCATTAACGCCATCTTCACGACACGACGGGCGCGCCGTCAGAATATCCGCCGATTGGATTTCTGGGCTACCATCCTCGCTCTCTGCGAGGTCGCCATACCGTCAATCTGCCAAATTTAATTAGTGATATTCTGTTATATCTCGGCATGAGATATCTCACCGTCATAGAATTCATCCTCGTCATCAGAATAATCAGCAAGTTGTTCAAAATTGACCTTATACCGAAGGATCGCTCCGATTCCACCAAAGCCCTTCACGAACTGGTTTCCTTCTGTGGATTTGTCGGAAACGAACTCCAAGGTCGCGCCGAACTCTTTATACTTATCAGCGAGCCATTCAAGAAGAGGGCCTTGCTCGACAATTTCCATTTCTTGACCGGTATCCTTATCCATGAACATCTCTCTGTTGGCTTCTTGAATTTTGGTGGTGTGAAGGACAATCTCGGTGCCAGAGGAAGACTTAAGAGACCAGCGAGTAACGTCCAAGTTCTCATAGACAATCAATGTCTCTGCAGCACCAAGCTCCAAAGCCTTCAAGGTATCTTCGACACCATAGCAAACTCGGCCGGTGTCTTGGCTGATTTCTTCGAAGTACTTTCCGATGAGCTTCTTTTCTTGAATGAACTTGACATTGCCCAAAGTCTCCGCAGCCAATTCGATGGCCTGGTTGAATCCATTCTCTCCACCATAGGACACATCGACAACCTTGATGACCTTTGCTTGAAGGCGATTATCGAACATGTCTGACTGGTTGAGATCATTCTTGAAGTCGGCGGAACCCGCGAGGACCAGACCACCGACGTTAACTTTGTCGTTGGTGATGAAGTTCTGCACCGCCAGTTCAGCAACCTTCCGGACGTAGTTGTGACGACGTTCTTCTCGAAGACGAGAGAAACGTAGAGCAGACTGTCCACCGCGAGAATGCTTCTTGGGCAAGTCAACAGAGAACTTGTGGAGCACATCTCTGGTATTCCCGCTCAGGGTACCGAAAAGAGCACCATTACCGTCCATGATAATAAAGCCGAACTTTTGATCAGACTCGAGCAATTCGCTCAAGGCTTCGGTATGAAACTTGTTATCACAGAGGTAGAGGGACGTGTTGATGGGTTTGAACGGTTCAAAGTCGATGTTGATCTTGCGTTCCTTTCCTTCAGATGTGATAATTTCACCACAGTAGATAACAAGGCCATTTGGAGGCACCTTGTTGTATAGCTTAAGGCGTTGCTGGGTTGACGTAATGGCTGAAAGGACCGATAGACGGTTAACACGAGACTTGATGTTGGAAGCAGTTCCCTACGGACCGGTTAGCATAGCTTCTCAACAATCAGCAGAGCATAGATGTAACATACAAATTCTTCAGCCAACATCTTGGCTGCGCGGGAAACCTGATCCTTTGGAGCTGTACAGACTTGTCAGCCTAGCCAGATCCACACGACAAACACTGGACCAACTTACGGATAATCAACGAAATCATGGACGTTCCGTTTCCACGCGCCGCCTCAAGGCGCTTAATCAGTTTTTTCACCTTCCATATTTCAATATTCTTCTCCGCGTCGTTTGCCTGCGCCGCGCTCATCTTGGCGACGTTGACCTCCGCGACCAAAACCAGTTACAACGGTCTCTCACTCTCTTGGATCGACAACTGGGGCGGTGAGCGGTCAGCCCACACAGGCCCTCCGAGACACGCAGCAGGGGGCTCTGGGAACAGTTGAGTGTGAGACGCACCTAGAGAACTTGTCGTCTTGTCTGGGAGTTGTCGAGGTTTGAGTTTTTTCCTTGGGAAATTGTGGGGGTTTATAGGAGGGACGTCAGAGGGGCTTATGTCAGCGGTTCCTGCGCCACTGAGTCGCGGCGGCTGAACAAGTCCGATCGGCTCTGGCTACTAACAAGTGAGGGGGGATGGAAAAAATCGTAAGGTCAGGTGGAAAGGATGGTTTCCAAGGAGTTGTTGGATTATCGAGCTATCGATGGCCAAGGGATGGCACACTCTATCCTCCCTGTGGGGAGGCGATTTGCGGGATTTGGACCTTTTCGGTGCTTCTACGAGGTACACTGCTAAAGAAGAGAAACACACACCTACCCTCTCGCTACCCGGCCCTAATGCTTCTACTCCGTATCGCTCGAAGATATTTCTTCTTCTTAGGGATCATTGCAATAGTTCATCGCAGCCCAAACGTTAGCCACCGGTTCATACAAATAAGCGAAGGAGGCTCTTCGGATGTCATCTGAGGTCGTGAGGAAGGACGCTGGCCAAAATGTAGTTGAAAAAGGGACGACAAACCAGCAAACATAACATATTATTTACGAAGCCGACTTGTTTAAATCAGCTAACTGATATGCAATCATTCGGCAGGCGTTAGAATAACCGTGAAATTATTCCTCTTTGCCCCAGGATTCACCATTTTCTTCTCGAAACCACCGGATTTGGGGTTGGCCGGGCGGTTGTATTTCCAGAGCTGATATATAAGTTTCTGCGTGAGCTTTCTCCTGATAATCGAGAACCCTAGACTCGACATCATATCCTGTAATCTCTCCTCCGTGAAGTATCGAGAATTCAGCACGCATGCCGCTGGAAGGACGAGAAACAAACACGGTGCTAATTTTCGTAAGGATCCGTTGGATGTCGGCAATGTCGACGTTAAGAAGGCGCTGGTATGTCGGAGCATGTCACCTCTGGTAGTAGCATCGGGAACATAATTTAAAACGAGCGAAAGGCTGATAATATGGAACTTATCGGCATCTGTCGAAGGAATGGGCCTTTCCATGAAATCCTGTTCCAAAATACCAGGTTCCTGTGAGTGAAGATCAATCCTGACAACGTCTATGCAACTGACGGCCGAGCAAGCATTCCTAGCAGACAATGCACCGACTTCAAGTAGACGAAGCCGGGTTTCGCAATTTGTCAGCCCATCCAACGCCGGTTTGAGCCATTCAATGAGAACCTTGCTGGAATCGCCGCCGCGGTCTTTTGATTGCCCCGTTTTGCTGGCCAGTTGATAACTCTTGAGTCCGCCAAGAGCCTCAATCTTCTTGTCAAGTTCATGGACCTCTTGCTCGTTGCCATCTGCGAGTGCTCGGGCACGCTTTTTGTGGAGCTGGTGGTGTGATCGAATCAAGGTTCGCGTTGCCCTTGCCGATAGGGATGCGATTGGTTTCTGTATCGTCGGAGGTCTGCCATGCGAGAGTGATTTCGGCCTCTTGTTTCGCGCTACCTTCACCATATTTCGCAGAAGTCTGAGCCAGAACGCAAGCGAAGTAGATTTCTCCAATACTGGTGGGGTCCTTATCACTGCATGATGCTGGCGTTTAATCGAGTGGTGAATCTCACGCCAACGAACTTCACAAAGGGCAGAGTGCCACAAGGGTCGGATGGCTGTCTACACGACAAGTCCGAGCCCAGGCGAAGTTAGATGTTTCCGCATCGGGAAAGGTGGGGAATTTATGACGGTGGTGGTTCCCGAGTTGACGTTCGTAATTTACAGATCATGTGACCCACACAATGAGGGTTTGGCAAACTAAGCGAGAAAGCCAGGACGGCCGACGAGAGAAACCAGTGGAAGAGAGATTGACTCTTGCGACAACAACCACGACGCCGTCAATCAGTAGCCATGGCACCAAAGGACAGCAAGACAGGTGGGCGCTTTTCCTTCATCTACTTCGATCACGCTTTCGGCGGAGATTTCGCCATTCTTCCAGCGAAAGCTGGCCCCAAATCCCCGTCGAAGTTTCTTATCGTTATGCCTCCAGGACTGATGGGAATTTGTGATTATAGGCAAGAAGCCCAGCGCTAAGGCTGGTGCTGCTGCAAAGACGGTGCTTAAGGGGGTACGTTAAAATTCGAAATCCGCACCCGGGGTCTACATATTCTATGATTGATGGAAAGGGATTGAGGACTAAGGCTGCGCAGGTTCACTCTCACAAGGTCAAGAAGGTCCGCACATCGACCACGTTCCACCGACCAAAGACCCTTCAGCTGTCGAGATCTCCCAAGTATCCCCGCAAGTCCATCCCTCACGAGACTCGTCTCGACCATCACAAAGTCATCGTCCACCCACTGAACACTGAGAGTGCTATGAAGAAGATCGAGGAGAACAACACTCTGGTCTTCATTGTGGACGTCAAGGCGAACAAGAGACAGATCAAGCAGGCTATCAAGAAGCTGTATGATGTGGATACCGTCAAAATCAACACCCTGATCAGGTAGGTTCTCCAGCACCGCGAGCGGGACATTTAGGATTCTTCAATAAAAAAAAAAAAAAAAAAAAAGGGAAAATCGGACCTTTGGTGTACGGCTGCTAATAACTGTGCACCTTAGACCTGACGGATCAAAGAAGGCGTTTGCCCGGTTAACACCGGATGTTGATGCTCTGGACATTGCGGCGACAAAACTGGCTATTGTTTAATGGATGGGACGAACTTTTTCATTCTGGTGTTCTTAAAGACGTCGATCGGTTATGTTTGCAATCATATATAGGCAATGGAACAGAGATTGACGCATGATGGCCCGGTCTTACTTACTTCAGACATCATTTTTAATATCTGTTGATTCACAATGCCACCCAGCGTGGTAATGGAATGGATTGGATGGGTAAAACACATGCTGATGGTTTTCTACCTGCAATTGCATTGCATCGTGATTTCCCCCACATCTCGATCACAGTCCTTTTTACCAAAAAACTCGGAAACGAGATGATCGCCCAGAGTATTAAAGTCTTATTAAATTCCATGCAGCCATTGGAGGAGTGTGACTGAAACCCGCAATATGGTTTCTGCCCCGGGATATAAATGATGATCTCACCATTCAGTGAGAATCCGTCATGCTTCTTGGCGACGCGTTTAATGGCACGTTTGGGGGTACCAAGCGAATGGGTTCGACGCGTCTTGATGGACTACGAAGCAGGTTGGGAGTGCCAATAGTTGCTATGTAGTGGACATATGTACCCCGTAGAGATGGGCAAGTAGGCAGGACGGCACACGGGGCAGGGAGGACAATTATGTACGATATAGCTGCACAAGGTGTTACTCCGTCTTTATTGGCAAATACTCTGCGTAATACGCCCGCAATTCCACGGAGGACAAGCGTGTCGTAAATCCATGACTTTGGATGTTGGGACATATCGTCAGACGTAAGCGGTACGGAGCACACTGCAGAATCGGGCTAAGGCTGGGCAGCATGATCTGAGGATTTGCCATCGCGAACAGGGTTTGATCGATCGGACAAGGAGTCTGCCAGGGGGGTGTGCAAGGAGTTCGTCGACAAAAGCAGCGGAAAATCCCTTCAGCGACGACGCAATGGCGAATGGGAGGGCGGATCTAGACTGCGTCGCGGGTATTGGTGTGACTTGGACGCATTAGCAGGTTGGATGCGACCAACCACCAGGCCAAGAAAGCTTCCCGCCTGCTGCAACCAAGACTGCCAACTCACAGCCGCACCCACTCCACCTTCTCAACCCACTCGCTTGCTCCTCTTTCGCTCCCTCTCGCCCTACTCTCTCTCGCCTCGCAAACCACCCCATCCCGATCCGAGTCGCCGCCCATCGCCATCGTTTCCGACTCCAATCCCTCGCTATCATCGTCGCAAACTTCGCAAACACGTCGCCATCGTTTCTGTCTGCCTTCTGTCCTTTCTATGTCATTCAGAGCCGGCCGTCTCGACCCCTCTTACCGTGCTTACCGCTCTTTGCGCCTGGGCGCCTCGCCTCACAGATCATCTGCCCGACACCGGATTGACTGCAAATTTTCCACCATTTTTTTCGTTTTTCACGCGTCAAATCGCAGAAAATACGTGACTCGGTGATAATTGGTTTTCCATACGCCCTTTTCAAGATGAATCCGACGCGACATCCGCCGCCTTTACGCATATACCAGGATTCCCCCCAGCCAGCAAACCAGACCTCCGCCCATTCCTCCACACAACACCCTCCCACTCATCCCAAACATCTTCAGCCGTCTCCTATGCCCCTTCAGGCAATTCATAATGTCAACGCGAATCGAAATATTGTACTAGACCCCCCGTCAAAGGACCCAAAGCCTCAGTCACCCGTCAAGCCTCAGCAGAGGTCCAATGCGACTGGCTCCGAACAGGGGAAACTTGGCTTTGTTCCGATTTCTGCACCTCACACGGCTCGACTGCCCCAGGGATCTCCCTCGAAGAAGTCCCAATCCTATCCATATCCTAGTATTGCTATGCAGCCGGCAAGAATGCCTTTGTTTACCACATTCTCCAGTGTCCCTGACCCTCAACCTCAGTTGCCGGCGAAGCCAATCATTCATGAGACCTTTACAGAAGTCGCTACTACTCCATATGAGACACAGAACCCGACCAAACACCCTCTAACAGAGACCTCAACGCTGAAGGATCGCTCGTCGAAGAAGCTGAAACGCGAAGAGAAACAAGTTGTCCAGCTTCCAGCGCCTCATGAGATGCCTCCAGTCGAAGACGATGGCGCCAAGCCGCCGTACAGCTACGCGATTCTCATCGGCATGGCTATCCTACGCGCTCCCAATCGACGCCTGACGCTTGCCCAAATCTACAAGTGGATCTCAGATAACTTTTCATTCTATCAATCCAGCGACTCTGGCTGGCAGAACAGCATTCGTCACAATCTCAGCCTAAATAAGGCATTTGTCAAGCAGGAGCGCCCGAAAAATGATCCTGGCAAGGGAAACTATTGGACAATTGTCCCAGGAATGGAACTTCAATTCCTTAAAGAGAAGCCAATCAATCGTCCGCCCATCATGTCAACTCTTCCTTTGACTCAGCCGGCTGCACGGATCCCCCGGCTACAGCCGCATCCTCCGGAATCTCAACGAGTGGAATTCCAGCCAAGTCGCCCTCCCGTCAACACGTCTATGCCGCCACCAGAACGCATCTCTCCAGCCAGCCAGGATATTTCTTCCGATGCAACAATACCCGCTTCCGATCCAGCACTTCAGGAGGACAGTAGCGAAGAAGTTATCTCGACTGCGCACCCCTCAGTTGCCGCTGCACGCTCTTCTCCCCTTCAAGCAATCCGTTCGTCTCCACCTGTTCCGCCCCCTGTTTTCCGTCGCGAAGCCACACCTCCAACTCCATCCCGCCCGGCCACCGCAACCGTGCCTGGATCTCGTTCAAGAAAACGTAAGCTGTCCATCATGAATGACAGTGGCTACTTCTCTTCTTTGGAGTCCTCTGTCATGAGACCACACAAATCAGAACATCTCTTGACTTCTGACTTGGATATTGAGCCTCCACGGATCAAAGCCGGACGCGCTGAAGAAGAGATAGCACGCATTCGTAGCTCATCGCATGATATTAGCCCCATCCGCTGTGCTTCGCTGAGAGAGACTACTCATCTTCTGGGCTCCTCACCATTACGCAACGAATTTATGCAGATGGTGCCCCCTCCATTGACTCCTGCAATTAAATTCAAAAAACCGCCAAAACCGCCACCGTCTCTTTCACCCAACACCAACCTCCGTAACCATCGTAAGAAGATACAGCAGATGGTTAACTCTCCAATCAAGCATCTCGGGCTGGCAGATGATGTTCTTCCTTGGAGCCCAGCGTTCAATCTTCAGGATGAGGCGTTGGTGCATGATACATTGAACGGCACCCCGTTCTTTGATATATTTTCTGACCACTTCGGTCCTTCCCTTTCTACTCCCACTTTGGGTTCTCCTGAAAAAAGATCCGCAAAACGCGATCGATTCAGTTCCAGTGTGCTGGCAGACATCACAGCTGTTAACGGAAATACACGTTTGAATACGCCATTTTCACGGCTTTCGAAAGCTAAGGCTGGGAAATATTATGAGTCCCCCTGTAAGAGGACCGATAACTATGTTGAGAATTCCCACGAGGACTTCTTTTCTTTCAATTTATTTAGCGAAGATGCACTAGGAGAAGTTGACGGAATCGACCTTCTCCAAGGTTTTGAAAAAATTGGAAAGCCTGTTAAAGAGGAGCAGTCTCCAAAACGAGTTCTTGGAGGTGGTCGTAAAAGTGTCGGACAAAAGGGCTAAGCAAGCCTCGGTCGCTCCTTGAAAGCTTTCTTGGGATTTTAACGTCGGATTGGGTCTATTCGCTCACTTTTGGGTCCCTGGATCTTGGACCTCTCAGTTTTCTTTTTTTTTTTAATATTTTCTTTTTTGCTTTTTGAGCTTCCTGCCGTTGGATGGGGCTATGGATACACTTGGAGTCTTGTTCTTGATTGCTTTTCTATTGATTCAGTTGTGCTCTGTTGGACATGTTTTTGTCTCGTTGCATGGTCGCGCGTCAGGTTTTATGCCCCTTCTTCCGGCGCTCGGCAAGTTCCCTCATTATTGACCACTGGGTTTTGACAAGGTGTTCGGAGCCAAATTCGGCATGGGTGGTCAGATTGTCACAACTTGTTATCTTTCACAACATTGGGATTTGCGGTTTTTCAAAAAAAAGGTCAGAACTGGCGTTGGCACAGCTTCGGTGTTGTTTGAGTTCCTAGGTGTCTTTGCTACGGGAGATTTCTCGACTCGTCCTGGTGTGGCGTGCTGGTCGTTATGGGTCAGTCGGGCGGACTTTTTTGTTACCAGCATTGATCTCCTCTTCGTTTGTATATCTCTTTTTCGCGCGGGTTGCTTTGGAGTGGCTTGACAGTATTGAGCTATCGGTGGGAAAACTACATATTGGGGCTATGACTCTGATGATAATGTCTGATGTACAGGATTACGGATTATGAGGTATTGTTTGACTTTTATTCTGTTGATAATTCGCAGACTGTAGCTACAAGTTTAACTAAAATCAATTATCTTCTTACTATGGACGAAGGTTCAGTTTGAAGTTTTAAGAATTATTGGTGCTTTTATATTGGGTATCCGAGATTTTGTTGCGAATCATACTCCTATCAATAGAAGCGTCGAGGATGATAGGCTATTTAGTTCCCGTCCTCAAACGCCATTGCCAAAACACTCTTTCAACATCCATCAGAAAAAAAAAAAAAATCCGAATCATGATAATATCCACACTCGACTCCAATATTTATCATATCCTTTAAAGTGAAATAGAAATCCGGTGCTCTAAACCAGCGCGCTGGAGTACCTCCGCAGGCTCTAGTCGCTACTCGCGCACCCGCGACATCCGCAGCTCACACACTGTATATTCTGATTTTCTTTCAGCTGAGCTTTCGGGACACGACATATGCAGGTCGAATTAAAGTTCGTCTCTTTCGTCTGAATACAGCGGAGGCAGCACAACTAAGCAGCAACAAACAAAACAAGTCAGCATCGAACAAAGATGGAACGAGCAGAAGGATTATACACGAGATATGCAACAAAGACCGAGAGAGAAATCACGGAGCGTAAATGGAATACGTTACCTTCTCGTAGCCCTGCTTCTTCCACTTCGCAATCAAATTCGCATCTGCGTAGTTATTCTTCAGCAACCAGTCGTACAGTTGCTTCGATATCGCTTCTTTCTCGTAGTATAAGTCGTATATATATCGTGATCCTAGTTCAATATAGATGGTTAGCATAGGGAGGAGCTCTCTTTCCAGCTTTCCACTTATGAACAGCAACTGATCATCCCTTGGGCTAGACCAGTGATGAAGACTCACGTTGATGGCTGATTTGAAAGATGGGCCATAACACTTCGTGTCTCTTTTTGCCCTCATGAGAGGAGTTTTCTGCATCTTTCATTTTATTGCTAAATTCAAGGAGCGTGTCCTCGATGTCGTCGAAGCCGTCTGGCGGCGGTTTGCGATTTCTCGATGTCCGAATTGGCGGCATTATGACTGGAGTGGGAAGAGAAGCTTAGACGCTAAAACGGATGAAATAAGGACTCCAGTGGGAAAAGAAGAGGTGGAATTTTTTCCAAATAATCAGCTTCTGGGTTATATGCAGCAGAAAACCGTTGTCGTGAACGAAAGAGAGTTCAAGAGCGGCCGCAGGCAGTCTTTCTGCGACGCCGCAACAGCAAATGATGACGGCGGATTTCGGTTTTTGCCAATTTTCACCGCCTCTTGCTGGAGCTGCAAATCAAGCAAATTTCAACACCGCAAAGCTTCGTCTGGATACTAGATCCGTTCTTCTCCCTGGTCCATGATTTGTACGATTTAACAATTTGAATTAGCCGTCAGATTTAGATTATCCATCCTCCTTGTCCCTTAGTTTCCTAGCGCCTCGAAAACATCACAGCTAAAAGCCATGGACCAAGTACAGCTCGACCCCAGCAAGCTCAACGCCGCCGACAGAAGAGAACTTACGCAGTTCATCGCCAATGAAGCCCAGAAGACGAACATCCAATCTAGTAAATTGAATCCCCGTGTCCCTCTTTTTTGTTTTTTAATTTATAATATTATTTTTGCCCTTTCACGAGTTTTAACATTGCTCTGTTTTTTAGCCGTTCACAATTTAACCGAAGTCTGCTGGAAGAAATGCATGACCGGAAAAGTCAGCGGTGGCGCATTAGATCGCAATGAAGAAGCCTGTGCAAAGAACTGCGTCGAGCGGTGGATGGATGCCAACCTCGCTGTGCTGAAGCACCTGGAGACGTTAAGAGGACCCCAATAGACAACAGGCGTGTTGTCAGGAATGTGATGGTTTCGCCATTTGATCTTTGCGGAGAAAGAGATATCTATGACAAGACATTTAACTCGGGGATGGGTTAACAAATAAAAAGGCGGCCCATTTTCTTTCCGTGCTAGTCCGCCGCTTTGCTGCGTCGATTCGTATAGCTTACGGTGACTATCTTTGGCCCTTTCTGTATTTTATGGACTATAGATGCATATAACGGTTTGGCTGTCCGGTTGGTTCTATTGGGAACTTTAGAGATACTACGTGCATATGCGCTATCAGATACAAAATGTTACAAATGACTTCTGTGCTCGCAACAATGCAACGGTTCAAGTGTACTGTAAATGCAATTAAACCCAGGATTTCGTTTATGCTCACAATCAGTCAACATCCAACTACGATACGCCCTGCAAACTACCGCCTTTCAAAAAGTAATTGGTGTTTTCGCCATGCTATAAAGTGCAGATCAAAGGGTTGTTTGAAACGAGTTTTTGAATTTTTGCTTATTTTGTATATACAGCTCATAGCAGCATTAAAAAGCTCTAGGTTGCTTCCCATTATCCATCCAATGCATATATGCATTTAATTTCCAAATCTATATGGAGTATCACGTAAATCAGAGCCATGGCTGATAGACAACGCCTAGGCAACAAGAAAAAAGTTAAAAAAACTTTTCGTACCTTTGTTGGTTCGCGGCTGGTGCCTACGACAGGTACATATGAAAAAGAGGGCTTTTCGCCTATGTTGTAAATGCATTTCTCCAGTGCCCATTGTTGGAATGGAACCGACTGGATGATACATTCAGAGATCGTCAAAGTCTAGCTTTTGACGCGAACGAGGGGGACTGCTGTCCGTTGTCTTCCTATCTTTTTCGCTCTCCAGGAGAACATGAAAATATATGAAGGGTATCAAAAAGCAAGGAAACCGGTGGGAGGATGTGGCTAAAGTGGCGAGAGAGAAGCGGGCTGTAGGTTAGTCGAGGAAGGTAAAGAGATTTGTGTGAAGTATGTTGATAGCACGATCGGCATCTCTCTCTTCTATCACGCAGGATATATTGATTTCGCTGGCACCTAGACGGAGAGGAGATATTAGAAGTGTCCCAATAAACCTAAGGAGCGGGAAAGGGCCTACCTTGTGATATCATTTCGATATTCACATTATGCTCTCCCAGCACAGTGAACATACGCCCCGCTACTCCCACCATGTTTTTCATCTGCTTGCCGACAAGGCTGAGAATTGCCATTTCTGGGATGATATCAACAGTCCCATATTTTCGGAGATCTTGAATAGCGCCTCGAAGATCTTCATCGATTATCTGATACTCATCATGCCCGACTCCGTTGAGCAGTGGGATTTCAGAGTGGAGAGCAAGGGATACGTGAACTTCGCTGGTGGAGATCAAGTCGATCGAGAGTCGCCATTTATCCAGAACAGAAAAGATACCTGCAAAGAACCCATGCGATAGAGATCTTTTATTGGAATGCACATTAATCACAAGGATCTTATGCTTTGCCGTTACTGCCGTCGGCCGTTTAGGACCGGGCTGCTGGGACCAGAACTGAGGTCCCCTTGTGCGGAACAACTTTGGGTCATGGCCTGGTGCCGTCTTCTCCAGTTCAGACGTGGAGTCAGGGAATATGACAGTGCCCCTTCCTTTGGGCTTCATAACGTTTTTGATCCGAATGGGAATCTTAGCACGGATAACCTGCTCCATTGTGAAAGGGTGGATGACCTCTGAGCCATAGAAGGTCAGCTCGGCGGCTTCAGCGGGAGTGATCATAGACAGTAATCGAGCTGTAGGAACCTTCCGAGGATCGGCGGTGAATATGCCATCAACTTCCTTCCAGACCTGTAATTCCTCGGCATGAACTCCTACCGCCACAAGAGCGGCACATAAATCAGTGTAGCCCCGTCCAATCTTATCCAGTAACCCACCGGGGACAACACCAAAATATCCCGTCACCACGGGTACCTTTGCCGTGCATTCTTGGACTTTGCAACCAAACAATTCGGCAAGGCGATCATAGAAATCCTGGTCCAAGGCCTGGATTCCAGCAGCAAAGTCGATAATGTCTGATAGATCCACATATTGGGCATCTACTCCGCGATCCTTTAGCAAAATGGTCATAAACCGGCAACTTAATTTCTCGCCAGCACTGATGACCATATCAACGCATCGACTACTGGTCTCTCCGAGCGTTTGTGCGGCATCGAGGATCTTGAGGATTCGAAGGCATTCGGCCTCGACTTGCGCTATTAATTCAGCCTTGAGATCCGGGTTTTGTACATATTCGCGGGCGACATCGATGTGCTCCTGCTTGACGGCTTCGATGAGAGAGAGGTAGTTAGAGGACTTAGGATTTTCCGCCTCCCGAGCGGCCCGTAATAACCTGGTCACCGCCGTTAACGACTCCGACGCATATCCCTGATTGTAATGCATATAACTAGGGGCTAGAGGGCACGTAATCAGGAGCGATACGTTGACGGTGGGACTTACCGATTGGTGGTACCGTCGGCCTTGGAGGAGCTACTCCGAGCGGAGCAGACGACGGCTACACGATGATCCTCGATGTTTGGCCTGAACGCAGAGAAGCAGCAGATTAGTCGAGCACAGGTATATTGGTTATTAAAACGATATGGCGAAAATTTGGCGGCAGACTGCGTCAAAAGCCCAGGGCGCTGAGGGGCAGGGGGGGAGGTTTGATTTACTTTATGACTTTATCGACTATCTCCAGGGCAAACTTGCCCACGCTTGTTCCTCCAAATTTCTGCACAATCCAGTCTGATGGAGGAGAACCAGGAACACCGTTTGTCAAACGAGTTATCTGGCCATCATCGATATGTCCGTTGGTCTGCGGATGCTCGCTCATCGTGGGTGAAATGTGAAAGGAACCGATCTAGTGAGTGGCCGGGACCCAGCAAGGGAGGCTGAATACGTCCAGCGTTTTCCCCGCTGCCCTAACGAAGCAATGTCCCAGAGAGGGGGTCTCTCGACTGATAGTTACTTGGCTGGTGATTGTACGTCGAATTGCAAGGTCAGTTTACCAATTGAGCGACCTGTGGAGTGGTTTATGAGCTCGCCGGCGTCATGAGTCAACACGGATTTTTCCTGCGGCAGAAAACCCGGCGGGGAAGGTTTTCGCTGGTGCGGAATCACGCAATAGCGCTAATCCGGGCCTGGACTAGCGCCTAACTATCGGCACGAACCGGGTGTTCCGCGCTTCCCGATAACGCCTGTTCCTGCTTCTCCCGGCACAACGCGCGCCCGCGGTGTGGCTTTCACGGTGTTCCAACGGCTTTGCGTGTGGCGTCGGGTGGTTGTTCAAGGTCCAAACGGGCAATTCGCTGCTCCTTGCGGCTTGACTGTTTCCTCGACTGTGTGGACGAAGTGCCAACGGGACTGAGGAAGAGCGTGGATGGAAGACGGGGAACCCTGTCTGTCTTCACCAACCGTTGGATCCTGAAATATATCCTCAGCTGCCCCGCCTAGTCGCGAGAATCCCTGCTGCCGCTTCAACAACAAGTGGAGGGGATTGCGCAAACCAACGGCTGGGGAAGGCAAGGATATATCTCTCGGGCTTGACCCGGTCCTGGCGTCACGAAGTGTTCAGGCACTTGCCACTCGTCGGATAATACTTCAATTTAAGGACGACCATATTTTGCAAGCTGTTTTGTGTCCATTTGCAGCAGTGTTATGCTTCAATAAGCTGAAGTGGGTAGTTGGACACGCAGAGCTAACACACCGCAGATCCGATTGCTACAGTTCAAAAGCCAATCCAAAAGGCGAAGCAATTGTTGGGTGTGGCGAGATGTGGATAAAGGTTTGAGGCTGCGCAAGTCATGGACCGAAATGAAGTCTTCGCTCAAGGACCTCTCAGGCCAGGGGCGAAGACGACGTCAAGGGGTGACACTGCATACCATTGCATTCCGTGCGCATTCCTGTATTCTCTCCATCTCCAGCTTCTGCAGTACCATGAGGAGTTTCTGTAGATTACTCTGAATTGTCCAGCCATTTTGTTTCAACGGTTTTAGGGTAGTTTAGTGAGCATGCCATTGCAGCAATCTAGATTTTTGAGCCGAGAACAATTTCACAAATGTAACCTTACAGAATAATATGTATCAGTTGTTCAAGCTTCACACCCACACTTTGTTAATGAACACAGATACATTTACACTAAGTTTTGAATGAGACTGTTAATTGAAGCTTTATTTATTTTTATTTTTATTTTATTTTATTCTATTTTCTTTCTTTTTTTTTTAAAAAAAAAAAGAAAGAAAATAATAGTTTATAGCACTTCATGTAGGTGCTCAAGTGTTGTTTGGAGGTATGCCCATGAAGTTACACATACTCCGCAGAGCCACCTGCTGGCGGACAAAACTCCGTGAAAATGCCATATTGGGTCTGGTTTCGACTCTTCAAAGGCTCTGGAACAACTGAGAAGTCCCTGCTGATTTCTTGTCTTTCATTTCAACTACATTTAACTAGACTGCGTGATAAAGCACTTTCCATTCGCTATCTGAATTCTATTGTGAAATTTTACCGTCACTCGGAATACAGTGACGCGACGCTATCAGGACTTTTTCGCCCCTCGATTTCAGCCATATCTCAGCAATCCTAAGCTCAAGATTCACCGACCATTTTTACTTGAGGCTAGTATTCATTCGCAAAAATTGTGTTTCAGGCTATTCAGGAAGGGTCCGGAATACACGGCTTGTGAAATGCTCCTTGCCTTGTCCATTCACCTCTGATCTTCGTGGAGGTTATCGTTGTGAAATCTCCATTTCTAGTCATATTTACAGCAACTTCCTTAAAGAACAATCTCAACATGGAGGAGCATGATACTAGCGTTCCTTCGTGTCCATTTTGTGAATTTACAGATTCAGACACATATTTCTTAATGCAGCATGTTGAACTCTGCCACCCCGAGAATGGATATTCGCCGTTTATAGCAGTGGAAGACGGCCAAATGACTGGCACGGAAGCGACATACTCTACCCCACTCAGTGATGTTACACCCTCCAAATCTCCAGCAAATGCTGAGTTATTTGGTGATATCGATTCATACGTTGAATGTCCAGCCGGCTGCGGGGAGGCTATAACCGTAGCCGAGCTCCCAAGTCACCTAGACTTACATTCCGCAGAGACGATTGCTCTAGAAGAAGTAACGCAATATCCTAGTAAAACGGTCGGTTATAGTCCTGACATGGACTCGGATTTGGACTACGTCCATGACGGCGTTGACGACCTGATTCCTGCAAAGTTCGCGAAAAGCTTACGCGATCGTGACGGCCCAAGAAAAGGAGCTGTGAGAGATACGGCAGTACAGCCAAGGTCTACTTCTCACAAGAAAAGGAAAAAGGAAAGGTCAAAGGGACTAGGGACACCCACGGGCGCTGGTACCCAGTTAGGGGTATGATCCCTTACTTAGTTCTATGTATTTGGCGCTAACTTTAATCTAGAAAGCTGAATTAGGACCCCATGCACATGAGAAACAAATGCCAGCTTGGTTGCATAGGATGCTAGAAGAAGGCGCGCCTGTGACGTATGAAAACAAAATTCGGGCTGACGGTACCCTAGCGAGGGTCGAGGTCATCGAGAATGAAAGCAGAGGACTCGTTCCTGTCCTCTCTCAGTTATGTGAGCTGGATGAGACTGTGGAACGTGCATGGTTCTGCAACCCCAACGTCCGCCATGTTTTTAAGATGCCAAAGGAAGGCGGATTTTGTGGGTACCGCAACATTCAGATGCTGATATCGTATATTCAAGATGCCAAGGCTCCCGGATTCGAGCATTTTCCCGGTCGAATTCCCTCGATTCTAAGGTTACAGGATATGATAGAGCAGGCCTGGGATATGGGTATCAATGGTAATGGAAAGTTTGAGACCGGCGGGATAAAGGGAACTAGAAAATACATCGGGACATCTGAGGTATGCGATCACTCCAATGGCCCTGATCCGAATCGTATGTTAACTCACTGAAAATCGCAGGCTCAAGCTCTATTTTCTAGTTTAGGAATCAAGTAATACTCCCAATCCCGATGACACTACAGGAGCTAAGAGGTCTTATAGGTGCGAGCCGGCTGCCTTTAGTAGCACAAAGGAACTAACGGCAGATGAATCACTGCTAAACGCAGTGCGAGAGTATTTTCTTCAAGCGCCTCCGGAATATGCGGACAAAAAAGTCATCCAGACCCATCTGCCACCTATTTATTTCCAGCATCCAGGTATGGCACCCAATCATACATCCATCCAACTTATCCATAGCGTTAACTAGGCCCTAGGCCATTCCCTGACGATTGTCGGATTCGAACTGCGAACAAATGGATCCAGCAATCTTCTCGTGTTTGACCCAATGTTCAAGACATCACCAGCCGTACAACGTTTGGTCGGGACAAGGGTCGACTGCCCAAACCCAGAGCGAATTTTAAAAGCACATAGAAGATGTATCGGGTACCTGAGACGGTACGACGAGTTTGAAATCCTTAAGTCGGTACTAGCTATCACTTGGTTCTACAATAGGATGCTAACTTCTAACAAGGCTCTTGCCACCTTCTCATCCAGCTAAAATCGAAGCAAAAGGATGACATTCTACTGAGGAAGAACGGATCTTTTACCATACGTACAATTTCGCATTTCAAATATGATACACCTATCATGTATAGACTGTCCGGAATACATGGAAGCGAAGCATAGTAATGATAGTTAAAAGCGTAGATATACCAGATAGTACAAAAAGAAGCTGTCTCTGCTCCGAGTTCCTGCCATTCTTCAGCACACAAGTGCATCCTGTAGCAGAAGATACACGGATGAAGTAAATGCCTGCAGTGAGGAAAAATGCAGACGTCTATTGGCATTTAGTTACACGGCAGGGTAGAAAAATAACATTAAGCCTGTGATCCCTTTGCCTACCCCACATGACATCAAATCGTCGCAAATTATTTTTTCTTAGTCCGCGACTCTAGTAGCTATACCTTTTGCAAGGCGCAAGATCGCGCATCTCCTCACCGCTGCAAGAGTCAATTGATACCGGCTAAGGACCAGATTGTTGTCAGGAGTCTATCGAATACATACAATACCTTTTCTGCTTCATCCATACTCCGTACCTGCGGCATTTCTTCTCGCTCCCGCCGGATAGGTCACAAACAGCTGTTCCGCCTACCACGAAATAACAATGCGTACTTCTCCCAACATTATCATCACAGGTACGCCCGGCGTCGGCAAGACCGTTCACTGTGAACAACTCGCGCAGGAGACTGGGTTGAAGCACCTCTCAATCAACAAAGTTGCAAAGGAGCGAGGTTGCCATGATGGATACGACGAGAAATTGAAGAGTTGGATCGTCGATGAGGACAAGGTAATGCAACTGTGTCCCCTGTCCTCCTACAATCCGGTGCTAATGAGGGTACCATGCTGGTTGTTCATTACGGGGACTGATGTCAGTGTATTTAGTTACTGGATGCAATCGAAGATGAGGTTGTGCAAGGCGGGTATTTGATCGACTGGCATGCTTGTGATTTGTTTCCGAAATCGTGGGTTGATCTTGTAGTCGTCCTACGTTGTCCATCAACGTCGATCTTATATGACCGTCTATCTTCGAGGTAGGTTTAACAATACCCTTAAGTTCTTCACTGAGTAGCTGGTGGTGGCTAACGTTTTGCTTTTTGTTTATAGAGGCTATGGAGAAGATAAACTACAGGAAAACCTTGATGCCGAAATTTTTGAAGTCCTGCTTGACGAAGCGCGACAGTCTTACGACGAGGAAATCGTTGTCGAGTTGACAAGTGAAACCGATGACGAGATCGAAAGCAATTGTTCTAGAATCGTCAGTTGGTTAGATGCGTGGAAACGAGATCATGCAACCACAGATGGATGAAGGAACCTCGAGCTGCGGGGGAGGAAATCTCCACCATATGCGTGTTCGGACTCGTCTCAAAGCTGCTGCTTCTGTCGCTGCTCTATGATCCACTGTCTTAATTTTTGAAGCGCCTTATATCGATGGGAAATCACATTCTGGTTTGTCATAAGTTATCTGGCTTGCAGAAAGCAGCGCTCTTTTAGGGAGAGTCCTATGGGCACTTACCTTCTCCTTCGGATCCATTTCAGCATAAGTTGTTCCCTGGTACTCGAAAATAGGATCCCACCCTGGTGACGTTGGGTTAGCTAGGTTTGCAGAAAGGTCAGGATGCATTGGTTGAACAAACCGAATTTCGCTGGGCCACGAGCTGGGACAATCTTCCCCTACAAGCCGAAATGTCGCATTAGCTCCATCTCTGTTATAGTTGGAAGAGTGCTTAATACGTACATCAGTGCGTCCTTGGAACAAAATTGGCTCTTCTCCAGGGCCGGCGGCAAATGCAAAAGTGCAAACGGCGACCGCAGATTTATCCTCGAAGGCATACAGAAGCTTGTTCAATCCCTCGTGACCTAGCTTTTCAAGGAACCATTTGCTAGTAGTAGTGTCCATTAGAAAAAGCAAAATATGTATGTAGTTATAAACCTCTCTGAGGCCTAAATGTACATATGCTCACGAGAGTAAACATGAAAATAATGGCTTGATCTTACATATATGGCCCTGGCAGACCGCCCAGCGCATTAAATTCTAATGCTGTGTCTTCCGTTAATACAGGCCCGTTAACCTGAATGTTGCTTCTCGTAAGAATAATCCCAACACCCCATGGACAAAAAGTTTTGCTAATATGGATAAAACCGAAAAGCAAAGAGGGGGAACGTACCGCGTTGGCCGCATTTTTGCACTTTTCGCGGGCAATGTCTTCTATGGTGCCCTGTAGCTCGGGTAGGTCGACAGGCTTATTCTGCACTTCTATGGCATCTCCTAGTATCGCCTGGACCTCCGTAAGTTTGTTCTTGTTGCCAGTAATGAAATTTATAGACTTCATGATGTCAGCGACAGTGGGGACGGAGACACGGTCGCTTGTGTATTGTATTTGTGCAGATGATAAAAGAATTCGTCTGGATGAGCTAAAATACTGTGGATGACTTGAGAGGAATCCAGACTCGGGCACAAATAGCTCAAACCTCCCGGGAAACACTCTTACACAGCACCTCAGGTGGATGACATTCCTTTTCTTTTCTTTCTCTTCCTTCTTTTTTTTTTTTTTTTTTTTTTTTTTTTTTTTTTGATTTAGTCAATACGAGGAAATCGTCGTCGGTCGATGCGAGCTGTACGGTTCAATTGAATAATTACGGCGGTATCACTGCTGCTTGTTGAAACTCACATTACGTACACAAACTATCTTCAAGAGCCTTTCACTGTGTTCTCTCGAGTCCTAAAGATAGCTGTGTGTTCTAATGATTTCAATGGGAGATGGTGCGTAGGTATCTTAGCCCGGAACGTGGCACTGCGAAGGGCCGGATATATAGTAGTAATAGGGATCCTGCCATTAATATTCCAACAATGCAACAAGCTAAGGCGTAGCGTATCTCCAAGGCAATGTAAGAATGAACAAACCAGAGGCCGGGAGGTGTTATGCAGAGATAAAGAAAGAAAATCTAGTGTCATTCAAATATATGGCCCGCAATTCCGGGAAAAGAATTCTAGATATTGAAGGCATAAAAAACGGCCAGATTAAACAAGCCAAATATAGACGCCCGGTGTCTAGTAAATGGGCGGTATCGGTGGAAATCGTATTAGCAAAGAATATCCAGTTCTAGCAACAAGACAAACCAGGTCCTAAAAAGCTCCAGAGCAAAAAGCTCACAATGGTGATCATACAGCAGATGAAAGTGAGAAGGATAAATGAACAAGCAGATGCTGGGGCTGTATGAAAACATCGGCAACCAGAAAGAAGTCATGGTAATAATAACAGTGAATGAATCAAAGGTCATCATGCTTCAGGGATCGGTTCAATTGGATCCCCGACTTCTGCACTATCTAATTTCTCCTGCTGCGCCATAGCCTGCGCAGAAACTATTTCAGCGAGTCGCTTTAGTCGCGGGGTTTGGAGCCCTATTGCAATAATGTTAGCCATGCTAGCAGAGGATGACGTTTACTGGACTTGGGGTAGGACGTACATGATGGCGTGTATGTTTCCAAAGCAGTGATTACCCGCGGTTCAGCAATCTCGTAAGGCCCGCTATCTTCCATATCGACGGCAGTAAGCAGGAGCACGTCACTCTTTTCGGTTACCCGAGAGGCAACAGCTTTCATTATCTCCCCGTTGATCGGCTGCTCGTAATCTGCAACTAAGTATTGGTTTAGAAGCTTCTGTATCTGATTTGGTGATAGCCTGCTATTTGTTAATATCGTACCATCGCCCTACGGGTACTATTGGAAACTGAGGAACCTACATCCAGCAGATATCCTGAATGATTTCAATATCATTCAGGGTGGCTTTCTTAAGCTGAAGGAGTTTTGTTGCTTGCTGAAAGTAGAATTAGTATCCATGTAAGTTGGTTCACCTAGGTAGAAAGCGCATACCATCAAATGCTCAAGCTGGAGAGTTCCCTCAGGCATCTCGTGACTCTTGCACCATTCTTCTATTCTTGTGATGTTATAGTTAATTTGGAGCCCACGCTTCCATGACAAGAAATTGCGCCTCATAAGCAAGTCATTGAACGCCGTCACGCCCACCAGCCGAAGCAGTTCGGTAACCGTCTGGGTGATGATCATGTCTTCCAGATAGTATGCTTTCATAGCCTTGTACACACTGTTCAAAAGACTGAGAAGATTATCCATACTGTAGGCTGGGCTGTTGTTTGATGGAAGGAGTTTTCCGAGGAATCGATTGGTCTCGTTGGTGACAAATCCAGGAAGGGACTGGGACTCGATGATGGCTGGAACGATCATTTTGTAGAGCTTTTTCTTCAGAACCTTCATCCAAGTGTGGTAGATGTTGAACTCCAAGCTTTCCAGGTCATGCTTCACAATTTCCAGAAGACGATCGTATTCAAAATTGTCTGTCTTCTGTGCTTCATACCAATCTTCGGCCAAGAACACAAACGAAAGCATCTCATGCACGTTGGATAGCCAGAATGCTCCTTGATTGATAGCCTCGTCAGTATCATGCTGCATAACTTCCTGCTGGATTGCTTGCATAACGTTCGCAAGGAATCGCTCTGATTCCTTCACAAAACCGTTATTCCACATCTCGGAGGTGACAAGATTAATGAGATATGCCGGGAAAAGGACTTCCTTATCGGTGGGAGGAGTGTTGGAATTCGGCAGAGGAATTTTAAGGTTACGGATAAGTCCCATGGTGACTTCTTCGTTGAGCTCTTCTTCTTCAGAGAGCAGATTCTCCAGCTCAAGTTCAATCGAGTCAAGACCTGGAGCGAAAGTGGACCCAGAGAGGTGAGAGCGGGCTGTACTGCTGGGGATCGCCATGGACACTGGACGAGGATTATACGCACCGCTGAAGCGGTCAGTATCGGTACGCCCAGCTTCTGCGCTGCGTCTTTTCGGCTTCGGTTTCTTTGAGGAAACCAAGTTAATAAGACCAGAAAACGCGGGCTGATTGGCCGCTCCATTGACGTCTCCGTTAACACCATTGACCGGCATTGCCCTCTTGGCGAATTCAAGCTCGTCTTGAAGATCCGCGATCTGTTGGCGAAGAGAAATCTTCTCATTCTCATGGTCAGTGTTAGATTCTCGCAACTTGTCAAGTTCCAAGTTGGTGCCACGAAGAGCCTCGCGAGCGATGCGCTCCTCCTCTTGAAGTTTCTTGACCGTGGACAGAGCCTCAGTGTGATTCTGCTGTAGCTTTGTCATATCTTCCTCCATTGCTGCTAGGCGTGCCGCGGTTATGCCGGCCTGGTTAGCTTCGGCCTGGAGTTCACGAGTACGAGCCTCCAAGGAGTTGTTTTTCCCTCTCAAATGTTTGAGCTGGCCTTCATAGTTTTCGACTTGGGACACCAAGGCTTTGTTCTGTTGTTTCAGCGAACCAAGGGCCTGTGTAAGCTCCACAACCTTGTTCTCCAATTTATAGGAGATCTGCTTAAGGTCTCTGGCCTCTTCACGCAGTTTCCTATATTCTCGCCTGGCTGTCTTGCCTCTCCAGAGATTCTGCACGATAACCACCTTCTTACGATACTGTCTCCAGGCCCGAAGTTGCCGCCAGGTTCGGAAAGCTCGCTGAATGACTTTGGCAGCATTGCCGAGAATCGTATCCATGATATTTCTTCTGCACAGGTAACCTTTTGCAAGAGACTCGAAAAGGATAACGTTCTGTCGAATTGCAAGGTAACGCTTCCTCTCCTTTTGGCCTCTCCAAACGCGTTGAATAGTCGTCGCTGCCTTGATCTTACGAGCCTCATTGGCACTTTTCCGGGCTAAAAAGCCTCTCATCAAACTCTGAGTCGTAAGAATTGATTCGCGCGCTTCAAGATACCTGCGGCGGTAGTATTTGCATTTCAAGTTCTTCTGGATCATTATGGCACATTCGTTCAACCTTGATGTGCGTAGATTTTCCAGGAATGCAAGCATACCCGCGCGGAAGAAAATCTTTGTCAAACCAAGCTGGTACTTGTCTCCTTTTTGGTGGCTAGCATCGCCAAGAGCCTTCTGTAGAATAGCGTGACCCATATCTCGAATTTCCGACGTCCATTGTGATGAATGGCAGAGCATATAATACCGAAGGGCAAACTCTTCATATGTCCAGCGGGTTGGATAGCCCGCGCAGCTGATTCGAACCGTTTCGAGAACACCACAAGCTCGAAGTTGGCTAAGAACCATAGGTCCTTCAAACTTCCAAGACTCCTTGCCCTCATTTGGTTTGATACATCTGATATAATGAACATCGGTCGAGTTTATCGTGTTCATCAGCTCAATCAATGATGACTTAAATATACCTCCAAGGGTAGGCTTCCGGTTGACTGCAACACCGATTTTCCTTCCGGGAGCGGCAACAGCTCGAGAGGACACGGAAGCAGAATCTTTCTCGCGAACAGCAGAGGCGGCGGCTAGAACATCTCTCAAAAATTGGTTCGAAGAGTTCTTCAGGATTTCCATCTGTTCGTCAGGGACGGTATCTCGGTTCTTTTCAATGAACCCATCGGACTCATAAGTGACATCGATGGCATAGTGGCAGACTGTGAAAGAAGACTTCCCAAATCGAGGTTTCTTATAGAACTTCTGCTTGTCCGCAGCAAAGTTGTGATGCAGTTTCGTAACAAACTGTTCATCGGATCCCATTGGCAACCTTGATTCTTCGTCCAAAAGTGACAAAATTCCGAGTTTCCCTTCGATCAAGTCGATACATGGCTGGTTGTCAGAGAAGTCAATAAATGTCCAATCAATTTGCTCCCGCACATATTCTTCCTGTTCGAGTTTGAAGACATGCTGATTGAATTCTTGTTGGAGTTTCTCGTTCGCGTAATTGATACAGAATTGCTCGAAGGAGTTCTTCGCAAAGTGCTCGAACCCATAAATATCCAAGACACCGATAAAGGACGCCACACGATTTAAAACTTCATCTGTTGCCAAGCTACGGTTGATAATGTCAACGAGCCAGTCAAACAAGCTGGAGTATATGAACTTGGCAACTGAATCTCGCACGACAATAGCTTGCTGCTGGGTGAGATTGGAAATAATTTTCTCGCCTCTGGTAGTCAATTGCTTCTTCACGATCCACTTGGCGAAGCCAGCGGGATTGATTCCCAGCATCTCGCAGGCGTTCACTAGGGAAGGTTCGGATGACGATAGAGACGAATCCGTCCGCGTAGCGGTAATTTTAACATTTCCGAGGTGCAACAGTGCAGCCAATACGCGGAATATTTCGGTCTGAGTCTCCGTGGAGACGCCAATCGTGGTGAGTGACTTCTTGGTGGCCTCGAATTCTGCCTTATCATCGACTCCATCGATAATCGGCGTGCCTCCTTGATTTAGGTAATCGAACTCCTCAATTGACAAAAGATTCAAATCCTGCCGCTCGGAATCTGTAGCACCGGCTACAAGCTGGTAAAAGATATGATAATTTCGCTCCTTCAACGGTTGGAAAACCAGCCTCGACCGCTCTAAAAGGTATGTTCTAATCTTTGCACCAATAATATTTGTCTCTGAATCAAACATGATCTCGATGTATTTTCCAAATCGTGATGAATTGTCGTTACGGGTCGTTTTCGCGTTACCAAATGCTTCCATGACGGGATTCGTCGCCAAAATTTGTTCTTCCGTTTTGCTGATGGAATCTGCCCTTCCGGTGGCGAATGTACCGGGGTTATCCGGGCTTCCTCGTGTTGCAAAGTAGCGCATTATGTATTTTGCACTCACAGTCTTTCCAGCACCGGACTCACCGGATACCACGATCGTCTGATTTCTTGAGTCTCTCAGCATATCCCTAGGACAGCGCTGTTAGTATAAAAATGGTGCTACCTGCTGCTTCGCGGGGAAATGCTCACGCAAAGGCCTCTTCGGCAATAGCGAAGAGATGCGGTGCTTGTGAGGCTCGTTGCTTTCCAGCATAGACTTGAACCATCTGTGGTACGTAAAGGGAGTCGACACGCGCAAAAGGGTTGGTCGCGATAAGAACGATACCACTATAAGTATATATTTCCTTCTGATAGTAACGTAACTTGATTGCCTGTAGCACTATACGCTTGTTAGCTCAGGAAGACTTAGGTCCCCGTACCGACCACCATCACACCACGTACCAGCCGGCTCATTCAAATGTGATAAATTTGTTAAGTCTTCGCTGGCTTCTAGCATAGCAGGGTTCATCAGCGGTGGAAGTTTCGAATTATTATTTATCTGTAGATCCGCCTCTGTCGTCTCAACCGTTTTGGTCTACGTTCGCGTGAACCCCAGTCAGTGGTGATACGGGACAGCCGAGCAATGTTAGGGAAATACACACTTCTCCATTCTCCAAAGAGAACACCAGCTTCACCTTATCCCCATCCGCCGTCTTCTCGATCACTTCCGAGGCAATCCATCCCTCCGTTGGGTCGGTTTGCCAGGCCCGTGTGCCAACATCAAAGGTATGCGCCATGTCGCCGATCCGAGACGTAGGAGCGTTGAGCAACGACAGTCAGGCACCACAAAGGACAAAATCTAGAGAGACGCAAAGGTGGTGAAAAGAGCATCGACTTTTAACATCCGCATCTAAAAAACACAGCCAAGAAAGAAACGTGATCAACAGTCGTGAATGAATGGAAGAAGTGGACTAAAGATTAAGAGTATTCTGGAGAGGTGCATACACCCTTCTCCTGTTGGGGGGTATTAGCTCGGATCCTTTTGGCTCTTGAACAGAGACGGTAGGATCACTGGAAGCTATGGAACTCTCAGAAACACTCCGTAACAGCAATAATTTAAGAGATGGTCACTTGGGTAAGCGAGCCTAAAAACCCCCTGAAACAGCGAACGGGCTCTCTGCAATGCTGGGGTGAAGCTAAATTACGTGCTTCATGCTGCTTTGGGGCCCGCCTCAAACCAGCCCCATGCCCAATTCGGCTTAGATGATCACGTGATATCCAGCGGAAGAGCGCGAACCAGAGAAACTTTTTTATTTTTTTTTTTTTTGGGCTATTTAGCCCGATGCGCTGGCACTCAGGCGCGGGTCCTTTTCTGCTGGACGAGAGAAACCTCGTGTGCGGAGTACATATAGTATTGTCGAACGGTTGATCATTGGACTTCTTGTCTTATGAACAAGGGTATCGCGCAAAATTCGATACGAGACGATCCCCGCTGAAGGCATTTAATATGGGCCACCATGGGATATCTCCAGCCCTGACGAAGACGGGGTCCTCTACAGGTCCATTGGACGTATAAAACTTTTCATTCAGCAGTATAGGAAACGGCAGTTAATATATCATGGTCCTTCTACATCACATTCGAACGCATACTTGCAGCAAATAAGTAACACAGGCAATTTCTAATTCAACCACGCCTCACGCCAAGAAGCTCTGACCAGCACCTCGCGTCAAGACCTGATCCCGATTTGATGGGAAAAGGCGAAATATATGACTCAGGCAAGAATAGTGATGAGGCCAGTTTTAAGAAGCCTCTGTAGCTTTATGATACCAGGTTCAAGACAGGATAACGATGCTGGGGGTGGAAATGGGGAAGCGCGCACAGGGAGAAAGATATTACACTCCATATTTGGTTCAAAAAAAAGGAAATTCTTGGATGAGAAGGACAACTGAGGTATGAGGGGTTGCATGATTCGATTTTAGAGGTTCGGAAAACGGAAAACGAACTGTGTAAAGGGGGTGGCAAATCGCGCATCATGATTGAAACACCCTCATCCAAAAGCAAGGGTGGTTCCGCGCAGGTGGTTCGGTGGTTTAGCTCTGCTTGCACTCAGGCGCCTCCTTCTTTGGCTTAGATCCGTCATCCTGCCACCACACATTAGTTACTAATTCTATAAATCGTCATGAAGGAGCGTATTCATACCTCGTCTTCGGACTCATCGTCCATATCACCCGATCTTCGGTCATCGTCGTCATCATCATCGTCGTCATCGTCGTCGTCATCGAAGTCTTCCTCCTCAAAGTCCCCGTCATATTCTTCATATTGCATTGCCTCTCCGGTAAACCAATCAATAGCACGCGGAATGAGTTTCTCTTTGATATCTTCACCCAGTTGATAATCAAGCTCAAGGCGCTCTTCGATATCATCGGGAACCTCCTCCTCCTCGTCTTCTTCACGTGGAGGCTTTGGGGGCGAGAAGAAATTGAAGAAGGACTGGGTCGGCACCGTGACCTTGACGACACGAGTCTGCTTGGTGGCTAATTTTTTTTCAATCGGATTAGCGAATGCTCAAAAGAAGGTGTGGATTGAGCTCTTACTCTTGTTGCGCTGCTTCTTGCTCTCTATCCGCACAGTAAGGTCCTTGCCCTCCTTCCAGTTGATCTTTTCACCTTCGGCATGATCGTAGATAAAGTCACCACCGTAACCACTCTCCTCCTGGTAATAGTAGGTCTTGGAGATCGTCTTGTTTGTGAAGAACTCATTCTCTCCGAATTCGAAAATGAGACGGAATCCAGGACGGTCAAGGTACTCCATGCGAATGTCGGTAAGATTCTTGAGGGCTTCTTCATCTCTATCGGTGATCATCTCTGCGATGGAGATTTGATTCTTCATAGCAGAGAGCCAGAACTCTGGGATACCAGAGACAGCAACGTCGCTCGACTCATCTTTAGATTCTTCGGCTTTCTTGTCCTCATCCTGGTCTTCTTCCTCACCAGCCTTGCCAACTTCGACTTCTTCTTCGGTGGGCTCAGCCTGGCCGTTGATGATGGTCGCACGCTTCTGATAGAGTGGCGCGAACTTTGCAAAATATTTCTTCTCTAGCTGGAACACCTCTTCCTGGAACTGAGCTTCAAGCTTGGCATGTTCTTTCTGGATTCCTTTGAGACCAGCAACCCGGCGGCGAACAGAGGCGGGAAGCGACTCGATGTAGCCAGACGACCGGCCGATGAGCGAACCGAGTTTTCCTTGAATCATGGAGACAAGCTTTGGGTTCTGGGCGAAGATAGAAGCTGCTGCGGCACGGTCGAGATCCTCTAGAAGTCGGTCAGCGATTTGCCTATGTAAGCTGCGGGGATAGAGAACAACAAACCTTCTTTGATGCTTGCGATATTGGGCTGCTGAGCACGAGAAGAAATGGGCGCAGTGTTGGCAGGTGTGTTCTGTGGAGTGCTGTTGGGCGGATTCAAGCGGTCAGCAAAAAGAGAAATTCCCCCCCAAAAAAAAAAGCAACAGAGAGCGCGGATGGGCGACCTACGGAGCACCTAAAAGGTCAGCCTTCTTGTTTGGAATAGGTTCAGCCATCTTTAATCCTGTGCGTGAATGAAGAACCAAAGAGGTACGGATGATGGTGGGGGATGGGTGTTGTTGAAGGAAAAGTAAGAAAACGCGATTCCCAGGCTGTGATTTTATATGGAAACGTTAAATATCGGAGGACTAATCGCTTGGTGGGAGACTTTTTGTTGAGGTGGCTTGGCAGCGTTCCTTTGCCCCTCTGTTGTGGACGAACTTGGGAAGCTCCAGGCGGGCGAGCCGGCGGTCTTGCTCAGGCCCTCCACGCTCGGCTTTGCCGTGCTCTGCCCGTCCGTCCACGGGTCTTTTCGCGCCAGGCATCACCGCCTTCTCCAGGAAGAACGCAAGCGTGGTGCATATCTACATCATAGCAAGACGCCAGCATGGAGATAAGAGAAACCGTAACGCAGCCACAAAAATTGGCCACTCGAAGCCACCAGCTGCCGGCCCTTCTCCCTCACCATTGGCCAGTCCGCCTGCCAAGTGACTGCCTCCCTGATTGGCTTGGGCATCACGGATTTGCAGACAGCCTTTACCTCTGATCCAATCAATCACCGCACTTTCTGGAAAATCATCCCTGGTTTCGACAAGAGAACTGGTCAACTTCCAGCTCAGATATTTCCTTTTGCACTTCCTCCATGATGCAGTTTTTGATTGATGACGTCGCACAAGGGAGCCGGATATTATACGCAAACCTGCATACCTAACTATCTATGGCTCTGAGCGGAGTCGACTGGTGGGATTTTGCTGCCTCTGGAAATTTCTCAACCATTATCCCCTTAAACCAAATCAAACTACGGAGTATTTCAGCCATGGGTAAATATCGAACCGGACGGATCTGTTTATGTTGCATATTAATACTCCAGTTTTGGTGCCGACCGGCCGAACCTGGCTATGACGAGCTGAGCTTCTGGGCAGTCGGCCGGAATACCACGTCTGAAGTTTGTTTTAATGATCAGAACTTTGAGTACTGAACGCACCTTGTTTATAAGGCATGATTGGTGGGAAGCCAATAGAGGGAGCTTCTCTCGAGGCTTCTTCTTGCTGTTTTGCATGGAGACTGTATTCCAAGTTTCCGTACTTACACTAATTCGTCGTTGGATCTCAGCAGTGATGTATGCTGCTGGCCTGATGATACCTGGCTTTGTTTTATTTACAAAGCTTGGCTAACTTATCATGCCTTGTTAACATCTTTACTGTTCCTTTGACAGGCCCTGGCAGGGTCTTGGATGGCAAAATTACGTGTGCGACCATGTCTCGCGTTTCCCTCTATCAATGCGCCCGAAACACTTATCTTCATGTTGGCTAGAGGGCTGGGAGTTGGTTGTCAGCTCAGAACCCCAACTTCCTCTTGGAGATTTTGCTGGAGGATTCACTGGTTACCATCACAATTTTGACAGGAATGATATAACCTTTCATGCATTTTAATGGTCGGGCTACGCATGGGACTACATGCACACCACCAGATACCATTCCTAGTTGCTTTGATAGACTGAAAACTAGGACCCATTTGTTGGTTCATGAACCACTGGGGTGTAGGATTGCAGCCTGGATGTTCGATACGTGATTGACTGAGCTACAGTGGCGCAACATGGCACTGGGCAATGAGAAGCAATCAATGGGAGTTGGAAACTCCAATGTGCTGCTGACAATACATTATCAATATGAATATTCCATATACTTCTATGGAGTCCTAGGACTGAAGTGTTGCCGCAGTGGCTTCATCCTGATGCCTTCACCTCAAATTAAAGCTTGACCGCAGTCAAGTCAACTGCTCTCTCCATAAGTTGACTGATCCAAAAATGAATAGCTTAGAGACAGAGGCCTTTGATTGACTTTCGTGTAACTAGTCTTGGCACATCTCGCTGTGCTGTGGTTCAGAGCCTTAACTTTGGTGATCCAATGGGCCAGCGTTCAAGGCGAATAAACGTCTTGTGGCTGGGGGACCAAAGCATGGTTACATGGTGATCAGCGCCGTGATCTGTAAGTTCTTGCTGACTGCGGGGAGTGTTCTTGTTAGATCTCTGTGGACACTGATGTTTATATTGGAATGGTCAAACCCCAGGTTTCACCCAAGACCTACCAATGTAGTTGTGTAATCTGTTGCCAGATTACTTCAGATTAGATTAACCCGTCATCAGCACGTCCGCTTTTTTTTTGAAGTAATATGCCTTGCCGTCAGACGAAGGGCCACCCTTTCCTTACCATTGCCCAGCAACTGACAGGCAATTGCATGGTATATTCTTTTGTTGAACTGCACGCACTATCTGCCAGAGCTTCACCTACACTTCATCTATGACTGATGATCTGATCGTCAATGACGATTTAACCTTTGACCTAGTCCCTCCGCTTGACTGGGTTGGCAATCGAACCAATTGGCAGCCGGCCCTAAACTCCTCGGAGTAAACCTGCCCTTTCGGTGGCCTGCTGCAAACCTTGTGTACAAGTGTAGTTCTTGAGAGCCAAAGGAACCGCGGCAGGGTGTTGATTCGGAATGAACAAATGGAGCCGGGGCACCTCGTCCTCCACACACGAGGAAATGCAACCAAGCACATACATATGTTCTCGAAGGTGAGCCGGGCTCTTGTGACAATCACCAAAGACGTTCCAGGGCTCCATTTGTACTGATCTAGTATTCCTTGCGCTGGGGACAAAAGAGAGCTTTCGGATGGATCCCCAGAACTTGGTCCGAGGTTTAAATGTGGGAAAATTTGTCCTCTTTAACCCAGCTTAATGGAAAAGCCTGCGCGGAATTACCGAAGAATTTGGGTTCCAAGTGTAGTGAAGCAATCATAAGTTTTTTACCAGTTCTTTCACCTGGAGATTCAATACCCCTTTGTTAGATTAGAGATGGATTTAGTAGCGAAGGATGGGAGTCTAGCAATGGCAATCGAAGAATGCATACTCCGGAGTTATTGTTGGATAAGAATATGTCGTGTGAAGGGTCAATATCATCGCTAATTCTATTGTCAGTATTTCAATGTCCTCTGAGTGTCCGCCGATCAGGACGTATAGTAACCTCATCCATTCTGCCTCAATGCCAACAGCCAAAGAAGATAAGATAAGATAAGATGACAAGTGAAAAGAACGGCGTTCACGTGATGATAAGATGCCAAGCAACAGGATTCCTCTCTTGGAAGCTTATTCATGGCATACTGCAAGGAGCTCTAGGTGACGATGACTCGACTTCATCCCGCAGTTCCAACAGTTTTCATGACCTAATTTCACCCAAACGAAATGGGATTTGCAGTTCGATAGCGCGTATGCGCTAACATTGATATATCATTAAAATCTGCCGCAAAACACCGTAAATCCACGAAATGGTGGACCAAAATGGCAATTATTTTTCGGATGATGGCCACGAGGAAGCCTGCTACCATGCGCCTGTACATCAGGTTGGCTCCACCAGGAGCAGGTAATTGCGGCGGCTCCGTTAAGATCTATAATATTACCGGTCTAACCGTTTCCAGGAGCATGAGCATTGTGTCAGATGTAGAAATGGCTCAGGATGAGGCAAGTTCTGTTGCTCGGTCGCTTCGATATGTAGCCATGGAGTGAATAACGAGTGATATAGGTCTATGCTGGCCCAGTCTCTGAAAGTATACCGTCCAGCATCGCCTCCTTCGCTCCTCGTCGATCACGGCGAGACTCAACTGTTAGCTTCGCCTATTTTGAGGAGAGCACGGAAAATCCGGTCTGGATCGACGAGGAGGCCATAGTGGATGAAAGCGAGCCGGAACACTATTTTGAGGAGGGCCAAGATATTGATATCGATGTCTCGAGAAGTCCCGTAAGCTTCCTTGATCGTTCGCGCTCAAGAAGCTCAGCGGAGCATCCCTTACTACGGCGTGAGACTTCCGATCGTGGTGAATATGAAGGGCCACCATCAGGAGGAAATGTTAGCCAGAAGGTTTACATTGTGACTGAAGATTTGACTGCTGTAATTGCAGGTTTCTCTACGAGCATAGCAGGTTTTACCATATATGTCATCATTTGCATTTTAACTTGCGGCCTTGGCTACCTGGTGTTCAGATGGCTTCCTCGATGGCGTATTAAATTGGTCGGATTCCCTGAACCGCTCTATCGATGTCAATGGGTTGCGATAGAGGTAAGGAATTACTTTATGTTCTTATGCGGCCAATCGCTTACGGTTTGCAATTAGAACCAATGGGGCCAATTCACGGTGGAATATGTCACAAACGCGAAGTATGGGCGACAATTGTCGACCGTGTTCGGATCTTCATATAAAGACTTTGAGGCTCCAAATTTTGATGAAGACAACGATCCGATACTGCCATACCTTCGTTTTGTAGATTACCGCTACGTTCGCTTCTGTTATCAACCCCTTGAGGATAAATTCATGCATACGGGGGATTGGAAGGATCCAAATTGGATCAGTGTGAAGACTTTGAGAGAAGGCTTAGACGCCGAAGAGAGAGATCGTCGAGAACAAGTGTTCGGTCAAAATATCATTGATATCCAACAAAAATCAGTTCCCCAGATTATGATTGATGAAGTGAGTCCACCGCTCCAGAACCTCTTCTGATGGAATTCCTAACAGACGTAGGCTTTTCACCCTTTTTATGTGTTCCAGGTGGCGAGCTTGATTCTCTGGTCATTGGATGAGTATTATTATTATGCAGCATGCATTTTTTTCATATCGGTTTCCAGTATTGCGGCCACGACGCTTGAAACAAAGTCGGTATGTAGCAAGTATACCTTTTTGGTTAATAGAAGGGCGCTAATGGTTCTAAGACCATGGAGCGCCTACGGCAAATATCGCATTTTGAATGTGATGTGAGAGTTTTGAGAAGCGGATTTTGTATGTTTTTGGATCAGCCCTGTCTTGAAATTCCGCTTTTTTCGGGTTAAAAGTGCGACTTACATATATTATCTAGGGAGACCAATTGCTTCAAGAGAACTAACTCCTGGGGATGTGTATGAGATCTCAGACCCTTCGCTTACGCAGGTTCCCTGCGACAGCTTGTTATTATCCGGTGACTGTATTGTTAATGAGAGCATGCTTACGGGTAGGTCTCTTATCTGAATTATGAGTTAAATCATCTGACTAGGAACAGGGGAGTCAGTACCGGTCTCAAAGCTACCTGCGACCAACGATGCGCTTGCTTCTCTAAACCTAAATGCGCCATCCATCCAGCCGACAGTTGCTCGGCATTTCCTGTTCTGCGGAACTCGAATAATACGTGCGAGAAGACCCCAAGACCCAGAAACTGACGAAGCGGCTGCGCTGGCCATGGTAGTAAGGACCGGTTTCAATACGACGAAAGGCGCGCTGGTCCGCTCGATGCTGTTTCCCAAACCGTCTGGATTCAAATTTTATAGAGACTCATTCCGCTATATTTCAGTCATGAGTTTTGTCGCGGCGTTGGGCTTTATCGCGTCTTTCATTAATTTCATCCGCCTAGGAGTAAGTCCGCACATTAGCCTAAACGGTACTATATAACTAAGATTTGGGGAAGATTGCGTGGCATACCATTATTGTTCGAGCGTTGGATCTTATTACCATTGTCGTTCCTCCAGCCCTCCCTGCCACACTGACAATTGGGACGAATTTCGCGCTTTCGAGACTAAAGAAGCAGAAAATTTTCTGCATAAGCCCTCAGAGGTGAGCTTTCTAACACGTAATTTCAGACTTAGCTGCTTACCTCGTTTGCCAGAGTCAATGTTGCCGGGAAACTCGATGTCGTTTGCTTCGACAAAACAGGAACCCTTACTGAAGATGGGCTTGACGTTTTAGGAGTTAGACTTGTCAACCAAGATTTTAGGTGCTTATTTCAGCCACGTCGATAGCGATGTTTTGATTCTAACGACCCTGAAACATTTTAGGTTCAGCGAGTTGCTAGTAGACGCCTCCTCCATCTTGCCGTATCCATTATATGAGAGGGACCCAACTATAGATTACAACTTTAACGCGGCTATCCTTTACACGATGGCAACATGCCACTCCCTGAAACTTGTTGATGGCGAACTCATTGGGGATCCTCTTGATGTGAAAATGTTTGAATTTACGGGCTGGTCCTACGAAGAAGGAAATCATAATACTTCGGATGCTGATGAAGAGTCTGAGAGTTTCATTCCCTCTGTCGCATGGGCACCTCCAACTTTAACCCCTGGCGACCCTGAACAAGGAACTGTACGTTATCCTAATCCTATTGATATGATTTGCATTAACCCCTTGCTTAGCGTCTTTCCACGGAATTGGCTGTCATGAGGACTTTCGAATTCGTCTCACAACTCCGCCGGTCCAGTGTGCTGGTGCGGGAGCCTGGTGACCAAGATGTAACTGTGTTTGTGAAAGGAGCACCTGAGTCGCTGAAAGATATATGTGTGCCCAAGACCTGTGAGCGATTCATCCTACTGCCAGCACTGATATGTTCACTTACTCTATTCACTAGTGCCGCCTGATTTCAATGAACTTTTAAACTTCTATACACATCGTGGATATCGAGTTATTGCCTGTGCAATGAAGCATATTGATAATCTTAACCAAAATGGCGTCTTGAAGATCAGTCGATCGCAGGCCGAGTCTGACTTAACATTCGTTGGGTTCATTGTGTTTGAAAACAAATTAAAACCAAGCACTACAGGCGTTATCAATGAATTGCATAATGCTGGAATTCGAAACATTATGTGTACCGGCGACAACATCCTTACTGCAATAAGTGTGGCTCGCGAATCCGGATTTATAGGTGATACTGCTCAGTGCTTTGTTCCCTATTTTGTTGAAGGTACGGATAACTCCTCCCCCCCAACCCAGAACCAAGCTAGAAGCCCTTTTACTAATTATATAAATCTAGGAAATCCTTACAATCCAAGATCTCGCCTGCGCTGGGAAAGCACAGATAATCCGGACTACCTGCTTGACGAACATACACTTGCAGTACGTGTGCTCCGAATTGTTGTTTGGACCTAATGTTTAACAGTCACTAGCCTCTTCCGATCTCTACGGTGCCTGACACGTCAATTCCATACCATAATTATAACAAGTTCAAGTACTCTATCGCGGTCACCGGAGACGTGTTCCGGTGGGTGGTGGACTATGGTTCTGAAGAGGTTTTACAAAAGGTAATTTATCATTACTGAGCTGTCGAATAGACGGGCTGATCTTGTCCAGATGCTTGTTCATGGGCAAGTTTTTGCACGAATGTCTCCAGACGAGAAGCATGAGCTTGTTGAAAAGCTACAGTCGCTCGATTATGTTTGCGGATTTTGCGGAGATGGAGCCAACGATTGCGGTGCTTTAAAAGCGGCTGATGTTGGTATTTCACTATCAGAAGCAGAAGCGTCCGTAGCGGCCCCTTTCACCAGTAGGATATTTGATATATCCTGTGTTCCAAAGCTTATCAGGTATGTTTCTTCCTATGTATTTTGAGCTCCGTACTCAGGCGCTTGTGTAGGGAGGGTAGAGCGGCACTCGTAACGAGTTTTTCCTGCTTCAAGTATATGAGTCTTTATTCTGCCATTCAGTTTACCTCCGTCAGCTTTCTATATGCATCTGCATCCAATTTGGGCGACTTCCAGGTAAGTGGGCCGTATAACGTCCTGCGTGACTAGGCTCACATAACATCTATAGTTCCTTTATATCGACCTCGCTCTTATCCTACCTATTGCAATTTTCAGTAAGCTTCTCCTTCCATTCCCCCCACCAAACCGAAAAAAAAAAAACAAAAAAAAAAAAAGGCCTTGAAGGCGGTGCTAACGACCTGATCAGTGGGATGGATTGGGCCTTATTCGAAGCTATGTCGAAAACGGCCCACAGCTAATCTCGTATCCCGGAAAGTCTTGACACCCCTTTTGGGTCAAATAGTTATTTGCATATTCATCCAGCTTGCCGCTTTCGAAACAGTTCAGGAGCAAGAATGGTATATACAGCCGCAGGAAAGGGCGCATTTCGTAACTACAAGACTGACTTTGGCGTAGGTATAAGCCCCCCAAGCTTAATCCGAACGACACAAGCATAGAAAATTCGCAGAACACTGCGTTGTTCCTTGTTTCCTGTTACCAGTACATATTATCAGGTCTGGTATTGAGTGTTGGGCCACCGTTTCGACAGCCGATGACATCAAATGGTAGGTGTGAACCGCTCAGTTCTTTACTTCTTTATTGCTGACGGCCTCAGTTCCATTCGTCGTCACCATAATTGTGGCTCTTCTTGTATCTTCCTACATGCTTTTCCAACCTGCGGATTGGCTCTTCCGCCTGATGCAGCTCACTTATTTGTCGACACCATTTAAGGGATGGCTAGTGGCGCTTGCCGTCGGAGGATTTGCTGTCGCCTACGTTTCAGAAAGACATCTCTTTCCGGAATTGTCCCGGCTTCTTGGTCATGTATACAGAGTTTGCCGCCCTGGCAAGAGAAAACAACGGCGACGATATAAGGTCCTTCTTGAGCGCGAGTAGCTCGGTGGACTTGATTTTGAACTTGTGACCCTATATAATCTTATCCTGTATTTTGGCTTTTGCTTCCATTTCGATATATTCGATCCACGTGTATCCGACATTGGGTAGAGAAAAGAGCAGTCTTTTATATACCTTTTTATTGTTAAGGGTGAATCCCCTAGCGGGCCTCGATTTAATGGGAATTTTGTGATGACAAATATAACCCACGTCGATATGACGCCGAAGGGTTTAAATCAGGTTTAAAAGCGTCATTCATATCTATACACAAAACTGGTCATCTAGACAAGATACAGGATGATGCGCCCATTAGATCAGGTACTTTGCAAATGGCACATTCTTGCACCAAGCAGAGCGAACTGGCGCTTCAAGGCCTGGAGCGATATGAAACCTCTTTCCGAACTCCGTTTCCACATCGGCAAGATGCAAACTTTATAGCTTTTTCGCAACGTCGGTAGAAGGGGGGGGAAAAAAAAATCCTCTGTCGGTCCAATACGGCATCTCAATGGTCCCAAGGGTGTTTCAAGCCCAACAGGGCCGGTCCATCCTTTTTGGCTCGGTAAAACAACTAAGATCATCATCAGAAACGGCGCTCTTGGTAAGGTGAGAAGGTATCGCAGCACGATTGTTGCACTAGATGGTTGCAATTGCACGTACGAAGAACCACATGCTGGCACCTAGGGCGGTGGCAGCGAATTTGTATAGAGGTCTGCCCGGTGGCACTTGGATTGGGTGTTTGCCGGCCATCGCGCTCAGTGGATCGGATCGGGTCTGCGGAGTAATGCTGGGAGACTTGAAATCTAGTTAGCACAGCATGAGATTAAAGAAATAAAGTTCGTATTCAATGCACCGACCTCAATTGGTGTAGATGGACCTAGAATAACACGCTCTGGCAGCGATGTCACCAGTATGTCAAGGAACAAAAGATGATCCAACCCACCTGCACAGTGATATGAGGTCAATTTGACCTGCCCAGAGCGCCATGAGCGTGGAAGGAAGAACGTTTTACCGAGCTGACTCAGCTGTGATTGGCCGGGCTGGCATGGATGGAGCTTCACTCACTCACAGCTTCGGGGGCCTCAACGCAGCGTTGTGGTCTTTGCAGCTTCAGTCTATTCAAGGGTCATGAATAACAGGAAAAGTGCATGATTCAGAGTTGCATCTTTGACTTAATAACACTCCAGTTCCTAAATCTCCTGTGTTGTCAAGCGAATTTATCCTCCTTCACCGCCGAACAAGAAGTCAGTCTTGAGTTCCGGCGCGTGATTCTCCTATCCATCTTCTCACTGGCAGTGGATCTCCAGTCCTATCTAGCTATTCCCATGGGCATTGTCCCTATGCAGACAAACATTGTCTTACAGATGCAATTAGCTTGCTGCTGTGTCTCAACCTAGACGGGAACCCGGCAGTTCTTCCAGCACCAGCTTACAATCAACTCGCACCTCTCCTAGGAGATTTGAAGCTATATTTCTACTACAATTCCCTGAAGCCTTGGGAGTTCACCGGCATCTCCGATTCCGAAGCTTCAAAAATGCTTCCATCAACGTCATCACCCAACTTGAAAGTGCCGCTAGAACGCGACGAAGAAGGGCGTCCACGATTCAAAGGCTGTTCGTCGATCCGCGAATATGAATTTCTGGGAAAGCTTGGAGAAGGCACATTTGGGTATGTTTACTCTCTACTTCCAGGACTAGTGCTGGTAGCTAACTGTAGCTTCCTCTCTACATAGCGAGGTGTACAAGGCTCGTTCAAAACACTCCGGATCAATTGTTGCGCTGAAGAAAATATTATTACACAATGAAAAGGACGGGGTAGGCCTGATAATGGCTATTCTTTGCAGATTAATGTCTGACGTAAACATGATCAATAGTTCCCCATTACGGCTCTTCGCGAAATCAAGCTGCTCAAAGTCTTATCACACACTAATATAATACGCCTGGAAGAAATGGCTGTGGAGCGAAGCAGAGGTATGTTCCTATGCATCATAGATAGCTCTTATGTCTTACTTTTCCATAGGTGAAGGCCGGAAAAAGCCGTCTATGTACATGGTGACTCCATACATGGAACATGACCTCGCTGGCCTCTTGGAGAATCCGAACGTACATCTTACCGAGCCTCAGATTAAGTGTTACATGTTGCAACTCCTAGAAGGGCTACGATATCTCCATCAAGTATGAAAGGCAGCCTTTGAATCGCACAGTAACGGTATTACTGACAATTCTCTCAGAACAACATCCTTCATCGTGATATGAAAGGTGAGCCAGCGACAAACCATCTCATTCGTAGCAAAAATGCTAACTTCCGGAACCACAAGCGGCCAACCTTCTTATCAGTAACAGAGGTATACTTCAAATTGCAGATTTTGGTCTCGCGAGGCCATACGATGGACATCCCCCAGCTCCTGGCAAAGGAGGCGGGGAAGCTGTGCGAGATTATACTTCGCTCGTTGTAACTCGATGGTACCGGCCGCCCGAGTTATTACTTCAGCTTCGACGTTATACGACGGCGATAGATATGTGGGGAGCTGGGTAAGATTCTTTTTGAATTGCTCCGACGTAATCCCAATTGCTAAGGTCCTCTAGGTGCGTTTTCGGCGAAATGTTTAAGGGCAAACCCATACTTGCTGGAAGCAGTGATTTAAACCAGGCCCAACTCATATTTACTCTCGTTGGTTCTCCAACTGAAGAGACCATGCCCGGCTGGAGTGCTCTCCCCGGATGTGAAGGGGTGAAATCATGGGGCTCCAAGCCAGGAAACCTTTCAACCGTCTTCAGAGAGTGAGTCTAAATTGTGGACACTTTTCCGTCTAGCCTCGTTGACTCTTAAATAGACAAGGACCCGGCGCCATATCACTGCTTTCTGAGCTTCTTAAACTTGATTGGCGTAAGCGAATCAACGCGATTGATGCACTAAAACACCCTTATTTCTTGAATCCACCCCTTCCTGCCCGCCCTGGTGATCTACCTCAATTTGAGGATTCGCATGAGCTTGATAGAAGGAAATTTCGCGGGCAAAAGGCGATGCCGCCCGCGCCCGCCGGTGGCTCTGTCGGCATGGGTGCCAACGGCGAATGGACATCCGGCTCAGGGGTGAGGGTCCCACCAGATCCGAAATTGAATAGCCGGATACCTAGTGCTGCACGCAACGGTCCGAGGGGAGCCTACGACAGTCGTGTTCCAGACTCTGCTCGTGGCCATAAACGACAAGCATCGGACGATCACCCTCCGCGTTCACGCGACCCAAGCATTCACGGAAGACCACCGGGCCAGCTCCCCGGAAGGCCGAATGCTGCCACATGGCGTGGCGGCGATCGTCGGGAGCAGCGTGGTCGTGATGAATGGGATCGCCACCGTTCTCGTGATTCCTACGTTCCTAAGTATGACGATGATTCCACTTCTGTTTCCCGAAGAGACAATCTCGATAGTCGACCTCGTGCAGACTCCCGTGGAGATAGGTTTTATAGACCTAGCCGAAGCAGAAGTCCCGAAAGGCCACGCAGCCGTGCTGGCGATGGGGATTCACATAACATTTATAGGCGCTGATCTTTGTTGTTCTCGCCCTTTCTGGAGTAGGCATTGTCTTTCTAGCAGCGTCTTCACACTTTTTAGCTTGGGATTTATTCACTGACATTGGGGGTATTGATGCATTTTCGTGTTGGGGCATCTAAAGCTGGATTCATGGATGATATCATGCATTTGCCTGGCGTTTTCAGGATATCTATATGGGTAATGGGCCATACTTTCTCGAATATGTTAAGCTCTCATAGAACGCACATAGCAGACACACACATTGGGGGTGGTCGATGCTTTCGCACATACGTTGAACAGCGGCGATTTTCAGATTTGGCCTTTTTTTTTTTTTTTGTTTTTTTTTTTTCGGGGGGGGGGGGGTTGTTTCGCAGGAACTTTATAATAATGAAATCTCCTGGTCAACTGAATCGTGCATGTACATTTAAAGCGGTATTTCCATAGAATCCCTTTGCCTATCCTCGTTTCTATCCCACTCATGTTGAAAGAACGCCAGTCGTCGACATGCTGACCTGTTGAAGAATATAAACTTTTTTTTTTTTTATTGATGTAGCGGAATCATGTCCTCCTGAATTCATAAACATCCAAGTTCCCTCCTAAATATGTCTTAGATTAAAATAAGACCCGAGTCATTATTCGAGCTGTTGATAGTTTTGTCAGCGACGGGCTGGAAACATGAAGGCAGGGAATACGACATACATGACAGGCTTTCGAGTTGTTGGTATAGTTCTTTAATATCTGATGAGTTGACATCACTAATATCAGCCATTAGGTAGGCGACCTAATCAACATTCTCGTTAGTTTGGTTCCTGACTAGGCGGAGACGACTAATGGAACATACATCGCCGCGGCTATCCGTCATTTGTTTGTCGACATTGTGATTTGCGAGGACCTCGTTAACTGGTTTTTTTTGTATTAGCAGGGATAAGCTTCGGCCGATATGTGGGCGACATTACCTTTTCTTAACACACCAGGAACGTTTCGATGGATGAAAATGACCTATAATAGAGCGTTAATATATCTTTTTACCTTTTCGGTTTGCTAAGGCGACACTTACTCGAGCATGGTTGGGCTCCTCTATAGTCAATGAACGCAGTGTAACCTCTGGCATGTTGACAGCACCGAGGGTAGTGCCCTCGTTCACATAACGCACCAAGGCATTTGCAACTTCGATGCCGATGGCGCTCTGAGCCTCCTCAGTGCTTCCACCGATATGCGGTGTAAGGATAAGGTTCTTCAACGATCTCAAATCTTCGGCCCAGGTATTTAGGTCCTTATTGAAATAGTCGCCATTACCGGCCGGTTCACTAGGGTACACATCAAGAGCTGCACCGGCAACCTTCCCGGAACGCATAGCCTGAACAAGGGCAGGAATATCCACGACGCTGCCGCGACTGGCATTGATGAGATAGCTTCCATCCTTCATTTTCTCGAGTTGAGCACCGCTGATCATATTCTTGGTTTCTGGGAGCTCGGGGACGTGTAAAGTGACAAAATCCGCAGATGCGAGAAGTTCGTCTAGCGTAGCAACTTGACGAGCAGTCCCCATGGCCATCAGGTTGAGCACATCATAGTAAATGACCGACATGCCCATAGCTTCGGCGAGAACTGAGAGCTGAGAGCCAATGTGACCGTATCCGACGATACCTTGGACCACATCAATAACAGGGCAGGGCATCAAAGGAGATGCAGGCAGACTTACCAAGTGTCTTCCCTCGAACCTCCCAGCATTTATTGCTCACTTTCTGCCACATCCCGCTATGCATTTCTGCTGAACGGTCGCATAGCTGTCTAGCGAGAGCAATGATCTCTCCGATCACCAACTCGGCAACGCTACGCGAGTTGCTAAAGGGAGAGTTGAACACGGCAATACCATGGTCAGCGGCGAATTGGAGATCGACTTGATTCGTGCCAATGCAGAAACATCCGATGACTATTAGATTCTTAGCTTCACTAAGAACTTTAGCAGTGAGCTTCGTTTTGGATCGTATGCCGATGACGTGCACATCTCTGTAGATTGGTGGGAGTGTTAGCTCATGTCCGCCCAGAAAAAGAGAAAAGAAATCTTCTCTATAGCGGACCAAGAACAAGAAAATGAGAGCAATCAGCAGGAGTAGATGCTAAACGACAATCACACACCTGATCTTTTCGATTAATTGATCCTCCGGCAGGGAAGATTTATAAAACTCCACCTGATACCCCTGTTCCTTCAGGATATCCCTGCCTGTCTTGTTCACATTCTCCAGCAACAAGATCTTTATATCCTCCGTAGCAAACGGCTTCAATTGTTTCAATGGAAACGGTGCGGGAACCCGGCTGGCAAATGGTGTGCCGCTCGTACCATAGCTGGACGGCGGAGACTGGGCAGAAAAGCTCAGGCTGCGAGAGACCTGGTGGGAAAGCTCGTTGGGGTTGAATATGTCCCTCGCGCCGGTCGCCATGCTGCCGCTTTCACGACGATAAGAGTACATTCGGGAGAGAAAAAGAAGAAGAGGATCCGCAATAGCGGGTTATGGGGTATAAATGTATTTAACTGGGTCCGCTGTTTTGGTGTGCAGCTTTTTGTTTTTCCACCTTTTTTTTTTTTTTTTCTTTTTTCCATTTTTGCTTTTCTGCGGGAGAGCAATAAGCGTTTTTGACTGGTGACTGTCCCGTAGCTTTCGGGGACTAAGGGAATTGCATCATTCTTGCAGCTTGCACACACGCACCAGGCGGGTTTCACTCCCTGAGTTTTCGACACTATGACTCAGTCGCAGGAAACCGGGACGATGGGCATTTATTTATGGATGTTTACGGAGTACGGTGATCTTCAACGGATCTATTCTTATGTATGTACTGTCTATGTCGGTCTCCTAGCAATCGAAGACGACCAGTTCAAGACACAGGGGAAATTTGGGGGTACTATCGACTTTACTCTATTTTGAGATTTTCCATAGTTTTTGTCACGTCGCTCTTATCAGCTTTTGCCTTGGGCTTGGCTTTAGTCTTTTGAGAGGTGGTATCTTTAGGAAGTTCCTTCGTGTATGGCAGGAATTCAGGTTGGCCAGGGATATATTTCCTGAGGACCTCAGGGACGATGATGCCCTGCGGAGATAGGCGGGTTAGTTAAAAATGGCAAAAGGCTGGCAAGGTTTGCTTACATCTTCTTGTTGGTAGTTCTCCAGGATGCAGCAAAGAGCTCTCTCCGTGGCGCACAGTGTGGCATTGAGGGCATGAACGTAAGCCTTCTTAGTATCCGTAGTCTTCTTGGGACCAAAGCGGATATCCAATTCTCTAGATTGGTAGTCGGTGCAGTTCGAGCAAGAAACTAATTCCTTGTATTCACCCTGGAATGGGAACCAAGCTTCCAAGTCCCACTTTTTGGAGGCCGCATTGTTCAGGGCCCCTGAAACAATTGAGACGATCTGGTACGGAAGACCAAGAGACTGGTAAAACTCCTCTGAAGTGGTAATCATGTCGTCGAATGTTTTCCAGGATTCTTCGGGCTTTGTCAAGATAAACTGCTCTATCTGTATTGCAGTTTCGAAGTTAGATGCACGGGCCTAGAAATATGGACCCGATTAACTTGCCTTTTCGAATTGATGCACACGGAAAATGCCCCAAGCATCCTTTCCATGGGACCCAGCCTCTTTCCTGAAACATGTGCTGTATCCGGCGTATCTACATATCGATTAGGTCAACTGGGCACGGGACATCGATGCTCTCGACAGGCGAGAAACCATGAAGTTGAAAGAGGGGGGTTATACTTAATAGGAAGTTCCTTATCCTGTAGCCACTCTCCATCGTGTAATGCGGACAAGGGCTGTTCCGAAGTCGCGATCAAGTACTTGTCCGTGCTCTTATCCTCACTTTCCGTAACTTTATACAATTCCTCGTCAAATTGCTCCAGCTGCGCCGTTTTGGCCATGTAATCCCGAAGCATGAAGAATGGCGGCTGATTTGGCTTGTATCCCTTGTTGAACAGAAATTCAAGACCGTAGTTGACGAGGGCGAGGTTTAAGAAAAGACCATAACCCGTTAGGCAGAATCCACGATGACCAACAATCTTGACCCCTCTCTCCGGATCGTAGCCGTCTAGTCGTGTGAGGACTTCATGATGTGACAAGCAGTCTCTCTTTTCGACCTTGGCGCCTTCTGGCGCCCATGTCTTGATGATCGCATTATCATCCTATGGCAAATCGAATCCTAGAGTCAGATTGAATCAAAGAATGACGGCTTGGGGGAGGGGAGCCGCATATATTAGGTACCTCATTGTTGCTAATAGGAACCGAATCGTGAACATAGTTGCCAATCGTCTTCAACTTGCGATCTCTCAGCTTTTCCTTCTCAACCGCCAAATCTTCCTGAGCCTTCTTGTCCTGCTCCAACTTCGCTTTTTGCGCCAAAAGCTCAGAAGCGTCTTCCTTATTCTGAACCGGGCAACAATCACCCCCGCCGTCAGCCTCTCGCGACTCCCACGCACCCGCAAGTCACCGCGGTATATTAGGCCTGGAAAATCAACGAACCTTCTTCTTCATGCCAATCTCTTTCTGGAGCGCATTGATCTTCGAGCCGATTTGCGAAGCTTCATAGCGTGCTAAAAGCCACACAAGAACAAGAAAAGTTAAGTCACGTTCAAAAAAAAAGAGGATTGTATTGGAGACGATATCTCGAGAAAGAACATACTTCGACGGGCGTCTTCATATAAACTAATCACCTCATCGACAAGCTCCTCCGACGCAAATCTCCGGCGCTGACTCTCCTTGACCTTCTTGGGATCACCGCCGCGGTCGGCGATCAGGTCTGCAATATCAAGCATGGTAACAAGGAACGGAAAAAATTGGTCTCAGGTAAAATAAATGGATAGTCTCGCCCAGTGAAGCAAAAACAGAGCAGTGATATTCTACCAACAGGATCTCTCGTGCACAGAGGCCCTTCGCAGTAGTGATGAGTTTCAATTTCTCCAAGCCGAGCATGTTTGTCTTCTGTGCAAACTTGAGGGGTCGCTGGGCGCACAAAGTGCGTTGCAATTGCTTATCAGTGCGTGTAACATTAACAAGTCTCAGTGTTGCTGCACACGGTGTGATCCCTGCACGTTCCTGCGCCCTGTTTTGTCCACATGCATGTTGATAGTGATGCAGGTTCAGATATCAAAGGAGTACCTGGGAAGAACAATTAATGGAAGATGATAGGAGCACTATTAGATATTATGCTTGTATGTATGTGTGCACATTTGCTGGTTCGTTGCAGGTCATTAAGACTCCCCCCAGATCACAGAATAGAGAGCATCCGTATCCCCACCACTGATGAATAGGAAAGCCTAAACCCTAGGGAGGAAAAAAAAACAAAAATAAGACGATGATGAAAGCAGAGACAATGACATAGAAGATACACAAAGGCAAAAAAAGAAACCCATGCCACACAAACCTGTACCGCTCTAACGCTTGTCTATCATGTTGCCCAAGTGCCAGGAAGGTAGAAGCATGCACTCATTAAAAGAACCAGAGAAAGCCACCCGGAAAGAAACACAATAAAAAAAAGTGAGATAATAGTAGAGCATGTAGAAAAGAAGTCAAGCCGCAAGACGGCAGCCAAAAGGGAGGCATCCTGTGGCTACAGGCACAATTGTCGACGCCTGCGCTGCCGCGATTGTCATGTATGTAATGTCTGCTTGGTGCGCACAAGTATGCACAGTTACGCATGCTTGTGCAGGGTCAAAACGACCTTCCTCCCCTAGAGTGACACCTTCCCATGTCGCCTGCCGAGCACGGAGTCGTCCTTTGTCGAAGCTGTTCTACATGAGAACACACTTGCTTCCGCCAGTTGGCTGATTGGGGTTCTGGGACTTCTCAATCTCAGCAATGATCAATTCGAACGCATTTGCAACATTCAGGTCGTTTCTTGCGCTCGCTTCGGTCCAGGCACAATTGAACTCCTCGGCAGTCTTTTTCCCTTCCTCGATGCTAATCTGGCGCCACTCAGGCTGCAAGTCACATTTGTTTCCGACCAAGACTAGGGGAACCCAGTCAGCGCCCTAGATATCAAGCATCCAAGTCAGTTGGTTTCATTCGCTCTTGAGGATGGTCCGGTCTACAAGCTAAAGAATACAGGCCAATGGGCAAAGGTATGTCTCATCAGGTATGTCTCACCAGGTGATTGAGGATCTTGTCACGGATGACCCTGACCATCTCGAAAGACTGTCTAGAAGCAACCGAATAGACGATCATGTATCCATGGATTCCAATGAAGTGTTTCGAGTTCAAGAGACTATATTCGTCCTGCCCGGCCGTGTCGACAATTTCGGTAGAGTAATCTTGTCCTTTATAGGTGATGACACGGCTAAAGGTATTCTCGATGGTGGGGTAATAGTTCTCGACGAAGGTTCCCTCAACGAAGCGAACGGTGAGAGACGATTTACCTTTCGGGAGCTCATTAGCATTTCGACAAACAACATTAAGGACAGGTTCCATTAAGAAGCCAGAGAATAAATGTGTTCAGGATGTAAGAGGACAGAACATACCGACAGCACGACTTCCTACAATGGCAACCTTTCTCTGTCGAATTGGAGCCATGTTTGTGGGAGACAAAAAGCGATACGACAGAACGGGGAGCGGAAGAGCTGCGATGAGTTCTCTAAAGGGAAAAAGAGAGAGATGTAGGATGGAACGTCGATTGGAGTGAAAGGGGAGGAGGAAGAGGGGAGAAGTGAGGGTTCGTCGAGCGTTGTTTATGGCGGGAATTACTTTCACGAGGAAAGCTCGAGGTGAATCGTTCGAGGACGACGGATGGTTCCCTTCAGGTCACAGTGCCGACGCCGTGTACAGTATCAAAACACGCTAGCGAAAGCAAACGGATTACACTCCCAATACCGAGGATTGGAGCACGGAGGGAGAATTGAAGGAAAAGAAAGGGCGCAAAGTGAGGGAGCGGTGAACTCGAGGATTTCCACAAACAACAATTGGAGATAATATGAACGGCAACAGGCTTGATCCCCGAAAACAATAAGGTTTAGAATACGCCCAGAGGGATTACCTGCTATTTGCTCGAGGGCTGATCAACCGCCGGCAGATACGAGTTCGCCCAGCTGGGTGAGAAATTGACAAGTCCACAACGGCATTAATATTAATACTCTGGAGAGAGAATGGTGTTCAGTGCCAGTCCAACTCCCATCCAGGATACGACATTACCGGGCCTGCCAAAAGTTGCAGATCACGGCACTCAGTACACAGGGTGATACAGACAACGGAGCAAGCTTTCCAAGGAACATGACCGGCGGCGTTTCCTCCAGAAATTCCAGAACCCTGGGAGGCGAAAAAGAGGCGCAAAAAGCAACTTCCGCAGCGTCAGAAGGGAAAGCTTACGATCGCCCCGCAGGCCAATCAGAGGTGGGCTGAATAATCGCGCCCTGCTAGTTAGCCCGGCTCCACTCGACTAGGCCACACAAAGAAGGCAAACTCCCACGTGAATATGGGGCGGCCGGAGGGTTCTGGACCCGCGGCCTTGGCATCGAACTCTTTCCGCCCGTTGGGGAGATCTGCCGCCCGCGGACTGGCTGGGAGTGCACGCGTAGGCCCGCCCCGGGTTCCAGGCAATCGGAGTCCGCCGCCTCCTGCTTCGCGTTGGCGCTGCCATGGGCGTCTGGGGTTGGGGGGCGGGAAAAGAGGGTAAAGCGACATGGCCGGTGGGACGGGTAAAAAACCCGGTCACCCGTGGCCGAGGCAAACTGCACATCCCTACGGCCCAACGCAACATCGTTGCTCATATCATCCTTTTTTTGCCACTAGATCATGATTTCCTTGTGAAACGATTGTTCATCCATACAACATGACATTATTATGATCTAACCATCCATACACGGCGTGACCAACCATCAAAACGCCCATCCTGGTTACCTCCTCAATCCTTCCGCCTCATGGATCCGCTCAACAATACTCTGAAGTCGAGACGTGAACCCCGCCATAGCATCCTCTTCCAAAACAGGATCCTTCAGTTCCTCCTCGACCTTTCGGTGGTAGTGTAGAAACTCCTCCACGATGGCAAGAAGACGGCTGAGGTTATTGCCGCGCATCTTCCTGCGCACTTGGGTCCGCACTTCATCGTCAAGGCATAAAGTGCTGAGGAGGACGGATAGATAGCCAAAAGCAACGTTGGAGTGTGTTTGGACAACGGAGTCAGCCTGGAAAAAAAAAAAAAAAAAAAATTCAGGTCAGAAGAGAAATCCGAAACAACAGGGGGAAAAAAAAAGAAAAAAAAGAAAAGAACAAAAGAAACGAAACGAAACTTCAGATGTGTATATCCTACGGGGGCTTGCATCACGTACTTCTGAGACTGTCTCTAGTCCACCAATGAACAACTCCATGAGACGGTCAACCAGAATCGCAGGACCATGCTTCATCTGCAAAAATAGTCCCCTGGACCTGCTGCTCCATTCGGTCAAGTTGATCAACGTTCCAAGTGCAAGAATCACTGTATCCAACAGCGATTCTTTCTTATCACTAGCCAAATCTTCCGCTACTGTCCTGAAGTTGGACAAAACAAGTCGGGCTAGTGCACCAACCATATCAGGCGTTGCAAAGTCTTCGCAGAGAGCTGGATTGTTGTTTGTAATGTTAAGGATGAGACGAATCTGCAGTATCTGGATTTGCCGACTCGCCGCATCAGATCTATCGATTAGCTGTGCTAGGAGCAAGCCCATTCGCGAGAGACGATTTAGAATTCTCTCCTGCTCGCTGTCCAAAGACGGTAGGCCAACGGTATAAGACTCCAAAATTGAAAATGCCATCTCGAGAACGAAAAGATCGCTATTGGCGCCTTCCCGTGAATGTTGAAGAAGAAGGTCCACTATCTGCGCAAGGACAGGGTTCGAAACTGTCGCCGTTCGATCACCAGCTTCTCGAACTTTGCGCACCGCTAGCTCTAGTGATCGTAACTCTAGGTTCTGTGGTGAAAGCCTCGCGGGAGGTAATTCTGACCATAGTTTGTTTTCGCGAAGCTGCACGCAAAGATCTCGTAGACTAGATTGGCCTGCCTTTGACATGTTAAAGTTGGGAAGCTTGATTAGCTGTAGTATATCCCGTTCTTCGGGAAGAAGAGAGGGAGCGGCGTCCAATATCTGCGTAAAGCAAGTCTGCAGAGCTACTGGAGAAGTAGGCCCAGACGCAAGGAGTAGTGTATAAATGCACACAGTGAGATATGTGCAAATCATATCGGGTTCATTAACGGTGCATTCAGAAAGCCTCTTTTCCAAGGAATTGCTGATAAAGCGACGTGAAAACTCGGTATCTACGAGTTTCGAACACAACTGAAAAAACCCGCTGCGTTTTCTCGAGGTTGAGGCTGTTTTCTCCTCGAGATCTTCAAAGATAGACTCGATGACCGCCTGGTACCTCGCGTTGCCACCTGCTCGTCGAAGCTCGTAAATGCTTCTAACCATCCCGGGGCCGGTATCGTTGTTGTCATCGGGTTCTTGTAAGTTCGGAACTAGTTTCGGAGGCAATAAGCTCGTGCCAATATCGAATAACAACGGGTCGGCTTTTGACGCGGACGTAGGTTTCATATCATTCATCCCCGACATATTGGTGTCCATATCGCCCTCTGTACGAAAGGACCTTTGTCGCGCATAGGTTACTCTCGAAGTATTTTGTTGTAGCTGGTTTGAGATTTCTGGTCGCCGCCGACGAGGGTTAACGGATGGAAAGATATTGGTTGAAACGGAGTCTTTCGTTGGCGGCGGCCCCCTGGAGGAGGCTCGGGAATTATTCCTCGAACGATGAGATAGATCTGATCGAACGGTATCCGGGTCACTGGAACTTTCCGTATCCTCCATATCACCGGTATTTAGCGCGTCTATCAACCTCAAGCGGGACGAAGTTCGCGGGGTCCCGGCAATTGACCCTTCCTTTTCACTAGTTAGGGACCGCTTGAGAGGAGTCTTAACATACGATTCAGTAGACAAGTGCTGCGTCATTTCCTTGAGTTTCTGAGATGGACTCCGCGAGAGACTGGGCCTAACAGGCTGGTTTGCAGGCACTGAGGCGGCTGGGTTCGTGGGCCCTGGCCTCGAACCTGGGTCATGACGGAAACGATGACTCCATGAACGAGCAGACAAAGGTTGTTTGCTTGGCGACCCGAGCGAAAGGGGCTTTTTACCTGGCAACGTTCTCTGGTCATGATCAAATTGATTGGTACCGTTTGCTTTGGCTGAGGGAGGTGATTGAATGACAACTCCTACCCGAGGAGATTTCTCTGCGACAGTATGCCTGGCCCTTTTAACCGCACTACTCTGTCGTTCCAATGGCTTGTCTATTTGAACCTGTTGTGGTCGTTCTCGCGATTCTACTAGAGCGGTGCGATCAACCTGTGAGAACTTGCACAGAGCTGTTGGAGTCTCCAACCTCCTGCGCTTGCGCTCGCGTCCAGACCTATTCTGCGTGTCATCGTCTGACGAGGGGATATCGTAGATGCTGCCCTCAATTTTCGGAACTGTCAGTCGAGGCCTTTCCACCTTTTTCGTTGTTTCTGAGTTTCCTCTGTGTAGTGCCTTGCGCGGTGTTTCAATATCCCTCCTAGAAATTCCGACGTCTTTCGGCGTAGGAGACGTATCCTGATCGAAGCGCTCAGGCAGGGTGCGCTGGAACGGACTGCGCACGATGTTTCGTGAGGCCCGTCCGTAGGTCTTCAGCTTTCGCCCAGAGGAAAATTCCATGGAGGCAATATCGGCTTGCATTTCGCTGCGGTTTGACCAAAAGAATCAAACCACAGGGGAAATGAACGGTGTCTGTGGATGCGTCGCGAGAGCAGGTAGATGTGATCCGGACCGAGATGCGAACTTGAGGAACCGACTTCAGGTTACCATTGGGGGATCAGACAAAGTTGACTCCCTATTCGCTTTCGCTAGCACAGGTGTAGTCAGTATAGACGCGTCTGAAGGAAAAAAAAACGTGATGGATGTCCGGATCTCAGCTAACCATGTATGCTTTGAATTGAGATGGATTGCTTGTCGCCGCAACTGGTTATAGAACCCGGGCAATCTGGAGAAGAGGAAAGAATCGCCTTTGGTTAAAGTGGCAGGGTGAAGCAATTTTGTTGCAGAACACACAAGCAGGGCTTCTCAAGGTCAAATGAATCCGTGTTGATGGAAACTGCGTTCAAAAGAAACTGACCTGCACGCGTTCATGAGCGGGAGGACAGACAATGTTAGTGAACCGCTTTCTTACTAACTAGCTTAACCGTTGATCCTGGTTGATACCACCGACTGGGCACAATCAAGTTCTAGATAAGAGCATGGTATTGATATGGATTTCCCTGCCTGCAAAACTCCTTGGGAATGCTTTGGCTCTCCCTCTCAAAGTTGCTGATGAGAGTTCTGCTCGACAGGGCTGGCCTGTGAGATTCCACACTAGGAGAAGCTTCCCGCCGATGGCTTTCCCACACCACTGAATTTCACCAGCATTTATCCGATTAACCACTGCCTCCAGCCATGAAGCGGGCCTGTTGAGATGAAGCGGCAGGCCAGCGCCGAACTCTATTGTCCGCCATCTCTTCTTTCCCTCTGATCCAGTGGCCATTCTCGCTAGCTTCCGAGTGACATCGCCCTGTCGGAAACTGTATCATCACCCGCCAAGTTACCCCACACGCAGAATGTCGCTGTGGATATGTTGCACTGTAGCATCCACTTGTTAAATTGAAGAAGCAAATTCAGAGACTTACTGTCGCTCCATTCTCCTATATCCTAGCCGCTGCTACTTCTTACAGTATCCGAGATCTGTTGATTTCTCTGCTCCTTGCTCCCGTAATTCTACAGCTACAGATTGATTCCGAGAGCAGGGTTGTCCCTTATGGCCTCAGCCCAGCACGTGCCAGCTCCTACATCTGTCCAGGGAGTCGGCCCTCTCTACAAGCCAGACGGGGAGAAACCAACTGCTACAGTTTCTCAAGAGGTTTCTTGTGAGAATGTTCATGTCCTGCCTCAGACCCCGCAGCTGATTGCTCTGTTGACGTAAGTGAAGGCCTGCACTTTCACCAGTCTCCATAGCAGAGCTAGAAGCACTGAAGCTAAATACCTTCGTCTTAAAGTATGATCCGGGATGAGCGTACCGCACGTGCCGACTTCGTGTTCTACTCCAACCGTATCATCCGACTTTTGGTTGAGGAAGGCCTTAATCACTTGCCCGTCGTCGAGCAGCCTGTCACAACACCCGTTGGCCGGACCTATCTTGGCTTGAGGTTCCAGGGGAAGATATGTGGTGTATCTATCATGCGCGCGGGAGAGGCCATGGAGCAGGGCTTGCGTGACTGTTGCAGATCTGTGCGCATCGGCAAGATATTGATCCAGCGGGACGAACAGACATGGCAACCGAAACTCTTCTATGAGAAACTACCTCAAGACATTGCCGACCGCTGGGTTCTTCTTCTAGATCCCATGTTTGCTACTGGTGAGCATGTGCCAAATCGTGTTTTTCGCCTCAATGATGCTGACCGTACAATAGGTGGCTCGGCCACCATGGCTGTGGAGGTGCTGAAAGAAAAAGGGGTTCCCGAAAGCCGGATTCTCTTTATAAATCTTATTGCCAGTCCATCTGCGGTAGAATCCTTTGCTCGGAAATTTCCCCAGCTGCGTGTTGTGACTGCATTCATTGATCAGGGATTGGACGAGAAGAGGTTCGTAACATTTCATAATACTTGTATATCCTCTATCAACGAAAATTGCTAATTTCGTTTTAGATATATCATACCAGGTTTGGGAGATTTCGGCGACCGGTACTACACGTTATAAATCAGATATAATACATACGAGGCGATCAAATCTTGAAGGAAACGGGAGAAACTATCATGATTTCACGAATTTCTAATGTCACATTTTGTCCTTCGTTGTTACGAGCGTCCACGAGGACCGGGCTATGTTATAAGCACCCGGGGCTGCTCTCATATTTCGGGTTTACCGACTTGTCACTAGCTTCGTTATCATCACCATGTATCGGCCAAGCCGGGGCACGGAACAGTACATTGTGTCTCTAGCACCTGGTCCGGTTCATACCAAGAAAAGCAGCCAGTGAGAAGAATCAAAGTCATCAGGTTAGGAAGGCGTTAATTTCCAGAGAGTGAAGCAGGACGTTGATACATGATGCATTGAACCCCGATGTTGCTTGTTTACCCACTTCCTAGTATATGATAATCCTAAACGCCACTTTATGCTGAGAAAAACCCTAAATCCGTTAAACTAGAATCTCTAATATTCATCTTCGTCATCGGCTCCGACCGGTAGTGCTTCTCGCTCCGCGACGTTGCTTCCGGAGCCACCCGCCGGAGCTGCCCGTTCTGCATCTTTCTCCTTTGCGACAGCATCGCAAGCATCTATCCAATCCGAGTATACATCCACGGCCGCGGAGAGATCTGATCAACGCGCCGGGCGTAAAAATTAGTGCCGCGTCTAACTAGCTCAGGGTGATTTTGGGGTGGGGATAAGATTTGGGTTTGTGTGAGAAGTGGTGACTTACAATTGATTCCCGTCTGAAATCGCTGACCACATACTTTACATGTCAAGTTTCCCAAGCCCAACTTCTTATCAAGCTTGACGATGACGCAGTTCTCGTGGTTGCAGAAAAGGCAGGAGAAAGTGGTGGGAAGCGGTTCTCTCTATACAAACGGGTTAGCCATCATTGGAGAGAAGACGCGCTGGCCGGCGCGATAGCAAGGCCTTGATGAGACTTTCTGAATAGGCGGATACGGAGATTTCAAAGGATTTGGCTGAGTTGCCCGACACGGGAGCGGAGGTCGTAGGGAATGGGGCTGAAGAGAATGGGAGTACAACGAACCTTCTTGGGAGCCGCTGGTTTGCGGCTGGACTTCTTACGTTTGCCCTACGATTGACTGTTGTCAGCTGATGTTTTATTGTGGAAAATGCGAAGTCGTGGTACCATTCTCTTGTTCTCGAGCTGGCTCTGGAGACGGGGCAAGCTTATGTGTCTTTCTCTCGAGAAGGAATCATGTACTAATTAGAAAGGGGGCAAGAGGAGTGGTCTTGATTTAAACAAATGCCAATTCTGCTGAGTTCTATTATACGTTATTGTCCGAGATAATGTAGAAACAAGTCGGAGAACAGGGCAGTTTGGAGCCAGTTTCAGCATCAAATTGCGCTCAAGGAGAGTTCGCGATGCTTGATTACATAATTCTATGGCTCGTGGTCGAGCGTGACCTCATGGGGCTTGGCGCGTTAAGCTCCACCCGTGAAGCTCTGGCCTTCCCCGCATCCTTGGCCAGCCTTGCAGTGTGTATGCTCACGCGCAAGCTGGATGGCTCAGTCCCAGGGGGCTGCTCTTCACCCTGGAAACCTTCCCCCTCTCAACACTTCCAATCACTATGCTCTGCGAGTTCCGAGTTCCCTGTATTTCTGCGCTTGATACGTCGCTCGATTATTATCATTCCAACTATCCTTGTGGCATTGTGCTATTGGCCTAACCTGTAGCTTAAGACTTTGCGCAGAAGCTCAAATACACCAGCCAGTCCTTCTCTTCATCCAGCATTTCTGCTGCCCCTCACAATTGTTAAAACATACCTGTAAGCCTGGTTGATTAATTTAGCAGCTCTGAAAATGGACAAAGGAGATCAAAATGCAACGCTTCGCGAGATATTGGCTACTCTCAAGAGCATCCAACATGACCACTTGAAGCTCTCATCCGCTGTTGATGCGATAGGCGCGCGCGTAGACCGACTTGCAGTTGGTGATGAACCAAAGACACCTGTGACACAGCCCAAAGATACCACTCTGCAGCTACCAACCTCTATCCCTGCTACCCCGACGCAACCCTCGAAGCCTTCCGTTTCAAGCGACGATGTGAGCGCAAAGGACTCTAAGCGGCAAACTACAACCTCTCGCATTATTCTGACAACTTACCCTGGGCAATCCGGTATAGACCCTGTACCGATGGACTGGGGCAACAAGGACCCACTACGGAGAGGCCCAGTGGTCGTAAGCCGACACCAAAACACTGTCCGCAGACGAAATGGTTCGAGTCGTGAAACCCGGTTTCCATGGTCATATTTTGCTAACACATCTCCAAGCAATTGGTGCGCACGGAGGCTCCTACGCCATATACCATGCTCTCGCTGTCGCAAGCAAGCATTTAAACCTCGAACATAGACCCGACTTCACGAACACCGAACCGGCCGCAAACATTGGGCCGCACCCGCAGTGGGCCGACAAAAAAAAGATTGTATCTATGGATCCGTTGGGCCATTTAGCACCTTGGATTTTCAAAGATTTTATCACAAATGAGAATATTGACATTCGTCCAACGATCGCGATCACAAAGGCACATATGAAACTACCAGAGCTGGAACAGAGCGTGCGGTCAGGGCGCCTGGTGCCAGATGGAAAGATTTGCTTAAACGAAATAGGAGAATTAGCCGTCACAAAGATTGCCGTGGAGCCAGTCTGGTATTTACCAGGCATTGCAGAAAGATTTGAGATAGGTGAGCCTGCTTTTATACTGAACTTCCTTTCAAGGGTCGCCAATTCCACGACCAATGTTTGTGAACTGACGTTGGACGCATAGACGAGGGAACTCTTCGCCGTGCCCTTTTTGAAGTCACCGGAGGATCCTACCCAGAGCTTATCACCAGAGGAGATATAAAACTCTTCCTTCCACCTATTGGCGGTTTGACTGTATACTGTTTCGGCGATCCCGCTAAGATGTCCGACCCAAATGTGCGCCTTGCATTACGTGTTCATGATGAATGCAATGGGAGCGACGTATTCGGTTCAGATATTTGCACATGCCGTCCTTACTTGATTTTCGGAGTGGAGGAAGCAGTCAGAGAAGCGCAAAATGGAGGGAGCGGTGTAGTGATCTATTTCCGCAAAGAAGGCCGCGCACTTGGTGAAGTCACCAAGTATCTCGTATACAACGCGCGGAAACGTGGTTCTGATCGTAAGAAGCCCTGTCTCGCCTTAATGGAACTTTCTAACTTTGGCGTTAGTTGCTAGCGAGTATTTCAAAAGAACAGAAAATATTGCTGGGGTAAAGGTAGGGTGTCTAGAGACTATTCCATAACTCAGTGGCCAATTGCTTATGCCTCAAAGGATATGCGATTCCAAGCCCTCATGCCAGACGTAAGGATTTCCCACCATTCTGTTCGCGGAACATCAATATCTAACGAGGAGTATTAGGTATTGCACTGGCTCGGCATAACCAAGATCGACAGAATGCTTAGCATGTCCAAGTAAGGGGTTCCTCCAAAAGAAATTGATTTCATCGCACTGACAGGTATCCCAGCATGAAACATGATGCTATTGTCGAACAGGGGATACCGATCCACGAGCGAGTTCCAATTCCAGATGAGCTGATACCGGAAGACAGTCGCGTTGAAATCGATGCGAAGATCCACTCTGGCTATTGTATGTCGTGTGTTCCCATATCCTCGAAGATATGTTTTAGAGTACTGACTTGTTCAAGTCACCACTGGCCATGTCATGAGCATGGATGAACTTGCGAGTGTCCAAGGACGTGCTTGGGACGATGTTGATGTAAGTGCTTCTTTCTCATCGTTATGCATCGCTAACATTTTCCCAGCACTGAGGCGGGTATTCAATTTATACACAAATTACCCGAGGATGCATATTCCCACTTATCCGCCGAGTAGAGACAACATAATAACGTTTTTAGTGGACATATCCCGATAAATTGACAGCCCGTCAAGGTCCTTCGGGAGGGTAACCTGCTTCGGAGGTATCGTTGAGCGGGGGGCCGTCCGAATTGACATGGCTTTGGATAAAGCTCCAAGTGAAAGACCGGATAAATTGTTCTTCTGTACTCCTTAGATAGAACTCAAACTCAGGATACATGCTCTCAATATTTACAATCTGTCTTTGTGGACACCGGAATCCAGAGAACGTTTCTTGGCTCGCCGCCCGATTACATAATCCGCACTAGACTGCCTTGGTTTTAGCGGCACACAACTCGCTTAGCGGGAAATTTGTGTGGGATTTTGATTTTGAGACCGAACCCTCGCTAAACTGCGATTCAACACCTCGACTGCTCCATCTACGCCAAACGGATGCGATAATTTGTCTGTCTTTCCCAGCTGTAAGATAGACCTGGATCGCAAATATGGCTGTTGGAAAGTACGCAATCTCGACTCCCCTTTACGCGCCATCGTCCCACCTCACATGGATTATCACATACTGATCCTCTGATAGGAACAAGCGTCTGTCGAAGGGCAAGAAGGGTCTTAAGAAGAGAGTCCAGGACCCTTTCTCCAGAAAAGATGAATACCTGGTCAAGGTAAATTTGAATTCCGAATATATTGGTTGAAGCATGGACAATTGCTGACTTGTATAGGCTCCCTCCACCTTCGCGGTCCGAGAGTATGGCAGAACCTCCTTTTGATATTCCGGCTTCATCAAAGCGGCTGACAAAATGTGCACAGTGTTGGAAAGACGATTGTGAACCGAACCACCGGTCTCAAGAACGCCAACGACTCCCTCAAGGGCCGTATCTTCGAGGTCTCCCTCGCTGATTTGCAGAACGACCAGGCCCACTCATTCCGCAAGATCAAGCTACGCGTGGATGAAGTTCAAGGAAAGAACTGCTTGACCAACTTCCACGGCATGGACTTCACATCAGACAAGCTCCGATCTCTCGTCCGCAAGTGGCAGTCCTTGATCGAGGCCAACGTCACCGTCAAGACCACCGATGACTACCTCGTCCGCCTCTTCGCTATCGCCTTCACCAAGAGACGATCGTTCCAGGTCAAGAAGACCACCTATGCCCGCTCCTCCCAGATCCGTGCCATCCGCAAGAAGATGGTCGAGATCATCCAGCGTGAGGCTTCTAGCCGCACCCTCACCCAGCTTACGAAGCTCGTCCCTGAAGTTATTGGCCGTGAAATCGAGAAGGCCACCCGTGGCATCTACCCTCTTCAGAATGTTAGTTGAGAATAGCATGTCTTCTGGGACATAAGCTGACCAGGATATCTTTGCGCGTTCAGGTTCATATCCGCAAGGTCAAGTTGTTGAAACAACCCAAGTTCGATCTTGGTGGTCTTTTGGCTCTCCACGGTGAGGCCAGCACCGATGATAAGGGCCAGAAGGTTCGTCCTTCCCTGCATTCCTTTGCCGGAAGCAATATTGCGTCATAAGTGCTAACTACGATATAGGTTGAGAGGGAGTTCACGGAGCAGGTTCTGGAGAGCGTCTAATTTTAACGATGGGTCTGATGAGATAAGGTCTTCCTCTGTACGGTCTGGGTATTCTCGATGGCCTCGATTTTAACTACGGAATTATATTCGAAATGAAAAGGCGTCGTTGTCCTCTTTGATTATCTTATCATAAGCATCCCTCCACGCTTTTCTCAGAAAGAATACCGGCACGAACCATGTATTTTTCTCAACGGAAATAGGCCAGTTGCGAAAGTCAGGTAGTGTTATGATAAATTCCGTGACGATCAAATTATTTCATTTCTATTTGAATACGTATGATGCGCAACTTAAAACTGAATGCCTTTTGTTTCCTTCAGCTCGTTTCCGCTTATGAGCATGGTCATCATTCATGATGCTTTTCAACAATTTAGGTTGCTCTCAACTTGACATCTATTGGAAAAGCCACTGTCGTTCAAATGTAAAACTGCTAAGGCATATTCTATATAAGTCTATAATTAGTACAAGGGTACCAAATCATGAATCCAAGGATCTATCACTTCTAGCTCTACGCGGAGTACGAAGAAGGTATAATCAATCGTGCGCTCGAATCGAAACTCAGGGTAACCTTTGGAAGAATTCGACAACGGCTTCTCATTATTAGCTACTTTCTCATTCAGCGAGCGGGACGGGGTCGATTACATTCTTGAAACTCATGAGGTTTTTCGGAAATTACCCAATGCCCAGCATCAATATCCTGAAGCCTGAATGCCGGGAATAAAAGTTTGATCACATTCAGTGATGGATCCTTGACATAGTGACTCTTCGTTCCTCGAATGAAAAGCGCCGGACCTTCAAATTTAGCCGGATTTTCCTCCGGAGTGAATGGGAAATCCGCCATGTTATCGAGCTTGTCGCCTAGAATATGAATAGGTATACGGAACTTGAGGGTGTTAGTCTCCTTGCATCGGATGAGGTTGGTAAGGAGGAAACTGCGAATTGCTATCGACTGTAGAACGGGAGTTGTCAGCAAGCGTTAAAAAAAAATAGGCGGGTTGACGGCATGGGGTGCGCATACGTCCTCGTAAAGCTGTAAAATAGCATCCGCGTCCTTCTGCTTCGTGACCTTCGCAGCTTCGATCTCTTTCATTGCCCGGATATATTTGCCAAAATCTTTACTCAAAGGCGCACGCACTGGCGCGTTGTCAACCGAAATCACTCCGCCAACAAGGCTTGGATGGCGCAAGGCGATTGTCATGGCAGTTTTTGCACCCCTTCTCCGTATTAGCAGTGAGTTTGACATCATGGTACGTTAGGTTCGGAAGCCTAGCACTTGCATTGAGTGTCCAATCAATACTGGCTTTTCCAGGTCATTTTCGTGAATGAACTCCTCGACGTCGTTCGCCATAACTGAGTAGTTATGCTCTGGGTGATGGGGGGAATCGCCATGGTTTCGGAGATCCTAGCAGACCAGCCGTAAGTTATATATTTCCAGCAAAAAAAAAGGAGGATATGGATATCCAGCACAGAGTATCCAATCTACGGGCGCCCGAATTTTTGTCTCACAATTGCGTAAATATCTGTATTCAACTTATCGGCAAGTGCCCTACAGAGATCGTGCCGCAGTCAGCGCTCATTCTCCATTGCCGCCGATACGCGAAAACAAAGGAATAACTCCAGTCCTTGCTTACTTACTCACGCTCCGATTATTCTGCTTCGAGCCGAATAGGCCGTGCATAAAAACAATCGGGTTTTTCTTGGGCGCCGAAGTCGCATTCTGAGAGTCTCGCGCACGGTGGAGGTTATACGCCAATTGGAGCTGAGAATTTCCTCGCGACGAGGAAAACGCACGACATAGGCGAAGAGAGACCGAGCGACAGGGCCTGAGGATTAAGGGCCTCATCATGAAGAATGAAGCAGGTTGCATGAGTGTCGTTCAGAATTCTTCGGACTTTTGGAGGATCTTGGCGGGAATGGTTCTTGTGGCTTCTTAAAACGCCGCGACAAGGAATGACGCATCTCGGGTCCAGGATTTTGCGCTTAAGCTTTTCTGGGGCCAGGGACAGGAACACATTCCGGAAGCAGGTTGATTCCCTGTAGCGTACGGAGCATTAACTTACGAGTCCTGAATGGCACGAATATGTAGGGCCTTGAAATAAATAAAGGATGTATTATTATATATAAGCCTTTTATTTCTTGTGTAGGGCTACGGATATATGGCATATTGGAGAATCTTAATGTCCGCATCGTCGCGATTAATTTAGACATATTAACAGGCAGAGATACAAAATCGCTGATTATGATGGACGGTCGACGAGAGTCCTGTTTTTCCAGAAAGGAGGAAAACACGAAGAAACGTATTAAGATTAAATGCTCAAAAAGATATAGGCAAAATGCGCAGAAGTTAAATATATAAAAATGCTGGGCACAAGACCATTACCACCGCATTATCAAGAATAAACTGGTGTAACTCTCCGTCCGCTTATGCAAAAACGACACCAGCAAACGTGGAGAAAAAGAGCGTGAAAAGCACTCCGATTGCAGGCTTCGAAAGGGTTTGTGGGGGGAGGTTGGCAAGTGCAGCACTACTGGACGTAGAGGCAGGCGAGCCATCGGTGTTGGTCGGCTCGTCATCGTCATCATCATGATCATCATCATCATCATCTCTGCCAGTGGGAGTGGGAGTCGTGGTAGCAGTAGCGTTCATTTCTTTGTTGCAAAAGACTTTGCCATCCGCGATGCCATCGCCAATGAGGCATTTAACCAAATCACCGACTGTACCGCCAGAAGCAAGGCAGTACATTCCACAGCCCTCGTTGTAGGTTACAACGGGAGCGTCACAGCACTTCTCCATGGAGTCTTTATGTTCCGTACCGGGGACGGCACAAGCAGCGTCCTTGGTAGGAATGTCGTAGGTCGTGGCACCGCATGCTGTAGGAACTGCTGAAGTGACAGCTGAGGTGCCGGTCGGAGCAACATCGGTTCTGGTCTGGATGCTGGCCATGATGGAGGAGTGTGGGAAGCCCGAGTGCTGGAGACTATATCAAGAGATCGACGGGAACAAGAACGAACGAATGAAAATTCGGAGGTATTCCGGGGTGCGATGGGGTAGGAATGAATGGTGATGGAGAATTAAAAAAAAAAAAAAAGAAAAGAAAAGAAAAGAAAAAGGGAAGGAAAGAATGAAAGAAAAAAGGAGAAGAGAAAAAGAAAAATAATAATAAGTCGAGAGGCTGCGGACACTGAAAAGGCGGTTTCACGTTCGGGCATGACGGCCCTGCTCGTATTCGACGTGCAGCCGCCAGTGAAATCGCAGCTCCGTGTGGGTTTTCGCCGCCCTTCGTCCACAACACAACAAACCGGACTGATCTTTGATTCTTTGGTGGCTCCACCGAGCGGCTGTGTCCAGGTTCAGCCGCAGCTGCTGGGGCCGCTCATGGCAAGCCAACCCTGTGAATGGCAAAAGGATCTCTCATCTTTGAAACGACTGTCGAATTCTATGTATATGTAATATTGTCTCCAACCACCGAATCCTTTACATACACTTCTGAAAAGCCCAACACAATAGCGGGAGCACAATGTGCACTTCTTTGTTCTTTGTTTTCTTTCTTTCTTTCTTTCTTTCTTTCTTTCTTTCTTTCTTTCTTTCTTTTTAGTTTACTTGGTGTTGGATTGTGCGGTTGGCCTCTTTGTCTTGAGTCTGCATTGCGGAACTCAGCTCTGATCTCGGAAGCCATTTCCCTGGATGATAATACCCCAATGTGCAGAGCGCGAAGAGTATCGGACAGGCCTCGAGCACATATAGGCACCACTCGTGCCAGAACGGGTATCCGTCGATGCCCAAGGCAAACTCAATGAGTCTGTAAACGCAACGAACCTAGATATACATGTGCCATTAGTGCTTCGCGACGAAGAATTGACCTTCTTTGCTGTTACACATACCCAAATGAAAAAACCGGCCACATATAGTCCGAGCAAGACCTTTTTGAGGTTATCATCCACTTGATGACGCAATGCATGGACACGTCGATGGAATCGGACCACAATGGCGAGGAACATGGAAAATGTCGCCAACTGCAGCGCCAGCCCACCGATCAAGACGTTTGTTCCGGCTCCCTTCTCCGAGCCTTCCCAATCACCGGCTGATGCAATCGCACTGCCAGAAACCTGAGTTAGGAAGCTGATGATGTCCGATGCAACGAAGATGCGTGGCAACCAGCGTGGAGCGATGCCGAAAACCTGCTGTTGCCCTTTGGCTTCAGGAATACCGGCACGGATCAGACGTCCCATCAGCATGTACAAACTGGCGCAGATGAAAACGGGGGCAATCACAACGAGTGACGACGATACCGCGTAAAGGGGAATGCTGCCAGGTTGCTTAACGCTGGCGCAACGGTCGGCGTATGCAGCTACTTCCATCGCTGCGCCGATGCAGAGTGGCACGAAATAACCAGCATGTCCATATTTGCCGGTTCTTGGGCCGATAATAGTTGTGTAAAACAGGAATGCAGCCGGAAATGCATATAGGATCGTGAAAAGGATCGAAGCCGGCAGTGAGGGATCATAAAAGTAGATGCTACCCGAGGAGGCCATTGTATGGATATGTACCTGGGTCTGCTTCGTCTCGTTGCAGACTTGTATGAGTCGATATGCAGCGCCCACGAATGGTACAAGTTCGACAAAGAACAACTTTGGAATATCAACAGAACTCTTAAGAAGGTGCTCCGCTTGAAGGTCAGATTGTGATACCTGGGACCGAGGAAGGGGTATATATACTCCATATATACCTTCATCTTTAGGGGTATAGGGCCATCGAATTGAATATAGACGACAACAGGCATGGCCTGATACCATTCTTTGTCACCACCGCTCGCATGGAATACGTCAGCGCGCCCCTTGCGGCAGGCAACGGGATACGAGTCTTGAACTTCATGTTAGGTCCCGTGGACCTCCGCCATTCAAGCAAATATCCAAACCATGACAGGTGTGATCCAGATTCAAAGTGGCTGATAATATCGCGGCTGTCGAACAGGCGCTACGAAAGCGCTAATGGAAGAATCAAAAAGGGAGACCTAGCGTGTTCCAGGCATGGGTTTCTCGTATAATTGACGTAGCCTGCCTGCATGTTGTGCCGATTTTCTTCACGGGCATGGTCCCTTTGTTTCAACCACAGCCGTCGTCTCTGAGTGGGCATGACGAATTGTATACGAGAGGCCCTCCCCTGGCCAGTGACGCAGCGTGGCTGTCGCGCCAAGATGCGGGAGCGAAGCGCCGTTTTTACGTGATTGGTGCGGAATTCGAGCTGGCTGACCAGTTAACTCTGTAATTCCCATCCACCACATCACGAAAAGTTACCGCTTTGGGGCATCTTGACTGCAAGCGTTTGATTTATCGATGAGGGTTGCCATCTAGCATACAAACAACTCCGTATACCAGCGTGTGGATTTAGCCTTGCAAGTCCATGTTCAATTATGCTCCTTTTGGGGCTGTGGTGACAATTTTACAGCTTATTGATCCGTTTCTCAGCCTGTCTTCTAAGAAAATCTCCCATCATTCGGACTGGCTCGGGCTCAGGAGTCGTTGCTCCAGCCTCAGCCCTAAAAGGCGATTCAAACGCCCTTCCAAAGTGGTCAATGCCAGCCTCGATTGCTGCATCAATGCCCAGTTGCTCCCATTTTCTCATTAACAACTTCTGGTTCTTCACAGACTCAGGGCCATTGTGCTCGAGACTCCCCACCCATTTCGTTATAGCCTGATCTATCGTGTCGGGCTCCACAACCTTCTCGACAAGGCCCCATTGCAGTGCCTCGTTCGCACTGATTGTGTCCCCAAGGAGTAGAAGTTGTCGTGTTCGGCCCCATCCAATCAGACCAGGAAGCAATGCAGCCTCTACGACGCTCGGGACCCCCATTCGCACCTCAGGCATTCCCAACACCGCTGTCGAACTGGCGATTCGAATATCACAAGATGCAACAATTTCTAACCCTGCCCCTAGGGCTATTCCGTTGACGCGCGCGATCACTGGTACGGGACAGTCGCGGATGCTTTGACAAGCTTCATGGACTCGCGTGATGAAAGCGCGTGCTTCAGCGGGGCTCGAAAGTGCTGACATTTCCGCGATATCGGCACCGCCAACGAAAGCTTTGGAACCTTCTCCTGTGAGAACAATAGCGAGGAGATTGGCGTTTGTGTCTGTTATGTGCAGGAGTGTGGTCGGAAGGGCCACAAGGAGGTGACTGTTGAGGGCATTGAGTTTATCTGGCCGTGAAATTGTAACTGTTGCAACAGTGCCAAATGAAGGCAGGTGAGTGATATGTGTCTTGATGGTGCCTTTGGCTCCTCCGCTGAGCTTGTTGCCAGTCATTTTGTGCAATGGACGTTTCTTATTCACGAAGTATTGTCTTGGGGTCGTCAATGATAGCCTACATGATTAACTTATATTAATTGATGACAGTTTCCATACTGAATGTACCAGAGACTCTGATGACCCACCCCCAAAAACAAAAAAAAAAAAAAAAAAAAAAAAAAAAAGGAAAAGGCAAGGGTAGCCGCAACCTTACTTACCGCGTTTCCGTGTGCACAAAATGTCGGCTCTGTGGGCAGATGAAGCACTGGGTGATACTTCGGTTATAGGAGGCTCTAGTTTGGTGTCTGGAGGCGCAGCTGGATTGAAATGTCAGCTCGATCATAGTTGCATTAAGATAACAAGAACAATAGCCTGGGTAGGAAAACGACCCGGCAAATATTCAACATACCTTCGGAATATGGGTATGAAAGCTCGCATGGCCAAGGGGCAAGAGCCGGCTTATCTACAAGGCTAAAAGGCGGGAGCCAAAAGCTTTACTCCGGATAATCCACCACTGGCACAGCTGGCTATGACAAAAAGCCAAGTTGAATAGACAGTTCTCACAAGCAGCAGGATTGAAAGCAGCCGTTGATCAGACTCGATGATGTTTTCTCGATCATTCACTCTTCGCTATTGCCGATTGCCGAAGTCCACTAATAGCGCGGCCCGGAGCGCATAATTCCACGTTGCTTGCCAAGATGGTCGAGGGGCCAAGCTATGGAGTAGTGCCCAAGCTCTTCAGCCCCAACTCAAGTCCAGTCATATGGACTCTTCGTTCAATGGCTGCTGTACAAGAAGGCTTGGTTACGCAGCAAACGGAATGTATCGTGAAGTCGCTGAATCTTGCGTCCGACGTCCATCCAAACGCTCCTGCGCCGAGCTTCGTGGATATGAGCTGTAGTTACAGCAACCTTTTGCCAGGAATTATCTCCAAAGATAATATGGCGCCCTGCTAGACATTCTCAATCCTCGGCAGCTAACTAGAAAGCTAGATAGGGATGACTTATACCCAAAAAAATCTACGGGGAATCGATGTCGGCGGGCTGACAAATTCCCCAAATATAGACTCGATTGGCTGCCTCTCTCTGCCTTGAGCCTCTAATAGAGGAACCTTACGGGGCCGAAATGGTTCTGCCCCCCCCCCCGAATCGGCGCTGGATCTAGGTGTAGGCGCCGCCTCAATCTCTGCATAGCTATGACTATGGAGCTCTTACCCTTTGATCTCCCTGAACACTTCGTATCTCTCTCTCTACTCTTCAACCGCTGGGACACAGACGGTGCCTTTCTTTGAGCGAAACCGTTCTGTTGAGAATTCACTTCGCGCGCTATATCCACCACCGGATTCCGGAGGACGGGAAGCCCGTTTTCAAGTTGATTTGCTTTCCGATGCGGAAACGGCGGACCTCTTTGCGCGCGGGTTCTTCATATAAAACGCTTTTCAAAGAATTATTTTCTCCTACCCGAGCTCCGGCTGCCGAAGCAGATGCCGATGGGCAGAAGCTTCCTCACGCCGCGAGAGTTTGTTCCTTCCGGTGACCGTTCCTGCTGATACAGTTCAATGCCCCTTCTCGGGATTGCCTTGCACCTGCCAGGCTACTCGCTTTATTCGAGCTTCCTGAGTATCTTGTCGCCGTCCATAAGTAGGGAATCCCCGCCCCCAATCTTCCCTTTATCTTCCTCTCTTCATCAACTCTTACTTGACAAAGTTCGCAATCATCTTTTTACTCCAACATCATTGATTGTGTATACTTCTGGCGTTATAGGGTGATCCGGGTCTTTAAATTCAAGTCCTTCAATATGCGGTTCCTCCCAATTATTTTCTCTATTCTTGCTCCGCTGGCTGCGGCCATTGAAATTACTAACCCTGTGTCAAACACCCCTGTTGCGGCCGGTCAAGACGTGAAAGTGACATGGAACTTCGTCGATACGGATCCGCATACCTTGAGCTTATATCTCGTCAACTTTGTCGAGTATCCACCAACCTATGTTCCACTTGCAATCGATGTTAAAACACACAAGGCCCACCACGAAGTTCATGTCCCCTGCGACACCATGCCTGCCCACGGATACCAAATTAATGCCATCAACGGAACGAACGTTTATGTGATTTACGCCCAAAGTGAACACTTCAAGGTTTCCGAGCACCGTGAAAAGGGCGACTGCGGCCACGATGACCGACAAGACGACGATAAACGAGAGGATGGTAAACCAGATGATGATAAACGCGACGGTGATAAACATGGTGATGGAAACCCAGATGGTAGAAAAGATGATGATAAACGTGATGATGAGAATCGGGGCGACGGCAGAAAAGATGATGGTAAACGAAGCGACGGCCGACAAGGCGATGGTGGACGAGCTGGATTTAGGCGACGCCTCTAACCAGCATGGTTTATGTGACAGTAGGTTCTCTACGCCTTCGTTCCAAAGTCGTTCCATTTTTATCTGTTCCATCTGTCTTGTCTTTTCGCCTTCGTGCAATGCATCCCTTATCATAGGGGGTTGGCCTCAGGAGTTGAGACAGCTAACTGGCATCGAGGATACTCCCGCCACAGGGAGTCGAGGCTAGATTGACTGATTTAAGCATTCCATTGTTGTTTCCCCCCTGCAGTGGTTTAGCGACAGAAGATGGCATATGTGGTCGGCCTACTGGGTTTTATCGACGCAGTATTGTATCCAGGATGCAACAAATTAAGGCTCTGAAGCATCTACAATGGAGGTAGTTATTATTACACGGCACAGTGGTTATTCTAAATTACAATTGCCATTCCATCTTGCTTAGTATGATGTGCTGTGTAGATGCCGGTAAAAACGAAACATCAGAAGATCATGATGTATGTATAGTACATACATACAAGGCGTATCATTGTCATGAACTTACAGTGAAGGACCGACATGCAAGGCTGTCGTGGTTTCCCATGTTTAAAATTGTCTATAAGCATTTAATGCAACCGAGGCATCGAAATACCGTTTTCCTCTTTCTGCCTTGAAGATGGATAGTTCAATCTGCAGAAACGGCCTTCTCCCTTTCTGCTTTAACCTTCTCATCGAAGGACTTTTTAACGGCATGGATTTCATCGATAAGTGGGTGGTTCTCGACTGCCTGTTTTGCTGCCGCATTGCCTGCAGCGGCTTTATTAAGTCCACTCCCGGAGCCTAGGTGTTGATCTTGCCATCCCCATCCTGTAAGATACACGCCTATGAAAAAGGTTTGCATCCCACCTTTTCGGTTAATAGGAGGACTCTCATTGATGTATCGCAATTTGATACCCTTTCCCATTACCTTTTTGGCTAAGGTCTCCTTGTAATGTGCAGCTTGGTTTTCCGGCTGAACATGATTGAGTGTTGGAATCCAAAGATACGCCAGCCACTCTTCAACCAAATTGAACCCATTGACTGGATCGGACAGAATCACGGCTGCGACATACGCTTCAAAGATATCCCCCTTAACTTTCATCCAGCGCTTTGCTTGGCTGCGGATATCAGAGGCGATTTTTACGCGTCTATCAAAGCCATATCGTTCAGAAAACTGGGCGAGCGTTTCATTTTTGACGAGGAGTTCGCGGATTTGGGACATGCGACCTGCTGGTAGGGTTTGGAAGCGATCCCAAATCAGCCTTGTGGCGATGACTTCGAGGTATGCGTCTCCAAGGATTTCAAGTCGGTCATAACTAGAGTGAACTGCGGATGGCGCCTGTGCATGGACCTCACCCTGGTGTGTGAACACAGCGGTTTCGAGTGTCTTATCCTTGATCGGAGGCGCTTCGAAGGAAGACGGAGCATTAGGTTGTTCTTTGGGTTCGGAAGGTTGCTCTGATGATAATTTCGACCGGGCAAAGGCCCTCGCTAGCTCTGCTGCTGCGCTGATGATTTCTATGCTCGCGCCATTCCCGATGTACTCTCTGATAGATTCCGGGTCCGAAGCAATGTCGTGCGTGATTCGTTCAAGTTGCTCTAGGTGAGATTTGATCGTCTCTTTCTTCAATTTTTCACCATCCGATTTCGATATTGATTTCCCTTTGCTAATTGTGCTTTCCACGCCCGTAGACGCTATGCGCGGCGCCGAATTTTCACTTTCAGACCCATGAGAACGATGTCGGTGCTTCTAGAGCGAGAGGACGGTTGTACTTAGCCTAGATACCACTAGAAGTGCGTTTATCACATACCTTCCTTTTCTTCTCTTTCGTTGGCTTCAATGCGTCCTTCCCTTCTACATCCTCAGACTTTCGCTTCATCTTAATATTAATTCTGAAAAGGGGTTTTATGTCCGTTTGGCGGGTCCGGAACCGGAGCTCGATCTCGAGAATCGCTCGACGCAGTAGATTTAAGGTTCAGATTGCAATTGCAGCAGACTCACGTGACTTTAGATCTTGGCCTTCCAAGTCAGTTTGAGAGTCTGAATTGCAGCGCCGTTGCGATGGGTTGATGACCGCAAAGACCAGCTCGCAGATATGGCATCCGTCGCTCGATCGCGGATTTTATCCTTAGCAAAGGTTAGCTTCAATGTTCGGTTTTCAAAGTCGTCCGAACTGACTGATCTCCCAGGCTCAATGCCGCATCTTCGACCTCAACTATAACCCCGAAGGCGCCCGGCTTGGGAACAAAATCCTGCGGCAACGACTACGGGGGCCGGCTCTGGCAGCATATTATCCCCGAAAGACAGCCTCGATCCGAGACCTACAGGATGCGTTCCGTTCATTAGACTTGGAGACTTGGGACGACTACCAGGAGGATCGGGAAGAGGCTATTCAGATGTATGTGCTGCATGATTTGCCTGTGAGAGCTACAGAGAGAGGATATATTTTGCTGATTGTGGAGTACAGTACAAAGATGCGTGGAAAGGGAGCTCCGAAGAAGAAGCGTTCTGCTGAAGGTGAGATACTCTTGGTGCCATTTTTACCCGCATCAGTTGGCCTTTTCTGCCTTGCTGACCTTCAATTTTCCTTCGTAATCAGAATCCAGGACCGCGAAGAAGAAGAAGAAGTAAACGTTGTCGCACATCTCTTTCCTTATATAGATGTCAAAATTTGCGGGATCAGGGCGATAGTGGAGTGCTTCTTGCATATAGATTTATCTCATTTGGCTGGCTGCTTTGGGGAACGGAATTGTATTACTACTATTTATGCGATTGTAAAATACATACAAGCAAACAAACTCAAGTTATCAATGATATCCTTTTGGTCATATCTCGAATCTTTCTGTTGCTTTCGTTCATCCCTGAGGGCCGACCGCTAGGTACGCTGATCACGTGACAAAATTATTCGTCCATTGAACTCCCAGAGATTCGCGCCACAGCTACTCGGCCTCGCCATCCACGGGAGGATATCCATATCCCTGATCTCACACCGCGATATATACGGCGTTTCATAGCTTAAATTTTTGTGATTTTCCGAACTGCAGATTGATTAGAGTATCTTTTGTGGTTACGTGCTGCGAGGATCTAGAGGTTGATACCAGTATGGCGGCTGCTGCTGCAAAACCTACCAAGAATCAGCTGAGGCGGGCCAGAAAGAAGGCTAAGAAGGCTGAGGTATGCGCGCGCTCCTTTTGCATTTCAAGGCGATCCAAGCTAATGAAGCTGTGATGGGTCAGGCCCAATCACAGACCAATGGGGATGTCTCAGCTACTGTCACTCCGTCAGAACAGGAGGTAACAGAGTCCGAAACCAAAAAGACGGGTGCAGAACCAGACACCAAACAGAATGTACCCCAACCCGAGAAACGAGCGGATGCCGATGGAGATGTAGACTATTCCTCGACGGAATTTGCACCCCAACTCGACCAGGAGGATCCGTTATTTGAGATGTATAAAGATGTGATGGGAAGGTTCAATCAGGATGAAGTCGAAGAAGCTTCATCGAAGCAGCTAGACAAGCCGGAAGTATACTTTGAAGACGATGACATTCCTGATGAAGATGAAGAAAACTCGACACCGAAGATCTCGAAGAAGAAACGAAAGGAGCTCAATAAGTTGTCGGTAGCGGAGTTAAAGGCACTGGTTCAGAGACCGGAGACTGTGGAGTGGACAGATGCTTCGGCTACAGATCCAAGACTCCTCGTTCATATCAAGGAATATCGAAATGTGGTTCCTGTTCCAAGTCATTGGTCCTTGAAGCGGGAGTACCTGTCGTCGAAAAGAGGTATAGAGAAACCACCTTTCCAACTTCCCAAGTTCATTCAGGAAACCGGTATTGCGGAAATGCGCGATGCAGTTTTGGAGAAGCAGGATCAACAGACTCTCAAACAGAAACAGCGCGAACGTGTGCAACCTAAAATGGGAAAGCTTGATATTGACTACCAGAAGTTATACGAAGCATTCTTCAGATTCCAGACGAAGCCGGAGCTGACTCGATACGGAGAGGTTTACTACGAGGGAAAGGAGTATGAAACTAATCTGCGGCATCTACGACCAGGTGAGCTCAGTGATGAACTGAAAGAAGCTCTAAATATTCCTCCTGGCGCACCCCCACCATGGCTCATAAATCAACAGCGTTATGGTCCTCCTCCTTCGTACCCTGCTCTTAAGATTCCCGGACTTAACGCTCCACCTCCACCGGGTGCGATGTGGGGATATCATCCAGGCGGTTATGGAAAACCCCCCGTCGATGAACATAACCGTCCATTGTATGGCGGTGATATTTTTGGCGTTTTGCAGACCCAGCAGAATGTGCAGCAAGGAGAGCCAGTTGAGAAAGACTTATGGGGTGAGTTGCAAGCCCCAGAAGAAGAGTCGGAAGAGGAAGAAGAGGAGGAGGAGGAAGAAGAGGAAGAAGAGGAAGAAGTTGGTGCAAGCTTGCAGACTCCAAGCGGATTGGAAACGCCCAGCGGCATGGTATCGGCTGTACCGTCTGAATTCGGTACTGCTGAAAGCATTGCTGGAGAGTTCGATGTTCGAAAGCATCATCGCGGAACGGAGACGGAAGAGACAACCCACCCCAGGTCGGCTTATCAAGTTATCCCTGAAAGACAAGCTCAGGTCCAGGGCTTCTTCGGTGGTGATCGAGTTTACGACCTTAAGGCGGCGGAGTCCAACATTCCCCTACTTGGTGCCGAAGAGCAGAACCGGAAGCGAAAGAAACCAGGCGACGTGGACGTGTCTCTGGACCCAGACGCTTTGCAGACACATGATGGCATCAGCAAGGATAATTTGAAGAGCCTCTACGAGTCCCAAAGGCAGCAGGAGAATAATCCCAACTGGTCATTCCAGGAGGATCTAAGCGATATGATAGCCAGTGAGAGCCGCAAGAGATTAAAGAAAGATGAAGAAAGACGTTCTAGGCGGTAGAAGGGGCAAATACAAGAGCGGTGCTAGTGTGTACTTTTACTGGAGTCAAGGAGGACATTTTTGCGTTTCTGGGAAAAGAGGCGGCGTTCGATTTCTATTAGTAGCGCGAGCCTGTAAGAATGAAAAAGACCATCATCAGCCTCCACCGGCCATCCAGCCAGCCTCCCTACATATGCGATACTGGCCCTCGCAGCGGCCCCTTGCAGTCCTCTTCCTCTGCTTTCTTCAGCCGTCTGAGGGTTGCGATCCTCGACGCCCAACACGTGACCATAAGAGTTTTTCGACGTAGGCGTTTCCCGGTCGGGTCTAGCGCGGCGGTCCCCTGGCTGGCAGCTCCGGAAAACCAAAAATCGCCTGAGAACGCCGCGTCCTAGCATCAAATGAAACCCGGCTACGACAGCACTGCAAATTGTTTTGACACGTTGCCCCGCGCCTGGAGAGGATGCTAGCTGGCTGAGTCGAGTGTCCTTTTGTCGTATTTGCAGGCCTGTGCCCGTTTCTTTGTTTTTTTACGTTCAGCAAAGCCGGAATCTGCTTTCTTCCCTGAACCAAGGGCGATTGCTTACCTGCCACGGTCCCTCCCTCACCCTTGACACAGCGCGACGACGGCGACCATCCTCGATATGGATCGCGATCGCTATGACAGAAGGTCAGTAAAGTCGCGTCAGATCCATCTTTTGATCCTTATGGTTGCGATTTCGTGGCGCTAACTTGCCTGCCTCGTGGTAGGTATGACGAGGGCCGACGGGGAGGAGAGAGCTATCGTCCTGCCGACCGCCTACCTCGACGTTCTCCACGCCCTGACATTCGCTTTGGCCGCTCTCCCGTACGAAACCGGTCGCCACCCCCCATAAGACCTACTGCAGACACATGGGCTCCCTCCGATAGAGCACGACCGCGAAGCAGGTCTCCTGGTGCTTTCAGGCGCCGCTCCCGGTCTCCTCCATACAGAGGAGGTGATAGAGCACCGGGTTATGGCGGCCGACCGCGATCTCCACCACCGCCAAGAAGATTCTCTCCTCGACGGGAGAATGGTAGAAGTCCGCCCAGATCGTATAGACGATCTCGGTCTCCGCCTGCTTACGCCTCCCGAAGGTCCTCTTTCTCTCGCGGTGGTAGCCCTGGTGGTCAGAAACGTGCGCGCGAAGCGTCACCCACAGGTTATGCGCCCCGATCCCCAAAGAGAGAACGCATCGCTTCCCCTCCTAGAAGTCGGTATGACCGACCGCGTTCACCACCAATCCGGTCTGAGGAGTCTAGAGTCTACGATCACATGCGCCCACGAAGTCCCGATCGACGAGACGGTTGGAGGGAATCCTATGGTGGAAGAAGCTGGCGGCGCCGTTCGCCCTCGCCCCTGGCTCGTTCGGGTCCAAATTCTGGGCCGGGTTCCTCCTCTACGTCACGTCGCTCGTCCCCGCCGCCCCGCACTGACAGAGGTCGAGGATATGGCAGCTCCATATCACAAGCCCCTGCATATTCCAGCAGAGCCCATCCTTCCTCCACTTTGCCTCCTAGGTCACCACCACCATTTTCTAGCAAGCCCCTTTCTCGCCCTGGCGGTCCCGTGGAGACCAGGCCTAGTCGACCCCATTCACCGCCCAGGGGACCGAGAAGCGGTTTATCTAATACACCCTCTAACAGTCGAGCCTTGGAGCCCTCCCCAGGCGCTAGCGTAGAACGTGAAAGGGACGTTGGTTGGACCCCTAGGCCTGCGTCGCGTGAACCGTCCTCTCAGACACCCATAAACGATAATCAGATGGCCAAGACAATCCCTCCTCGAGCTCCAAGCAGCAATAGCGCGCAAGCTATTTCCCCTCCTCCTGGGCCTTCTGGCCCAAAGGGTGCTGAATTGTCCGTTCGTGGTGGTCATGCAGCCCTACTCTCGGCTCCAACTCGCCCGAAAGGCGCTGCAGGTCCACATTATAGCCGGGAAACCGTTCCGCGTGATTCACCCCGAGGAGGAAGCCTTCGTCGTCCAAACCACGGTCCTCCATATCACGGACCGCCGCCAGGAAGTCGCGGGGCTCGCTCTCCAAGTTCTGTGGGTTATGATTCACATCGACCGCCATTCCGGCATGGCAACAGCACATCTACAACGTATCCTCGAACGCAACGCTTCACAAATCACCTTTCAGGGCTACCCAGTGTCATTCCAGGTGGGAAGCTCTTTCCTTCTGGTCTCGATCCGGCGTATGAGAAGCGCATTGCACAACTCGAGGCGGACAAGGAGCGACTTTTAGAACAAATTGCAGAAAAACAAAAATCCAAACGTACGTCTTTGAGAGAGTGGGATAAGTTGAGTCGCGAAAGTGCTACAGGAGCATTGAGAAGCGAACTCGCAGAGGGTCATCTGCAACGGATGGCAGAGGGCGATGATATTGGTGGCGGCGCAGCATTCTAAGTAATTTTCCATCTCGGGATCCTATATGTGATTCAAACTACAAAGGAGTATGGTTCGATCGAATTTATAGCGTCTAATGTGAAATTGTCATGGGTTCTTGTATGGGTCTCTCACATTTACGTGAGCGTTCTGGGTTTTCTGTTTTCTCGCAATATTTCTTTTAATGCCAGCAATCAAATGTATGATACCGATGATGGGGATATTCTGATTCAATATGAGAAATCGGGGCCTTTGAGGAGATGATGAAATGCAATGATTCGCTGATAATATATGGGTGTATAACCTTTACACAGGCAGGCATCGTAAACCCTCCAATAACAGAATACTGGGCCGAACACATTTGATTGCGTCTGTCCGGGACAAGGTGTCAAATTCATCTCTCATATCGAAACCATGATATCCTCTTGATCCCTTGTCCCAGTTTTGCTGGCTCCCTTGCGAGCTTCTGCCGTCGTCGCGCATTCCGATGGCAGAGCATATACGCAGCGCAGAGTAAAGCCAACCCGATGAAGGCGGGTAGAATAAGGAAAATCGTAGTGCTGGTCCTGTTGGGATTACCAGAGGGCGATTGTGGATTTGGCGTGCTCAGGATCATAACTCGAGGAAGTTGGAAGTGGAGGAAGGTGTGCTGGATGTTGCCCAAACGGATGGAGATGGACGCTGAGGTTTTGTTGGTGGCGTGTGGTGTAGAACTTGCGGATATGGAGGGCGTCGTACCTGGGTGCAAAATGGATAAGGGAGCGTTGATAGCTGCTTGTCAGATATCACTCGTACCCGATTAGGATCGGTTTGATGGCAAATCCAAGAGCTCTGCTATATTGACTGAAACCTGGCCTTGACTCAATTTCTTGTTCAGCAGGAGTGGTAAGAATCAAGCACTAAAAAGGACGATGGGTTTTCTCCCTTTCTACATAATATTGTCGCAACCAAGAATGTTGGCGCAGCATTGTTTTGAACCTGGCTGAGTGTGTGCGTATGAATTCTCACACACAGAGTCACTCCGGCCTATGTGGCTATGTGAATATCACAGAGTAGAGTTGTAGGCATGGCTATGGGTATCAATTCATTCTTCATTATCTCAAGGACAAATTTTCTGCTCCTTCATATGACAAGGAATACAAACTGAAAGAACAGAAACCGGTTTCTTTAACCAGCGGTCCAGCGCCAAACACAGCACATAGAGGTCATTGTCTGTGGTGAAGGACTTAGGCAGGTACAATGCTGGAGCTAAACCAGTACATCTCCTCAACGTGAAGCGGATCCAGGAGTGAATGTATCCTTATCGTTGATGTGTTGACATGCTGGCTTGTGATCGTGATCGGCAGAGGCTGAATTCAGGGGGTCAAAGTGTGGCCAGTGAGGGTGTGGTGGCGCCACAGCATCTTACATAATGCATCATCGTTATCGATTGGGATTTGCGCAACTCATTGCAAACCAGCTTTTTTGAGGCTTCGTGTCAACATCGCCAGCTTCAACCCGCATGAGCAAGCAATATCCCCGCCTGCAAAGCCCAATTGCGCGAAGAGCAGCCTGTATCTGAGCTATAATTCCGTTCCATGGCGGATTTTGCGCCGATTCCAATTGCCTGTTCCTGAGTATCGCGAACCGCCAACATTTCTCCTGTCTGTCCACGTCCCAGCTCTGCAGCTCCAGATAGTAAACATTGCCGATCGATTCTAGAGCTGCTTTCGACATATCGCCGGCAAGATGAATATTTTCCGGGTATTAGGTGTGGCCGGACTATCGCTCAAAGCCCCTTTGAAATCTCAAGGCTAACAGGTCGTCTTTTGGTTGCCCGCAGCCGATTTATCCCATCTGATCTCGATTTTCATCTTATTGCATAAGATGAAATCTTCGAGCGTATGGATTCTCTCAATCCCGGGTTGCTGCGCTAGATTATCGAACTAACGGTCTCTTTACGGCCCATAGAGTTGTTCAGGCCTGTCGTTCAAGTCCCAAGCATTATACCTCCTTGTTTATATTACACGATATCTTGGTACGGATATCCACAGCTCCTGATACCCTTTCTCGAACTCAATAACTAACAGATTACACCTTTGAAACTATTAGATATTTTTTGGACTTTCACTCTTTCAGCTTACAATACTATTTTCAAAATCCTTTTTATTGCTTCCTCAGCGTATACGATTTATCTCATGATTAATGACTACAAACCAACTCAAGACCCCAATCTCGATACTTTCAAAGTCCAATATCTACTAGGTGCCAGCGCTGTTCTGGGCATCCTTTTTCCATATTCTTATACACCTTCCGAGGTATGCCATTTCCAGCCCCCTCTACACCCGCCATTTGGATGCTATCCAAACTCATACGTATTGCTTAGATCTTATGGGCGTTCTCTATCTGGCTTGAATCCGTCGCCATCTTACCCCAGCTGTTCATGCTCCAACGAACTGGTGAAGCCGAGACCATCACGACTCATTACCTCTTCGCTCTAGGCATGTACCGCGCGCTGTATATCCCCAACTGGATTTACCGGTATTTCATGGAAGGGCGCACGGACCCAATTGCCGTCATTGCAGGGATCCTTCAAACAATCCTCTACTCCGATTTCTTCTGGATTTACTATAGCAAGTCAGTTTTCCCTAATCCTTAAATGCAAGACATGCAAGGCTTTCTGACTTGGTTGAAAACACAGGGTCCTTAAAGGAAAGAAATTCTCGTTGCCCGTATAAATGGAATAAATGCCGGAACTGGGCTCAGGTCAAACATGCGGAACGGCGGTCGAGCAATGGTTTTATATGGGGCGTTCAAAACGACTACGGGAAATGAACTTACCTTGTGATGCAAAGCTCTGTTCGCTTTATCGCTTGACGAAGGTATAGATTTGTACGGATGGTCGGCTATTATCTTTTTAATTCACAGTGTAAACAATCACCACCTTGTTTTTGGTGTCATTTCTCCATAATTTTTTTGCTTTTCACTTTTGATTTTGCTTTTAGAAATGGACGCTGCACGATCCGCTTCGATCTTCGGAGATTCGTTTTCGCATCCCTCGGCGTTTACGTACGAGATTCGGATTTCCAAGATGAAACTCGATGTCTTGGTTTCTGCAAGATCGGGAAGACTTGAACATGGATTCCTGCGCCCCCGTCCCTTGCCTTCCGGAGTGCAAGGAACTGAGCCTGCAATGACGGTTTGAGGGAACCCTGACCATATCGGAAACCTTGGTTCGAGCAGCGGCTATCCTTCCAGGAGTAAGGATTGTGCGCGGGTGATCGGTCTCGTTTCGAATATCGAAGAACCCGAGCTGGGAGTGCAGGAGGACCTATTACTTGTCAGGCATAAACGACGAATCCAGACCGGTCTGGAAATCCGCGGGAAAATAGGCCAGAGTGGATGCTCAAGGAGGCGTAAGGACATACCATCCTGTCCGTCCACCCCCGGGCCAGCCAGGGAGCGCATTGTAGTAGTACTCAAACAGAGAGGGGATAAAGGGGATAAAAAGAAATCTATTTGTTATTTTTTTATTCGTCACCCGTAACTTCCAGCCGTATATATGTCTAGTATGAGGTTAATCCGCATATTTCGTAATATATCCAAGGAAAATTAAAAAAAAAAAAAGTTATCGGCATGTAAATTTTCTCTTTATAATTTTTTTTCCTTTTTTTTTTTCCCTTTTTCCCTTCAACCCCTCGAGAGCCGCCTGTTCGCGGCAAGGTTTTTTTTTTTTTTGGACAAATTCCCAATCCCAATTAACACAAGAACCCCATATCCGCAGGCGATAAAAGGAATTCCCATGCCCACATAGCAAAGATCTGTCCAGAAAAGAGAGCCATGTTCGCTGCCATTTTAAAAAATTAAAAAAAGAGGAAGAAGAAGAAGAGACGAAAACAGGAAAAGAAAGAAATATAAACCCGACCCTTGAGTGTTGATTAAAGGAAAGAGAAAAGAAATATGAGAAAAGAAGAAAATTGGAAACGCCCATTATTTCCATGAATCCGTAGCGATATACCCACTAGGCCCAGCTCCATTAAAAAAAAATCCCGCTGACTTTGCTTTTCCAAACTTCCATGATCAGAAAACGTTCTTGTTATTGTAAATTAAATCAAGGCGTAATTATTCGAGACACTATTTTGCACTGTCTGGGGCTTTTCTTGCAATTAGCAACAACCCGTCTGTCTGCCTGCCTGTAATGAAGAGATGCATGTGGGAGAAGATGGCCGCGACTCACTGATGCACAATGCCAGTTTAGTAATGTGGCCCTTGTAGACTGTGCGACTCGTCGTACGTCGAATCGTATTCCATGTGGTTTGAACCCATGCTCATTGACCCAGGTATCCCAGTACCGTTATGCATAGTCGTGGACAACGATCTGGGAAGTGTAGCCCAAGTCGGAGCAGACGCCACGGGGTAATGTCCGTGGTACTGGCCGCCATGCGCGTTGTTATGATGGGAGCTGGGCCAGTTTAATCCGGTGGTAGGTTGGGGGAGCTCAGCTCGTGAGTACGGTGCACTGGAGCGGCTTATTATCGACTCTCGTCGGGAATCTGGGGGTGAGAGAATGGGTGGTGGGGGCACAACGTCGAGTTTTGGGGAGCTTCGGCAGGAATTGGGAGGCGTTAGACGTGATCCTCCTCTGCGAACTTGACACGTCGGGCATATTTTAACGAATCGAGATATTAGCTCCTTAGGAACCCTGTTTCCTCGCCGAGTTAGTTTCAGTGTACCAGGTCGCCAAAAATGATATAGCCTTGAGCCAGCTACGCTATTCTCTCTTACCAGGAGTATATCCTCCGGACCTGCGCTGATGTCTTGTCTCGGCCACCATGTTGACATTGCTGGTGTGCTCGTGTCAAAATTTTGAACAGCTTCTCCCGAATGGCAACTGGTTTCCCTTCATGACAGATCATTCGCCTTAACTGAAATGTGGATTGAATCAGTCAAAGCCCTAAAGGAGTGGAAGAAAAGAAGACGCTACCTCAGGTGTTCGGGCATCGTTGGGCTCGAGTTTAAACATCTTCTTCACCCAGAATCTTTTAAAAAGGAAGATGGTAATATTAGCACAGCATTCTATACACGGAGAGCCCGGGGATTCTCTAGAAAATCGGGTAGACCCTGGCTCCAACTTGCCATGCAGACGGACACATACCTAAATTGTGCCGATTCGACGGCAGTGTCTTTGGGATCTAATAGCACAGTTCTAATATTTCGCGCTCTTCTCGAGTGAATCAAGGCCTTGTCCTGCTTTTTCACGGATAGATCGTCCACATAACTGTGCCATTCTCATCAGCCCATAGGGTCCGATTTCAAAACGTTTAGATTCTGAGAGGAAAGAAAAGGATTACCTTTTCATCAATTGATCAAACTCCCTAACGTCCGGAAACCCTTCAAGAGGCGGCAAGACAGGCTCTGATTGCATGGTGTGCTCATTGAATGACTCTTGGCTCTCAATCTCCACCTCTCGAAGAGAATCGTGGAAATAAAATCGGTTTGAAGGGGGGCATCCCGACCGAGCCACGTACTGCTGGGGATACTGATATGCGGGAGAAGAGAGAGAGCTTGGAGGCGACTGCGGGTACACAGACTGAGACGAGTTGTACGAGGAATTTAGCGACGAAGGATCAGCGGAATGATGATTGTAAGGCGGGAGAAGATGATGTGTGTACGACTGGAAGGATTGCTGCGAGAGGCCATATTGACCGCTTCTGCTGTACCCGTATTGCTGGCCCTCGTCGCTGTGGTATTGATGAGACATCGGACCTGCCTCGCGAATTGAGCTTCTGACAAGCGTTGGATTTGTGGATTTCAGCCTATAAATGTTCCGTCATTACCATGAGAGGCCTTGCAATAGGAGGGCCCACCGAGGCCAGAGGTCAAAACGGGTCCATACGGGGTCGCACACCGATTGAAGGAGAGATGACAAGAGAAAGGATAGAACCCAAAGGAAAATAGCATTGTCATTCAAGTCGCGCACAGGCAGAATTCATATAAAGTATTGGTTTTTGCCGCCATTTCTCTTGTTCCCTCCACTTGATTGCTGGGACAGCGCAGGGATGAAGGGGAAAAATTAGAAGGTGAAGACTAACGTTTTTAAAATTTTTATTTATTTCTTGCGTAAACCAGACACAAATTCGCGAGCAGCTCGACCAAAGCAGGCATAAAGCAATAGTAAAGCAATCAAGCAGAGCAAGGGTGGGAAGCGAGGATGGTGTGTTCGCACGTCTCTCGCGTGGAGGAGGGGGGAAGCGCAGGTTATAAGGACGGGCAAACCAAATTTGCCAGCACGGCGGGATTCGGAGAATAAAACAGGCAGATAGAGAGGGAGGGAAAGGGAGAAACGGGCACGGGCAATATGATACAGCGCTTTCGAATGGTTGTTTTACGGAGGGTTTCTCCTATTTTTGTTGCAGGGAGAAATCAGCCGAGCAAGCAAGCAAGCAGCAGTCTGCAGCGGGAGCTACGAAGAGCTGAGGAGCAGATCAGCACAAGCCTTGCTGGGTCAATGGCAGAGAGGGAGGATCGTCGGGAAAAACGGAGAAAGCAGAGGAAGTAAGATCGCGAAGGCGAAGTGCATAAAATAACGGGAAGGTCCCTGGCAAGGGTACCTCTCTGCTCTGATTTGCGTGGACAGCGGTCGTCGACCAGGGAAGCGCTGGTACGACAGGAATATATGCATGGGTGGACAGCAGCCAGTGAGGGGCCTTGACAGGTCAATCCGAAGGACAAGCAGGCAGGGCTGAGCGGATCCGCCGAGAAGCAGGGTGGCTGGAAGGTGAGGAAAGGGAGGAAAAAGGGAAAATGTGTCAAGCCAGGTGAGGACGGATGGGATTCGTCAATCCAGCTGCTGTGATCACTTACAATCCATGTGTCTGTGTTTCCTTACTCTGCCTTTTGCTCCCCTCCTGCCCCCTCTCCCCCAGACAAGAGGATTGAGAGGGAGCGAGTGAGCGTGTTGACGATGTGGTGCAGCCATACAGATGGGGGGATCGGGCATGAGACAAGAGATGGATGCTCGTCCGCAAGCTCAGGTTTTACTATACGCGAGCCCGGTGAAGATCCGTCCCCAGAAGTAGGGCTCCAGAGGAGATCTGGACACACTCCTGGCTGCGCACTGTGCTCCATTTTTCTCGGTGTGATTTTTTTTTTCTTTTTTTTTTCTTTTATAATTATTATTAATGTCTGCCAGAGAAAGAGGTGGGCTTGGTGTGCCCGGGGCCGACGAGGATGAGAGAGACCAGGGCAGCGCAGGTGGGTGTGGGATTGACGGAAGCCGAAGATGGGATGAAGGATCGATTCCGTTCGGATGAACAACCTAAACGGACTCGGACATCGTTCGAGGACGCATCACGGGATGCTGGGAGTGGGTTATACTTTGGCAGACAGCCACGTTGAGATCACAGGTTCCCTGATCCCCGCCGGATATCTTCAGGCTCTATTAATGCGCCGGGATGTCAAGAGTCCAATGGCGATCAAGGCTTGGTGGCGCCGGCACCAAACGATCGCTGTTGTCAGACTCGCAGTTTTTGAAGTCCTGCAGACGCCTGGATCCAGGCCCTAAGAGGCAGGCTTCTCCAACAGAGCTAATTCCTGGAAGCAAGCCGTTCGCGTTGCCGCCCTAGGACTCGTCGGATAAGAAACTCCGTCGACTCATCATCATCAGCATCGCTGCAACAGGCGCAAAACGAACCACACCGGAGGCTGTCGTCAACCTGAAACCCAAAAAAGGACAGGATCTCTTTGCTTGTGCCACATCAAAACTGCTCTCTGGTGCTCCAGGCGAGCCCCATTTGCCTGTCCACACTCCCCCTTCGCTTCCCGAATCGCCCTCTATTTCCACGGTTCCCCGGCTGCTCTGGCTGGCTGACGGCATGGGACGCGAATGCAGGCAAGGAGGAGGACCACCTCACTCAGCGCTGGCATGCAAGTTCATGTAAAGAGTTGCATGTTAGAGTTATGTGGGTGATGGGATGAGGAAGAGGATGGGCCTCTGCCGCTTCATGACACTTGCATTCCGCTGAATTCCACCCCCCCCCGGGGCGCGGGCGAAACAGTACGACGAGAGTGGCATTGCTTGTTCCTACAGTCCTCGCTCCTCAGCATCGGCTATGTATGTACATATGTACGGAGTATTTTTCGTCGTATGTATGCGAGGAAATATGTACGAGGCCATCCATGCGCCCAGGCAACATGAGTCGTCTGGCAAGAGAGCCTAGGTTTAACTAACTAACTACGGAGCAGAGGAAAACTTTCACAAATGAAGAGAGAGCCATTTATCATCCCTAACCATCAGCGACCTGAGGTCTGCTTCCATTTCTCCCAGCGACAAATAAAAGTAAGCATAATAAGAAATAAAAGTAAAATGTAAGAGGTAAACCGAAGAGTTAATGCAACAGGTCGAGTCGCATGTAAACGGATCCTCCGGCAATTGCAAGCCAACGCCTTTACTCCCCTCACCCCCTGCGATGGGCTGGTTCAAGCTGGCTGCTAAGAGATTGATCAGTACCCGATCCCCTTTGTGCTGCTCGTTTTGGGGCAATAAATTTCAGAGTACAGAGTAACTTGACTAATTTTCCGATACGAGTGTTTCCAGAATCCAGATCTTGACGTCAAACCCTGAGGCCGGCATGGATCTAAGAGGTGATGTTGCGGTCAGTTCCGCAGAACCCTCGAGGACCATCCCCGTCACGGGCCCCATATATATTGCGACTTATTGTCTTGGTGCAGGACGCTGTACAACCCTGCATTTCGCTGCGCCAACTGGTTAGTTACATACACAAACTCGCAAACCGCTTTTAGCATCGTCCTCCTCCTCCCGGCACGCCTCGAGTGGTTGCTCCGACGCTGAATCACCGTCATCCCAATTCGACCGCAAATCCTCCGATGAACAGCAACCTGAGACAAAAAGACTCTCTGCATCCCCTTTAGGGGAAAAGGGCCTAGAATCCCCAGGGCACCGTTTGGAGTCTCGTTGGGCAACAAACCAAGCGGTGCTTATCTGCCAAATCTGATTGATCAACATTGCCGGCGTCGAATCCTTCCAAATCATTGGAGCACAGACAGCAGACGAGAGTCTCGTTGTTTTTGAGTCCACACGCACATAAACTAGATTCATACACACATCCATCCTGCATGCATACATGCATGCGAATATGTATACATATGTAGAGCCGTCCCACACACTGTTCATTACGGAGCAGACAACATGACGGGAAACTTTGCATAGGCACAAAATGACAAGGTTCCCTTCCCGATATACCTGGCTATCTTCCGTCCTGCATGCATGAGAACGGGTACCTGTGAACGTCTATGGCCGGAGACGAGGGTACTTCGTCGCCAGCCGTTAAAGACGGAGCTTGACACGGCATTCCTAAGTTCCGATAAGTACTTGTAGGTACTGTACGTCCTGCTCGCCTGAGCACAGACACACATTCACACACACTACGCTGTGATGTGGGCACCGGTGCTTCGTCGTCCTGCGATGTTGTCATCGCCTTGCGCGATTGACATGGCTCCCGTTGATTGCTTTCTCACCCCATCGCTGCTATCCTGTTTTGTCTCACCGGATAAAATCGATTCTCAGCGTTCAGACCTCTAACGCGCAGCCATGTGCGAGACATTTACTAAAACCAAAAAAGGTCACTTTTCCTTGGTGGTCTCTTACGTACACACAGCCCACCATGTAACTACTCCATAACAAGACTTTACAACAAAAATTAGAATGGGAAAAAAAGAAGTCGAGGCTCGCGGAGGGAATATGGAACTGGGACCGATGCCACGCCTATGTGCCGTGTGCAGAGTCTCCGCAATGATCACAGCTACAAGAACGCCTCCTCGCTCTCGGTTGGTCGTCTTCTCGTTAGGCTAGAGGAGCTGCATGTCATCAGGACCTTGTGCATGCCCTCCGTGAAGACCAAGACCTGGCATTCGCTAAATAAACCAGAACGGCTCCAAGCAAGCGAGCCTTCGTACGAAAAGGTGAGCAAAGAAAACGAAACCATCATAGTTCTCCGTAAAAGAAAGAAAAAAAAAAGAAAAAGGAAAAGGAAAAAGCATAAAAAGCAAGGCCGAGGAGAAGCAACGCGAAAAAGAAAAGCTGCATGTAGCTCTCCATGGTCCGGACACGGAGGATAAACATCGAGACTAACTAGCGATGACGATCGAGGCCAACACCCGTTGACCTTAACCTAAATCATCGCAGCGTTCATCGCCATCCAGTTAGCGGCTGGACTGGGGGACGGGACCACGGAACAAACTTGCCTGCAGTAGCGTCACTCCGTCTCTGTGGTTCCTGGCATGGTGAGCGAGCCCAAACGAACCCATTGGACGCCGAAGACGATACACCCTGATCGTTTTTCTCCATTGGCGCCTGGCCTAATTCCTGATTGAGCCTGAGAGCGGCAGATCATTTCATCCTTCCCCCCCCTCTCCTCTCTTCTCCTCCAGCTCCAGCTGAAAGAGGGGGGGGGGGGGGGGGGGGGGAAGGAGAGACGAGGAGGCCCTCAGCTTGTCTGGTTATCACCTTTTTTACAGGCAAATGGACCTGTTTTTTCTATTTTACTTTCCAGGGGAGAGGCCGAAAATCAAGATTTGCGGAGTTAGCAGCGGACCTTCGATGGGATTTTCCCTCCCACCCTTTTCGAAGCCAAGCGACCAATCCCTTTCGGTGCATTAGTATGCATAATTTGTAGCGAGGACGTGCTGCCAACTGTTGCGGAAACTTGCGAAGGGGACGCAGTCCACCCAACACGGGCGTCGGTATTTCCTGTTAGCACAACCTTCGCCGGCCTCATTGGCTGTGTGCTCGCTGGCCAAGTCTCAAAACACACATGGGTCATGCAAGCCTTTTGCCTTCTAGATCAATATGAAGGGTCGTCCTGGTGTTCTTCGTTGCCCATACTCCGGACTGAAAGGACAGCAAAGCATGTTTCATATTCCCGGACCACACAGCGCCGGACAGATCTCGCCACCGGTGCGCGCGTTTTCTCCACACTTTGACATTGTCTTTTTAAAGTGACCTCCTCGGGTTCTGGAGGATGTGAAGCTGCTCCATATTCTTTCGAAAATATTGAACCCCATACTCCGTACTTGGGAAGCAATACGGGGTAGTAGCAGGGTCAGACGTCGGACTTTGGCGAACCAGCGGAAAGCGTCCTGGGGCAGCGTTCCGGGTTGGAATGTGTTCACGCCCCGTTCGCAGAGCTGACTCACCAACGTCCTGAGAAGCCGTTGCATCTCTGATCAATTCAGCCAGGCGGGCTGTCTCCATTCAGCTCGCCATGGGGTTTGAGAGGTTCCTCATTCTGCATCAGGAATGATTTAATCTGGCGGTCAAACCTTTCTTGTACATACAAGACTGTTCGGCAGAAGCCCTGCTTTCTTTTTTTCTTTTGGCTGTAACGACTTTCATTGGAACTGTATTACATTGCATTGCACAACATTTGACGACGGTCCCTCGTCTTCAGCATGCCATTCCTCAGGGTCAAAAAGAATATGTTCACCTGGTGGGCTGGAGGGTGTGCATCTTGTACGCCGTCAACAGGCCCTGCTGACTAGTTCTCCTCGTTATGCAGCTATCTTAACTTCCGACACGAACCATCGACGAGGGATTTTCTTTAAGCTTTTGCTTTTAATCGAAGAATTTTTATTTATTCTTTTTATTTTATTCCTCCCCCCATGTCTATTTTCCTCGGGGATATTCGTTTTCTAGGACCCGGGGGAGGGTGTCCGACACAAGGCCAAAAAAAAAAAAGAAAAAAAGAGAAAGCCAAACTCTCTGACATGAAGGAATCCCGATCAATCAGACATGCTGTCGTCGTCATCACATCCTCGGCCCCAAACGGCTGTTGGAAGAGAAATAGAGGCGAATCCGGCAAAGAAACGCGTGGTCTGCTCGAGTTCTGCTCCCTCTATCCCGTTAAAAAGGAATTTTTAGCAATTTGTTCAGCCCTGTGACCCATCCAAATTAATATAAAAAACTGGGTAATCTAGCATCAAGGCTGGGTGATCGGCTTGGATATTCGTTTCGTCTTTCCAATACCCGACAAGTGCTATATTTTTGCCTCCAAAGCTAACGGTGCATAAATATTTTGGGGTCTGAAGGATTGACACTGCTTATCCCGCCCTCCCTCTGCTGCAACCGTCCGCAGGCTGGGGATGATGAGCCATCCGATTTCTCCGGAGTATCCGGTAAAATTATTAGAAGAACCGTATTCGCACCCCTCTTCGGCATAATATACGTACTGACAACTGCATCTGCCTTTCCGCTCATAATCCGCTGGATCCATAGCTGTGCAGGCTGGTCCCTCACACCCGAGTTTTCGAAAATTCTTGAAGGGAACTGGCCAATTCCGAAACGATCAGCCTGTGCAAATTGGTTCGCTGTCTTGAGTCAGTGTGGGATGCACTTGTGCGACCGTTCAAAGACCGCTAATTGGCCTCTGACTCTTGTGATAGCTGAATGCCATGGTAGAATTGTTTTTCTAAACCAAGATATTGTGAGGCGTGTCGGACGACCACACTCCATCTTTTCTCTTGAAGCGAAAGTACGGGCGATGAGAAGCTGACGAATAAGGATGGGAGATTCTCTTTTATTGGAAGATCTATTTGATCGTGACATAATTCGAGTCAGGCAACCAACGGCGGCGCTATAGGCCAGATTGCCTAGCAGATCCCTTCAGTTCTGCGAGTCATGCGCAAAGTAGATTCGAAACAACTGACTTTGGATACCATATAAACTTGTAGATACATCGTTAGATTGACAAAAGAGGCTTTATTTACATCCCATCCGCCTTGGCCCATGTATGTAGATCTCCCGCCTCACCAGTCGAGATACAAAGACCTTGTACCAAAAAAGTACCGCTACTCCACACGCCTCCGCGAAGAGCTAACTTGGCTGCCCCAGTCATAAGAATGCTTAAGAGACATCAATTAAGGCTGACTAGCAGCTAGCTAGTGCTGTTCGGTTTTCCAAGCCAGCACTAATTCACTAGCTGCCGGGGAAGTCTTTCAGAAGGATGAAAGTGCTAGATGCCTACCGGCCATGTCCTTACCTTCAAACTTCGACTCCGCTCAAGGGCCCATTTTCATTTCTTCGCCGTCGCGCTCTGGATCTGTACACAAGCATCCAACTGGTTCAACAGCGCCAAAAACAGCCGAATTAATTTCCTCTGGTGGTCTGGTATGAGGGTATTATACCACACTGATTGGCGGATCTCCATCTTTTGGTTGGTGGTGTCCCCTTGCTGCATCCGTTCAAGAGAGGCAACAGAGATATTTGCGCTAGCAAGCTGCACTGACGTTCCAGACATTCTGATCACATATGCTGTATGGTTAATGAAGTCAGGATTACGCTGAAAGGCGAGCACCGCCTGGACCAGCAACAAAGGGAGTTCTGAGGGAAGTACATCGTGACACTTCTCTTCCTGTGGGGTCTATCATTGCAAATCCCAAGCCTTAGCTGATGATACCCTCAAAAAAGGAAGAGAGAGACATGTAGGAATAAGAAGAGATGCTTCATGGACTGGGACTTACGGAGATCAAAACCACTGGATCCTTTGCTGTTCCACTCCGTGCTACCTTCCTGAAAATACCTCCATCAGCCTGTATTTGGCTGATGACTTTGTTGAATTCGAACTGCAGTATCAATGGGTGACAAACACTTTTTTTGTCACTCTATCAGTGCCTGCAGCATTCCCAGATGGGTGGATTTGGGCATATTGTTTCACTTACCACAAAGCTTTGATCTCTTTCTGACGAATGAGGGACCGCATCAGTATATTCAGAGACAGCCGGTTGCAAGCCTGCTGGGCTTCAGCCCTGGAGCCCAACAGCTTGGGATCGATTTTCCTGAGGAAAGCCATGCAGGAACGTCGAAGCTGGACGTGGCCTGGGTCGGATAAGATGTATTGCTCAACCACTACCGAGACTTGTCAGGTGCAATTTAAGTTGCCGCGAAGGGACTGCCCCTTACCTTCATCTCCATGTTCCGGGAACCACAACCTGTTCATCATCGCTTCGGCGGGAAGCCCGTCCGTCCAGGTGACATTCAGCAGCCTGGCCTGGTGCTGAGTCCACTTCCCCTGCCGCATGAACATGAGTTCGTTCACTCGTCTGCAAAAGGCTGCTTTGCTCTCCACGTTGTATTCGAACAAGAAGTCTGATAGTTATTTCAAGCCGTGTGTATGAAGATATCTTCCGCTGGTAAGGATGCAGCGATGTTGGTTGGAATGTTAGGAAAGGGTTCCTTCGCCCTTTTATATACGGTAGCTAGATATCTCATTCTTGTGTCATCGTAGAGTCAGTCATTCCCGAATCAGTCATTGTTGACATAGTCAACAATGGGATGTCCTGCAGAAGCGATAAAGATCGGTTCCGCAGCGGCATCGAAACGTGGTTTCTACAGGGTTTGCCACAGGCGACCGCTGGTTTCATGATGGACCATGGATACGCTTCGGTGATGGAGCCATGATCAGGGTCCATCTCATATTTATGTCACGTTGATGCTTCTAGAAGCACCATTTATGGATATCTGTTTGATAAGAGTGAGATCGTAGTCGTAGACATATATGCACATCTACAGAGTACGTCAGGCTTGCATCTTCATCGTCACCACCGCCCAATCCCTGCCAAGCTCCTTGATCAGGCGAGCCGTTTAAGCTTCGAGCTCCAAACTTCCGCAGCACAGCACCAACGCTCAAGGAGATCAGCGAGTTCCCGCATTAGGTTTAAAAATTTGAGCACGGGATGCCCCTGGCATCGATAGCTTAATTGGAATGGGGTTAAGGAAAAAAGAGACAAAAAAAGAAAAGAAATTGAGGAGGCAGGAGATTCAAAAGTCGGTGTGAACACCGCCAAAATCCGAGCGCTAACACGGGAGGGACATGCACTTCACCGTGGACGGAGCCAATAGTCATTTCTCCGATGCCATAATTCGATCACCCTTTAAACCTAACGGCCGCTTGGAGATCGATCGGGGTCCATTTTGAAGTTTAGCTTTGAGATAGACGGAAACCCCCATGGCTACTAGCTCACATGTTATGCAACTCTGCAGGGAAGGGCTCGGAAAGGTTCTTCACTCTGTTGATGAACAGATGGGCAAGAGACTTGAGGTCCGGGCTAATCAATATTTAATATCTCATTTCATTATCACCCCAGCTAAGATGGCGAGCTTCACAGAGGAGCTTGTAATACTCCGTGGCCAATGAGGACAAGAATCAGTAGGCCTTCCACATTCTCAGCTAGTTGTTCCTTGCTGTGCGCACTGATTATCACCGAACGAAGGCTCCTCTGACCCTGGCTGCTGACCATCTATATATCGCGGGGAAGAAGCACCCTACTTCCGGTGGGCGTGGCAGCTTCGCCATTTCCATATGCAAGTTCTGCGCTTTCTCATGATTGATTTGGTTGATGTTCACAGGTGAACGGTTCACATTGAAGAACGAGAAATCCATTCTTCTCGGGTAGGGCATGCGTTCGAGTATAGATGGATTGATGGTCCAGGGGCGATGAAGCGAGGAGAGGCCCAAGAATGGTTTCTTTGGATTGTCAGCCATAGTGGACGCATAATATACTGAGAGAACACCCATCCATTTGATAGTACATAGGTAGATAGAGCAAAACTAACCATCATCGAAAAACGAGAAGAGGAAGTAATCTCCGCTTGCAGCTTGATACTCGTGAAACGATGAATACAAAAGCTTAAACAGAAAGGCCCCAGATGCAACGACAAGATAAAATAGGAGTAGCCAAAGGAAGCGCAATGATACATCTAGAATACACGGGGTGAAATGTCATATAAGTCAATAATAGTAATGATGTCTCCTCACTGTATGCTAGTCATCAAGTCGTTAACCAAGGTCCCGATTCCAACATGGAACATGGATTGCTGTTCTGCAACCCAGAAACGGACCTTTCTGATGGGAAAGGGAAAAAAACAGTCATCATAGTTTCGTCAAAGCATTGGGACGGGGAATTATGCTTTTCAGAAACGTCTGTCGTAAACGGTATAGGGGGTTTCTGGTACATCCCTATTATTAAGGAATTATCGAGTAATTATGAAATATCATCGCGGCGCAAACGATTCAACGAAACTGAGCCGGAAACGCCAGCACGCAGCCATCTCGTAGAATATCAAGCTTTATTTTTCCTTTGTTCGGTATCCTTGTTTAATTTCTTTGAGTCCAAGGGAGTCGCTCAGCGTTTGTACGAAAGTGGAACATCGATGGGAGCGTCCGTCTTCACCAAATCGCGAATTGCCCACCTCCACGAATCTCCAAGTTTATTGCGATCTCCGCTGGCCCATTTACTGACTTTCCTCCTCCATTTCTCTTCTTCGGCACGTTGTCTCTTGATAAACTCTGGGCCAACATCAAATTCCTCTGTTATCGGCCAGTCATCAGAGGAATCACCACTTTTGTCATCACCAGTCAACGGGTCGTTTGCTTCAATATCACAAACTGCTGATGCTATTCGGGAAGTTGTATTCGATTTTTGCGGTCGATCATCAAGATCTTCAAGCCCGGCAAACACATCATCTTCCTCTGGAGGAATGGTGGCACCAGTTTTCCCAGGAGAAGCTAGTTTGAGCCAGCACATACGCTGGGGATCGAAGACCATGGAACCTACAACTTGAGCACCACTTATTCCACCGATATTGCTGATAAGAGCAAGGGTGGACTTTGGAGGGGTTCCCAAAGCTGGTGGATCAAATGCAGCCGTAGCGGTTTCATTCCCTTCCCATCTATATAATGTGGGGTTGTATTTCATTCCTTTGACGGCTAATCGATAATATGTTAGTACCAAAGATGTATAGACGTTCTGTCAGCGATAACTTACACTTTGGCTCATGCACTCCACTACCCATGGGCTTAATCAGGTGGGGCCTGCTAATAGAATTGCGATGTTTATGTCCTGGTCTGCTTTTAACCATTGTCGGACTTGAAGGTGGTCGGCTAAACGGCGGCGACCTCCAATTCACACTAATTGGAGTCAAAGGACCGTTTTCGCGTTCCCTTTGATTATGAGTCATGGAAGCAATTCTCTGCTCTCGAGCATTTCTGGATGCATTAGTGTCACGAGCAAATCTTGGAGTATGATCATGGTGCGGTGGGCTCGTTGGTAGAGAGGAACCCGTTGTCTCCGTTTTGCAAGGCAAAGGGATTCCAGACTGACTAAGTCTGTTACGCAAGGCACGTGGAGGGCCTTTTTTGATAGGAACTTTCACATATTTACTTTCAGCGGTTGCTGAGGTTGGGAGATCGTCGAAAATATCGAGTTCCGTGCCATCTCCAAAATGCCTCTTCCTATTTGGCTTGGTAACGGCATGCTTTGCACCAGCTGTAAACGAGCCAGTAGGAAGATCAGTGCTTCCACGTCGCGTAGTATCTGATAACGCAGAAGAACTTGAGACGCGGGAGTTGGATCTATGGTGGGTGAACATATCTCCAGAACTATCTGAATCTGCGCGGCGAAAGTGCCTACTTGTTTTAAGGCTAACATGGTGCGATTGGTTGGGAGAAGCTCCTGCAGGAATAAAAGGAACATGATGTCGCCGTTGAGGCCCAAGACGAGTTTCAGCGGTAGACTGATTGACGGGAGTTTTTGGACGAGGAGACACTGTAGCTCGAGTCTTCAAATTGCTTTCTTGTCGTCCAGGGGACCTTTGCAGCGTTGATGCCATGCCGGCATTGTAATTTCTTAGTCCTGGAATGGATCGTTTGGTTTTCAGTAGTTGAGAATTCGTACTAGTTGATTGTATTGTATCTTTTGAACTTCTACTACTAGAAGGTCGACGACTAGGAGGGTTGGATGACGCAGAACCAGCGCTTGATATCGAAATATTGGATAAAGATGAGTGTGTGGCGTGTCCGCTCAGTCGAGAAGCAGGTCGAACAAATTTAGACACCGGCGCTCCACTTTCTGAGACAGGTTCAAGTTGGGTGGAATGTGGCCTGTCAGACAGCCTGGGGATCCGAGTGCCGGGCGTTCGGCTTGTGAAAGTTATGGTTGTTGCTCCGCGTCTAGCAGGGCTTGCTGGTCTCTCCACCTTGCGCTTAATATTCCGATTAAGGGTCAACTTTTCCGTGTCAAACAGCTCCCCGTCGCCAAGTTCGATCCCAGAGAAGAAATCGTCCGCTGCGGGATCAGGTTGCTTTGAAGCTTCAGGTTCGGGGGGGAAGTCCAAGTCGACAGGTAGTGCAGACTCTTGCCTTTTCTGCAGCGATTTTCCCAGGTCCAAGGGCCCGTCAGGCAAGACAAAATCGTTGAATCCTTCGTCATCGCTCTCTGCAGTCAAGCAGCTTGAAACACTGGGGCTCAGGGCAGACACAGTTGAGCTACGGGTGGAAAACCCTTCTCTTTTTGTTCCACCGAATCGTACTCCAATACTCCCTTCAGCCCACTCGGCATCGAATTCGTCCCCAAACGCATCCGGTGCCTTGGAGGTTTCTCGTCTGGTGGATAGGCGTAAAGGCTCACCATCCGAGGGCAGCACCAAATCGGCTTCCATATTGTCGTCTTGAGTACCAGGTTCTGTCGCAGTTGAAGTAGCGAATGGATTCGAAATTGGCGGAGGGCGAGATTTTCCTAGTTTAATAGTTGGAACATCATCGAAGGAGGCATCCTCTTCAGTGTCTTTAAATTTATCTAAATCGTTGAATAGCTGTTGTTTCGGTGCGGGTGGATGGTTTATGATATCAGTGAAGTACTCCAATTCTCGAGATTTCGATGGGCTTGTTGGGAGAGAGCTGAGATGTAGCAACGACTCTGGGGAAGTCGCCTCATGTTTGAACCTTAGCTGGATTTCTCCGCTCAACCCTGCCAGATCTAGATCCTCAGACCAGTCATCCCCTAAGGCCTTTTTACCCTTTCGACCACCAAGTCTTTTGATAGTGCCTCCTAGGAGCGCTGACCTGGGTATCCCATTGGGGATCGGGATCCCGGCATTCTTCGCAGATGCAATAGCATCGTCGGTACCAAATTCATCCTGGTCGTTTAACAGTAACTGCCAGCTTTCCTCGTCGCCGTAGTTAGATTCGCGGTCTGATCTGCAGGAGCGACGTGACGAAATGGAATCTCGATGGCCGGAGGGTCGAACAGAGCACCCAGTCACCGATGTCGCCGAGGAAACAGTCCGAAAATAAATCTCGTCGCCACACTGAAGGTCTTCGTCGTCGTCCCAGCACTCGATCGCTTCGTCTTCGGGCCTTCGCAGCCGTAACGGAGAGATGTCCATTCTATAGGTTTGTCACGGCGACCACGAGTTCAAATCGCCCGAGACCGTCTCCCCCGAATGGACAAATCCAGATTTGTATATCAACGTATGCTATTTAGGTCTGGGCCGAAGCAGGTAGAGGGGGGCTGGGGAGTCATTCCTTGCGATGCGACGGGCCAATTTCGAGGATCCGCTTGGAGGAAATTTGGGCGAAACTTGGAAATGAAAGTAGAATCCTGGGCAACTGAGCACTGGCCTTTAGCGTCGCAACGTCCAGATTGCAAGTATCGGAAGTATTACGGGCAATTCCGCTTCACACAAAGGCCGGCCAAAAGGTGTTTCAGTTGGACACAAAGCTGATATTACGAGTAATTCTGAGAAGATCGATATTTGCTAGGGTCTGTCGGGGGCTGCATATGGTAGATTAAGCATCAAATTTGCAAGCGTCACAGACTCACAGGGAAAACAAGGCTGCTTGCAACGAAAGGCGCGCAGCTGAAAACGAGACGACAAAGTTGAGATATATTGAACTATAACCGGCTGAAAGATAATAACGATGACCACGGCCTGCGAAGTGGCATCCCTTGCGAGGTGGAAAGGGGACGGAGTTGGGAGGTTGTGTTGAGTGGATCGCCCGCCGTGCTTGGGCTTCCAAGGGCGTCTCCTGGGGGGCGGCCGGGCACCTACCCATAGGAGGTTGGGACGGTCGCTTGCTCCATCCACCACTTATTACTGTAATTTACAGGCTGCCACGGTACGAACCCCAACGCGCTTCGGCGGCTAGTCGCTAAGCGATGGGTTGGCGCGTGCTGTAAGTTTTGTGCTGATGTCATGTAACTGCTGTACGTTACATTACAACAGGTCCTCTTCATAGGCAGCAGGACGGAGACCAGCTCGGTGCAGGCAGCAGATGGTTGGCGGCCACTGCGGCTCTTCTCTGCATGATATTTCCAGTCGGACCAGGAACCTCCTTGGGCTCGAGGTGAATTTGTGTACCATCTGTTGACTGGCAGTTAACCCACGGAGCAGAGAAGTTACTCTCTGCATGCGGCTTCACCATGGCACCGGAGAGGATTTTGCGCATTCCACGCAGCGACAGCCCGGAAGATTTCGTTCTGGTCAAGGTTTCGAGGTCTGGTAAGAATGAGCTTGATCTCAGTCTGGTCGCTACTGAAGGAGAGGATCCTTACGCCGGCTCTGGTAAGCCCAATACATCCGCTTACGGATTGGTTTCCAATCTGTCGTCCCAGTGATGCAAATCGGTTGACGCTGTGATGGTTTAGTGAAAACGTCCCAAATAAGCAAGCTACGTGCCAAAAACTATCGTGGCAGCGACGAGGAATGGTCTGGAATCCTGTCTTACGTATTCAACCAAGATGAAGGCGCCCTCAAATCGGACGACTGGGCGGCTGGACTGGAGACAATTGCGACGGTTAGGTCAATGGGAGACGAGGACGAGGAAGACGGCAACAAAGAGGTCGTTATAACACTCCGGAAACGGATTGATGCCATTACGGTATGTCCCCCGTTCTGCATGGGCACCTTACCCCATCTCAATGGTCCACGTCATCAGCCGCGCTGACGATAGGTTCATGCTCTAGCAACGCTTGGGCTCAATCACGCTTAAACAAGACGACGACCAGGCGATTCAATTGTTTGACTGGAGTGGCATCGCTGTCGCCCGGGCAAACAGCCTGTCTCAAGAAATAGTCTCCCTAAACGCCAAGTATCGCGACGCAGAAAACACCATCAATCAGCTCAATTCCCAATTGGAGGAGTTAATTCAGGCGAAAAAGGAACACGACGACCAGCTAGTTGCTAAATTTGCCCAACTGCTAAACGAGAAAAAACTGAAAATCCGTAACCAACAGCGACTTCTGGCCGCTGCAAAGATCGATCCCACGAAAGGTGAGTATCTAATTAATGTCTCCCCCCTCTCCTCCTAAAATCCAATCCCCGTCAAAAATCAATACCTGCCTGACCGCATGATAGCTGCCGAGTTAGAGGCTGCAGAAGCCGAAAAGAAACCCAGAAAAGCCGACGTGAGTAGAAAATCAAAACGGAAAGCTCAAGCGCCCCCAAGCGACTCTGAAAGCGAAGATGCTTTTGACACAATGGATGTGGACACAAAGGACAACGACGCTGCAAACAACCAAGAGGAAAAAGCACAGGAAGACGAAACCGCAACGGAATCTGACCGCCCATCAACCCCTGACCCGTTAGAGGATGAAGAAACGGCGCCCGAAGACGAACAACCTGAGGTACCGGCCCCTGTGCCATCGAAAAGTAAGGAGCGCACTGCACCGAATGATAATAAAGGAGGAAAATCCAGTGCTCCTTGGACTCAAGAACCTGCTTCCAGCCCTCCTCCTCGTCGTGAGCTACCTTTTACAAGGAGAGGAAGGAATGCTAAACCAGCACCAGTCGTTGCTGAACGCAAGCGGGATGAAGTCGAGACCGAAAGCGATGATGAATTATAAGGGAATTAAAGCCACCTGTTATCTATGCCACATTTTCTGATACCTGTATCAATTTGGATTAATTTTGCGCACATTCCAAAGCTGAGGATTGAACAGTTCACAAGGCTACCTATGTAGCTTCTCTATCTGTACGAGAGGATAAATTCTCCACCCGCAATGAATCAATTACATCAGTCAAGAAACCCGCTCCCTTTCGCATAATTTTTGAGATTCTCTTATATACAGATAGAGACATACAAAACGAGCGGAGCCGCAGGTACATGGGATGTAATTCAGCTCTACGAAAGTTGGGGGAAAAAAAAAAAAATAATGAAAAGCGATATAGGGCAAAAACATAGGAGACAGAAAAACGCCGTAGCCACGAAAGGACATAATAGAGCTGGTGTCACATGAAGATAGAATCAATGCTGATGAGAATGGTAGAAAAGAGTATGGTTTGATCTATTTATTGAGCCGCGAAATACTGGGGCGCGGGTTCGCCGGGGGCCATGAAGTTAGTATCTGGATTGCCGGTTTCCTTGGCGGCTGAACATCTTGCCATAGTTGTCGAGCTTGAATCTCTGTCAGTTGTTTCGTTGTAGAATAATTGGATTTATGGGGATGTGAACATACCTTCTGGAAATGACATCTGTGAAATAGAAGTTTTCAATGGGTCTCTTAAGTGGCTCGCCAGATGGCTTAGATCCTCTGTTCTGATCGACCAGTTGAACCTTGCTCAGTTGACTTAGAGACACGGGCTCGACAACGTCGTATCTTCTCAGGGCGGGGTTGATCTCTTCCATCCTGTCTCTCAGCATCTCGATATCATCGTATGGTAGCGGCGCGCCGAGGAATTCGCTAACAGCTCTGATGATCTTCCAGTCTTCTCTAGCAGCTCCGGGAAGCGATGTAGCGGCGCGGGTAACTTGAACTCTACCCTCCGTGTTAACATAGGTGCCAGACTTTTCGGTGTATGCTGCTCCTGGCAGGACAACATCTGCGAGTTCAGCGCCACGGTCACCATGGTGACCCTGGTACACCACGAAAGCGCCTTTGGGAATATCGGCTTCGTTGATTTCATCAGCACCAAGGAGCCAGACCATCTTGGGGCTAGTCTGAGCAACATCTGGAGATGGGGTTGTGAATCCAACGTCGTAAGCTCCGGAGCGAGACGCCGCGCGTTGAAGAATGTTGTATCCTTGCCATTCTGCAGTGTTGAAGTTGGCAGCGTTCCTATCAACGAAAGAACCGATCGTTTCGAAAATGTTCTTGGCATCGGGGTGCTCAGCAACTGCGCTTCCGACAATGATCATCGGCTTCTTGGCAGCTGCCAGCTTCTTTCCAAATTCTCCAGAAAGAGCGGTCTTCAGCGCGGCCGCATTGTCGCCGAGATGCTCGAACTCAAAAGTGCTATCGAAGGACTCGCCGACCAGGCCGATCTCCAGATCAGAACGAAGCCATTGCTTACGAATGCGTGCATTGAGGACAGCAGCCTCATGGCGAGGGTTTGTCCCAACAAGAAGGATAGCATCAGTGTCTTCAATGCCATAAATCTTGGAGTTGAAAAGGTAGTTTGATCTGAGATCGACACCGTGTGCGATAGGTTGGCTGCCACCGGGTTGATCAAGTGCAAGGTTCTCGGAGCCGAGTTTGTTTGCTAGGTCCTTCATAGCGACCATGGATTCAGTCTCAATGAGGTGACCAGCAACGACCTTAAATTCGTTAGCCTTTGGAGCCAAGCTTCTGTAAGCAGCTCCGATTTCAGTCAATGCTTGCTCCCACGTTGCTGGTAAGAATTTGTTTTCCCTTCTAATCAAAGGTGTGGTGAGTCTCTGAGTCTTAAGGCCATCGCAGGCGAATCTGGTCTTGTCGTTGATCCACTCCTCGTTCACATCATCGTTGAGTCTCGGAAGGACGCGCATAACTTCCACACCTCGGGAATCAACCCTAATATTTGAGCCTAATCCATCCAAGACGTCGATGGTCTCAGTATGTTTAAGTTCCCATGGTCGTGCTCGGAAAGCATATGGTTTGGAGGTGAGGGCTCCGACGGGGCAAAGGTCGATAACGTTTGCGGATAATTCAGAATCGAGGTTCTTCTCAAGATAGGTGCCGATCTGCATATCATTTCCTCGCCCGGACGTTCCAAGCTCCGGAGCTCCAGCAATGTCGTTTGCAAAGCGGACACATCGAGTACAATGAATACATCTGTTCATGGATGTTTTGATCAAAGGGCCGATGTTTTTGTCTTCCACGGCACGCTTCCCTCCAACTTCATGGAATCGACCTCTGTCGGCACCGTATCTCATCGACTGGTCTTGCAAATCACATTCACCTCCCTGGTCGCAGATGGGGCAATCAAGCGGATGATTCGCAAGTAAGAATTCCATAACACCTTCTCTAGCCTTGTGCGTAAGGGGTGAATTTGTCTTCACTACCATTCCAGCCTGAACGGGCCATGCGCAGGAGGCCACGGGTTTTGGGGCTCGCTCCACTTCAACTAAACACATACGACCTATAGGAACATTGGCGGTTAATGACAGTGCGATTTCGAAAGCCCCCGAAATAAAATGCCAGCCTTACAGTTTCCTGCAATGTGTAATTTCCTAACCATCCGTTCAGCACATATATCGTGCAAATCAACCGAGAGCGGGTCAACATGTACTTACTCATGGTAGCAATATCTGCAAGTATAATTAGCGCCAATTGACCCAATGTCCGATGCTGCAGGTATACATACCGTGGAATTGTTACTCCAGCCTTCTCGCAAGCTTGAATTAGAGCCGATCCAGCTTTATTATAGCATCAGTATAAAGTCGCGATTCAGCTTCCCACTCGGGGTTCCAAACTACCTTCTATCGAGACCTTTTTTCCATCTAAAGCCCAATAAACCGTCAGCATAACCGTTCAGGATAAATTTCCAAGCAAGCTACCGACCAATTGTGAGCTCAACCTCCGCTGGACGAGGGGCAGTCGTTGCGAATGTGCGGGAGCAATTGAGTCTGGACCATCTCCTCGAGCGGGCCGCCGCACGGAACAATTGCGGCCGCATCCTGAAGAGATGAAAAGGTATCACAAGGGGAAAACTATGAAAGGGAAGAGAAGGGAGATAGCGAGGAGAAGGGAATGATGGCGAGGGACGGGGGATTGCGGGTAACGAGAACGACGTCGTTTCGTCGTTTTGTGTTATTCTCGATCGGTTTCCTTTGGAACTTCTGCCAATTGCTTAGTTAACAAATCAGCAGCCTCGGATTGGCTCGGCGCACGGGCAGCCGGAAAAGCTGGTTCTTCCGCGCCGCCAAGCGTTTTTGATGGAGGACTTGTATGCTTGTCATTCACTAAGCTACCTAAAGGGGAATCTCGGCTAATCTATGTGGGTCACGTGAGCGAGGTGCTAGTTGGATTACCTAACACCCCCCCATGCAACGAGCTCCAGCAGCGAGCGAGAGCCACAAAGATCCAAAGCTTCCAAATCTCTCAAATCCGCGATAAAAATTAATTACAGAATCCAGATTTATTCCTTCTTTAGGCTTAGCTCCGTTCGCCGCGATACCGTATTTTCGCTGGCTTCACTGATAAACCTCCATATTTTCCTGTATCAACTCGTCACCCCTATCGCGCTCACGAATTGAGCGTAGGGATCCATTGCAAGAGCCTTCGTGAGCCCGTCAGCTTTATTCGCGTCGGTTCCAACGTGCTCGATTGAGATTTCGTCCTTTTGAACCCAGTCTCTTAGCATATGGTGCCGAATCTCAATATGGCGTGCTCTTCGCGTTATAGCTTCAGCTTTGGCTAAGTCAACCGCTCCCTTGTTGTCAACACTTAATTTTGAGCTCCTTAGCTTTGCTGAGCCTTCGCTAATCACCCCGGCGTCTATCAACAGGTCGTTGATCCAAACTAGTTCACAAGCAGCTTCGCTAGCTGCCAAATACTCCGCTTCGGTCGTTGATTTCGAGACGGACGTCTGGCGCTGTGATCTCCACGATATTGGAGCTCCGTTCATGGTAATAATGTAGCCGCTGGTGGATTTGTACGCAGGGTCGGCTCCAGCCCAGTCAGAATCCGAACTGGCCGCCGGTTTCAAGCCTTCAGGATCCATATCCCTTTTGAAGACTATTCCTTTCGATTTTGTGCCCTTGAGGTAGCGTAGGATCTGCTTGAACGCCGCCCAGCTTTCCCTATTGGGCCTGCTGTTGAATCTCGCCAGATAATTGACTGCGAATGCAATATCCGGCCTCGTACACGTAACTAGGAACTGTAGAGAGCCCAGGCCTTTCCTGTAATTCGTAGGCGTAGCCTGCTCGTCAACTCCATCTTTGAGGGTCTGATCTGGCGCGAATTCGATGCTTATTCCTTTCTTCATTGGCGTTTTGGAAGGTTTACAGTCTTCCATTCCATATTCAGTCAGTAGATCCTCGATATACTGTTCCTGGTTCACAAAAAGGTCTCCATTCGGCTGCTTTTGAACCCGCATGCCTAGGTAACGGCCTTGTTCCGTAACCTCCTTGATCTCGAAGCGTTCCTGAAGCTTCTCAATGAGCCATTCTATTTCGGCTTCGTTGGGTCCCATTATACGGCAGTCGTCGACGTGTAGGGTTAGGTAGATTTGCTTCCTCTTGTGGTAGAGTAACCCCGCATCGTATGGAGAGATCTGGAATCCTAGAGATTTCAGATAGTCAGTAGCTGCTTGATACCAAAGCCTAGCAGCTTGCTTCAACCCGTAGAGTCCCTGGCGTAAGAGCCCTACTAGGTTACCCCGCCCGTGCTTGAATCCAGTGGGTAGTTGAACGTATACACGTTCGTCCTCTGGAAGAGTTCCATTTAGGAAGGCTGTCACGAAGTCAAAGACTCTGACCTTCCAGTTCTTGGCTGTTGAGATAGCAAAGAAGGCTCTCGTTGTAGGTCCACTAACAACTGCTGCGTAGGTCTTCTTGTAGTGAACGCCTTCTTGCTGTTCGAATCCACGTACGACCCAACGGGCTTTGAATCGTACTGTGCCACCCGTGTTGTTGAGCTTCCTATCGAATACCCATTTGCCAGAGAGGATCTGCATTTGGGGTTCCTTCTCGACTAGGATCCAGGTGCCTTTCTCTTGTAATTTGGAGACTTCAACATCTAGAGCCTCCTTCCAATAAAGCCACTCTTCAGAGCGTTTGGCTTCGGCGATGGATTTTGGTATATCTGTACGCGTACTGAGCACTGGAAGCTCAGCTCCATTTGCCTCTTCTTCCTCCGTAGCATCCGAGAGGATTTCTTGCTCTTCGCCCAGGTATGTGGGCTCTAAAGCCTCTAATTCGCCGTCCGCGAGCTTCTTCATGATTTCTGGCTTCTCCTTCGCAAGGTAAGCTAGTAGCTTGTGTTGCCAGCCATTCAATGGATCTATGTAATCGTACTCCTCCGGGAGTTCAACGTATTCGGCTTCGGTTAGCGAATTCGTAGGGATTTGATCCAATTTCTCGTCGAATATAACATCTCGCGAGATCATTATACTGTTCGTTTCTGGGTCCCAAAGCCTGTAGGTGTGCATGCCACGATATCCTACAAATTTGACCTTCTTGGACCTAGGTTGGAGCTTCGAGGATTCGTTCAAAATCTTCACGTAGGCGTCACATCCCCACCTATGGACCCATCTGCAATGGGGTTGGTGACCCGTCCAGGCTTCAAAGGGTGTCAACGGCTTCGTGTTCTTGCATCCGTATAGAGGCACTGAGGTAGGCGATAGATTCACCATCATGGAGACTGTGGCGAGAGCTTCGCCCCATAACTCATTGGGTAGTCCTGAGTCTATAAGTACGCTTCTTGTTCGCTCGCAAAGAAGTCGTATTCCTCGTTCACTCGTTCCATCTTGTTGAGGTGTATATGGGCACGTAATCTCCTGTTGTATACCCTTGCTCCTGTAGAATTCAGCCAGTTGTTGGCTCGTCAATTCGGGAGCTCCATCGGACAGTATAGTGCCGACCTTTCGTTCGGTAGACACTTCGATCATGTTGATCCAGTTCTTCAGGGTTTCTGGGGCTTCTACCCGCTCCTTCAGGAGGTAGATCCACCTGTATCGTGTGGCATCGTCCGTTATAAGTAGGAAATACTTCGCTCCGCCGTAGCTTGGAGGATCGGAGTCTGTGGATAGGGTACGGCCGCCACCTGCAATATCAATAAAAATTTTAGCTCCAGGCTTTGTAGAGCGTGTTCTAGGTTCGAATGGGTTGCGAGCTTGCTTAGCTTTAGCACAGGTTTCACAGAACCCTAGCTTCTTTACTCCCTTTATTCGCATTGCCATTCTCGGATCTCTAGCTAGAATAGCTATATCGTGGGCGTTGAGATGCCCCCAGCGTTTGTGCCAATTGGCCATCGTATCCTCCTTGATTTCTGGCGTCTTTGCCAGGTGATTCGGTGCCAAAAGCGCGTCATCTCTATCTTTATTCTCCAGAGTTGCTGTTACATAGCAGGGCTCTAGGAGTTTCGTAGGTACTGGAAACGCGTATGCCAGTAAATTGCGTATCCTAGGCGTTCGTAGGACTAGGATGTCATCCTCGTTAAGCACAGCTTCGAAGCTCTGTGTTTTATCTGCCGATTCTAGTAGGAAGACGTGTTCTCCGTCGACATAAAGCTGTTCCACTGTAAAGCCGTCTCGTATAAGCTTCCCAAAGCTTATGAGGTTAACCTGGAGGTCAGGCACGATTCTAACCCCCCCAATGCTCAATTCTCCGTTGTCAGTTTGGATACTGGCCGTGCCAAATCCTCTGGTGACTGATTTCGAACCGTTCGCCATAAGCAGTTGTGTTGCATGGCTCTTTGGGTCCATTTGAACTAGATCCGTACGTGAGGTCGCGTGGGATCCGGCTCCAGAGTCAAGGATCCATTTGTCTGTGGATTCGCGCGCTTCTTTCATAGAAAAGGCTGCTTCGTGAACCGAATGGATCTTGTCCGTTGCAACCGTAGTTGTTTCCTTGCCTTTGCCTTTAGAGTCTTCCTTAGGCTCGTTAGGCTTCGAATTCTTGTTAGATTTGCAAAATTTAGCCAAATGGCCAGGTTTGCCACAAATATAGCAGTTCCAGTTCTGCAGTGAGCTCTTCTCTGGATTGGATTCGGAGTTCGTATTCTTATAAGACTTTTGGGGATCCGAGCTTGTTGCATTTGTATTTGGCTTTGTAGATCCACCTTTCTTCAGGTCTTTCTTGGGGATTCGGTGGAGGATATCCTTCAGTAGGCCTTCCAGATCCTTCTCCGGTAGGTTCGTTCCGCTCTGGCATGCCATATCAAATCGGTTCTGTATGAACTCTCTCCATCGGGACGTAATGTTCATCTTTAAGATATCATGTAGGGTGTGGTCCAGTTGTTTGAACCCTAATCTCTCAAATTCCCCACGGATTGCTAGGAATCTCTCTATATAATTCCTTTCTGAGCCAGCGGATTGTGGTGTCATTCTCACTAACTCCGCAAGTAGGCTTTCCCGCTGTATCTCAGGTCTCTCTTGGAAGGCTGTCCTTACAGCTTCCCAGAGTTTGTAGGCACTAAGGCTATCCGATTCCTCGAAGTGTTCTCTGGCTTGTGCAGATATTGTGCTGTCGATTAGGCCGTGTAGCCAATTATTCTGAACATTCCAGTATTGTGAAATCTTCAAGCGCTCTGGCCGTGGTGAAGTCTCTTGCCTTTCCAGGATAATCTTCTCAACACCTACTTGGCGGGCTACCTTTAGGATGGCTTTGCTCCATGCTAGGTAGTTGCTGGCTCCAGCCAGGGTCATAGGCTTCTTCACCGTCTTCGTGATCTTCGTGAATTGGGTGATTGCTCTGCCGATTCGCGTATTTGTGTCTATAAGGTTGCCGACATATTCTTCTAGTTCCTCATCAGAGTCTATTTCTCGGTCCTCTTCTTCTTCTTGTTGAGCTTCGTGCTCTAGGTTCTCCTGCATCGTTGCAGGTGCGTTTGCGGTGCTTGCTTGGCCTGATAGGAGGTTCACTTGCTGTGCCAGCTGTTGTACTGTCTCCTGTTGCCTTTGCATCGACTCCTGTTGCTTTTGCATCATCTCCTGTTGATTCAGCATCATTCTGCGCAACATTTGGAGTTCACTCTCCTCCCTAGGCTCCTGCTCGTCGTTTGGCGAGCTGCCTCTGAGCCTACTCGACCGCCTAAGCTCGGTTTGGGGTGTAGGGAGGTTTGTTGGAGCCTCCCGGTCAGGAGTTCGGTGCTCCGGTTCGTCCGTACGGTTCACCATGGCTTTGGCGTTGCCAGGTGCTCGATTTGCTTGCTAGGTGCGTTTAGCAGGCGTTTCGCTCACTCTCTGGTCGCGTGCCAGAAAGCTACAGGGGTTGCACGTATAGGAGGCGTCTATCTCAACGTACGCTCTCTCTTGTGCTCGTAAAACCTCGTTATCCACAAGGATAACCGTTCAGGATGTTGATCGTAAGCTTCAATATCCAATTGAGCTGTAAATCAACCTTATACGCTTGCTCTTCAGCGCAAAGGGCTATAACCTGATGGAGGACTTGTATGCTTGTCATTCACTAAGCTACCTAAAGGGGAATCTCGGCTAATCTATGTGGGTCACGTGAGCGAGGTGCTAGTTGGATTACCTAACAGTTTTCCCCCAAAAAATTATTTTTGAGCTTTTTTCGGTTTTCTTATTTTTTTCTTCTTACAGAATAACTCATTTCACGGAGATGGATTATTGTAGGTAGCAGAGGCACTTCTTGGTCTTCCAAGGACATTCACAGCTCTTCTTCCTCTACAGCATCCTCCAAGAACAAACTTTTGCGCCGAGCTGGAGCATCCTAGGGCTCCATTTGGGCCTGATTATGGAACAGTTCCTTACCGACGGTCGCTACATCCTCGCTTTTTAAAATACACTTCAGTAGTCTGCCGTCCTGTCAAGAATGAGTCTAAGCAATTCCCAATCGCCTCGAAAGCTGGGATCTTCACTGTTGTGGCATAAGTTATGCTAGTGATCTCAATTATCTACAGATGAATCTAAATAGCAGTAGCCTTTTAAAACAGGGGGGGAAAAAGGCCCTCTGGGAGGATATTACAAGCTCGACATGAAAACAAATCTATCCATTAAGGCTTTCTTTTTTTTTCGTATTAATCAAATCCGGATTCATGCCACCATCGTCAACGCCTTTCATCGTGATGGCCCGAAACCTTCCCTTGCCGTCCTTTGAACGCCGACCTTTGTATACACATACAACGTAATTGATGAACATCACGAAACATACTGCGGGTGTGTTTTGGCGGAATCACCAGGCTACCATGTGGATTCTTGTTTTGTACCCGGTGGCATCCACGGCCGAACAGCGCTGCTCTTTCGTGGGCGTCCGTTGGGTCCGCTATCGTCCTTTTTGAAATTGCCAGTTGAAGCTGAGATATACCCCTGTGTGTTTTCTGGGGAGCCTTCCTTGATGGGAGGAAACGCATAGCCATTAGAACTCCAGCCCTTGTTGTTGTTGGTGTTTCTCACGCTCAGTGGAAGTATAGTTTTCTTGGTGTGAAAATGGTCCGCATTCGCGCGTCGATCTGCGGCATCTTCGTGGCTGTTGCGGTCATACAAGTATAAGCCGACAAACGTAAGCCCAATTCCAAATGCCTGGATGGGCGTAGTGGCATTTCCGAACCAGACAATCGCAACCACGACGACAAAGACTCGCTTGATCAACGACGCGACGGAATAGGATACCGGCGAGATCATCGATAAAAGCACAAAGGCAAGGATATTTTGAGCGAAATGTGACATCCCGTTGAAAATAAATTCTAGAATTAGCGGTCCATGGTCCAGGCTACCCTTCTTTTCCGTAAGGTCAATCGCGCCGTCCTGAAGAAGGTCCATGAGAAGAGGGTAACCCTCGGAGAAGAACCAAATAGGAGCCGTCAGGAAAAACGCTAAACCGGAGCAATAGCACAGGAGATTGAGCTTATCCAGCTTCCGGCCGGTGAGCGCCTGGCCTTCCGCCTCAATGCGAGAGGATTCGTTGAAAAGCTTCTTGGAGAATATATTCTGAGAAACAAACACGAGCGCGGCGCAAAACGCACAGAGAATGCCGAAGAAGTTGGTCGAGAAGCCGGCAGAGCAGGCAAGCATCACGCCCATCGTGAGTGGGACGAGCGAGAGATAGGTAGCGCGTGCATAGCGAATTCGGAACAAGACGCGATAGGCGAGAACGGTGAATAGCGGAGAGAGGCCTTTAATTGTGTGTACAAGGGAAACTGGGATCTGGGAGGTCGCCATGGAGCTTAGGATATGGCCTGCAAGCTGAAAAAGAGCTAGGGGAAGAGCGGTAGAGATGACCTCGAGGGTTGGATATCGGATTCCATTCTTCAGCGCCGGGACGGTGGATCTTAACGTCGGAAAGACCGACGCCAGGTATGAGAGAAGAAGACAACATGTCGAAACGAAGCCGAACTGGACAATAGTGAGGGTGATAGGTTTTGGGAGGGCGTTGAGGATTTCTTTCGACGAAGTGTTCGTGAGCGCGGATGTCATGTACCACACGATGCAGAGTCCCTAGGTGACGACTGGTTAGCCCAAGGGCGGTTATTAATAGGAGCAGGGACCTTTTCCACCCACAATGAGTCTGTAGGAGACAGGCGCCTTCAGGGCCTCTGCCAGTTCCTGTGCATTCACGCTAACGCTTGCACTCCTCTTCTTGAACGACCCGATAGCCTCACTGATGCTCTTCCGGGGTCGCTGTTTTCGCGAGCTTGGAAAGCCATGGGATAGAGTCCCATTTTTTCGTGGCAGCCAAAAAGGTTCCGGAGAATATCTAAAATTACTCGCTGGAAGAGGGACGTCGGCGTCGGCGGGCGTTCTGTGGGATTCGTCATCAAGAGCCGGGAACTTGTCCAAGGTGCCATCTGAGCTGGGGAGGTTCATTTGGGGCTGTTGCTTCAGGGACCCAATTGACGGATGCTGCACAGGATGTAGGACTGTGGTAACACTCATTATCGGTCACTCAGCAGGAGAAAAGGGCGAAAAAAAGGCTCCAATCTTAGCAGACAGGCCGTGCAGTCAAGGAGCCAAGGAGGGCATGTTGCGAAATCCTTCGGGGTGTGTCTCATCACCATGCTTGTCTTTTTTGATGATCGAAAGGAGAGACACCACCGAAGATTAATCGCACTTGGCACCTGGACGACGACCGGCGCTGATTGGGCTGGCCTACCCACGTTTCCACCTCGCAACCTTGAAGCCCGCAGCCCACCATGAACTCTGGACCACGCCTCGTTCGCGAACAGCACGCTGCGATGGAATCAAACGGCCAGGCGGGCTGAATCGACGTTCTCTTAAGAGGACGGTCGCACACTCCAGGCGACTCACTACACAACCCTTGTTAGGAAGAGGAGACTTGGATCCGATCTGTGTGACGGCCCAGCAAAATTGATCGCCCGCAAACGATGATCGCTCATCAAAATCCGTGCTGCTTGTTCCTCCGGCTTACGCAGCACCGATCCAAGTTCTATGATTCGATTTCCGAGCCTCCTCCCCACCATCAACCGTGCCCGGCGAGCCAGACAAACATGATTTGGCCAACATTCCCCATATTATACTCCGTATATTCTTCCTCCCCGATCGTTTGGCACCAAAGGAGCTGATTGAATGCTCTTCCCGGCGCCCCTCCCCCTTCCGACGCAGCGTGGAATTTTACCGCAGTGTATGTACTCCGTAGACGCCAAGCTACGTCGCACTCTGCTTGATTTACCTCCTCCATCCAATCTGCATTCTTAGTTACGATCTCACCAACTCTCTCAAATCGGGACTATTTCCATGACTAACAACAGAGCGAAGGTACGGAGTACCATGGCTTGATCATAAAGCCCCGTGGTCCGTAAACATTGCGTAACCAACAGAGTCCAGAATAGTATGTGTTTCAATCATCAAAACTCTGATCGTAAGTACGCCGTAGTTATGCCGAGGAACCGACCCTAGGGTAGTAGTGACAGCTTGAGGCCCCAATAGCGCATCTCCCGCGTCGTGCTCTACATCCATCCACGGAGCAGCGGGTAGCTTCGAAGTGGTCTTTGACGGGGAAAAATTTTGCCTATTAGTGCATTCCGCAACCAGGGTAGCGCAACGGAACGCCAACCGGACATTTTGACTCCCGCAGAGTATCGCAGGCGGCGGGGCGGAAACCGTATCCCGCACCGTCGCGCTGAACACAGATATTACCGGACTAACATCCAGCATTTCCACCCCTAGCTATCAGCGCCCAAATTCACTCCCTCTATCGTTTAGGGTAAATCACCCAATGTTACTTTTTGACTCCAGCCCCTGCCCTCGGACCTCGAATAGATACTACATACACCTCCGCCTTCGAGAATGGCGAGCCCCTCTCAGCAAGCCAGCGGCACATCCTCCATAGATCCATATCAACAACTTCATTCGTACTCTTTCACAGAAGACCCGGAATTCAAACTCGGCCTCGCCGTCATACTCCGTCAGCCAGGAACGCCAGCGACTGATGAGCAGGTCAACCGTACCGATGACCTCGTCATGAAAGCCAAATGTTTCTACTTCTCCAGGTAATCCCCTCAAACCCCCGCCCCCAAAGACACGAATTTTACACCGGTCCGGATCCAAACTCACTTCACACACCAGAAAACACTCCATCCAGCCCCCTCTAGACCTCCTCGAATACAAGGGCTGGCTACAAACGCACCCCGACGAGTCTGAATCTCAACCCCAACCCCAGCCCCAGCCCCAAGACCAACAGCCCTCGGAGCCACCACAGTCCACGGCAGCGGACCCCTGTTCCTCAGCCTCCGAGCAGCAACCACTACCACCACAAACAACAACGACGACGACAACGACAGCAGTAACACCTGCAGGTGAAGAAGAGCCTGCTTATCCTTCCTCTTTCGCACACATCGTCGAACTGATCACAACAGGCCAACCGATCCCCGGAATCCAACAGATCCCAGATACAATATTAACGGGGCAGCAAGGTCCCAGTACGGCTGCCCGGAGACGGAAGCCCTGGGAGAAACAAGGAGAGCCTGGCGTACAAGGGGAGGAATGCAAGGCACCCGAAGAAGCCTCGAGGGGAGAAGGACAATGTCATGAGCAAGAGGCGAAAGACGAGACGAATTCCCGAGTTCTTCCAGGTCTCTCCTCGGAGCCGCTCCAGAACCCATGATGATAACTATGATTTTCCTTTTTGCTCCTACCAAAAGAACAGGCTGAATTTTTCAGACTTGCACATGACATTATTTCCCTGCCTTGCTGTAGATCCGGCCATCTGACCTACGATTCATGGCTGTAGACATTTTCGACAGGCTCTCTGAAACTACTGACTGGCACACTTTTCACTGGAATCCCTGCCTTCTGTCAGGCTAAAACATACATAGACGAATAATTAAAATAAAGTAGTAACAATTGACTAGAAACACCCCATCCACCGATTTTGCACGCCCAAACGCTGCAGGTGGTAGAACCACATGATCTCAACCGGGGATTGATGGCGTGGAAATCCCAGGACGGGGAGTGAAAACGGCCGGTAAAAGAATAGAATGATGCCTCTGACACGCAACCACCTTCGAAACACAAGGGAACTAGGTCCTTCATGTAAGTAAACCAAAGCACGCAGGAACCACCCACGCCTATTAATCATTCAGGATAAGATCATCATCACAGGAGATATGGCAATTTAAGTGAATGAAATGGAAGTAGTTCCAGACAAGAAAAAAAGGTCTGACAGAAGCAAAAAATAGACTAAAGAAAAAAGGGGACAGATTGGATTGTGGGCCAGATCGACTCCAACAAGCCAACGCCAAATGAGAACTTAATGGTAGCGTTGGGTTCAAGCATGAATACATGCAGCGAGAATCCTAGAAAGGAGAAAATCTGTTGATCGTAAATCGAATTTCGATATCTGAAGCTTCTTTCTCCAGTACGCTCAGTTAGACGCGGAGTACCTGGTTTAACATATTGTTTTCATGGATTAAATGAGCATCGGGGGATAGAAACGTAATGGATCTTAGCGGAATGGGGGATAGTTTGAGCCCCATTGGCTGCCACGGTTGAATCTGTTGCCGCCGGAAATCCCAGAGACGAAACGATCCTCATTCGGAGTAGTAAAGCGGTTGATTTGGAGGCCAGCACCGGGACCTGGGCGAGTAACATGATTTGGGTTGCAGCAGAGCATAGCAACGCGGGAACCAAATTTAGAACCACGGAGAGAAACCATATGCTTACTGTTATAAAATCAGCACAGCACAGCATCTTGATGAAGACGAGTTCCTCACCGAATGTGACTCGCCACAAGCTCACGCTGGTGGGCTGCGGAGTTCATCAGGATCCACTGGATCAAATAATTTCCGTACTGATCGCCCGCAACTGCACAATGAATTAGCGATAATTTATCTTGGGGTTGCGCAGAAGGAAAACACACTGTCAATCAAGGGCATGCGAGGACGGTCTGGGCGACCTGTACAAACTCTAGTAAGGTAGCGATCAAGAAATTCAGATCCACCAATTTTAAGACATTTTTCGACAACCTTAGAAGCAAACTGGTCCATACTGTAGTCAGTAGCCCATAAGAGGATATGTTCAATTGCGCGGCTTTTGTCGTGAGGAGCACCGTGTTCGCAGATATGCTGGATACACCAATTACCAAATTGGCCGTGAGCAAGAAGGTCAATTTTGGCAAGAACTTCTTCGATAGCGGGGCGCTATATATGAGGTCAGTATGGTCAATTGATTCATTATATCAGGACCGCAAACCTTTTCATCTTCTACGCAATTTTCAAAAATGTTCTGCACCACCAGACTACCAGTTTCTCCCAGAGCGACTTCATGCCACATACCACGGAGCGCTTCATTAACCTTAGCCATAATCTGAGGCGGCTCATTGCTCCAACGTAGCTCAAAGAGCTTTTGCCAGACATGACATGCATACCGGTGGATCACAGTTTCAGGGATTCGGCGAAGTAATTCATGCACCATGACGGCTTTGTGGTCTTCCGGTACACAGTCAAATGCTTTCTGAATAACATGGCAGCCAAAAGGATCCATGCTCAAGCTCAAGGTGTTGCCGCGGATGGCATTGGCAATAGCAATAACTTGCTCTGATGTCCCATGTTCGAAGCAACGCTGAACCAAAAAATTCCCAAAGCGATTGACCATAAGTGGATAAGCCTGGTTAACGATAGCTTCAATGATCTCGTACTTTTGTTCCGCGGTTCCAACTTTGAGCTTTTGCTGTAGGAAAATCGATGCCTGCTGGTCATTGTTGCAGACAATTTTATCCACAATATATTTCCAGTCACACGAAACGCTTTTATCCAACAAACGACGGTAGTTCATTGGCTCAAGTGGCGATACATACGTTTGTGAGCTAGCGGTCTGTAGGCCCCCCCGAGTTAGCTATAATCGAGAGATCTTAAAAGGGGGTTTCCACGTACTGTTGGGGTCCATGTGCCACTATTGAATGAAGTAAACTCAGCGGCAGTTGGGGAGAGTGGTGTCCCAATTGGACGAGGCTGATAGGGAGCCACATTGAACATTCCGCCTTGTAATCCAGCTTGCTGATTCATGGCTCGCGGGAGGGTGCCTCCAGAAGCTCCAGTCGTGAAAGTGCCCCATGGAGAATTCTGAGGAGGAAAGCATGAACCACCACGATTGACTTGAGTGACCGAGCGGCGAAGGCCTTGGGGAAGCGGCTGTGCCTGATCAAAGGGTGGGCTGGCTGGTCCTGATGCAATGCGCTGATTAGACATCAAACTTGCTTGGCGAGTGAGCTGGTTACCCCAATTGTGACCGAAGTTAGCAGCTCCAGGTACATGGAAATCACGATATCCCGCAACGTTCGAGTTTGAGTTGTTCCAAATGCCTCGAGCTTGGTTGTAGCCACCAGCAGAAACAGCCTCTGAGATGTCCGAGTGGGCATCGTCCTGGTTCATCCAAAAGTCCTGGCGCTGGTTATTGAATGAGCGAGTAGATGAGTTATTGAATGCATGCTGCAGGGTGTTAAGGGTCTGCTCGGTGACTTCTCTACCTCCAAAGTCAACTTCGGAAAGAGGACCCATTGCCTGATCAAGCGTATGTTTGATAACTCGAGTTTGGGCTAGTTCCTGCTCTTGCATCGCAATGCGAGAATTGGCAGCGATTAATTCCTGCTGCAACCTAAATACCTCTTCCTTGTCGACCCGACCCGGTCCAACGTCGTTATTTCCGACTACATCGCTAGCGAGAGGCAAGACACCTGGAATTCCTTCTCCAGAAGGAGCCTTCGATGTGGTGTGCTCATGGAGAGATTCAGTGGAGGCGTGATCTTTTGGGGAGAGCCTGGCAAGGATCTTATCCATAGCTGAGGGTGGAACTTGTTCGACCTTCTGTAGGTTGGCCAGTTAGCATATAAAGCCAGACAAAAATATGATCTAGCTTGGTACCTTCCCCGCATGCTCGTCATGGGCGGACGCGGCCTGGATATTTGCCAACTTGGAGGTGATAAGCGGATTCGGAGAAATTTCCATCGCGGAGTGCTTTTGGGCAACCATGAGCTGTAAGACGAGACGTTTTTTCTAGTAGACATTCATGCATAATGTGCTTACCAGAATTTCATCCGGCGGCCCCTGAAGCTGGGCAGACGGCTTTCGAGAAGAAGCTGGAGAATTGGAAGCCACGAAGCCCATCATTGCAGCTTTGAATGCGCTAGATCCTCTCTGGGATTCAGTGAGCTTCTTAGGTGGATGCTAGTAGAAGGAGGGGCAAAAGCTGTTCTCAGAAAATAGGCGTGAGATGGACAATGAAGGGGACAAATAATACGCGTAGACAGATCTTTGCAGTGCGTATTCAACTATAGCCGCTCGAGATAGACAGGCTCACGGCATAGGTGAAGAAGAACAAAGCATATCCGACGATGTTCGAGGCAAAATAGCAGAAGCAAAGCAGAGAGACGGAGAGATAAAACAGCAAATTTGAAAATCTCTGGAACGGGCAGGGCTAGAGAGGCAGAAAGGAAGGAAATACAGAAGGACTGGCAGGAACAATGATAATGAGAAGAATTGGGGCGCAAGGAGGGAAGGACGCCGTGAGGCGGGAAAGCGCGAAGTAGTGAAGGACTGTGGGGAGGGGGAGCGAGTGCTAAAGGTATACAATGCACCAGATGGGAAGGCGGGGCAAGTAGGAAAACAATGCGCGAGGAAGCGCGGGTTGCTGGAGAAAACAGAGAAGTGAGCCGCACCTCAGAGCTTCGTCCGCGCTGTGCAGTACGCGGCTCCTTTGCGTTTTGGAGCCGGAAATGGAACCGGAAGATAATTCGAGACGAGATCCGCCCAAAAGCTGAAAAGAAGACACAAATTTTCAACTGGAATACAAATACAGGGAAAGATATTGCTGAGATAAAGAAGCAAAGATGTGTGAAGGAAATGTTCCTTCAGAGAAGAAAGTTTCATAGACACGTCTTCCAAAAGAGGACGTTTACGTGTTTTATTCTACACAAGACACGCAAAACAAAGGGTCAGCAGCGGAGCCTAGCGGGGTATGGCAAGGCAAGTCGCGGACATTAGGGCTTAATGTGAGCTCCAAGTGTGCAGCAGTACAGATGAAGCCTGGGTACGACTCGATGTGTGGGCATTCAATGCAAGTTCACTCTATGAGGGCCTGCTGTTGAAAGAGGATCCCCATGGGTATAAACAGAAAATAATTAGAGTCATTGGAAGGTATCTTGCTATTCAGCCTGGAGAAGGGTCGTTAAAATAGAAACATCACAGAATTCTATAACAGATAAGACCCTGGAGATATCTGCCAGGAGTAGTCAAAGAAACCGGCTGCATAGACTCCTCCAACACCCTTCCAGGGAGAGCGGGTGCTGAAAACTACAAAGTCAGGTTGGCCAACCCCAGTGAGGGTGGGAACAAGGCGAGCTGCCTGTCGTAAGCCGTCTAGATCGGCGCCCCAGACCACGAGCTCCACGCGCTCATCATCCAGAGGTCTCAAAAATATTGCTCCCAAGCCAGGCTCAAAGTCATACTCAACATATCTTCGGCCATCGGGCCGCCTGAGTATTAAACGCGTATCAAGAGCGGATATCGGAAAGGTATCAAGCTCCGATTGGTCTAATTGGCTGCCGAGAACAACGGTGATAAGATTCCCTGAGTTCGATGTCCTCCGGGAACGAGACCTTTCAGACACTAGTTCGCAGTCAGCCGCAAAATATTGGAGTAAATTGCGACTGATCTGAAGGGCCACATTGTCACTTTCTGATGTATGAGAACGGATAGCCAAATGGCCTTTGGTTCGGAGAATGGCGTCCATGGTTCCTATCTGGCGTCCATACCGCTCCGACAGGCTGCGCCAGCCGCCATCCCGGGTCAGCTCCCATTGTCCAGAGGAATCTTGGATGTACCAAGTGATATTGGTTTCATTGCCTGACGGCACAAACGGAAGCTCAGTCCCGTCCACTAAGATTTTAGGCGGATGAAGACGTTGAAGCCCCTGAGGCACAATATGGAAACGGCGTACGTTACTCGTCTCTAAGCGCCAGAAGTCTTGTGACTGGTTGCGAGCTACATCCAAGCGGCCGTACCTATCTGGGGACCATAGCTGATCGACAAGGAGACCTCCTCTGGAACCCATATCTGGCGACGAGGGAATAATTGTCGAAAACCTTTCGGCAGATTCGTTACGGGATACTCTGGTGTGGCGGCGATAGAACTCCACCAAGGGGTCAGTTGTGAGGATGCCCTCAAAATAGTGACCGGCTTCAGCAAGTTCGTGGTAATTGCTCATCCACCCGTCTTCCCAGGTAAGCTGGTGCATAAGTCGAGAGTGATACGCCGGGACATTATCATCCTTAGCGCCATGCTGCTGAAGAATCGGGATCCCCGCAAAATTTTCAGTGAGTAATTCATGTTTGAAGTTCCTTCGTGAGGACTCCAGAATTGCTGCCAAGGAGGCGTCTGCATTCCGCCACATACTGAACGGCACATAATCTATGAACATGGTTTCAGTTATTGAAGCTATAGTGTTCGGTAGAAGCGGGGCATACTCTCAATAGATATATACCCTGAAACGGGGGCAGCAGCTAGCACTTTATCAGGCTGGTGGGAAAGGAGATACCAGGAGCCTTGACCTGTGAGTTCCAAGGCGTTAATTTTGCTAAATAGGTTCTGAACTGACATAGGTGCATACATACCTCCATTGGAATGTCCAACGACAACCCACTGATCAAGCATCACCCCGGGGCCATCCCAACCCATAACCCTGATCCAGTTGGGAATAGCAGCAACGGCTGCCTGGACATCTGCAAAGCCCCACGTATCTAGTTTCCTAATTAGTTAGCGTAATACTTTAAGAAGTGAAAAAACATTAAGGCGGAACACGTACGCCAGTCATCACCACTCCAGGATGTCACCCCCGTGGGAAGTAAGATCCAAGCGCAAAGCCCATGCACACCATCAAGCATATGTCGACCAACATCACTGTCTGCTTCAACACCAGATCCATGAAGACCAAGGATCACCGGGAAGTCCTTTTTCTCCCCAGCATGGCAAGAACTAGTGACTGGCGGGCGCAAAATTGCATAGGACACGATGCCACTAGGGTGGAGGAATGTAAATTTCTGAGGTTCAGAAATCGGTAGATGTTCGAAATTGATGGTGACTGCAGTCACTCGCTGTCGGCGATCGGGGCCCGTTTCGTACCCAATCTCGAAGGTAATTTGAGCAGGGATCCGACCTGGAAACTTTATTTTAAAAGCCAGAGGGCGGGATTGGTGAGAAGCAACAGTAAAGGGCCCGTTTAGTAGAGTCAAACTGGGATGGGTTTGCTGTAATACGTGTGAGCCTTGGCCCTGGACGCAAAAAGTGACAAAGTAAACTTACGTTTTCACCAACGGGCCTGATCCAGGTAATTTCAGCCGCCTCTTTCATCCCATTTTGTATATTCACGGCTGCATATGGACTTGCGAGCTTGCCATCGACCACATCCGAGACTAATATATTTGCCGGATCAACATTCAGTTGCTCTGGGATTGGCTTGAATTCAACGGCAGCAATTATTTGCGGATCATCACTTCCACCCAGCGCCCGAATATCGTAGAATAATCGAAGCTCAATGGTATGAACTCCAGGGTCAAGATCCAGGATCAGCGGCGCCCGGCGAAATGCATAAAAATCGCCTCCAAAGTAGAGTTCCCCATCAATTCGCAATTCGAGGATGCCATCAGAGTAAACCGCCAAGGCAACCGGAGCATTTCCAAGGACAGTGACATTTCCTCTAGCCCAAGCTTGATACTGCAAGGCCGACCAGCCATAAACTGACCGAAGAAATGACCAGTTGATATCGCTAAATCCGAACCGGAGGACCGCTCTCGCAGACCCATCGGCAGCAGCGGGTTCACTTGCGAGCACTGTAGTCCAACGGCAGACTCCACCTTCCCCAAGGGCACTTGGAAATACTGCATCCGGATCATATTTCATCGCCCGGAATCCGCCATGTGCCTCAAGAGGATCTGCGCCCCACACTGCCTCTGAACGGATAGTAGTAAATCAGGATCACTTGTTTACTTTCTGCTTGGATCGCCTATACACAAGATGCTGCACTAACCTCGTGTGCCAATTCCGAAAGGACCCAGAACATGCCACGACTGTGAAACTGAAACGTTTGCCATTTGCCATTGGTCGCGCTGAACAGACCAAGCCTGTGTTGCCAGCTGGACGGGAGGCTGTAGGCAATATGACAGGCTTACCAGCAGGAGGATTGATAGCAGAGAAACTCCAATCATCTTTCGCAAGATTGATGGAAAGGAACGCTTAACATGTGCGCAGCCAGCTCTGATGATGGTTATGTCTAGGGACTGGTTGCCGAGGAGGAAGAAGACAATTGCAGTTCGACGTCGTCCGCATTTCAGGCCCCTTGAAATCACTGCCGGCCAAATTACATGCTGCAACGGTTCTCTGAGGTACCTTGGAACTCCTTGGAAGGATCAACTGTTTTCGGCAGTTTTCGGATGAAAGAGATGGTCATGCCACCTGAGGCTGTTGATTAATTAGCGTTAATGAATCGCAAGGTCGCATTGAGCCACTGACTTGTGCCAGGGCTATGTCCCGAGATTGGGTCAAGAGCTGAGCAAAACACCCTGTCACGGCTCATGACTTCAAGCCTCCAAATGACTCCGCAACCAACCCCACCAGGAAAGTATCCATGCAACTCGATAGCATTGTGGTTGTATCAGCTCCGCACGCTTTGCTTATTCCGCAAATGATAGCTCTGGATAACACAATCCTACGATGTGGAACCACGTCAGACTCGCTATAGTATGGAGTACAAGGAACAAAAAAAATCCTACGTAGATACCACCCAAATAGGTTGATGATCGTACGGATAACTGCTGCCTAATTGTGTCTGTATACCTTTTGATTGTCTATAACATGACGCCCGTAATGCCACGCTTGCTAAGTGATATTCAATGGAGAGAAAAATGCAAAGGACCCCAATCCAAACTATCCTCCAGGGATGATTATCCTGTATCCATTTCATCCACCCCCGCAAGGTTGTCGGGAGCGTTCGCATGTCCAACTTTGGATGAATCCGGTCGGGTGTTTCCGCTCTGGCATCCGGGGCAATTATGAACAATTTCATGTGCAAAAACATCACAATCAATGCAAAAGTGATTATGACACACGGTACATTCGTATCTGCTGCTCACCGACATCCCCTTTACCGTGCCACCGCGCGTCTCCCATTGAGCACGGACTGGAACCGGCGGGAAGGGATTACCGCATGCAAAGCAATTCGAACTGATCGATGCTTTATTCCAAGGAACTTCGACCCAATTGATTAGGGGGAACAGATGATGATATGACCGAGCCAAATGTGTAGAGAGAATTAACGTCAGTCCACACGCCGGACACTCTGCAGGTAACGTGCAGATTTTGCTTCCACATCTGGAGCAAAGATAACCTCCCCTAGATGGCTTTGAATGGCATGCGCATAGGGACTGAGAGGGTTCCACTGTGCGAGAGGGGAATCCCATCATCAAGAGAGAATTTACGGCTTGCTTTTGTGAGCGGGTGACGGGTGGAGTTGTGATTTCCATCATGAGCTCGCGGAAGTGTTGCTCATTGAGTGCTACACCATAGCCGCTGTCGTCGCCGGCATTGGTCTTCGAGCAGATCTCCCGGCATATAGCTACTTCAGCAGCAAGACCAACAACTCCCACGCGGATTTTGTCCGCGACAAGGGAGGTAATTGTTTTGTGAATATCGCCTGGGTCGGATGAGAGGAGGGTGCCGAATATTATGAGAACTTCGCGGGTTCCATGGCTTGGTGTATGGCTGGGACGATTAGCTGATACCCGGGGTACGCCCTATCAGCCGGCGGGGGTAATACTTACAACAGTGCCCCGCGAGCCATTTCGAGGGCATTTTGTAAACTTGGGAGACCAGTTGGGTCTCTCGTTCTTAGGGCTTGTATTGCTAGGATATGCTCTGAAGGGTTACCGCTCATATCGCTTATTCTGACTGCCAAACCGTCCCGCATCCCAATTATTCCGAGCTGTGAAATTGGGTTTTGTTCGAAATATTCAAGGACAAACTCTTGGGCGTAGCGAAGGGTAAGAAGGTAGCGTGTAGGCCGGACATCCTTTTCTGACATAGCGATTGATAAATCTAGAACTAAGATCAGATGTCGTATGATTCCACGCTGAAGCGGAGTTGTGTCTCTAAGTAGTCTGTCGGGATGATTCTGGTCAGCACAGCTTGAAGCAGGGACTCACTCTCCGCCTACCTTTTCCTCTTCCCCGCCTCCAATAGACCTTCGACTGTTGAGCTGATCGTGCCATCTGCGCCTTCTACTAGACTTTCCCACGTCCTTGACACCTCGAATTCGTGGCCATCTCGCTGCTTTTTCCGCTTGCCGCGCGAACGCCTGGTCCTTCCGCGGCTCACATTGCGAGAGTCCAGCTCGTCATCCTCGTCATCGTCGCCGAGATCGTCATCGCGCTCGTCGGAATCAAATTCTGCGATGTATTCTTCATCCGAATCGGCCATAGCTGCCTGAGAAGCGTGGTCAGTTGCTGGTTGCCATTCCGAGTTCCGCAGAGGTGTTTTGTTATTAGTCAAAGCTCCGGGATTTCCAGCGAGAACAGCGAGCTCTTACTGGCTGGTTTGTCTCGACCCATGCTCCAACATGCCGACTGACCCTGAAGTTGCAGCTAGTCTCCCCGTTCATTTGGTTAAGTCAAGCATTCTCGGCGATCCATCGCAGAAGTAGTTAGCTAGCGGCTCCGGAGTGAAGTAATTTTTCTCTCAATTTCTGAGCTCCGACTTTCAAATTGCCTGCAGGAATTGAGGTAAAGCGTAGTTTTCAACAGTTGCCGTTACATTCCAGCTCCACTCCGGATCGGATCTTCAGATCAAGCTCTACATCCGACCAGTATTCTCCCTATCAGGGACTGTCTGTGTACCTCGATGTTCCGGTTGGGGAATGGATCGTTGAGACGCAGTGGACTTTTGCAGCGAGGCCTTAGAAAGGCTATTCACGGGGGTTTGAAACGTCATGGATTGGAGTCTGCCACCGGACCACTGGTGCCCCTCCTACCCCTCCGCTCGCTGCGCTGCATTTCTACACCGGCTTCTTCCCCTCTTCCTCCTCCATCATCCCATTCTCCCTCTTCTTCCATCCTCTCTCCCAACCGATTGACCTGTTTGAGTTCCATTCAACCAGGTTTGAGCCCATATCAGAAGAGACACTGTTCAACGGCATTCCGCACAATGGGTAGAGACGACAGGGAGATTCTGCCGGATGTGTAAGCTATTCTCTTCGTCCCTCATATTGCTCCATTTGGAATTTGGATGCTGGGCTTTTGCTAATCCTTAAACAGGGCAAAGCCATCTCATTATACGATTTCCCTGTATAATCTCCAGCTTGGTGGCTCCTGGGGTTACAACGGAACCGTAAAAATCGACACCAAAATCACTCGACCTACCTCGGAAATCGTGCTGAATGTCAAGGCAATTGAGGTGCAAACTGCCAAAATCACTTCCAAAGATGGTATGCTCCTTGCTGGGTCGAGATGAGTCCGCTTCCTGGAACGAAGTTCTCACGTATTCTGGTTGAGTACAGGATCGACATCGGTCAATAGCTCCGACATCTCCTATGACAGGACTTCAGAGCGTGTTACTACCAAGTTTGCCGAAGAAATCAAAGAGGGCGACTTCGTCTTGGAGCTTGCGTTTACCGGAACGATGAACAACCATATGGCCGGTTTTGCTAGGGCGAGATACCAATCGTCTGAAACACCAGCACCCGGAACTCCTAAGGAAGGAGACGATTGCTTCATGCTTAGCACCCAATTCGAGGCCTGTGATGCCAGACAAGCATTCCCTTGTTTTGATGAACCAAATCTGAAGGCAACGTTTGACTTCGAAATTGAAGTTCCCAAAGACTTGGTTGCAATCAGCAATATGCCCATCAAGAGTACTCGCGAAGGAAGCAATCCGGGTCTAAAATTCGTTTCTTTCGACAGAACCCCCATTATGAGCACATATGTAGGCAATTTCCCCTTCCCATTGGCATTCTTAAAACCTACACGCCTACATATACTTTTACTGGGAGGTCGGCATCTCACTGCTATCTGTAGCTTCTCGCATGGGCGGTCGGTGATTTCGAATACGTTGAAGCCCACACCAAGCGCAAATACAACGGCTCTCCGATCCCAGTCCGTGTTTACACCACCAGAGGCCTTAAGGAGCAAGCCCGCTTTGCCCTTGAATGTGCGCATAAGACTGTGGATTACTTCTCTGAAGTTTTCGAGATCGACTACCCTCTGCCTAAGTCCGATTTGCTTGCTGTCCATGAGTTTGTAAGTCCCAATCTACTAAAGAGAACCAAGGGTATTTCCTTATTTGGCACTAACACCTGCCCTGCTATAGGCTATGGGCGCCATGGAAAACTGGGGACTTGTGACGTACCGTACTACTGCAGTGCTCTTTGAAGAAGGCAAATCAGACGACAGGTTCAAGACTCGTGTTGCATACGTTATTGCACACGGTAAGAGTGCCATATTTTCCTAGCAACTCTGTTTTGGTATCGCTAATCAATAATTTCAGAATTGGCTCATCAGTGGTTTGGAAATCTTGTCACGATGGACTGGTGGAGTGAACTTTGGCTCAACGAGGGTTTCGCGACTTGGGTCGGCTGGCTTGCTGTGGATCACTTCTATCCTGGTCAGTATCTCATTGAGACAGGCTCTTAGGGAGTTCAGTGCTGACACCGTGTTTTAGAATGGGATGTCTGGTCTCGTTTTGTCGTAAGATATGCCAGAGGTACCGAACTATTGACTTCTTGCAGTTAACAAATTCACAGGCTGAAGCAGTACAACAAGCTTTCCTCCTTGACTCGCTGCGGGCATCTCATGCAATTGAGGTACCCGTAAGGAACGCACTTGAAGTGGATCAGATTTTTGACCATATTAGCTACATGAAAGGAAGCTCTGTCATTCGTATGCTCAGTAGCCACCTTGGCCAAGAAACCTTCTTGCGCGGTATTGCCAAATATCTCAAAGCGCATGCATATGGTATGTAAAACTGCATCCCTTTTCTTGGATGTATAGATTACTTATAACCAAACAGGCAACGCCACAACAAATGACTTGTGGTCTGCTTTGAGTGAGGCTTCTGGAAAAGATGTGACTGGTTTCATGGTTAGATTTCCCAATCAATATCGTTAAAATTAGGGAAACGGAGGGGCTAATGGCAGTGTAGGATCCATGGATTAGAAAGATCGGATTCCCATTGGTGACTGTGGCTGAAGAGCCCAATCGAATTACTGTCGCGCAAAAGAGGTACCTCGCTTCCGGTGATGTAAAACCGGAGGAGGACGAGACCTTATGGTGGATCCCCCTTGGAATCAAGTCCGGACAGGAGGCTAAAGCCGTAGGTGAGCGTAATTTAACATCAAAATCTGATGTAGTTCAAAACATCAGCCAAGATTTCTACAAGCTCAACAAGGACCAATGCGGGTTTTATCGAACAAACTATCCCCCGGAGCGCTTGGCTAAACTCGGGAAGTCTCTCAATTTGCTGAGTACCGAAGACAAGATTGGTCTGATTGGCGATGCTTCTGCTTTGGCTGTCTCTGGCGAAGGAACCACAGCTGCCACCTTGGCTCTTCTCGAAAATTTCCAGGATGAACAAAACTATCTGTAAGCATACCCATTTACTCACCTCTCGCTTTCAGATTCAAGAAAAGGGCTATGAAAGCGGAGAAGATTCGCTAACGAACGCCATAGGGTTTGGATGCAGCTTATCACATCCTTGAGCCACATCAGATCAGTTTTTGCAGCCAACGAAGAAATTGCAACTGGCTTGAAGAACTTTGCGCGTAAACTTGTGACACCGGCTGTTGAAAACCTCGGCTGGGAATTCCAGCCGAATGAGGATTACCTTACAGGCCAGCTTCGTCAGCTGCTAATCTCCTCAGCCGGCCATGCTGGCCACGAAGGGTGTGTTCATACATATAATCGCATGTGCGTCGCTGTTAAGTCACTAACCCTATGAGATAGGACCATCACTGAGGCTAAACGACGATTCAATCTTTGGGCAACAGGCGAGGACAAGAGTGTAATTCACGCCAACCTGCGCAGTGCAATCTTCACGATCAACGTTTCCGAGGGAGGCCAAAAGGAATATGATACGGTTAAAGAGGAGTTCAGCAGAACAAGCTCCATTGATGGCAAGGAGATCTGCGTCGGATCGCTTGCACGAACTAAGAATCCCGACATTCTCAAAGATTATTTCGAATTCCTATTCTCTGGCAAAGTTGCAACTCAGGATATCCATACTGGAGGAGCAGGCTTAGCAGCAAATTCCAAGGCAAGAGATGCATTCTGGGTTTGGCTCAAGGCAAACTGGGCTCGCGTCGAGAAGAAACTGGGATCCAACAAAGTTGTCTACGAGCGATTCATCAGGATGAGTTTGTCGAAATTCGCCGACCACGCCACCGAGCGAGACATTGCCAAATTCTTCGAGGACAAAGATAAGGGTGGAATCGATCGTGGCTTGCTTGTTGTTGGTGACACCATCCGGACAAATGCCAACTATCGGGAGAGAGATGAGAAGGGAGTGCTGGAATGGTTGAAGGCTCATAACTATGTCTAGATGCCTCTTCCAAAACTAGAGACAAGTGTGATCTTTGTAGGTGTAGTAGTTATGTAACTAGTGTGCCACTATTTTAAATCCATGACATGCTGATTTTAGCATGTATACACCTATCCCATGTGGCCTGTCTAATGGAGTGCATTCCAGTGATATCAGAGCACAGGGCACATTTGATTTCTGGCTGATGAGATGAGAATCAAATGGCAAGCCTCATGTGAAACATCACCTTGCCAAACATGGGTTCCCAGGAAGCACGCTAATCCCTGTTCAGGATTAGCGTGACCCAGCCTGTTGAACTCAAGAAGGGCTGACAACCTCAAAGTGTGTCCAGATTATGCTACCTACAACAGAATCAACTGCAATACTCCATAGCACGCTCTTTCTTCTGCACCTTGACATCTTCTCACCCTGGTTGATATTTTCTACTGCGAAGCTCTAGTATACACTGTGCTTTGATCGTTCATAACTTCCTTTGCGGTCACCTTTGAAATACACCCTTCATTATGAACCCTGAGTGGTAGGTCATCCTTCCTCCAGACTGGGACGCAGCAGCCTGTTGCTATCACATTAGCTTTGCAACGCTCCTCTCTCTTAGAGACTCATATAGCTAACGAATAGGCACTTGAATAGAGTTGGCCAAGTTTCCTCCTCCCTGCCGTCGTTCAGCTTCTTGATGACGAAGCCCTTGCATTACGCATACTAATCGAACCCTCTCAGATACGATTATCTCTTCAAGCTCCTGCTCATCGGAGATTCCGGTGTTGGGAAATCGTGCTTGTTGCTTCGATTTGCTGATGATACATACACGGAAAGCTATATCTCTACTATCGGAGTCGACTTCGTGAGTTTACCCTACCGTCTCCCAACTAGTGGGTGCCGCCAAGCATACGCAACGCATGTGCTGACATTCCTGATCACAGAAAATCCGAACAATCGAACTCGATGGCAAAACAGTGAAGCTGCAGATCGTATGTACCGCTTTCTGTGACCCATTCCGAACCACCCCCATGCTAAACTCATATTTTGTAGTGGGACACGGCTGGTCAAGAACGATTTAGAACCATTACATCTTCCTATTATAGAGGCGCTCACGGTATCTGCGTCGTTTATGATGTTACGGATATGGATTCTTTCAATAACGTGAAGCAGTGGCTTCAGGAAATTGATCGTTACGCGACTGAAGGAGTCAACAAGCTTCTTGTTGGTAACAAGAGCGATATGGAAGACAAGAAAGCCGTCGAATACACAGTTGCAAAAGTACATTTCGATTTTATATAGCTCTGCAAGTTTGAGTCGGACCATAGCTAACATTACTTGTCTTTAGGAATTCGCTGACAGCCTTGGTATCCCGTTCCTCGAAACTTCCGCCAAAAATGCCTCCAACGTCGAACAGGCTTTTTTGACCATGGCTCGACAGATCAAGGAACGCATGGGAACTGCTACAGTGAACAACAAGCCCACTGTCCAAGTTGGTCAGGGCCAAGGAGTTCAATCAGGGTCTGCTGGCGGATGCTGCTAAATTAATCAGATGAATACTTCCGAAATGCCTCTCAATGTGTGCCATGCTCTTCCTCTGGTGTGAATTGATTTCATGAAGGCTGGTGTCAACAGTGGGTCGTTTGTTAAATGGGTTGTCAATTTGGGCTTGTTTTTCATATCTGTTTGCGCCCATGACAGCTTCATGAAAAACTAATGTCACGCCCCAACAGTTATGTTACGTATCCCTACATTTTTTCTATGTCAAGATTATTCCTCTTGTCTTCCCCTCGATCTTGTTTTTAGAATGGGTCTGTCCTTGTTTTCCCTTTCATATGTTTTGATGTCAGTGTAACTTGTTTCCTTACCATCATCGACCTGTTTCCTAATACAATCACATTGCCTGGTCTCCTTATTCCAGAAAAATTCGATGGGCCATGGCTGTTATTAACTGGCTATGTGCAGCCTTTTGTCTTCCGCAGCCTCCTCTTTCACTCATTAATATGGCATGGTATTTGTTAGGCCAGCAGTGTGGTTTATGCTTGCAGCACATGCTTCAAATCAACTTTAAGACACAGACGCATTTCTGAATTAATGGTAATATATTATCGGAGACTTCGTGGCTTTGTATTTCGACTAGGCACTCTACTCCACATATAAGTCGAGGCAATAGTAAGACGGTTTTATCGTCCCAGTTAGCGGCCAACCCACGCGGTCATGGTGGCTATCGCCCAAAATTTTTGTGCTAGGGCTCTATCCCTAAGGTACCCAGTGCAAGACTAGTGTGAGTATCGCCTCCGGCCCTCATAGCAATTGGTAGAAAGAGGTTGTCTCTTTCTCACGGCTTCTCTTGATAACAAGCAAATGCATCGTATGTGGCAGACAAAGACCGTGTACGGATATCAGCGACCAGCCGTATTTGCAAAATCCATCAGAGAGACTCGCAAAGGATCTCCCACCGACGAGGTTAGCATTCAATTACAAAGTTATATCCTGCCTTGGCACCAGACGCCCTGCTTACGCCGTACCTTGACGGGCGTTTCTTGGACACATGCTTGCTCTGCCCAGGATGAAGGCGGGGCGATGCTCCGGAGTGTGAGCGGAAAGGCAGCCGGTGGGTCTGCCTCGGAATCCGTGGCTTGTGGCTTCATCATCTTGTGCTACTTTTTAACCAACTACGAAGCACCTCTATTGCCATATATATATCGGGATGACTCCAAGTACTGCGGTCTTGCTGATTACACCCGACTCAATAATGAGAGCCAAGAGTGCTGAGAGCCGAGAGTGCAAATGATCCAAACGCGAATCACCCGGGGCGCGGGAGTCTAGCATGGAACGCTACCTCATTCATATGCAATAATCTAGCCCATCACTAGGGAAAAAAAAAGGTAAAAAAGGAAAAATCATGATAAAATTCAGAATAAAAACTCGAGTCTTGCGGCCGCGCATGTCATGCTTGCGGGAGGGAGAAGGGACCCCGTCATTGCCAGCCAGCCAGCCAATGGACGATGTCATCAGATAAAGCCGAGGCATCGTGCGGCAACGGGTTCATATGAAGCCAGTCCCAAACTCCCCAGACCCATTGACCCGCTGCCGATGTGTTCTCGTGTGCCCAAGCAGTAGTCAGGAATTTGTCTTGCGCCAAAAGGGAAATTTAAAGGAGACGATCGGCCTGGGCTTGTAGGAAAGGAATTTTTCTTTTTCTTTTTCTTTTTTTCTCTCTTCTCTTCGCTCCGAAATATCGAGTTGAATCACAGTCCAACGCTCCCTCATCAACTGTATCCGCTCCTTTGGTACCTCACGAAATAGTCAAACGTCCGAGCCTATTTTATACAGCTCTTCTATTCATACGCTCACCATCGAATAATTATATCTCACAGCTAGCGCCAGAAAACCGGATTTACCGATAAGCATCTTGTGCAACGTCGACATGTCTCAATCAAGCAGTTCAGCAGCTCAAAAGCCGAAAGTGGCCGCGATTGCCGCGCAGCAGAGTGACAATATTGCGCATGCTTTGGCCGGTGCAGGAGGTGGAATCTTGTCTATGATCTTAACGTGCGCCTCCCTTGATTATCAGATTTGACCCCCATACTAGCCCACCGCCATTTAATGACCTAGCTAACCGTGATGGTGATGTCGTTCGCTACGTATAGCTACCCCTTAATAACCCTTTCCACTCGAGCGCAGGTTGAGTCCAAGCGCGCGCAATCCTCTAGCATCGACGCAGTGCGCCACATCATCAAGCGTGAGGGTATTAAAGGCTTATACGCCGGACTCGAATCCGCCCTTTTCGGTATCAGTGTCACCAATTTTGTGTATTATTACTGGTACGAATGGACCCGCGCAGCTTTTGAGAGAGCGGCGAAGAAGGCGGGACGGGCATCGAAGAAACTTACTACTGCGGAATCGATGATTGCTGGTGCTATCGCAGGCAGCGCAACCGTGCTGATCACCAACCCCATCTGGGTTGTGAATACCCGGATGACTGCTCGCAACTCCGAGGCCGAGGAGGCTCTCCCCGGAGCACCCGCGAAGAAGCCTAAGACGACGCTGAGCACCTTGATGGACCTCCTCAGGGAGGAGGGACCCAAGGCTCTTTTCTCTGGCGTTTTGCCGGCTCTCATCCTCGTCATCAACCCTATCCTGCAATACACATTCTTCGAACAGTTGAAAAACACGGTGGAGAGGAGGAGAAAGGTTACTGCCACAGATGCGTTCTATCTCGGTGCACTGGGAAAGCTGCTTGCTACCACTATTACTTATCCGTACATCACGGTGAAGAGCAGAATGCATGTTGCTAGTAAGGATGGTCCAAAGGAGAGCTTGAATGGAAGTCTGAAGAGAATTATCAAGGAAGAGGGGTGGGGTGGCCTGTACAAGGGTAAGTTTATATTGTTTTGCACGACTATTAATGTCCCGGAGATGTACTAATATGGATTTTTCTTTTTCTGGATAGGTATTGGCCCGAAGGTCAGCCAGAGTGTTCTCACTGCTGCCTTCCTCTTTGCATTCAAGGATGTCCTTTACGACACCATGGTTGCTGCTCGGAGGCGAGCAATTCGCAAGTAACCAGTACAGATGGACTATTGTGTATACTTAACCCTGTAACTCGACCAGGGCTATCGGTCACAGCTGACAAAGTCAAAAGCTCACACAAGGAGTTTACCGTCCATATTTGGAAAAATATCCCAGAATGTACAGTTGTTCGAAGATGTGGCTTGTTTAATTGGGCAATTGCGGTGGTCATTTTTAAGGACTTCTTTTTAATTATCACAACTTCACAAGGAGTTCATGCAGAGAGAGGAGAGGGCAGTTATTATTGGTCCTTATAAAATTTTTTTGTATATATCGTATTCATCATTTTGTCCCCATTATTTTGTCGTTAACCATGCAACTCTCTCCATTTTGGTGCCCGAAGCTAATGCAGCGACAATATGGAGTTCAGAGCTATTTCTGGGCTCAATGAAAAATTCCTGACGAAAACGGAATATCTGTTAATGCGTTCCGGTAGGCGCCTGATACCGTCAGGCTCCAGGCCAGCCTGACGGGTTTCACAACGCGATCCTGAGTTCTTGGGCGTGAGGTTTGGTTCAGCTATTGTGAACACTCTAACCAAGTAACCCGTTTTGTAACATATGTTTCCAAACGATATTCTAGATAAGCCAAGGTGAGTGCAATTTCCTCCCCGGGGTGTCTGAGATGGATTCTACTCCCTTCAAGGCTTCGTCTACTATCCCAAATAAGGTACTGCAAGGCTAATCTTTTGCTGTATGCAGACTTCACGGGTCATAATCCAACCACTTTTACGTATCACTGGGTTATTCGGGTTCTCGACGACTTTTGAGGCTCGGATGAAAACATCAACGTCGATCCTCTGTTGGTTGTTGGTTGAGGGGAAGCTTTCACCTCGCGACCAACAGCTCAGAACGAACTCCCGTCTCTACATTTACCTTGAAAGTTTGCCGAGTAAAACTATGGCGAGATAATGTTGAGCAATTGGTGGAATAGATGATACGATATCAGCAGAGATCATCTCATCTAAATGTCACATCGTTGGCGACGCTGTATCCCGTTACAAAATCAAGCTCACAGAGAAGGATATAACACGAAATTAACTTTCTTTTTACCGATCGGTACACAGAGCAAATGGAAGTGTCAAAACTCAGAGAAAAGTGGGTAATAAGAAGTAGCTATTTCTTTTACCCCGATTGAAGGGTAAATGTATGCGTTGACAAACCGAGTGAACCGCTAGTATCCTATGAAAGCAAGACGAGGCGGGCTTAGCTTGGGAGAAGGTTTTCGAGCAGCCCAAAGGGAACGGAACTCCTATATTTCCGCACAAAAAGCCCAACCCGGCGGACGGTTGGAGACGTCGCGCTCCAAGAACGTAGTGGATATGAATGCCACTTCCAAGGATCAACGCCAAATTCCAAGGGATTTCACCTCCCCAGAGAGGGATGACTTTGACGAATCGGACCTTGACTCACGGAGGCGACTGTTACTCCGTAAATTTACCTCCCACCATCTGCCGAGTTCAAAAAGTCCGGTAGAAATCCCGAAAGAAGAGCCGGCTACGTCGCCTCCCAACTTGTTGAAGCGCAGAGCAGACTCTATATCCAAGGATATCGAAGGCCATGGGACCGCTGATGCGCAGATTGCTGGTGAAATCGAGTACTCAGTTGCAAGTGCTCAGATGGAATCAAGAGTTTCACCAGTACAGGAAAGTCGAGAGCAATCGAAGGAGATAATTCCACCGTTTAGACTTCAAACTTATAACGATCACTTTAATGAGCCTAACGGACATCAAGTTCCAGTTCTAGAAGTGAGCGAAGATTCGATCGAGACAGGCGTCTGCGTCTCAAGAAGGGTACCTGATGAGACACCGCTGCGGAATGAACTGCCACCTTCTAATATACAATTCCCACAAAGGACGTTCCTTGATGGACGGGAAAACGCAATCACAACGGTTAAACGTTCGCCTCTTAATGATGCTGGTTTATCGAATGGGAAAGAGTGTAAACATACGAAGGCGTCTTTCTCGTCATCGGAGAACGCTGTGCGCTCAAATATGGCAGGGAATAAGATTCTAAAGTGGATCGATTCTTCACCATTGAGGTTCAATACTTCGAAGAACAGACGTGGAGTCGGACCTGACTCGTTTCCTCCGGCAGACTCCAACGGGCAAATTAATCACCCAAACATCGATAATACACATCCATACCGATCTATACAGTCGAGCATAAACGGCGCCGACGAAGGTCTACACGAGGGGCCGAAAACCCCTCTTTCAGGACCCTGCTTCTTTGCGACATCAAGTGACAGGCTAGCTGAAATAGTCGAGATTCATTCGAGTATATCTCCCTCGACAATGGTCGGAAACGAACCCGACGAGGTGATTGATTTGGGCGAACCATCTTTATCTGCCTTGGACTCCTCAAATGCCAATTCCGACCAACAGCCTGAGTCATTGTATTCGTCCCTCCGTAGCCAGAAGCAGCCAAATAAGGCTCCAGATAAGGTCTCCGGATCTGGGCAACTGGCACCCTTAAATATGAAAAGCTCCCTCGTGCAGTTGGATGGGCGGTCCACAATATCTTATTCTTCCTCATTTGATTCAACCGCATTGGACAAGAGAGCAAGTGAAAAGCCAGGTGGGACATCACGGTTGTTGTGTTCATCCTCCTCTAATGTGATGTCTACAAACAACACATTGGACGAATACGGTGCCCGCCATGCTTGTTTAGAGTCCCATTCCCACCCGTCAAAGCCGGGAAAATCCCATCAAAACAACCTGAGTGTTTCCCCACCAACAACCAGTGCTCCTGCTCCTTGTGATAGTGACCCACTGATAAAAGCTAGACGAAAAGCTTCAAGTCTTCTACAAAGAGACGAGTCTTTTTCTTCTTGCCCTTCTCCAAACAAAATTAATCGAACAGTCACACCACAGTCACAGTTTCAAGAATTCCCGACAGCATCCCAGCCGAAAACCGAAGCAGCTTCTTTTTCTGCTGCCACTAGAGGTATTCGTTGGAAAAACAAATTCCAAGCGGAATTTAATCACTCCAGTTCAACCAAATCTGCGGCTAAAACATCAAAGCCACAGATGTTGGACAGTATTGATGCTTCCGCTACTAAAGCGCCTGTAAGACGTTCTACCAGGCATAGGAACGCTCCCATAAATTATTACGCGCGACCTCAAGGTTTCCACCGAGGCAGGGACATACCGGAGTTGGCCATCGATGAACTAGAAGAAAGCACGCCGGAACCCCTTCCCGAAGCCACAACCTCTCCGAACCGAGTTGCAGCCAAGCCCGCCACGCAGCATAAAGTCGTATATCAGTGCAGGGATTTCCATATAACCCGTGAGCCTTTGTTGTTGGAGACGACACATTCGATCGCCGAGAAAATTGACCAACAACACGTTCCATATTTTGATCGAGGGTCTAGAGATGACCCGTCGAAGTTTTTTGGCAGCGATATTGTCCATGTTGACTTTGATCTCAGCGAAATGAACGCGATGTATAGTATACTGACTGACAGTGGTCCTGTTACAGACGACGACATTCCCATTCAAGCAGTAGTATCGCATGCCGTGATAAGTTTTGCCAGTAAAGGCGGAGATCTCGATACATTCGGTCGGCGCATTCACTACCTTCGAGCAATTAAACGTTATTTACGCCACCAGAAGCTAGCTGTTGGCGACTTCCTTATTCAAGCGAAAAGTGGAAATGTTGATGGTATAAAGAGTATGAAGCCAAAAATCATCGAGAAATTATCGAGGTGCCTGACAAAAGTGTTCAACATTCAATTGGATAAATACCCTCGAACTCCGCTAGCTAAATTGGGGGAGGTACTCACAGTCCTGAAAATAGAATGGCTCCATAAGATGACTACACAATGTCGACATTTGGACAATCTCCTATTTCGAGATATGGACGATATTCAAAGATTCCTGAAAGACGCCAAGGAAGAGGTTCTTAATCCCTTTCCCTCTCTTCTTCGTATTGTGGAAGGGGTTTCCCAATGTCACCTCCGTTTCGACGATTATGAACCATTGGCTCTTTTAAGATCTCGAGAGCTAGGATACTCCACTCATCGAAACCGGATTCGAATCAGCCGTCGCCTCGAAGACGTACAAAATTGGGAATTGTGGAAATCTTGGACAGGCGCTTCTAATGATGTGTTGGTGCTGTCGTGGTCTCCAGACAGTACCCGTTTCGCAGCTGGTGCTGCTGCTCAAACTGATGACCACAATATGCAATATAACCGGAACAATAATTTACTTCTTGGAGACCTTACCGTAGGTAGGCTCAAGGAACTACCCGACCATCGCATAGAGAGACCTGTCCTGGACTCGGGCCCAAATTCACACAGTACCTATATTATGGTTGATCCGAATCTGTATATGACTGTTACCGCGATGCATTGGACCAATTGTGGTAACCATCTCTATACTGCTAGTTTCGACAAAACTGTGAAATTATGGGATGTATCGTCTCATGAAGACGCCCGGTGTATTAACACTCTCAGACACCACGGAAGGGTACAAGAAATGGCCATTTCTGAATTCGACAACCGCCTTGTGGCTACGGGATGTGATGGCCCGTCTTTCTTGCTATGGCGGGCTGAGGGTGACGAATGTTCCGAGTCCACTCATCTTGAATTCCGGCGGGATAAGTGCGCGGGAATGACACCATCATCTCTTCAGTGGGGGAGAACATCGCGAACCAACAGATTCCTGGTCGGAGGATTGACTAGCGAGGATCCTTCAAATACTCATGATCCCAGTAAATTCGGATATCTTACCCTCTGGCAAGTTGGAGAAGCAGCTGTGTCACCTCTAAATATCACCCCCAACACACAAAATATATTTGATGTTGCCTGGCATCCGAGCTTGAATATTTTCGCAACAGGTTGCACAGTTCCCTCTGCTGCTCGCAGTCATGGGTACGGTTCGGAGACTCGGTCACTGGTTCGCATCTATGATCCTTTAAATAGCAAATGGGCTATTCACTGTTATGATTGCCCTGCTCTAGACATCAACCAAGTGACGTTTTGTCCTGCCGATGAGGATTATATGACAGCGAGCTGCACTGATGGAGTGACCTATGTTTGGGACTACCGCAACCCGAAAGCGATATTGCATAAGCTCAGGCATGGAGAGCCGATCAGTGATTTGAACCAGGATCTCAGGCGCGAGCAAGCTGACGTTGGAGTCCGCTGCTCTGTCTGGGGAAAGGGCTTTGAATTCTACACGGGCGCTTCAGACGGTATCGTAAAACGGTGGGACATTCGTTTGGCTCCTGAAGATGTTTTCCGAGAGAACGTAGCGTCATTTAACCAGGAACTTATGTGCGCCTCTATGTCTCCCGACTACACCAACATGGTTTTCGGTGACGCTTCAGGGGGTATTCACGTGATTTCAACTTCTCCTTGGGGAAGGTCAGATGATAATTTCTCATCTTTTGACTTTGAAAGAGCACCACAAGCCAAATCCAAGGATGCTGTTTGTGAAGAGTCTATTTCTGGCATACAGGAGGCAGCGAAATTGATTTCATCCGGTGAACTTCTAGCTCACCCCATATTTGGACCTGGTCAAGGCCCACATTATAATGGGCCATATGCAGCATGGGCTCGTCCCGAAAAAACTCTACCTGAAGAAATGGCCTTTACGCCGTTAAAGCCAGAAGTACAAGCAACACAGTTTAGAGGTCCTCCACTCCATGAACGACGAGGGCTGGATAAACAGACGCGTGAAAGACTCGCCAAACTGGTTGAATTATCAGCCACCCGAAACCGAAGACACGGCAAAAATAAACGGAAACGAGATGGTTTTTTAACTCTTAATTCAAAGCGTACAGTCGCTTTTCAGCCCAGAAGTACACCGTACTCCTCTCGAAAGATTGATGCCCATGCAAGTTTCAATTCAAGACCAAGAAGTATGCCTTGGAGCTCTTCAAATCAACCAAAGCACAAGCAGGTTAAACCTGCATTCAAGGTTGATCCATCCAATTTTATTGATTTAACCCTAGACTCAAATGAGGAGGGTTCTGTTCAAGAAATTTGCCTATCTGAATTCAACAAACAGCCAGATAACAAAGAGGAAAACGATGAGTTTGAGGAAGATCACTGGTGGCCAGTAAATGTTCACCCAAACTTTTAAGCCTTAAGTCTTGATTCTTGAAAATAATAGCTGCAAATGCTACAAATCAATTTGATTTGAAAAGCACGCACAATTAAGCCTTAAAACTTTTGGGTTCAAATATTTGCATTAACTGTAAGGATTCACCCGCGAACCCCTTACACAGACAAACAACACCCACAAGGGCTGGGAGCCGCTCGCGAGATGTTGGGAGTGGATGTGTACTACACAAGACACACTGTCACATGTTCACAAGCACACGTAAAAGGGCCTCCTTGAAGTTGCATGTCTGTTGCACATGCATGTTTTCAGTGGTCAGCTAGTGACAGTTCCATCACATTATTCATTCTGGCGGCATGGCAGACTAGTTAACTAGTTAGTTATGATCTCATTCCAAGCCATGAAGCCATGTCTAGAGCTCTTTGTTAGGACCTGGAAGGCAGTAGTTTGATAGAATCTAGGGCTTAGGGCTAGGGCTGCGGAAATCGCCTGCAGGCTGTATATAGTGTCACTCCACCCCAGGCACCCTTTTCTCTCACCACCTTAGTATTTCGTTGAAATAGCTTACCTAGAAGTTCGGCAATGAGATTCTATTCTTCTGCACCTAGATTCGAAGCCCTAACACTCTTCTTCGCTTTCCAGCTGCTGTTCCTGAATTATCAAGCGTATAAATCCCACTGAGAAGTGAACTTTAATGTATCGACAAGGTACTGGATCTATTGTGCTATTGGAAGGGTTTCGGATCGGATATTCAGCAGTTATCAGGTTAATATCGCTATAGCACTCTAGATAATAATCATACAGCATCTTCAGCCGTGTTTCCTTGCGTCTTCGCCGCCTTTGATGCGGGTCGGCGCATTTACGCTCTGTATCTAGTTCATTAATGTGGTCTGACGGCCGGCATGCCATGATTGAACAGAAAAGGGATATACAGGAATGCAATCATCCATAGAAGAATTTAAAGAATTTCATAGGCAGACAGTGCAGGACACTGGGAAGGAAACGGGACTGTTTATAAAGAGCTGCATGACCACGAATTTTCAAAAAAGCCACAAACTTTTCAGACCACCACACTTGTGGCCTTGTAGAATCGATTCAAATCTACCTAAAATAGCATCAACACGATAAAAAGGCATTACAGTATGCTGGTCCTCAATTCTGTGTACTGCCTTTCAGGTCTCCCCCAGCTTTGATGTACACGAGTTTCTACCTGACGAGAAAATTGATGAGTAAGCAAGCTTCAACTCCCAACATCTCGCGAGCGGCTCCCAGCCCTTGTGAGTGTTGTTCGTCCGTGTAAGGGGTTTGCGGGTGAATCCTTACAAAATACCATGGACAGAAGGTTGCTAAGAGATTTCATGCAACAATTTCAGTGTCCACCTCCCATAATCAGCATTTTTAGGGGTAGCAATTCTAATATAAGTAGGATAGCAGAGTATCAGAAACACAATACTCATTTCTCATACCTATCATTTTACTCTGCGAATCAGCTGTAGCCTCCCGACTAAATTACTTTGTTGGGCACCATTGTAACATTGTAAGTTGGAAAACAACTTTTTTTTCTCAGCTAAAAATATGGGTCTTGTGAATAACAGGCGAACCATTTCAAGTTTTCTTCAGACAATTCATATAGGGGCATCAAGCAATCATCAGCTGTCTTGATGCATGTGGTATGGTAGTAGAGGCTATAGATGATTGGTCTCTGCCCCTATACCTTGTCATCAGCTGAACAATTGTTATATCTCTTCCTGTGATTGCCTCATCCAGTGGTGTCCATCCATTATCCATTCTTGCATCAGTATTTGCACCCTTATCCAGCAGTTGCTGAACAATTTCCATGTTGCCCTCCTTAGCTGCTTCATGAAGTGGTGTCCATCCACTATTCATCTTTGCACTAAGATCAGCACCATTATCAAGCAGTTGTTGTACAATTTCCTTGCTTTTTCTCTTAACTGCTTCATGTAATGGTGTCCATCTGTTATCAAAGTTTGCATTCACCTCAGCATCCTTTTCAATCAGCAGTTGAACAATATCAATCTTCTTTTTCTTCACTGCTTCATGTAAAGGTGTCCATCCACTATCTGTTCTTGCATTTTTATTGGCATCATTATCCAGCAGTTGCTGAACAATTTCCATGCTCCCCCTATTAGCTGCTTCATGTAGTGGTGTCCATCCATTATCTGTCCTTGCATCTTCTTTAGCATTATTATTCAGCAGCTGTTGAACAATTTCTGTGCTGCCCTGCTTAGCTGCTTCATGAAGTGGTGTCCATCCATTATCCATTCTTGCATCAATATTCGCACCCTTATCCAGCAGTTGCTGAACAATTTCCATGTTGCCCTCCTTAGCTGCTTCATGAAGTGGTGTCCATCCACTATTCATCTTTGCACTAAGATCAGCACCATTATCAAGCAGTTGTTGTACAATTTCCTTGCTTTTCCTCTTAACTGCTTCATGTAATGGTGTCCATCTGTTCTCAAAGTTTGCATTAACATCAGCACTTTTGTCAATCAGCAGTTGAACAATATCAATATCCTTTTTCTTCACTGCTTCATGTAAAGGTGTCCGTCCATTATATGTCCTATCATTCATTCTTGCATCAACAATGGCACCTTCTTCTAGCAGCTGCTGCACAATTTGTTTGACCCCTCCTTTTGCTGCTTCATGCAGTGGTGTCCATCCATTATTCATTCTTGTATTGATACTGGTACCATCAGTATCCAGCAAGTGCCGTATAATTTTCCAGTTTTTTCCCTTAACTGCTGCATGAAACACCGCCCAACCATTTTCCATCCTGGTCTTGGCATTTGCCCCAGACATTAGCAGCTGATGCACATCAGCAAAGTCCCCTTTGTTGACTGCATCAAAAAGCCGTATTGCTTTTTCAGCCTCTTCAATAATTGGTGTGACTGAGCGCTTATAAGTTAAGTTTATTGCATCTTCAGGAGCAGTTTGTTGCGCACTGGGGGATGAGCCATAATTATCCCTAGCAGTGTCTTTGTTCAACTTTCTGCGCAATTCCGGAAGAGGCTCCAGAATTTTTCGAAGGTAACTAGCCATATCCGAATAATTTTGTCCATAGATCAAACTCCTTAGTGGCCTGTAGTCTGAGATGTCCCCTTTTTTAACCAATGTGAAGTGTTTTTCAGGGATATTCTTCTGATATTCCCTGACCCAGTTTAGAAGAGGTCCAAAATTTGGATCGTTAAGGCCAGCCCCGCAGCCGACGAAGAGAACTGTGTCGAACATCAAGAACTTTTCAAGCATATACTTTACTTCAGAATTCACAACGCGAACGTAGTCAGTGGTGTTTAAGATGACATCTTGTGGCCGGTCATAGCTTCCATGTAAATGGAAGATGCCGTCTAAGTGACCACTTTTAAATCTTCTGATGTCATCGGGATTGTCAGAGGGAGAGATCGATCGGAGCTTTTCGCCATGATCATCCAAAATATGGTCGTAATTTGTAGTGACGAGTATAGCCCCCTCTTTATGCAAATCTTTCAGCACATCCAATATCGCGTGCTGATGAACTTTCAAGCCCGAGAAAATATTTGTCAGCCATGAGGCGAGCTCATTGTAATCAGTCATTAGACCTTTCATAATATTTATCGCATCCATTGAACTGCCAGCAGAGTTGATTTCCAGTAAAGCATTTGCGCTTATGATTCTGTCCTTGTCTGGGCCAGTAATTAAGGGCAATTCGGACAAGTATCTGAGCCCATGTCTAATCAATCCACTCCAAGTCAATTTTTCCAAGTGTTCTCCGGAGTTTTGTTGAGTGGCATTGAGTGTAACCCCTGCACCTGTGACAATAACGAGTTTATGTTTCAAGAGTGCTTCGGTTATGGGCTGAATGCTCCCAGCCTGCGTCTTCTCGCTGTTACATTCTTGAGTCGCCATTTCGTCAATCTTCATTGATGTTTGCTGCATTGCTTGATGGTTCCTGCTTGGTTTATCCCCATTTATTCTAAATCTTACGCAGAAATCCTTCTCTTTAGTAGGAAATTCTTAACTAGAGAGATGAATGATGTCATCATCATGTTACTTCTTTGAATAGCAGGATTTTTTTGGTGATTCTTGAGTTCTTAACTGGTACTATGTAGGTCATAAGTAGCTCTGGACTCTCAAGTTCAAATAAAAACACTTCCGAGTAACTTAGCAGTTGGTGAGATTAGCCTATCTTTTACCTTTGGCGTGGCCAAAACCAGCAGATATTAGGGTTTAGGTTTGGCCCAAACAATAGGAGTGATATCACCTTTCTGTGAGAATCATACTTCGCGGATCAGTGTGGCAATGGATCTCTAGTAGGAATTGTATGTGGAAAGAAATAACTCCGTACATGAAGGTAAAGTCTTATATTCTTCTAGCAACTGTGTATGACTGTAGACAAGATTGCCACTGGCCTTTATTAAGAGGTTCGCGCAGTGGCTCTCCTTTAACGTAATCCACTACCGAGCGAAACAACCCACCGAGCAAAACAGCAAAATCTTCCACCTACTAATTTCTCGAAGGGCCTACAAGGCTACTAACCATATGCGGAAGCTATAGGAACCACATAATGTGAAACTCCATACATTCGTGCCCCTCGCTCTCCCACCTTCTTAGAGGTTGAGATGAGAACCGGGATGAAAAACTCTGCGTCGGATCAAAGAAGATCCGAGCCGCTCAGCTGGATGCTCATTTTCTGACGATACTCAGCTCGTACTGCGGCAGCGTGATCACTATTGACTGTTTCCTTGGAAGCCACTTTGACTGGTGCCATGTCCACCAATATTCTAAGAAAATGTCCTTCATCACTAATTATCCCTTTCTTTGCATCCGCTAGCTCATCGGCATTCATGTAATTCCATCTCTCGAAGCGCTCTACCTCCTTTCCTCTATCAGGGCCATCGTAGTGAATGGGAATCCAAAAAAGCATCCAGAAGAAAGACTCGAGATCCTGCATGCATGAACGTTTTTTTCGCCATATAAAACCCCGATAGCCATGAACGCCCTGGTACCAGTCTTGTCACGTGCACCAGAGAACTGCCAGGTCGAGGAAGCGATCAGGAAAGATTCCGGGGAGATATCGCATTGAATCATGCCAGCCTTCTGACAGAGAGAATCATACCCTTCAGTATAGTCTTCTAGCCCGGAAAGGAGAGCGACCTTCGCTGCTTTTGTAAATATGCTTCCCGCAGTCACGAACAACAACGCGACGGTGCACTCGCAAGCCCACCCAGGCTGTGAGAAACAAAGACAAGAGGACGGGCAGATGCATCACAACAAGCTCTGTCTCGTCAAATCATGCAGAAGATTTATAGCATGATCCCTCAGCGGATTAGATGATGCAACTGATTTTCGCACAATATAGGCGTCATATTCATATGTGAGTATGCAAGCTTTGCTGAGCTTGGGTGGGAGCAGTGTCTTGGGCCAGGGTGTGGACTGGCCATGGGCGGTCCAAGTACTCTCTCGATCTCCAGTCAAACCATGGACAAAACAGATGTCTATCGTCGCTTCTGGGGGTCTATACAGCGCTTTAACCTGTCTGGGAAAGAAGAAATCGGCGTGGGACTCTCAAAGGACCTTAAAAATCCTGAAAGTATCCAGGAGGCAGGTCATCAACACAGATGGCTCCAAAACTTTCGCTCTCAAAGCTTGACTTCATTAGTGACATGATATGGAGCAAAACATGCGATACGGACGCCAGTATCTCGAGGTCATGTTAGCTAAGAACGGAATCGGGTGCGGTTTAGATGGACATGCCTCTCGACCATTCAAGTTTCAGTTTCAAGTAGCGATATCGCATCCTCATACGCCTTGATAATAGGATCATACAACGTTTTTGGGTCTTGCGGGGTGCCAATGATAAGTCCCTTCTTCCCGTAAGGAAAAAGTATGTCCCGGATGGCTCTGCAGAGCGGCTTGATACAGTCAAGATATGGAGGAAATTCCTTCATCAAAATATGCTCAAATTCGCCAGCTTCCATGTTGCCTTGTTTGTAAGTTGCAATTTCCTTATAGTTGCCAGTATACCATCTTTTTAGAAGGCTGTCTTTGGGCTGCTCCAGTCCCTGTTTTGATTTTCTCCAACTGTGGCGTGCGCATTGCCAGATAAGCACATAGAAGAAAGACTCAAGATCATAACAATAAGTGTGATCCACATTGAGTAGCACCTCAATTGCCATAAACTCCATCATTCCTGTTTGGTGTTGTGTGCTGCTTCACCCGCTGCTGACCTTCTTGGCAAGGTCAAGGTCAATAAGCATGCCTGACCTGCCGCCAACCCTGTTAGAATTGGTTATAATTATGTCACTCTGTCTCTGAGCTGATGAGGTTCTTCTTGCTCATTGTTAAGAAGTAGACACCACACATGTCCAAGAGAAAGTTGTCCTGGAACTGGAGTCACCAGTCAAGAACAGTACTTTGCAATGGGGGATCAGGGAACTTGGCCCATTCACTGTTGCTGCCAGATTCCAGGACACATCAACAGATGGCATCCACCCTGATGCTCCAATCCTTTTCTTCAAAATATTTGGTGAAGAAGCCCTCCATATCTTGAAAGGTGCACCCACAACTCTCTTTAAAATATCCTCCCTTCCACCAGCAGACATGTCTGCTCAGGTCCTTTCTGTGATGATAATGTGAATCTTACTGGCGTAGCATTGAATGAGGGGGGAATGCTTGATGGTGGGGTTTCGCGAGAGATGGTGTTGATGAGATCAAGGACTGCTTTCCAGATATCTGTATCGGGTGCTTTCTCAAGGATGAGTTGGACAAGTGGGCGATAATGATTGTAGTTGAAGTTAGCTTCGACGTGCCGAAATAAGCCAGCCAATTCGGATGCCATGCTTTGGTCACCTGTTTTCGAGCGAAGATTGAATGCTGCATCCTGCCCTTGTAAAATATAAAGCAACTTTAGAACACCCATTCGACAATCTTCATTTCCTGGCCCGCCGGGCCTGTACGCTTGCTCGGCGTGCTGAAGGCGACCCAATATTGGCTGAAGGAAATTATATTCAATTGGATACTTCTTGACAGTCTCGTCAAGGGAGGAGTTCGCCATGTTGACTAGAAAATGCTTGGATATAAATTAATCGCTCATAGTTCAGAACACAAAAAAATATTAAAGATGCCGCAAAAGATAGGTTATATATTCTATGGGAAACGAGAGAGAATAGAGTGGGCGGCGTTAGTTAACTGCCAAAGGAAGGATCCCCTCAACTTTACAGGATGGGAACAAAAGACCTCCTGTATCGCTCTGTAGGACTTACTAGCCTAGCACGGTTAGCGCGGAGTTGGCCTCATAAGTCGACTAACTGGTTGTGGTTAGGCTGGCCTCGGAAATACAGGATACGCCTTTAATTAACTTGGTGCCTATCGTGCTCCACAATAGCTTCAAGCACAGGTTTATACCGCACAAAGAGTTGAAGTCGGCAACCTAGCTGCGAGCCCTAAGTCCTGGCTTCTTCCCTAAAGCCATAGTTACTGATATCAGGACATAAGCTTAGGAATGAGTTGGCTACTTATTGAATATGCTGTTCAAATTGGACTAAGTATGGGTTACTCCGTACTAGGCTCCTCAGGTAGCTACTAAGTATACTAGTCTGGGATGGTGGGGTAGTAACTAGATGACCATCATAGTACGGAGTAGCCACGGTCCATACGGAGTACTCCGTACATAGTGTGAAATTTAACTCTATCATTTTGATTATTTGACCTGCTCCATATCGTGAAAATATTAATCAATATTGAAGTCTTAAGCCTTACGCTTTCCTCAAGATAAAGACTGCTCACCCGGATTGGCATAAAATCTAAAAAAGTAGTAGTTGAGATACAACCAATATGCTACACCTCGCACGTAGGCAAGAAAGACAAGTTGAATAAACAAAAAGTCAAGGAGTGAAGACCCAGTCGCCACATAGGGTTGTTAGTGCAGAACAACACTAATTAGCCCGCCTGACCAGACTCCTGGAGCGCAATCATTTATTCCGCATCGCGACATCAGCGTCGCGCATTATGGGATAACCACCCAAACTCCCAAGAGATGCGACCCTGAACACCGACACCGTAGCATCAAGTTAATTATATGGCAACTGATCAATCAAACCCGCCGAAATCACCTCCATCGGCAAAACCATCCTGGTACCCGTCCCCATGATCTTTATCCAACGCATTGGCCAACAGTGCACCACCCAATAATCCACCGCCCAGACCCAAAGCCGCAGCACCTGCCATTCCCATTCCGCTGCCACCACGCCCGCCACCCATCCTGCCAGGTTGCATGCCAGGCTGTCCATAGGGATTTTGGTACGGTGGGTATTGAGGTGCGTGATAACCCCCTGCACCTTGGGGCGGGTAGCCCCCGTATGGCTGTTGTTGAAGTGCGTAACCATACTGTGGTTGCTGCTGTGCTGGGGTAGGGTAGTAGCTTGGTTGCTGCGGCCGGGATGAAGATGGTGCATGCTGCCTGGCTTTGTCCAGTAATTTTCCGAAGAAGCCTCCTTTTGCACGAGTCTGCAGCTGGCTTGGCAATGTTGATGAAGCCGTGGCGATGGTGCTATAGTTAGCAGAGGGATTCGAAGCCCTTGAGTTTGGTTCTGTGTTGTTCGCCTCAAGGACGCAATCATATCCTTGTTGCCTGGCTCGCTCATTTTCTTCTTCTTGAAGCTGTGCGGCAAGCCTTGCATCCTCATCAATCATCTTATTTGGATCCGGTGACTTTACTGGGCCTTTTGTATCTGACACGACAGGCGATCCCGGAAGCATTGTGCTCGAATTATCGGAAATTTGGGATTTGTACGGATTGTTCGAGCCAAGCGCTGATTGCGTTGCGTGTGGCCCTATCTTCTGATCTGGACCAGAACCAACCGCGCCCACCGCCGAAGGTGGACCTGAAGCTTCATATGATGGTGGAGGAGAAGATGGACTGGTAGGAGGGTGGGAAGGATGTGGAGCAACGGCCTCCGTCGGCGGAGGATTCCATTGGGAAATCCCGGTGCTCAAATCAACATAATACCTAAATATATTGACAATATTAGAAAAAGCTGCCACAAACATAATACAAACAATAATAGCTCAGGTGCTTACCATTCTTTATACCCATCATGGTACTCTGCCTTCCAGCCCTCAGGAACGCGGGCCGGAGGAGGACCAGATGGAGGAGCAAACGACATCAGCAGAGGTAGCTACTTTGTCAGAAAAACAGCCAAAAACGAAATTTAGTAGGAAGCCTTGTATCTGTAATTTTCTATACTAGGCGCCTTTGGAGATGACTTTATATAACAGACAGGTGATGATGATGATGATGATGATGATAATGAAGACGAGATGCGATGCACGGATCGAGCTGAGGGCCGAGGATGTGACGTTATGTAAGTGTTCATTGCGCCGCGCTTGCTCAGCCACTGTCCGATTCGTGGCGCGCCGCCTTCAGCGGTGGTCACGTGTAATTGCTTGGCGGTTGTTCTGGCCGAGCTGGACGCAAAAGGGAAGAGCCGGCAACAGCCATGGCATGGCCCTCGCAGCAACATTTCAGCGGAATGGGAAACGTGGAAGCTCCCGACGACGTAGGGAAGTATCAACCGAAAATAGTGTATCATGGGCTCCAATGTCGCACTGCATAACTATCAAGCAGAAACCCAACTCTGGAGAGTAACAATGTTCCAATCTCTTCTCATCTTCTCCTTACAGTTGACTGACCACTGTCACCTTCTCTCGCGCTAGCACTGGCTGCTTTGGCCGCCTCTATTGGCCCAGGACTTGTTCCTGCCATCCATCCTGCAAGATCAAAGTTAGAAGCAGGTGCCTTTCTTGACCCGCTCCCAGGTAGTACACCGGCAGCGCGTTGTCTCTCCCACTCTTCGCGCGTCTCAGGATCCACTAAGACGGGACAAAATTATTAGCACTCCCCAAACCCTCAACTGCAACGAGTTCTTCTACGAAGAAGAATAATGAAGAGCAAAACCTACTGTTCTCGACAAGATAAGGCATTCCAACTGTAATCGCCAGAGCCACCACAGCGAGAAGAATCATTGGATTCTTGAACAAGCTGAGCGGAGAGACTAAACCCCAATCGCTCTTATGTTAGCGGATAGGTTTCCTCGATGTAGAACCGAACAATGGAGGCTGGCAACCTACACTTTGGCCGTTCCTCGTAGAACTCCCGTTTGCCCAACACTTTGGCTTCCACGTGAACCGGGCCCGATCCCGTCCCTACAGCCTTTTCCGCTCCCTTGTTATCCCATGAATTTCCCCGGTAGGTCTCCCACACTCCAATCACGTTCCCATCAGCTCCAACATCGACGCGGTAAGGTGCAAATATATAATCGCGGCAGTGGATGTCCAGGAGATATGAGGTCACGTCCCCTGAAGGCGAAGAGGATTCAGAGTCTGGTCGAAGTTCACGGAAGGTAAAGGACGATGACCGGGATAGCGGCGCTTTCAGTAACGTCTGTTTGGGCGCGAGGGTGGTTAGAGTCGCGTGGGTTGAAGCTGGGAGCGCATTTGGATTCGGGAGGAGGTTTGATGACGGAATTGAGATCGTAAGGCTGAACGCCGTGGAAATGGGAAGGACGAGTGAAGAGAGCGCTAGAATATAGGAATAGAGATTTGAAGGACGCATGATTATGACTTCTCATAGGGAATGCAGCTTCCCCTGTTCCAATGCACGCCTTTGCTTTTGCAGCCCGTCGGAGTGGCAGTTAGGGCCACTCGACTGGGAGAGATATTAGCTGCTTATGTAATAAGCGTGCCCCTTGCTTTCTGTTGGAAGCAACAGAGAAATTCAGGATAAGTTGAGCTTATTGTAATGATCAAATGAGTGTGCTGTTGTCCAGACTTGTTTTTCGGAGGGAGGGTTGCACAGCTGACATGCTGGTACACTCCAATTACACCACATTCACATTATCGAGTGAACTTTTGCATTTATATTCAACAACCGGCATTTGTATCCCAACTCCAGTGTGAATAAAATGATGAACCACACTTAAAGACAAAACAAAAGAAGTAGCGGTATCCTTAAATATATGTTTCATGGGTGCAAAGCAAATATCCAACATGCTTTGCAAGGAAAAAAAAAAGAAGAAAAGAAGGAAATTGCCAACATCAACATATACTATATACACAAGGTGAAGGTACAGAAGCAAAAAATGTAATAAAAACAGATGTCCTACAATTTGGATCGAAGGACATCGTTCTCGTTAACTCCATTGCCGGGGGCTGTAGCATAGAGCTCATCCAGGACATCTCTAAAGGCCTTGACGGCTTGAGGACGCTTGAGTTTTAACCTGAAAAGATGTTAGCCCGATAAATCAAATCATTCGCAGGACAAGAGAAAAATACGTACGTGGGGGTCAACAGGCCATTATCAATCGAGAATGGCTCATGGAACAGTGCCAAATTCTTCACTCTTTCGAATCCTGCGAGTTTATATTTTTTGCCTGCACGGTCGAGATCTCTCCTCACTGCGTCGAGGACCTTTGGATCTTTGCTAGCTTCACGAAGAGCGTCCAAGTCCGTAGGAGAGAAGGTTTTCTTCAAAACCTTGCCCGCAAAAGAGGCAAAAATATCGGGTTGAATGCCGAAAATAGCAACAAGATGCGTCTGAATACCGTCACCATGAACAAAGGCTTGTCCAAGGTACGGGCACGCGCTCTGATAGATACCTTCAATGCGCTCAGGGGACACATATTCTCCCTGAGCGAGCTTGAGAAGGTTCTTACGGCGGTCGATGATAGTGAAGCGGCCGAGCTCGTCAACCATGCACACATCACCAGTTCGGAACCATCCGTCCTCTGTCATCGCCTTCTCGGTTTCTTCGGGATTCTTATAGTATTCTCTAAAGATTGAGTTACCACGAAGAAGCAACTCGCCACGTGGATATGGCTTGTCATCAACGGAATAATCCATATCTGGAAGCGACATCAAGCAAGCTTCAACAACGGGGGAGACACCTCCGCAGTGACCCGCAGACAAATCATTTGGCGACTGGCACAACGCAACCGCAAAACTTTCAGTCAATCCGTAACCCTGGACGATAGTAGTCGCGAAAGCAAGACGCAAAAATTGGTGGAGTGAGCTATCGAGCGGCGCAGAACCTGATACCATATATCTCATACGGTCAAAGCCAAGTCCCGCGGCAACCTTCTTGCTCCAGATCCTATCGTACAGAGCATGCTTCACAGTTGCATTCTCTGGTCTTACTCCAACTAGATTTGCAGTTTTCGCGGAAACGACATGGCGGGATAAGGCCCCCTTGAATCCAGGCTGTTCCACTGTAGCTGCACGAATAGCGCCACCAAAGCGGCCATATAGACGCGGGACAGATGCGAGAGCGGTAGGTCTCAGTAGCTTAAAGTCATCGACAAGCTCCAAGATGTTACCATGGAAGTAGCCGATCCTACCACCAGCCCAAAGCATCGTTTGCTCAACCATTCTTCCGTAAATGTGGGCTAGGGGAAGATACGAGCATGCAACGTCATCAGGGGACTGCAATACAGTTGCCAAAGACGTGGTCGCAGCCGCAACTGCGTTTGCATGGGTGAGAACAACACCCTTTGGCGTACCGGTGGTGCCGGAAGTGTAGTTGATAGTAATAATATCATCAGGCGAAGGCGGGTTGTAGGGGCGATTAAGAGAAGCCCCGAGCTTCTCAACTTCATCCAGGGTATAAATTGTTACGCCGACCTCAGCAGCAATAGGTGCAAGAATGTCGCGTTTTGAATGGCCTGCCTGGTCGTTCGAATCTAACGGGTCGAGACAGACGATCATTTTCAAACACGCGAGTTTGGGTTTCAGCCTAAGCAACGTTGGAAGATGCGGAAGCGAAGCGACAACACAGGCCAATTCGGCATTCTTGACGATAAATTCGGTGGCTTCAGGGCCCAGGGTCTCATACAGTGAAACCGAGAATAGCGATTGCGACATACAAGCCAAGTCTGTTCAAGTTAGTCTCACAGGTTTGGAGCTTTCGTGGCTACCAGCCAAATAGTTGCACTCACCAACGAGTTGCCACTCAGGCCTGTTCTGGCACCAAAGGCCAACACCGAAGGTCCGGTCATGGATACCGATCTGGCGGTGTAATTCAATCAACCCAACACCAATAGCGGCACGTCGTGTCTGAACTGTTCCATAATCCATCCACACATAGGGACCAAAGTTCTTCTTAACGGGATCCCATGGACGCCAACCTAAACACGGTTTTTTGGGCTGACGAAGGGCTGGAAACAGAAGTTAGCCAAATCCGCGGGACTCTGGTTTGTTTCCATCACGGAATACGGTCAATGCGTACCGGTGCTTTCGAACATGTCATGGCCGGTACGGACCTAAAGAGGTGCGTTCAATTAGCGTTCATTCATAAAACAACCATTATTATCCATGCTACTTTGCGCGATCCCCGGTAGCCTTGCCCGACAAAACGAACGATTCAAGGTATTTCAGCCTTGCCCCGTCTGACGTACCTTCGGGTCGAGAGTCTTCATCAATTCACCATTTCCGATCTTCCAATGTCTGTAAACCTGTGAACGACCTGGCTGTTCGGAACCAGGAATGGGGACGGAGTCCGGAGTGCCCTTGGGCCCCGGTTTGGCGAATTCAATCGCCCGAGTCTTAAACGGCGGGTCGGAAGATGAAAACATTGTTGGAAGTTTCTATGTAATGGTCACGTTAAATCGGTCGGCTTTGATTCTTATGAGCAGACAGGTTAGAGACAGCTGGCCATTATATGATGGAGCTCGAAATGGAAGTGGTCGGGGAGAAGCGGATCGAATGGAAAGTCGGAGTTACATACCTATTACCTGTCTATTCGATGTAAAAACCTCCGGGGTCGTCGATTCCCGCTTCTTCCCCGATAATTAAGTATCCCGCTCACCGGGTAAATGTTCTAATAAAAGAAAAGAAAAAAGTGAATAGGATAGCGTCGGGCGCAGTGCAGCCGAAAGGAATGTCCGATAGGCGAACAACGCAAGAAAGCCCTGTAGGGAAGACGAAAGTGTAGGTTAAGTTTTCTGGACAAGACCAAACATATGAATATCGGGGAGATTATTTACAGAGAAGGAAAAGGAGGCGGAGAGGGGGGGGGTTGACAAAAAAGAAGAAAATATGGAGCGCCAGCTGCTCGACATGTGGTGAGCGTGATGCTCGGTTCAGCTTTCATCGCAACTGGTCGGTGCCGGTTGGATAGGGTTTAGCGCCAGGGCGACAAAGCCACCCGAGCAAACAACGACGCCTGTCGATAGGCGCCATTTTTGTACTTTTTCCGCGAGCTTCTGTGAAAAGATACCTTCTGGTACTGGGTGTTGCTGGCTGCCTGGCATGTGACGCCAGTCTAAAATGCGTGCTGCTAATACCTTTTTTTTCGCTGATTAATCCGACTTACAACATCCTGATTGGTCCGTTCGGAAACCCGAAACCAACGATCTCATAGGACTTTGTGCCTCGGTTCGTCCGGCGCCGCCACTACATGCGCGAGAAGGGCACGCCAGGTGAACAATACACACACATACCTAGCTAGTTATGGAGTGTCTGCTGGATACCTACTGAATGACAGACATCCTCGGCAGAACTCGTTACCTTATGGGCACTTATCGCGGCTTTCTCCCGAAAAATGAAGTCGAAGAATAACCCAGTAGCCATGTCTATCGAACGCAATGATTGGTGCCCGGAACGAAGCATCTATCCACACGCTGTAGCAGCATCTTTTTCCCCTGCTCACTTCGGAAATACCCCAGAAGATACCCGCTGTTCCCAACCTTGAAAGACGGATACGAAGTCTGGTGTTATAGTATCATTCAGGCATTTCCCATCCATTGAGACCAATTACATAGTATGTTACTTAATTATTTCGTGAAAATATGGACTTAAGAGTGTCGGCGTCCTTAATTTTGAGGTATAAAAGTGGAGAGAAGGAATACTTTTAATCTAGGATCATAACTGTGAAGTTTTCTTGAGTAACTCTATAGCTTTCAGAACCCATGAACGCTTTAGTTGCTAGAGCTTGTGATTCATCCCGTGAATATTGAGATTCTAGCGGGAGATCTCCTCACTGTAAGATACAAGCCAGACATGAAACTGAACGCTTCTCAATTGTGCAAACTTTGGAAAGACGCCCCCATCATGCATCTTGATAATTGCCTTGGCCTTCATGGAAAAATTTTCCGGTGCATTTATTGAGGGCCGAAAAAGAGACATGGGAAGCACTTTCGAGAAATATTCCAACGCAAACAGGGATATATGCGCGGTCACTGGAAGGGTTATAGACCATTAAATCTGGAGGGATGAGGCAGAGAGGAAGCTCCATGTCCCATGAAATGCGCCTGTGGCACTCGATCGGTTAACAGTTATGCCGCCGCAACCATGCCACAGTACGCTCTCAGCCCATCGTGACTTCAGGCGGAAGCAACCTGGAAGACAAAATTTCTTTGCTTCTAACCCAAGGCTTATACGGTGGGCTCTACCACAGCAGTTTTCCCATCAAGACTTGTGGCAGCCGAACAATAATGTAGACAGATTCAATGCCCATATTGCCCTTTAATGGATGTATCTGGTGCATTTTGATATTGTTTAGGGGAGGGAAATGCTCAAACATCAGCAAATCCATGAATGTGTGAGCTAGAAGACAGAGGAATCATTGTTCACCACATATTGGCTATTTCACTTGTTAACTATATCACCAC